TCCTACCTGTAACCCCATCATGCTAGCACTAACTGCAGGGTTATCAGAATTATGATGTGCATCAAACAGTTCCAACACCAGTGTGTTCCAGTAGTCCAAGCAAACCTGCTCAATCCACAGGCAACGAGAAACCATCATTTTACAGATGAAGGGCAAAGCACATAAGACGCATCACTAAGGGGAAACATAAAACTGTACTAACAGATTTAATATTGCCAATGGCAGTTTACGTACCTTAAATACTTCAGTGTCATCAACGTATGAAATACTGATGAGATATTCGAGACCCGCAATTAACAATTGGACAATTTCTGGCGCTGATTCTAAGACTCGTATATGATTCTGCACAATTAATGCAGAGATAACGAAATAGTTCAGGAGTTGATGAGTACGAGAAGCATTAGAACACAAACATCATTATGCATATCCAGAGACTTACCTTGAAAAACGAAGTGAAAAACAGTGCCAGGTTCTGGATAAATGCCTAAAGAGACAAAAGACACACCGTCATTTGATAAGTTATTCAAAGTTTCAAACCAACAGGCTGCCTCGAAACCAAGCCCCAGAAATACTTACTTGTTCTTCACCACTTCCATTTGAATAAGCCTCCGGGATATTTGTACTAGGTGGGAGAATTGTCTGCAAACATGAAAACAAGTGTAGAGCATCATGCAAGAAGCCAAGACAACATGAAGTAGACCAAAATTACAACATTGCCTAATAGAAATGAAATAGCCGGAATGTCAATGAACAAAAAGACGATAAAACAAATAGAAGCAAAACAAGAGGACAGCTAATATACCCGCAACAGCCCTATAAATATGGTGTACATGTTGACATATTGGGGATTGTAGAAGTCCCCGAAATTAAGAGCTGCAACCTGGCAGACAAAATTCGAGCCAATAGAGAATTAAATAATACATTCAATTGACAATAGGGAAAGGTGAACTAAAAAAAAAAAACTGAAGTACCTCGGTCAGACATTGAAGAGTGAGGTTCCTATATGCTGGCACAGGAAAAAATTTGAGGAGGGTCTCAAGCTGTAAACAACCAGAACAGATATCAGAAGAACATAATTGTGGTACCAGTTAACATCAAGCTCTATCTCATTTTAAGTATATTACCAAAGGAGACTCAAAAATATAGCCCAATGGAATCCAGGAAAGATAGGCATGCAATGCAGACAGTGTTGAACGTATAAGATCCTGTCTTTGAGATGCTGAGAGGACATATAGGCATAACTCGTGAATGAGTTTAAACTCGCTGCACATATAAAAACCATAAACAGACGGGTAAATAAATGATAGCTACGACATAACTTAACCAACATAGGCAAGATATGCAATTTAGTTTGGAAAGATAATGTCATAAACCAACTAAAGTCTAACATGCCTGTTTAGAGATTGTTTCAGCTCTTTAATCTTCTGCAGAGTCATCTCTCCTCTCGAGAAATCAAAGACCTCCTCGCTTAGGAGCTAACAAAGGAAGAAATGTTATTATTTCCACTTTCCAGTGAGAACTGATTAATAAAATCATGTAAAGATTCTTACTTTCAAAATGGCCATGCAATTTTCGCAGATAGTTTCACTGGTTTTAGCAGCGGCAACTAGATCCGGGATGAAGCTTGTCCATTTTGCCGGCCAATCATGCTTCACTATCTGCGCATGTATCATATGCAAAACAAGAAAAAGTCAATGGGTTGGAACCAAATCGCTACTGAAGCCAAATAGATGATAGAACCTCTGACTAAGAAAATGCAACGCATATTATTAGGCAGTGATACACATACCTGAACCAAGATGACATTTAACTTGTTGACATAGAGCCTTTCTGATCTGAAAGACGCTTCATTGCTGGAGAGCTGCAAGGTACAGAGCAGTTAGGATAGCTTCCCAGATTTATCTAGAGAACATCTTAAGATTTCCAAAAGTATATACCTGTACAATGACCTCCGAGATGTAATTTTTCATTCCATCTCGTTGTTCAACAGGCAGTGCGTTCCATCTGTACTTTATAACACCTTCTAGAACCTGAGAGTGGATGCAAAAGAATATTTGTTTGTCAACTACCTCAAAATGACAGTTTTAATCGACAGTTGGATAAGAAAACTTGGAACTACTTCTGGAAACACTGGTGATTAATAGGAGCAGCTAAATATGTCGAAGATGAGAACTTAATGCTCACTGGTCAATCTAATCTAAAGACAAGTCTTCAGACAGTTAAGTCATCTCCCATGAAAAGGTCACAAAGCTGTTTATACATCTCTGAAACTAACAAATCAAACATTTCCAGCCTAAAAACTTGATTATTCGGAAATATTTATATTGTTTGGAATAAAGCATATTTAGCTAATTGAACTAAAAATATCATACATCATATTTAATGATTGAATTAAACTATACACAATATCAAACATTGCTGGCACTGCTGTCGAAGTAACAGCATACAACACTATGCCAGGATAGATCAACGGATGTAAGAATTTACTAGAAAGGCATCATTAAGGATTGCTGAAACTAACCTGAAGGGCAAAGAACTTGGTATCCATACTCTTTGTGTTTTGTAGAATGTGAACAACTTGGAGCCACATATCTGGATTAGCTTGCAAATCCCGTAAAATCTGGTCCGCAGCAGCTCTCTGAACATGTTTTTGGGAGAAATGTCAGTTAATAAGATGATAACTCAGATACAAATGAAGTGAATGTCGACACTGAAGCAGAGCTATGATATTCAGTAGTCAGAAGCTTAAACAATCCTAACAAAAATTCACTTTTGAATTGTTGCAATTACATCGATATATCAAGATATTTCACTGCCAGATGACCTCGTACACAGAGAGTAAAGTTCAAATATGATTGGATACTAATTATTTTCAGTCTGTGCTACTCCGTATAACTGGATACTCTAGCAACCATGATTTATGGAGAACACACATCAGCCGCAAGGAAACGAAAAAAACAAAGGACTAAGTTGACCAAGGGAAGAGCTCAATAACCCACACAGAATGAAGCGAGTTTCAGTGACCCAATGAGCAGCTAAACCACTCTAAAATCATCAACACAGTACTAAACCCTAAGACAGTGAAATCCAGAGTACAAACTCGGATTAATTGAAAACTTATAGAGGTCTCAATTTGCCCAAAATCACTCGTATCAGACTGCTAAAACCCTAACAAGTAAACAGTCTTAAATCCCACTCATTGAAGGCAATCGAGAAGAAGACGACAGCTCAAACAGTCCAGCAAAATATGCTATCACTCGTCCAATCCCTTAAAATTTTCCGACGAGCTAGAAAACACAAGTAAGAAAAGCCCAGAGAATTTGAACCACCTCTTCCTTAGATCCGGTAACGAAGAAGGCCGCAACAGTGGCATCGAGCACACCGACGTCAATCGGCTGGCTCAAGTCTCTTAGCTTCTCGGCCGCCATGATGTGCAAAGTCGCAGTAAAAATCCTCGGAGGCTAATCAGCACCTCCGATAGACTAGTAACAGTGAAAGAGACGAAAACCCTAGGAGAGAGAAAGGAAGGGGACAAAATTCTAGAGAGAGAGAAAGAGAGATGGTTTTACAGAGGCGAAAAAAAAAGCCGAGTATATATATAGAGAGAGAGTTCTCAAAGACAGCTTAAAATTGACGCAGGAGAAAACGAGTGACTTTGAAATTTGCTTTCATCTTCTTTCCTCACCAATTTAATACTTTTTTTTATTTTCCTCCCTAACTAATTAATTTGTTTCCTAATTTTTTTTTTTTATTGTTTCCAAATTGTTTAATTTGAATTTCAGATTTACTTATTTTCTGCTATGTTTCAAAACATTTGAAGACGCGTCTCTTGAGGGAGATAAAGGATTTTAAGAAAACAAAACAGTGTTCAAAGTTTTGAATTTACAGTCATAAAAGAAAAAAAACTTTCTTTTTGTGAAATACGTTTTGAACTTTTTTTATAAATTTAATCTTACTATATACTACTAAACTAAAACTATTCGGCTGATTTAAATGATCATTACTAAAAAATGTAACAAGGTGGTATGGTTTTTAATTTGACTTCCACATGACATGTCATTCAAAATGCTTTCAAATTCTTAAAGGACATTTCGATTGTAGTAGACTTCCGACATTCACATGCATGCGCTTTTCTACATTTTTGTGTGTGTAATTGGTTACGTTTGGTTGACAAAAAAAAATGGTTACATTTGAAATTTACAAATTATGTTACAATACTCGAAGTAAAGACTAATTTTGGTTCAGCTATGTGCTTGAAAGCTGCTCAGATTCTCAGTTACTCCGATGAGGTTTCTTGGCTAGGTTACAGACATCATGTATAAATTCTAGATTCACAAGTTAAGCAAGAGACATACTTGTATAGTATAAAGCTTGTTTTTTGTAGATGTTACTATTTACTTCATGACTCATGAGCCTTATCGAGTCATCAACATGCTATTAGCGAACATCCAACACATATCAAGACCATGACAAATGAATATTTGAGCGTAATCACTAATCAGTCTGAGATTTGATTCAGGGCTATTGAATCTGACAACACAATCTCTTGACTATAAATTAAGTAACAAATAGATTCTCATGAGAAGGCGATGCCTACATTTACCACCACCAAAGTCTTAATTTAGCTTAGTCACGTGCTGCTGCATGTTCGAAGCTATTACCTGAAAGACACTTTTATTTCTCCGTGGTTCTAAACCCATCAACGACATCATCACATGTCAAAGAGTTTTATATCAAAGAAATGGGCCTCTATTGTAATCAAATTCATTGATCGCGTACGTGTGCAGTGTGACTACATTCTTTTCGTGCCAATCCAACGGTTGCTAACTTCGTTTACAATTCCAATTCGATATACCTTTTTTTTTTTTTTTGGTATGCAAATGTGGTAGCAGTTTAATGTTAAAAAATATCCATTTTTTCGCTGAACAACCCAAAACCCAGAACACAGCAGAGCATCGCAAGTCCACAATTCATTTTTCGTTTTCTCTCGAAACAGAGCTATGGCGTTTGATCCCGAGCAGCAACCTTCCTCTTCTGTGTCTGGAGAGGTATTCCGTATCACTTCGTCCTTCTTCTCCTCTCCATGTTCGTTTCGAATTGCAGTGTCCTTAGCTTAATTCTCTAAACCCATTCGTGATTCTTGACCCGCCCCATTGTAATCATTCCTTCTGGGATCGATTTCTGACTTTTGTCTGACGAAATTCTCGAAACTTACTAAATCGGACATTTCTGCATTTGTATTGTATTTTCGAGCCATTTGAAAATATTCACTCTTTAGCATCACTAGCTCAAAACTGTGAGCTTTTTAGACAATTAGACTGGTAACATCCTTAGTGTTTTATGCTTTTGTAGGTTGGTAAGTCATCTGGTGAGATCCACGCAGAAAGGGAGCCTCTTATTAAAGATAATCATCATACCCCAGAAAACTACTCTGTTGTTTCAGCCATCTTCCCGTGAGATCTCTCATCTTTTCTCCAAGTTTGATACTTCTTAGACTAATCATGACAAAAAAAAAAGAATTCTCACAATTGTATCATCATTTGTTCATTCTCACCAAAAGCGTCTTGACAGGAATAAATATGAAATTTACGGTGAACCATTCCCATGTATTCTTAATAGTATTTGTTTATTGCCAACTTACTGTTAAGTGTGTTAGGATCTAATGCCAGCGCACTTGTTTGCATTTGTCTTTCATCATTAGGTTTTTGTTTCCAGCTCTGGGAGGACTCCTTTATGGTTATGAAATCGGTGCAACTTCTTGTGCAACCATTTCAATTCAGGTAAAGATTTGAACTCGTCTGAAATTACGCAGTCCTGCAATTTTGTTTTGATTCAACTAATCTGGTTATCACAATTATATAATGATATTTCAAGCTTTCCCAAACCATTTTTCTCCTTTGTTATCTCCTATATACTGTCTTCACATGCATGTACATTATTTCGATTGTTTACATTCTGTTAAAAGCCAATGACTTTGCTATCTTACTTACTGTGATATTTTCTCTCCTGTAGTCGCCTTCGTTAAGTGGAGTTTCATGGTACGACTTGTCCTCATTGGACGTTGGTCTAGTTGTAAGTCTCCGAAATATCTTTCCTGCTTCTTCTTCATGCTTGTTATTGCAAATCTTCTATACTCCTCCCTCTATTGGAGCTGTGTTCTTCTCTTTCGAAATAGAGACAGATTTACTTTTGTTTTCTGCAGACAAGTGGCTCACTTTATGGTGCATTATTTGGCTCTATTGTGGCTTTTACAATTGCTGACGTTATAGGTTGGTTTCTTTTCCACTTTAGCACTGTGTATATGTGAAAGAAACTGAAGTGTTGGATTTTGAAATTGGAAGGAAGAAGAAAGGAGCTGATTTTGGCTGCATTCGCATTCCTCGTTGGAGCCCTTGTGACTACACTAGCACCAGTCTATCCCGTTCTGATAATTGGACGGCTAACTTATGGGGTCGGTGTTGGACTGGTAAGAGTACCCATCATACTTCCTTAGTTTTTGATTGCTTGTATGAATTGATGCTATCCACCTATATATTACATATAATAAACCTTTCCTTACATTTAGGCAATGCATGCGGCTCCGATGTACATTGCAGAGACTGCTCCAAGTCAGATACGTGGACAGCTGGTATCACTAAAAGAATTCTTCATAGTCCTCGGGATGGTTGTAAGTTCTTGAAGCTTTGATGTTTTTGGACGTTGATTGATCCATATGTGAAGCAGTTTGAGCTGATATATCCTCTCATTTTTGAAATATGTTTGTTCAACAAAGTTCATCTCACATCTCTGGACACAAAATTTATGCAGGGAGGTTATGGAATTGGTAGTCTTACAGTCAATGTTCTCTCTGGTTGGCGTTACATGTATGCAACAAGTGTCCCTTTGGCAGTTATCATGGGAATTGGAATGTGGTGGCTCCCAGCATCCCCTAGGTGGCTTTTGTTGCGGGTCATACAGGGGAAAGGGAATGTGGAGAGCCAAAAAGAGGCTGCAGTCAAATCTCTTTGCCGCCTTAGAGGTCCTGCTTTTGCTGATGCAGCTGCTGAACAAGTGAACGAGATTTTGGACGAACTTTCTGCTGTGGGCGAGGATAAAGAGGCCACGTTTGGTGAACTATTCCAAGGGAAGTGCAAGAAAGCTCTCGTCATAGGAGGAGGTCTAGTCTTGTTTCAGCAGGTGAGTCTAGTCAATGTTAATCATCGCCTTCTCTTAGAAAAGAGCAATTACTAATGTGTGCTCTTGGTCAAATGGCAGATAACTGGGCAACCAAGTGTGCTTTATTATGCACCATCAATACTACAGGTTTTTGTTTCTTCTCTAAATAAACTTTCTGTAGAGTGTGATATTGGCTGTGTTTTCACTTGGAATATTGATGAGAGGGTTTTCAATTTCCTGTTAGACCGCTGGATTTTCTGCCGCAGGTGATGCAACAAGGGTCTCGATTCTACTTGGTCTGTTGAAGGTAATTCATTTTATTGACCTGGCTAAAAGTGGTTACTACTAGCAGTGTAGTCGACAAATGCACTTTGCTGTACAACCTCTGTTATCAGTCTTAATAGCCAGAATTCAATCTTAATATTCAACATTTCAATCATTTGTACTGAAGAGCAATCATTCTGTTGTTGCAGTTGATTATGACAGGAGTAGCGGTTGTAGTTATCGACAGACTTGGAAGGAGACCTTTACTTCTTAGTGGTGTTGGTGGCATGGTATGTCCTCTGTCTTATTTTTATCCCTTCTCTTTTCTCATCAGATTTAGTGAGATTGATCTAAATCTACCGCATGATATAGAGAACTACAATGCTCCCAGTTTATCCACCTTTTTGTTATTTTCAATGCCAAACAGGTTATCTCTTTGTTCCTGCTGGGGTCATACTACATCTTTTTCAGCGCCTCACCAGTTGTTGCTGTAGTTGCACTGCTTCTCTATGTGGGATGTTACCAGGTAAACAAATAAAGTAACTAAAGTTTTACTGATCAAACTTGTATTCCACAATGTTAAATTTTTGTCCTAAAAGTACCTAGACTCTCTGTCACGAAACTCATGGCAGCTAAAACAGGACTTTTGTTTGTTACTGTTTGGTAAGAGCTTTAAAAGTATTGTAATGAATCTTGCAGCTATCCTTTGGTCCAATTGGTTGGCTGATGATCTCAGAGATATTTCCCCTTAAGCTAAGAGGTCGAGGTCTGAGTATAGCAGTGCTCGTGAATTTCGGTGCAAACGCGCTCGTGACATTTGCTTTTTCACCGCTGAAGGTAATCAGTCTTACCATTTCTAGATATCTTACACCCACAGTTTGTAGGTTATTCGTGTTTGGCTCACATATGGCTCTGTGTTCTGCAGGAGTTGTTGGGAGCTGGGATACTGTTCTTTGCGTTTGGTGTGATATGTGTCTTGTCTCTGCTCTTCATATTCTTCATTGTCCCAGAGACAAAGGGTCTCACTCTTGAGGAAATTGAAGCCAAATGTCTCTAAACTGCTTCTGACTGATGCTCGAGAAAATCACCGCGTGTACAAAAACCTGGTGTTTATAAATCTCTGTAATATTATTGTCAACACTCAACAGTGTTGAACGTTAGAAAACAAAGTTATATGTAGTCCCTTATGCACTCATGTCTTGTTAGCCTCAAGATTAGGAATGTGATACAATTGAATTTGATTTGATTAAAAGTAATTTATGACCGGATCTCTCAAGTTTTAAAAGCTGGAAATATCTTGCCATCCAAAATCTTCTTTCTTTCCAAAACCATTTGCGAGAAATTAAGGCAAGAACCTAATACTGTAATCGACATTAGGAAATATTTCGATAAATGTGAAAGGAATGGAACTATATCAAAATAGTAACTGTGGGAAAAGAGAAAAAATAATGTAGCTGCGTTCATACATGAAATGAAATATTTTCGTTGTGAACACACACACACAGACACACTGATAAAATCAGAAACATCAGCAGTGACGTCATATCTGATTGTGGCTAATTTTGCAACATCTACGAGCGATCCCACTATAAAACCAGGCGCGTCCGCGACAATCCGAAGAAGCAGTAACCATTTCGTCGAACTCGGAATTGAATCGGAGAAGAAAACGATGAGCACCGGAGGAAACAACGTGGCGACGGCGACGAACAAGCAGATCATATTGAGAGACTACGTGAGTGGTTTCCCAAAGGAATCCGATTTCGAATTCACTACAACCACCGTCGAACTTAGGGCTCCGGAGGGGTCTAAGTCGCTTCTGGTGAAGAATCTGTACTTGTCATGCGATCCTTACATGCGGTCTCGCATGGGGAAGCCTGCTGCTTCTGGTATCGCGCAAGCTTTCACTGTCGGCAAGGTACGACGGAAAATCTAGTTTAAGCTTGCATCAAATTATTCTCCGATTCTGGAAGTTTCCGGTGAAATTCGAGTAGGATCATATTATGTGATTGTCGTTAGAGTATGATTTCATCGTTTTAAAATATTTGTATATAATATTGCGCTGCAATTTCAAGGATGTATTTATTTTAGGAGTTTTGAAATAGGATCAACTGTTCTGCTTCATGTGTTGGACCATTTCTATGACTGATAATGTTCAATATCCAGAAATCTCTGTGGATGCTTCTTATTTATGATACATTCATTCTTCTGATTGGTGTTCTTGAAGAATATGAGAAGAAATCTTTGCGTTGATTTGGAAGTCAATAGTCTCTTTGGGTTTTACTTTTTCTCTTTTTCTTTAGTTCTCTAGTGTTGACTGTTTTATTGTGGTTTTCTGGAGCAGCCAATCATAGGATTTGGAGTGTCAAGAGTGATAGAATCAGGGCATCCAGATTACAAAAAAGGCGACTTGATATGGGGAATAGTTGGATGGGAGGAGTACAGTGTTGTTACCCCAATTCCTGACATGCATTTCAAGATCCATGACACCGATGTTCCTTTGTCCTACTACACTGGACTTCTCGGTATGTTGTTATCTCTGGTCCTTTTATGGAATCACTTATTCACTTGGTCACTCTAGAAAAATGCTTGTTGATAGTTGATACAGAGATCATGAAGTTGAATGTCATAACCATGATTGATAGATTCTATACACGTCTAACAAAATCTTAGCAATGGAGTCGATTAGCTATGTCATGTTTAGTATAAACTTGGATCTAGATAAGTTTTTAACTTTCAATAGCTTGGTTTTTTTGAAAAGGGAAACCTGGCCTGTTTGCTCTATATTGTCTCTAATCATTGATCTTTTCTCTTGGTGACAGGTATGCCTGGTATGACCGCCTATGCCGGGTTTTATGAAATCTGTTCCCCGAAGAAAGGTGAGACAGTTTATGTGTCGGCTGCATCTGGTGCAGTTGGTCAGCTAGTTGGACAATTTGCCAAGATGATGGGCTGTTATGTTGTTGGAAGCGCCGGAAGTCAAGAAAAGGTGAGAGCAATTGATCATCATTTCTATTACTTTTGTTTTCCCCTTCGTTTTCCTTCAAGAGTATGACTTGCCCGTTTGCTTCCTTCTTTGGGGATGTTATTAGGTTGATCTCCTCAAGACCAAGTTTGGGTTTGATGATGCTTTTAACTACAAGGAAGAACAAGACCTTAGTGCTGCCCTCAAAAGGTTCGTTACCCACTTATTTTGAAGCTTTGAAGTAGAGAAAACCCTGATCTCATTGATTGACATCTAAGAGAAATTCTGTTTTTGTTTCCAGGTGTTTTCCCAAAGGAATCGACATATACTTTGAGAACGTAGGAGGCAAAATGCTAGACGCGGTGCTCTTAAACATGAACACTTTCGGCCGCGTGGCTGTCTGTGGAATGATCTCACAGTACAATCTTGAGGACCACGAAGGTGTGTACAACCTAACCAGCATAATCTACAAAAGAATCCGCATTCAAGGCTTTGCAGTGTTTGATCACTACGACAAATACTCAAAGTTCTTGGAGCTTGTGATTCCGAGTATTAAAGAAGGTAAGATAGCCTACGTGGAAGATGTAGCTGAAGGTCTCGAAAAAGCTCCTGAAGCTCTTGTGGGACTCTTCCATGGTAAAAACGTTGGGAAGCAAGTTGTTGTAGTCGCTCGCGAGTGAAAAAAAAAAGATTTGAGATAATGATGTTGTGTTACTGGTAACTACATTTGTCCATACAAAGACAGAATTCTCCTCTCTCTGTTGTTGTTAGACAAAAACACCTTAATCAGTTAATCTTATAAAGTTTGGAGTATATAACTAGTTAGCCAATTATTCTTATTTTTTATTTTGATATCCGATATGAGTAAAAAAGGAGAGAACATGCATGGTTTAGTAGACTCTGACTGAATATGGGCGGTACTAGTTGACTAACATGAACAAGACAAACTAACATACAAACTGACTTACCACAACTAAAAACACCAACGACACATCCTCAGATCCAACGGTGCAGATTAACTACAACAAAATTGGACGGTCAGCTGTAAAAACATCTCTCCGGTTTCACCGAAACGAGAAAACACAGTAACACAACACTCCTTTTGAGTTTTAAATTTTCTTTTTGTCTGAATGGACAAAGCATGCGACATCTCTGCGTCTTTTCGATATTCTCTCTCCTCCATTGAAATCTGAGTTTTTAAAGCCAGCGATGTAAGAGAAGAGAGAGAGAGAGATAAAGAAATCTGAAGCAGCTCCGTAGCTCAAAAACAAACCCTAGTAAGAACAAAAAAAATGGCGGCGACACAAATGCTGCTGCTGCACCTTCTTCTTCCTCCTCTGCTCCTCATTTTCTTCATCCGGGTCGGATCATTACCCACCCAGGAGTTACAGACATTGATGGACATTAAAAAAGTGCTTGACCCTGAAGGAAAACGTCTCGCTTCGTGGAGTGTCAATGGAGATCCGTGCAGGGATTTCGAAGGCGTTGGTTGCGATTGGAAAGGACGAGTTTCAAACATTTCTCTACAAGGGAAAGGACTCTCCGGTGAAATCTCTCCGGCCATTGCAGAGCTCAAACACTTGACGGGTCTGTTCTTGCATTACAATTCTCTTTCCGGAGACATCCCTAGAGATATCGGTAACTTGTCCGAGCTTACGGATCTTTATCTCAATGTTAATAATCTCTCTGGGGAGATTCCTTCACACATTGGGAAGATCCGAAGCTTGCAAGGTCAGTCTTTTTTTTGGTTTTTTCATTCAAATTAATCCTTGGTTTCTGCAAAATTACTTATCTCAAGATAATTCAAGGTTTTGAAGTTTAGAAATCTGAGCTCCTTATTTTGGGGGTCTCAGTAACTTCACTATCTCTGATTGTAGAAAAAGTATCAAAATGTTAGATTTTGAAATTTAATGCGTTAATTATCTGCTTTTGAAATGTCCTTTTCATGTCTTTTGTTTGGGATTTTTCTTTTTGTAATTTTCCTCTTAGGAAGAATATTCAATAATTTTGTGCTACTTTAAATCTCAACCATTGATTGCTTAATGGAGTAACCTTGTTCATCTAGATAACTAATTCAGCTACTTCAAAAAGCCTTTTGAATTTGGAGTTAAATTAGTACTAGGATCATGTTTCTAAATCTAGAATTTAGTTCTAAGCTAATGTATATAGAAAGTTAGAATCAAAAACTTTGTTTCTGGTTTTGGTAATCTGATCTTCATTATCTCTGTTTGGTCTATGCTGTTGCGTAGTTTTGCAGCTATGTTACAACAATTTGACAGGAAGCATTCCAAGGGAGCTTGGTTCACTGAAGAGGCTCAGTGTTCTTGCTCTTCAGTCCAACAAACTCACCGGTGCTATACCAGCGAGTTTAGGAGAATTAAACGCTCTAGAACGGCTAGATTTGAGCTACAATCACTTGTTTGGCTCTGTACCTGGTAAATTAGCTGGCCCTCCTCTGCTTCGAGTTCTGGATATCCGCAATAACTCCCTCTCTGGCAATGTACCTCCTGGTAATATACTGAAATATGAAGCTTACCCTATATTATAGTAAAAGCTTACTGATTGGGGTTTATGTTTCTTTCTCTGTGTTTACCATAATGACAGTACTTAAGAGACTGAATGAAGGTTTTTCGTTTGAGAACAACTTGGGGCTATGTGGGTCCGAGTTCTCGCCACTGGCATCTTGCAACGGCACGGCTCCTGAGGAACCTAAGCCGTTTAGTGCGACGGTGACCGGTTTTCCGTCCAGGGATATACCGGAATCAGCTAATCTTCGGTCACCTTGCAGTGGAACAGACTGTAATGCTGCTCCTCCAAATTCTCACCAAGGTTCAATCTTGATCGGTTTGGTTGTCTCGACCATCGCCTTGTCTGCCATTAGCATCCTCTTGTTCACACATTACCGTAGACGCAAACAGAAGCTTTCAACCGCTTACGACATGTCTGAAACCGGTGGAGGAGGCTTTCGGAAGAAGAATGGTTCTTCTCCTTTGGCCAGTCTTGAATATACTAGTGGTTGGGATCCGCTCTCAGAGAACAGGAATCTCAGTGTCTTTGCTCAAGAAGTTATCCAAAGCTTTCGTTTTAATCTAGAAGAGGTTGAAACAGCTACTCAGTATTTCTCACAAGTGAATCTGCTCGGAAGAAGCAACTTCTCTGCGACTTACAAAGGGATCCTGAGAGACGGTTCGGCTGTGGCGATCAAACGGTTTAGTAAAACCAGCTGCAAATCCGAGGAAGCTGACTTCTTGAAAGGACTCAACATGTTGGCGTCTCTGAGACATGAGAACTTGGCAAGGCTTAGAGGCTTCTGCTGTTCAAGAGGCCGTGGAGAATGCTTTCTCATATACGATTTCGCTCCCAATGGAAACCTACTGAGCTATCTCGATCTTGCAGATGGCGATACACATGTTCTTGATTGGTCCACCAGAGTTTCCATCGCCAAAGGAATCGCAAAGGGTATGGTTTCATTACACCGAGCTAATTTCTTGATTCTCTGTTTGTTGACTCTTGTTTAATGTGTGTGTTTTAGGGATTGCTTATCTACATTCATACAAAGGAAACAAAGCAGCGTTGGTTCACCAAAACATCTCAGCCGAGAAAGTCTTGATCGACCAGCGATACAGTGCGCTACTCTCAAACTCCGGTCTCCACACACTTGTCACAAACGACATTGTCTTCTCTGCAGTCAAAGACAGTGCAGCAACGGGCTATCTCGCTCCAGAATACACCACCACAGGACGGTTCACCGAGAAATCCGATGTCTATGCTTTCGGGGTCCTCGTGTTTCAAATAGTCTCTGGGAAACACAAGGTTAGGAATCTCGTTAAGCTTGGAGCTGAAGCTTGTAGATTCCATGACTACATCGATCCAAATCTTCAGGGAAGGTTCTTTGAGTATGAAGCCACGAAGCTAGCTAGAATCGCGTGGCTATGCACTCATGAATCTCCCATTGAGAGACCGTCCATGGAAGCTGTTGTTCATGAGCTTGGCAACTGTAGTAGCATTCTCTGACAACTTCTTGGATAAGGCCAGTTGTGATGTTACCTTAGGAATCAAGCAAGGGTTTGTTAGTCGCCTTTTCTCGTGTTTGAAACTTTATCACTGATTCTCATTTCTGAAACATGATTAAGTTCCTTTTGTTTCTGTAAATTCCACAAACATCGTTGTGAATCTGAAACAGAGCATTTTCCGAAATTATTGGAATAAATTGCATTTGGATAAGATAAAATCCTAAATCCCACATTATTTGCATCGCACTTGATAGCGCAAGAAATTATGGTTATCTTTGGCTTCATCGTTTTTGCATTGCCAAGTTGCCAACCATATAGCAAATATTAAAACGAAAACACTCGAATCCTTGATTCTCTCCTCAACCTGTGGCCTATATAAGTTGAGAAATATAAACGTTTTAGGGAACTTAAGAAAATAAAAAACACAATGGAGAAGATGGGAGCGACGGTAGTAAGCAACAAGCAAGTCCTATTCCGAGACTACGTTACCGGATTCCCCAGTGAATCCGACCTACCAATCACCTCAACCACCGTGAGTCTTAAGATACCGGCGGGATCAACGACGGTGTTGGTGAAGAATCTCTACTTGTCTTGCGATCCCTACATGCGCAACCGTATGAGAAAGCCTGATCCTTTGATTCCTGCTACTGCTCAGTCCTTCATTCCCGGCAAGGTCAATAACAACATCTCTACTTTACTTATCACTCAGAAACAAACAGTTGGTTTTAACTTCTTTTATGTTCTGTTTTTTTGCTCTGTTCTTCACAGCCTATCTCTGGTTTTGGAGTGTCTAAAGTGATGGACTCAGGTCATCAAGATTACAAAGAAGGAGACTTGATCTGGGGAGCAGTAGGATGGGAAGAGTACAGTGTCATCACACCAATCCCTAATCTCCACTTCAAGATCCACCACAAAGATTTTCCGTTATCTTACTACACTGGACTTCTTGGTATGCCTGGTATGACTGCATACGCTGGGTTTTACGAGATATGTTCTCCAAAGAAAGGAGAGACCGTGTTTGTCTCAGCTGCATCTGGCGCTGTTGGTCAGCTCGTCGGACAATTCGCTAAGATGATGGGCTGTTTTGTCGTTGGAAGCGCCGGAACCAAAGATAAGGTTGATCTCCTCAAGAACAAGTTTGGTTTCGATGATGCCTTCAACTACAAGCAAGAAAAAGATCTCAATGCTGCCCTAAAGAGGTAAGCAAGTAAATAAAGAGATTTCTTCTATATTTAAACTCATTCAAGAGGAATCTTTGTGTTTGCAGGTGTTTCCCTGAAGGCATTGACATATACTTTGACAACGTGGGAGGCAAAATGGTGGACGCAGTGATCTTAAACATGAGACCACACGGACGTATCGCAGCGTGCGGAATGATCTCGCAGTACAATCTGCAGATTCCGGAAGGAGTGTACGGTCTCTCGCTCATTACCTACAAACGAATCCGTATTCAAGGGTTTAACGCTATTGATTACTTCCACAAATACTCTGAATTCGCCGAGTTTGTGGTTCCGTATATAAGACAAGGGAAGATAACCTACGTGGAAGATGTTGCTGATGGACTCGAGACTGCTCCGTCTGCTCTCGTTGGACTCTTTCACGGCAAGAACGTTGGGAAACAACTTGTTGTGGTCTCTCGTGATCTTGTGTGAGCAAATGATTCAAAAGTTGTGTTGCAGAGGACACTGGTGGTCAACATAAATATAAATAAATTCGAAATTGTGTTAAGGATGCATATTGGAATCAAATTCGGAGATTTCGGACTTCTGAAATTGTTGTTAACTCTTAATTTTAACGAATTGTAGCGGGAAGAAGAAGCATTTCATCGAACATCTCGAATGCGTCATGGGTTCAATTTCAAACAAAGTTCGATTGCAGAGTTCTAAACAAGTTATCTATAAATTCAAAAACAGAATCACAAACATTTGAAACTAGACTTTGCCTTCTTCTGTGGAGAGTGTAAAACAAATAGAGTTTTGAATGGCATTCTCTTCCATGAGCTTCACTTGTCCAATTCCCAAATGACGCCTCCATCTTTTTTGACCTTTTTGTCGATCCAAGCTTCTAGGAGCATACCAGCACCGATCCCACCAAGGATGAAACTTCCATAGAAGGCAAGAGCCTTAGGCCAAGGCTTTCGCGGGAGGAAGTAAGCTTCGTATTTCTCTTCCAGTCCCCTCGGGATCTGTTTTCTCGCTCTCGCCACCGTTTTAACACCAGCACTCGGCTTCTTCGTCTTCTGATTCTCACTCGTCCCCCACTCTTCTCCTTTCCATGGATCCTTCGCCTCTTCACTTGCCATCTTCGATGATCGCCTTGAGAAATCTCAATTCCAGTCTCAACTGGATCGAAAATGGCGAGAATTAGAAGAGCACAGACGACAAAGTTCTTTGCCGATCCGAAATGAAAATTAAAATAACCTAATTAAGACCCAATTAAAGATCCTTAAGGCCCAATAAAGCCCATTTAGCCAAACTTTAGTGTAGATTCTGCGCACGTGCATTTGAAAATATTAACACGTAGCGCAAAGGAAATTATCTCACTCGCACATCCAGCGCGTTAAGGACACACAGACGAAATCCCTTTATCAGATTTCAGAACACAAATAAACGCGCGTGTAAAACTCTTTACTTCTACTTCATCTCTTTCCTTATTCACTTGACGTTGACTACAACACAACTTCACTCCAGAGAATCTTCATCGATCGCGAGCTCACACTGTTCACAAATTTAGGTCCGAATCTTCACCCGGTTTTGTAGGTGATTTTATTTTAATTCGGATTTTTCAGGGTAAATAACAATATTTTCTTCGCTTATGAGGATCCCGATTGCAGATTAAGTAATTAACAAGCCATGGAATCAGAATTGACACTTCATGAAGGTGGATGCCATTGTGAGAAGATCAAATGGAGAGTGAAAGCATCAAGAAGAGTGGTGGCTTGGAGCTGCAACTGCTCAGATTGTTCAATGAGAGGCAATGTCCATTTCATTGTCCCTTCAAGCAACTTCGAGCTTCTCGGTGATTCCAAAGATTTCATCACCACTTACACTTTCGGGACTCACACGGCCAAGCATACCTTCTGCAAGGTCTGTGGGATCACATCGTTTTACATCCCGAGGTCTAACCCCGATGGAATCGCAGTCACGGTTAAGTGTGTCAAGTCAGGGACATTGGACCATGTTGAGATCAAAAGCTACGATGGTCAGAACTGGGAAATGTCACACAAAGAAACCGGTATTGCCTCCTTCTCTAAAGAGTGATGTTAAAGATCATACTCAAAGATTGTAATGGCGCAAACAAAATCTCACCTTTCGAATCACAGGGAGAGAAACAATAGAGGGAAAGATCCAAAAGCTTTTTCTGCCTAAACCCTTTTGACAATAACGCTCAGGGTTTTGAGTTTTTAGGACAAACTGTTTGTTCAAATCTACAGCTGCAAATCCCTAAGTTTTTGTATGATTTCACTTCTTGTTGTTACCTGTATCTTTTCCAGCTAGTTTTCTTCTCTGTTGATGCTCTGCAACTTTGTAATCAATGACCTCTCTGAAAAGGCTTGCGTCCAACAAGCAGTCCGCACTTCCATACACAGCAGCTTGAACGCTCGCCATCAGTTTCGCAATCTCTCTACCCGAGAACCCTTTTGTTTTCGCAGCAGCTTCCTTCAGGAGATCCTCGGTGACGCCTTTAACCTCAATCTTCTGCTGTTCTTTCTTGAAAAGGCTTTGGAGCAAACCCGGCTTCTTTAGATTAGTCTTAGTTATGTACTTGTCTAGGTAGAGGTTTAGAAGCTTGAAGCGCTCTTCTTCTCCAGGCAATGGGAACTCAAGGGTCTCGTCGACACGGTCAGACACCGCTGAGTCTAGATCACCGGGTCGGTTTGTGGCTAGCGCTAGGACTATGTCTTTGGACTGGTCACCAGTGCGGAAGAGGAGTGCGTTTAGTGCACTCCTTTGAGCTTCACTCATGTATGTTTTGTTCCTCCTGCCAAATTTGCAATCAAATCAACACATTAAAACTAAAACCCTTGAGTTAAGATTATCATCATCAGTATCGGATTTGCAACTTACTCGCATAGAAATGCATCTGCTTCATCGATGAAGAGCAACAAGCCTCTCTTAGATTTCTTGGACCAGTCAAACAATTGGTGTATCTTTGTAACAGCCTGAGCTCCAAGTGGAGCAACATCTCCACCCGTCATCAACGCATAATCCAGACCCTAAATGGTAACAAATCAAAGTAAGAGAGTGAGTATCCAAGTAACAAGCCTCAGACTCCAATGCAAGTATAAGAAATGGAGAGAATACATACAGATTTGCGAGCCAGCTCTCGGGCAGCCATTGTCTTTCCTGTTCCCGGTGGACCGTAGAAAAGCATATTACGGAAAGGTGCTTGGTGTGCTTTTGTGTTGGCCGTTGCACTAGCTAGCTGTTCGATTCTCTTCTGAAGAGAAGGATGCAAAATAACATCACCAAAACCTTTTCCGTTTTGGGATGCAGCTTCCTTAGCACCACCGCGCAACGTGGACAAGGCACGAGAAAACGAACCAGACCAAGGGTACTTTCCTCTAGATGATTCTCTAATTAGAGAAGGCTGTCCTAATATTCTATCCACGTAGCTCCAGATAACTTTTGCACCTTCTCTGCAACAAGCAATTTATAACCTTAACTAAGTTCCTCAATCTTCAACTACAATAACTCATGACTGGCATTTAATTTTCTCAACCATTTCTAGTCTTTACCTCGTTGTGTAGATCCCAGCTGCAAGAGCAGTAAGACCTCCAACAGCAACAACCAGCTTATTTTGATCCGTTAGAATCATACGCAAGCCCCCTAAGAGAAAGGAAAACAGGAAAGAGAATCAATCACCTATTGAAAAGGTAAATTATACTGTTTGTAACTAATGTCGAACCTCCAATGTGATCGAATGTAGTGTTTATGGCTGAAACCCATTTCTCTCTTTCTGCATTTGCACGATCGACAAGCATTCTCCTGTTGACATCTTCAGAGAGCTTCGATTCACGGGCTCTCCCTTCAGCTTCAGCCATAGCTTTCACCCTGATAGTCTCACGTTCAATCTCAGCTTTCTCCCTCTCTGTTTGTCGTCTCTGTGCTTGAATCTCTTCTTCAGTAGCACGTCGAGCAACCTCCCGCCTGATCGCTGATTCTTCTTGCATTTTCACAAGTTCTTGATTTCTTGTCCTCTGGGACTCATTCTCAGCCTGTAACAATATATACAGCATAAGTTGTTAGAAACCATAGAAGTTCTCAATGCTATAAAAAAATGCAAAAAGTATTTGTAGAATCGCATGCCTGCATCCTTTTTCTTGCTAACTCATCTTCATAGCGGGCCATTTGTGATTTCGTTTGTGCTTGGTGCTGCGCAAGTTTCTTCTGTTCATCATATATTACCCTTTGCCTCTCCTGTTAGATTGAAAAATGTCAGGCACATAACTTGCATACACACATACTCAGACACCATGTAATCAAAATATACTGATGATAAACTTAAGAGTAAGTTGGTCTCACAGTTTCAGCTTGGGATTGCATAGCTTTAAACTCTTGCGCCTTAGCAGTAAACTCAGCTTGCCTCGTCTCTTCTTGCGTCTTAATACTTTCAAATACCTACCACAAACCATACATGCACCAATTGTGAGGCAATCCATAGAGAAACAAAGAGAACTTTTGAGCTCAAACCTATCTTCCATTAGCTTCATCATACAGATTATAACTGCCTAGACAGAATTCATTTCTCAGCCTTGGACTTTCGTAAACGAAGAATCCGTATATACAACTTGAGAATCTCTTATCAGATCTATGTGTAGCCTCTACAATTTACAGAATTCGGTTATCTCGGAGAAAATGAAACAAGCATTAGAATATCAAATTTCTTTGGTAAACCTTTTTCGCATGAGCGGAGTTGTTTATGCCCTTCAAGGCCTTAGCTCCTCGCTCCAACGCCTCAGGATCAAACCCAGCGGAAGTCGTTCTCGGATTATCGTTCCGAATCCGTGGAGGAGCATCAGATTCTTTGCCAGCTGCTGCCGGATCTTTCTGAGATCCCGGCGCCGGCGGAGGAGCACCTTGCTGCTGAGGACTCGAAGCTGCCGGAGAAGTGGAGAAGCCGGAGAAGGTGAAAGGACCATCCGCGGCAGCGAAATTCCCCTTCGAGAGTGAAGCGGAAGCTGCTAGAGCTGAGATCAAGCTAATCGCACACTTCTGAGCCATAATTACCCCGGGAATCTCCAAGGGATTAAGAAATGAAGGAAGATTCAGAGCAGGGTACTTCCTGATTCAAGGGGATTAAAAAAAAAAAAAAATGGTGTGAAAGAAGATTTAAGAGGAAGAGATTGGCTTGATGAACAAGAAATTCCAAGCAGAAATATCTATTGCCATAGAAATGGAGGCCGAGAAAGTTGCCAGGGTTTTGGTAGGGTTTCTCTGCGGAAATCGGAAAGAAAATAAGATTTTAGATCTCGGGTTGGTTTTTACCCGACTCGGATATTTGATTCGAAAACCCGACTCCTTTGGGTCCATTTGTATCATCAACAATTTGATCGGCATACATTTTCTAGTACATTTTATGTGATTAATGTAGCCAACAGAAGTAATAAAGAACATTTAAATCAAGAGATATATTATGAAATTTGTAAATAATTATATTTTGAAGGAAATGTTAGAAAATGAAAACTCATAATTGAATAGATTGTTTCAATATGTAAAGTTGGTATTTTTGAGTTACATATACAAACTATAACTCGAGAGTAGTAGTATTACACAATACTAGGTGTTATCCGCGCCGTAAGTCGCCCGGAGCGCGGACTTAAAGTTTACATGCCGATCACACTTAATAATAGTCCGAGTATATAAACAACGATAAATGCAATCATTTCCCCTCCAAGCAGCTTAGTAGAATCTGATTTTGGCAGGTTAATTGGGCTGCTTGAGGGAGAAGGAACGGTATGAGTATGGTCAGGACGAGAACTATTGTGATCATCACTGTAATCACCATTGTAATGGCTATCATCGTCACTATTGTTTCGGCTGCTAGGGCAAGAAATAATGGGGACAGTGTGATTATGTTGAGAGGAATCATCGTCGACGCTACTTGGAGATCGAAGTATACCGTCGATTCCATGACATTTGATAGAGCCTAAGTTACAAATGTTGCGGCTTATGATCTTGACGTTGTTGAGGTAGTAGTCTGATCTTCCACCGTTGGAGATCTTGAGGTTGTAATGTGGCAAAGAGGAAGGAACAATGGAACCGTTGGGGATGAGACTGAGCTGCTCGAAAAGAAGAGGAGAAGGGATCGAATGGCGAAGCAAGAACTCGGTAACCGAATCTTGTTGAACAATGTGTGATCTTGAAAGGATTTTGTCTTTTGGCATCAAGAATGTGATATTGACTAAAAGTTTAGGGTTTACGGGTTGTAACATGTTGATGAGCATCACGAAAGAGAAGTAGTTCGCTTTTTCCATTTCTTCGATGGCAATAGAGAGTCCATGGTGGTTTCGGACATGAGGACTTCTTTGGGCTCTAGTTGATGATGTTGCAATGGTGACTAACACTAAGAAGATTATCACATGAGTTTGAATAAGTCTCATTTTGTATCTCTCTTGTTCCCTTTTGGGGGTTTTATCTGGGAGATTGGATTTTGATGGGATACTAAGGTATATAATCTCAGAGTTTATGTGATGAATTATGGTTAAATGATAGATAAAGTTTAGCTTTGGACATGCGTGTGTTGTTTTCCACCAAATTGCGTGATCATGGTATCCGCATGGTGTGCGAGTTTGTAGAGAGTTTGTTCCAGCTACAAACTATCAAAATGCCACTTTTTATGAAACGAAAAGAGTCTTTGTTTGTTAACAAAAAACCTTGACACTTGTGTTAAAATACATAATCTTTACTATACATCGCCAGTACAAGGGCAAAGGATTTCAGTTTAGAATAATTTGATAAACAAAAAATAGTCTCGTTACAAAAAATAAAACAAGTGTAATGAACAAAAAACACCCATCTCATAAATGACCCGATCTCTGTCTGAAACATGACACATACATCATCATCAGACAGAAGAAGCAAAAAAAATCTAATAAAGGAATGTAATTTTTTAATACATTAATAGACAACTGAGTTTATTTTTGGTTTTGTATAGTGAACAACTCAACGAAACCAACCCTATCATGGAAAACTGAAAGATCCTCCGATATCAGTAGTACCAGCCGGTGGACTAATGGCGACCCAAAGAAGAGAAATGGTGATGGCAACAAGACCAGACCAAACATACACAATCGTCGGTGTTCTTCCTCTTCTTCCCATCAACCCTTTAGCGAAAGGATAAAGATGAGCCAAAACCCAGAAACTGAAGAACACTCCTCCTATCAACTTACTCCACTCCGGAATCACACTGTAAATCGTCCTGCTGAATCCAACCGCAATCGCGATCAGGTTCACCATCATGATCGTTATCGGAGGGATCATGAGCGACGTCCACTTCACCGCGTACAAATCCGCAAACTCGTCGTCCACGTCATCTCCTCCTGATTTCGTCGTGAGCGTGAACGAGATCTCCACTCCGGCCACGACTTTGAGCAGACCTTGAAGAACAGCCGCGAGATGAGCGCTGGTTCCTCCGATGAGCCAAAACTGCTCGTTTCTCCACCACTCCTCCAGCGAGATCCCCGACCATTTGATCTCCAGCAGCGCGAGCAAGCAGAGCGTGATGGAGATGATGAGAAGGTAGACGAGGAAAGTGACGTTGAGCGTCTGGACGATGAACTGGCCGGAGAAGAGAGACAGCGCGGGGAGAAAACAGTAGACGATGAGGAAGATCGACGTGAACGGGTAGATTCCGACGTTTAAGTACGCGATCCTCTGGAGGATCTTCATCTTCGGGGACGCGAGAAGCGCGTTGTTGCGGGAGAAGAAGATCTCGACGGAGCCAGTAGCCCAGCGGAGAACCTGGTGAAGCCTATCCGTCAAATTAATCGGAGCTGTACCTCGAAAAGCGTCACGCTTCGTCACGCAGTAAACCGACTTCCACCCCCGGTTATGCATTCGATAACCGGTCACAACGTCCTCCGTAACCGACCCGTAAATCCAACCGATTCGCGACCCCCACTCTGTTTTATCCTCGTACCAGCAAGAGATCACCGCAATAGCTTCCGCTACGGTCGTCGCGTCGAGAAGCTCTCGAGGGATGGTGAGCGCTCCGGGAGGACGGCCGTTTTTAATCGACGGGTGGTCCGCGAGAGGCCGGCCTTGGAACTCGGCGACGGGGATCGACTCGATGAGGAACGTCGAGTTACCGAACTTCTTCGGGATCAGAGAGAGAGACATCTCCTCGTCAATGTAATCACCCATCTGCAGAGCTCTGTTTTCCTCAGCGACATGATTCTTCTTCTTGCGAGGGAAGCAGCAGCTACAGCAGCCAGAGGAATGCTCTTTAACCCGAGGCGGGTCGAAACCGTAAAGCGCGATTCTCCGGAAGAGACAACCGGTTCCGACGTAAACCGGACCCATAAGCCCGTCGAGAGCTCTCATGTTGACGTCGAAGAAGACTGTGTTGTGATTAGCGTATCGATCCGACGGGTCAATACCTTCGAACCGCTGCGGGAACTGAACGTAGCAGAGCCGGTCGCCTCCACGGTCCATCATGAAGCACATACCTTCCCTCATCGCCTCTGAGTTGTATATGTAATGATCACAGTCGAGATTTAGTATGAACGGTCCATTCGACATAATCGCTGAAGCTCTCACTAAGGCATTCATGGCTCCGGCCTTCTTGTTATGGTCATAACCAGGCCGCTTCTCACGAGATACGTAAACAAGAAGTGGTAGTCGAATATCCACGTCGGATAGATCGAGAAACCCTTCGGATCCTCCGTGTAATGGCTCATCACTCGGTGGCTTCAACATCACCTGCATGGATCAAATAACACACACGTGTAAACAAAATGACATTTTCCAAACAAAGTAGAAATAGACTTTACTTTATATATATACCTGAATGATACCGGCGTGGTCACCTTTAGAATGGTCACTACCGGAGGTTAACCAAGTGCCAGGCCAGTGAGTGCCATCAGCCATCCATGTAGCTTTTGGGATCTTGACCGGCTCCAAAGGCTCATCGTCTCTGTTCTGCCTCTGCATCTTCATGGCTTTGATCTCTTCTCTAGCGTGGTAAGCATCGGACCGTCTCCTGATTGAGTCAGGCAAGCTGTTGATCCTGACTTTAAACTCATCGTACTCACGCTTAACCCGTCTCCGGTCCTTGACGAAATCGGACTTGACTTTGTTCTTGTAAGGATCTCTCTTCAAGCTGAAGTAGGAGTCCGGATTCCTCGGCTCCACCACGTGTTTCCGACAGAACGGAACCCAAATGTTTGCGAAACTCGCGGCTTCAGCCATGGCTTCGAACGTAAGAAGCGCACCTCCATCGTCAGACACGTAGCAAGAAAGCTTCTCAACCGGATATTCCGCAGCAAGAATCGATAAAATGGTGTTAGCAGTGACCAGAGGAGGCTCTTTCTCCGGATCCGCGGTGGAGACGAAGATATCGAGTCCAGGAAGGTCGGATTTCCCTGTCGGGTTGCTCGGCGACGGCGTCTCGAACTTCTCCTTCAGGACTTGGAGATCGGTCGCACGGTTAATCGGACACAGCTTAGGAAGCTGATCAAGAAGCCATGAGAAGGCAAACCAAAGCTCACAAACCACAGACATTCCCCATAACCATATCGCATCTTGGTTTTGATGCTGAATCCTCCACGTTAAGAACAATGCAAGAACAACTACACGAATAAGAATCAATAGCCTACATAAAAAAAAAACAAATCTTAGAGAATTGTATTTAGTAAAAGCTAAACAATAAAACAAAAACATTTTTTTTCTCCTAACCTGTATGGACTAAGAATAGCAGCAGGGATTTTGAGCTTCCTAGTAAGTGGTCTCCAAGGCTTGCTCATCAAATCTTGCGTCTCCATACCATCTCCATCTCCATCCTTACCACTCCCGAAGTTCCCGTCTTTCGTCCAGAAAGCATTCCCGTAACCATAAGTCCCACTCGTCTCAAACAACCACCTATTATGATCAAAATCCCCTGTCTGACTCCTCATCAGAGCCGACTTATTACTAGACTTCATCAACGACAACCTCCTCTCCATCTTCGACCCGCCAGGCCCGGGAAGCCTCTGCTGACCGTTGTTATCATCATCAGCCTGATCAGCCAAGTCCGTGTTCTTGTACGGTTCTTTACACCCGGGGCAAATCCCGCCGCTGCTCTTCACCGCGTCCACGAAGCAGTCCCTACAGATTTTGAAGTCACACTCACAGGGGAGAAGATCTTGACCTCTCTCGTCGCTCATCACCTTAGCGTCGCAGCCAGGGATCGCGCAGGAGGATCCTTTCATACCAGCCATCTGCGGATGGTTAGTCTCCGTCTCGATCACTTTGTCCATTAAGTGAGCCCTCGTGGCGCTGTTGAACCCGCCGGTGAACATCGAGTTGGAGACGTACTGCTCTTCGACTTTCTGAGAGATGGAAGGGTCCATTGGAGAAGGCTCCATCGGCTGGTTGTCTGGAGTCGGAGGGATGTGGACAGAGTAGTTCATGAAATCGGCGCTGCTTAGCTCGCTGTCGAGATCGTCTCTTGAGTAACTGACGTAGCGACCGGAGGAAGTTCTTCGAGCAAATGTGACTTGTGGAGGAACAGGTTGTGATGGTCTCCCTGGCTCGGGGACATCGGAGTTGTTTGATAGATTTGATCTACTTTGACTGAAACGTTTGTTAGATGCCATGATCTAACTTGGCAAGATCCCTGAAGAAACAGATGCAGCAAAGGTTGGTAAAGAGGGAAACAGAGACATGTACAAAGAAACAGATCAATTCATGGATCTAAAGGCATCAAACTCATCATAATCTGTACAAATGAAAAAATGTAAAAGGTAACAATCATTCTTTTCAGAAATTTTTCAAATCCGAATACTAAACTAGAGCAGAAAAAGGTATCACCTGTAAAGTTAAAGGGAACAAGAGCTTATTAGATTCAAACTTTCAAAACCCCACACATATTTGTCTCTGAAATTCGAAACCAGAAGTGAAAAGAGAGAAAGAAGATGAGATTTTGACATTCAGATAAAAAAAAGAGAGACGATCCCACCACGACCTTATAAGAAAACAATAAAACAACATTAAAACCCACGATTGAATACAGTACCTTAAGAGTGCGTGACAAAAGAGAAGAGAGAAGAAGAAACCCAGATCTTCGGGTTATAGTAATCGACAAAAGATAAGACTTTCGGCTTTTAACAAATCTGTCTGAAGGATTCAACGCGGTCGGGTCGTGGCACCCAAGTGGAGATGATGCATTTGAGAAATTGAGAAGAGATGATAGTGAAAGGAAGAGAGAGACAAGAAGAAGAAGAGGAAGAGGAGAAAAAAAAGGACTTAGTCGTGAGCAAATACTTAAGCACTCCTGCTGCTAACTAATACACGTTATGAAGGCGACGATTAGCCCCAAGATTTTTATATTCAAAGATCTTAAAATGATAAATTAATAAAGAAAAAAGAATTGCCAAACTTTGAAGAATGGAAGACGAGAAATCGAGACGGAAGATCTCTGATCGACTTCGATTTGAGCTTAAGTAGAAAAAAAAATTCAGACGCGGCGACAGCGAAGACGAAGGTGGAACGCCGCCGGGAAACAAGTGGACGGAGCAGACTCCTTTTTCTGTTTTTTTTTCTAACGTATTGGCGTTTTTTATTTTTATTACCGGAGGGCTGAGGTTTTTCGGACAAGGTAGAACTAGAAAGTAAGAAGAGAAGACTTTTAACTCTTTCCGACCTTTAATATATGTGGGATTTAACCTTTTTTATTTAACGCGTCTGACGTGTTTCTTTATTTTCCATTATTTCTTTTTATGTTATCGGTCAATTTCCATTATTTATTTCTGTATTGAATAGTGATACGAAAAATTTACTTACCATAAATTCTCTATTATCTTAGATCTCAGTTCAGTGATTGACAAATGTACTAAGCAAGAAAAAGAAAGGCTAAATTTTGATAATAAGTAATTATATTTCAGTTTTTATGAAGATATTTTATTTCGCAAGTTCAAAATCTGATGGCTTTAAATTATGCTGGATTACTAAGTTCTCTCATAATGGATGGATTGTGGATTCATGTTGCTTTTTCCTGCATAAACATGCATGTTGTATTAGAATGTTAGTTTCTAAAGAAAAGTGGGAAAATCATATTTGTGCGGATATAATATTTTTTCTTTTCTATTTTTGGTAAGTGGATACACAATTTATACCAAAGAAACCTCAGAAAACATATTAATTTTGTGACAAAAAGTAAAAGTAACATGAATCACTTTTGAAATTCGCCGAATACGATATGAGAGGGAGGCGTTACTTTCGGGACTCAAAAACGTGTAAGCACACTGAACGAGACGGGAAGGGTGTTTTGGTAAATCACCAGAAGGAGAGGGAAATACGCGGTCGTCAGAGTAATATGATATCTTTCTTCCTTGGGTAGAGTAGATTCAGTATTTGGATTCTTGATATTGACGTGTGGTCTAAAATGTCAATACTAACACCCAATAATTCTGCATTTAGTAATTAATCAAAAACACAAAACATACACGTAATGTCTATACGTACAGACACCTATCAGACCCACATGTTATATAGAGTATATTTTCAAATACAAGAAGCAAAACAAGACTCCCTTTGGTCACAGATCAGATCATTACGTAAGTTTGAGGTTACCCCTTAATGTCGTAAGGTAGGAGTAGGACATAAACCGTTTAGATTCATAACAATTTCCATGTAGCTAAAGTTGCTGGGTTGCGAAGATGAATATGAATATGAGCGAGCCAGCATAACTAGTGCTTTTGATATTGGCAATATATTACGGTAATGTAAGTTTTGGTAATTACATACCATTCTCCATGCAAGTCCTCTGGACCTAGTGTTGGTCAAAAATGTCAAATACTTCATATTTAAGGGAGTACTTAACACCCAATCGTTTGAGTAATTTAACAAAACAGAAATACACACGTAATCATGAATTTGTTTATAAGAAAATTCATGTGAATAATGAAATGTCATAAGCAAGACGAACCAATAATATAGCACAAACCATTTCAGACCATATTTTTCTTCAAATCACTCAAGGCGGATCAGATCTGAGAACATTTGATCGAGTGAAAAGAGATCAAGATCTAACATTCCGCAACGACTTGACTGTGTTATGTGATGTCTGCAAGACACAACTCAATAATCACTTTGGAAACAGATCAGATCACTACCGTGCGTTTAGAGTCATTCCCGAACCAAAACTCGTGTCTTGGTCCAAAGAACTCTTGGACTCCATGACTTGGCTTAATCCTGCCCTCAAGCTTTCAGACTTCATGCACTCTTTAAGCTCCTGAACGACATGTGACATGTCTGGTCTTGAGACCGGAGAAGGATTCACACACGACATCGCGAGTTCAAGAGCTTTCAACACAGAACCAGAATCATATTCATCAATGAGGCCGGGATCCACGATTGCTCTAATGTCGCCACTTGTAAGCATAGTTCTTACACGTTCTGCGATATGAGGATTTTCATTAGCTTTCTCAATCACTGGTTGATTTGTGATGATCTCTAATAACACGATCCCAAAGCTATAAACATCACTCTTTTCGGTCAAGTGATATGTTTTGTAATAACTGCAAAAGCAAAGATTCAAATAAAATCACGTTTCTTATAACCACTAGGAAATTAGATTTGAAATCTATACTAATGCTTACTCAGGATCTAAGTATCCAAGAGTGCCTACAACACCCGTCGACACATGAGTTTCATCTCCAACAGAAAAAGATCTAGAAAGACCAAAATCCGCTAGTTTAGCTTGAAAGTGCTCATCCAAGAGTATATTCATGCTTTTAACATCTCTGTGAACCATTAGTGGTTTACATCCACTATGCAGGTACTCCAATCCTACAACATTTTCAATTATGTTTAACCCATCATCATAGTTTGACAGGATCGGATTTTAAAAGGAATTATAACTAGTCAAAGTCAAATAGTTTGCAAGGTTATCAGTAATGAAAACGGATTAGTGACGGAATGTAGGAATTAGCACAAACCTAGGGCGGTCTCGACAGCTATCCTTAGTCTGTTTGCCCAGTTTAAAACACAGTCCCCATATTTCCCTGTATTAACCAGGAGATAGTTATTATAATAAAGAGACGACATGTGATATGATTACCTGTAAAACCACCAGAACCAAACAGTTCATGTCTACCTGAGAGATGCGCTTTTAAGTCTCCGTTAGGCATGTATTCGTAGATGAGGGCCAAGTGTGCTTGCTCATCACAATATCCAACAAGGCTTACCAAATTGATGTGGTGAACTCTAAGAAGGAGCTCAACCTATCCACCATATAAAAAGCATTCGCATCGATGATCAATTGAATTTGAAAGATAAATTTTACCTTTTGGCCGTCGATTACTGTGTTGAAAACTGTGTCGTCATTACCTCTGCTTTGAATTGCTTATAGCCTTGAGATGATGTCGGAGAGAGGACTTTAACAGCCACTTGCTCGGTATCATTCAAATAACCATGATAGACAACCCCAAACCCTCCTTCACCAATAACTCTTTCAAAGTTATTTGTCATCACCAGTATCTCTGAATACGTGATCCTTCTCTTTTTAATTTCCAGCGATATATTATTGGCTGGTGGCGAATGTTGAGCTACAAAACAAAAATCAAGAAACATACATAGCTAATTATTTTCCTTTCGATTTTATTATTATTGTAAAATTGTGAGTCATGTTTTTCTTTAATTAACACAACTACCTCTTATACTTGACTGTCTTTTCTTTCTGAAAACAATAGTGAGAACCAAAACAACTATAATAATGGCTACTGCAGTAGCAACAAGTACAATGATTTTGGTTGTTTTAGTTCCACGTCCACCTGAAATTTTGCATGGACCTGAGGCACAAAGCTTTGGGTTTCCTTCATAACTACAGAGAAAAGAAAAGTCATCATCCATGGACACTACTAATCGTTGAAAGAATATTACGTCTGAAGACCTTACTCTAACGTCAGCTTTTCTATCTCAAGAAAGGCTCTAGGAATGGAACCCTCAAGATTGTTATTGCTTAAGTTTCTGTTAAGGAAATGAAGGTGTTATCACATGCAAATGCGAATAATTCGCAGAAAACAAAAAAATATGTGTTCTACGTCTATCCGGAGCTTACATAAATAACAATGACTTCATGTTGGCCAAAAATTCGGGCACACCTCCGGTCAAATTGTTATTTGACAAGTCCCTAGCACAAAAAATAACCCCATTAATTGTCTCTACACTCTAGTACTGAAATTTCCTTCATCTATCGAAATGTGCCTAATCATAGTCATAAATGTGTCGAGGACGCAGAGGCAATGCAGACCTGAAGGATTATATATATATATATGAACTTTTTAGACATCAAAAGAAGTTCGCAATTGATGATTCAAATTGTCATTTATTGTAAATAAAAGAGAAACCATACTAAACTCAAAAAAATCAAATGATGCTCAAACGGCACAGTTAAAAGAGGCAATCCTTACAGTTTTTGTAGCTCAGTCAGATTTTGTATATACGGCACTATTTTTCCAGCTAATCCATGTGAGGACAAGTTTCTGGTTGCATATATGATCAAGAACACATTATAAACAGTAAGAACTTCATAAAGGTACATAAGTTATGACTACAATATCACATCTGTACGTACTTACAAGGAAATGATTCTCAGTGAAGTAGACATGTTCATGTCGCTGCAGTTTAGCCCACCCCACAGAAACTGTTGGGGAATACACGGATCTCCTTGCCAGTCAATTCTGCGCAATCCATAGGTAGCTTGGATAATCTTGATAGAAACGACTGTCATACAGGTAAGGATGTACCATACATTAATTTACTTCACATTAACTTGCTTACAGAAAATTACTATGATCAAGCTCTACAGCGGTTTGGTGGGGTTAATGGAGTAGTATTACTCCATATAATAGTGTTAGGTACTTATCCCAAAATTTTAATAAAAGTAGTCGAGATATATACCATCATCTGGATTTGTTTCTGAGTGTGGAAACTTGATTGCTGTGTAAGCCTCTATGGCATTAAGCAGAGGTACACGTTCTGCAGACCCTGGGCTTTTGACCAGCTGCAAACTGCACTTACCGCCATTGCATTTGTTCACCACGGTATCTACAGTACTTACAGCCAAGTCTATAGGAAGAATAGAATCAGAGGTAACGTTGCCATTTACCACAATTGAAATCTTTCTTCTAAGTAGTAACCTCGTAGTTTCTACAAAATCCAAGTTGCTACTGTTAATCTCAAGAGGTTCGAGCTCGGCGAAATGAAAATAAAGGTGAACTTGCTCATCAGGGTTATCCAAAGTCCAGTTAATGGTCAATTTCGTTCCATTGTCTCTAGGTGTGGCAGCTGATTTTAATGCTGCTTTTGGTGGCTCGTAGTTGTTAGAATTATTCACATCCAAACTAGTGGTTATCTGTCTCCATTCCGGCAAGAAGAAAGGAGACCAAATACGATCAAAGACATCATCAGGATACCTGCAGACAACAGAAAACACATCTATATGGATTGATAAACCATGTATCACTAATCTCACCACTGCACAAACACTGCTATATGAAAGACAACAATATGATCATGAACAATAATTTTCCAATAAGTGTATTAGACAAAGTTCATTGATTCGCGCTTTCATAGGAAAGTTCCTGATATTGGTCAGTACAACAGATGCACACATATTAACAGACAGGCTTAAAATTTGATTTATGTTGAACTTTTCTTTTATTGTCCGTATAGTTTAGGGAACTTACCGTATTGAACGATCTGACTGTCTATAGTACCTCCGAAATAAGTGCTTCAAGGAAACGTCTTGGACAACGTAAGTATCGCTTCTCAATAGCCTCAGCTCCAGAGCAGATATGAATGGCAACGAATTACCTGTCTTGACAAGACAGATCTGCAGAGAGTTTGACCTCGGTATGTGAATAATCTCTTCAATAGTGCCATTGACTTTTCCTTCCAAGTCAACTCTTCCCCACTTATTAGGGCCTAGATATAGATCAAAGCTCGGATAATCATTGAAACCGTCGTAATTTCCATACACAAACACAGCTCTGATCAGGTAATTTACGTTCTGAAGGACGGGTAGAGTATAGCAATTCCGAACACCATCTGGAAAGAATCTCAGAAACAAGTACGGCTTTATGTGTACTGTGTCCAGTGTCTTCTGGATTCTTCCGCTTTTTCCACTCTGGATGTTATCCGCATCCGATGAGAATACTAACCCAGTTACCGGTTCAATATAAGGAGACGACTCATTAGTTGGCAACCCACAATCCAGACTGATGAATCCTGGTAAGAGGCAAAATGATGATTGATTATCAAAGCATTCCACGCAGGTATGCTTTTTGGTTCATCAGAAAACAGACAAAATATGAATATTGTGCAACAATGCAATGACATGTTGTTACCTTGTTGAGCCTGAACATAATGTATAATGGAAAATATGAAAAACAGACAATTACGACCCTCCATTTTTCTGCTACCAATCAAGAAAATCAAACTACACAAGAAGATATATGAACCAACTCCTCTGACTGAGATTAATAGAAAGCAGTTTTGTATGGTCAAACAATTGAAAATGTCACCAACCCAAGAAGATATATGAACCAAAATAAACAAAGAAGTAAAAGTGTCTCAAATATTTTCTAGTTCAACTTGGAGCACTTAAATATTACAAGACAATTCTACATGTCGTGCATATCACCTGTTAAAACTTTAAAATGTTGCGAGGAAATAAAACAGCAGTAGACACTGTGAGAACTTGAAAATGTCAAAGAGAGGACATACCCAATCTTATAAACCATTTAGATTCATAACATTTCCACATTGCTAAAGTTGAATATGAGCTTACATTATATAAAACTGTAAGCAATCGTTCAGTTGTAGGGGATAAGAATTTCAACAGCCTTGAACCCACATATCCAGGGGACTTCAAGACTGAAAATGTAAAGTAGAGTGATGGGTCTTAAGACAATAGAGGACTCAAAGAATTGGAGGCTGTAGAGTTAGGTCTCCAGCAATCGCATCTGCAAATACTCCTAGATCCTTTCACAACCCGTTGTGACCTCCTCGTGTGAAGCTTGATGTTAACCAGCTTTCCCGCCATCTGTCATTGCAACAAGAACATTAAGCTTTTTCTCAGTCTTGGATTTTGACATTCAAGTAAGTTCTACACCAATTCTACTAAATTAGAGGGGATTATACAACACACAAAGCGTGATTTTTACTTTTTACCTACCATATTATCAATGCTGTAAATGTATAACTAGTGCTTTTGAGACTGATAATATATTACGGTAGGTAAGTTTTGGTAGGTAGTACATACCATTCTCCATGTCAAGTCCTCTGGACCTAATGGCTGTGCAGGGCTGGAATATAAGAAATGTCTCGAGTACTGGAAATAATGAAAATCAGCAAACTAGTTAAGAACATATAAAGATCCACCATGAGAGTGGGGAAGTTATGTCTCTTTCGTGTAAGGTAAATTTAGGTTCATGTCCTTTCGAAAAACCGGAGCTTTGTGAAGATAAGAAAAAGTAATACTTACTTGAGCAAGGCTATTCTGAAATTCCTTGACACGGGACGGTGTAAGGCTTCTCAGATGATTTACAAGCCACCCTGGCTGCATTGCATCACTGGAAGAAACAATCACAGCTACCTGAGAGGAAACAAGAAATGAAGGCAAAGAAGATAAGTTATACATACATTCAGTGGTGAAAAATTAAGAGCACCAATGTAATAGGTCTTCTGACATACTTTCTTGTAATCGATTATTCCTTCAAAGGGAAGTTCCAACTCGTCGCTGACTATAACAGGTATACAGCCACTGACAATGGCATCAAACAATCTCGCCGAGGATGGTGTGTCACCAGCAGGACACAAACAGAATAAAGATCTGATAAGAAGGCAGACACAGTTAGAATAATAAATTACTGTATCGCAACCAAATGGTTAGGAAGCAACCTAGATCTTACCTACGCATGCCGCTCTGAGCTGCTAGTTTCCCTCCCTCTCCGGCAGTCCCCTCAGTAATTATTACATCCTTAACACCGCTTAGTTCTGCACCAAGTTTGGCACGTATTTTTCCTCCCTACAACAACAATTCAGCAGCCAAATCATAAGAGACGGAATTTATAAGACAAGGGAGACGAGTGAGTATAATGAAGGCCGGTGGCATGCTTCTTACAGCATTTCTCTTAAGCCGCCCTCGGAAAAATAGAAGTGTGGTCCTCATAGGTGCACTTTCTGACAAACATTTGGCATCACATCTATCAACATTGGGAACATAAGGAAGAATTAAGTCCTTCTCCAGTGAAACTTGCCCAGGCTTATACCTACAAGGTCAAGTTTGAACAGAATTAACAAAGTATAGGTAAAGGAGTAGACTAAATGACTCAGAATCATTTAAAAAAGGAAATCGAGAGTCACCAGTTGCCAGTGGAATCCATATCTGGCAATAGCCAGATTGCGTTTTTCACAAATTTGCGGACGGTCTTGAAAGACCAGGGATGGTGAATAGGAAATATGTGATCCCTTCCCTCAGATCTTTTCCAAGCAGGCTGATCAGTGACCCACTTCAAAGCTTCCTACAGTCACAAAAGAGTTCAATGATTTTCAAAATAAAGCACATGAAGATGAAAGCTACAAAAAGAACTATCTAAATTGGAATGCATAATCGAAGCTCACTCACACCCTATAGAGGGCTTTGCATTGCTGCTTCTCCAACAAGAAAAAGCTGATTGTAGTGAAAAACGGAACATAGAAAAAGTCGGCATCCTGCTGTTGATGGACCCTCACTACACTTTTCAAACGCCTTTCAGATTCTGGAGACATCAAATCAGCCCAGAGCCAGTAATCTATAGAATGCTGCAATAAAGAAAATTAGCCAAGTTATTGGGGCTACAAGTGAAGGAGAAACAGTTGAACAAAACCACAAAGCCTGATCAACTGTCGCACTTAAGAGAAATCAATCAAGTAGCTCTAAAAGGAAACTAAAGGCACTGATGGCTCCAATTGAAGTGATGAATACTCTCTCGTGCTTGTTTCAAAGTTCTTCTACATTAAGAATTTCGACTGCTCATAACTCCATCAAAGTCCCAGACTTCAAAGATACTAGAGAAAATAGACAGTCAACTAGTAGCAATCTACAGTACCTGCTCGATAAGGCGATGCACAGGGCTACCGTTAGAGGTGGCATTCGAAGTCTCTTTGTAAGTATTGTGAAATAACCAGAGAAGATCCAAAGTAAACTTCTTCGGCATCTCGTACACGTAAACCTTGATCGGAAACCCGACTGGATATCCCGGATCTTCGTTTAACCACCGATTCTCCCTTTCAAACACCATCTCATCGAGCTTCCTCACATCATCATCACTCTCGCCACGCACCGTGTCGTCTCTAACCGGTAACGAGAGCTTCGGCGCCTTATGGATCAAAAATTGCTCCAGCGAGGTAACGAAAGACGTCTCCGGACGGTCGGACGGATCCAGATAGGTAACGGAGGGCCTGGCGGAGGAAGAGATGGTGTACAGAATAACGAGTAGCGAGAAGGAGAAGAAGACAAGCGTGAGGATTAGGATTTTGGATCTCGATCTGGGTCTGGTGGAAGTATGATGATGATTCTGCTGTTTTCCGAACATTGCGAGATCTGATTCTTCGATCAGAATTCGTTTACAAAATTTCTGTCACTCGTCGAATATAGAAGATGACTGAAGTGGGGAAATTGACGACGATACGCTTCTCTTATCGCGATTGCGGTTAAAACGCTAACTTGAAATCAAATCCTACGGTAGTTGCGTTTCTCTGCGGTTAGGTTTGCTAAGGAGCAAAATTGTTGAGAAAGTGAGTAAATGTAACACACAATTGAGAAGATAAAATTCAAATCTTTTGTGCCAATAACAAATCTCCATCTTTATAAACCCATCACATAAGTCAAAGGAGATCCGCAAACACAGATTAATTACATTGAAACTGTTCAATCATATTACCAGTTAAAACACCACATCTTATAAAAGAGTTTCCTTTCACCGGAAAACAAGTCTCAGAATCGAATGAGATCGTCGGTTTTAGATGAAGACTGCTGCTTTTTCGGGTCACGTCCAGCATCAGTTGAAGAATCACCGTCACCGCCGCTTTTCTTACCGAATATCATCTCATCTAGATCATCCATCAAGTCGTCGCCACTACCACCACCTCCATGGAATCCAGCTCGAGCACCAGAAGATTTCCTGACCAGAGATCCTTCTTTTCCATGAACCGGAGAGTCATCGGGCTCCTCAGCGACAGGAATCATGGCTGGCTCAGGTGCAGGTAGCGGTGCAGAGGGTTGGTTCATCTCCTCAAACTTAGACAGCGTTTTCACAAGCTCGTCGTTCACATTCAAGGCTTCGAATAGAAGGGCTTCGTTTTCACCTGCTGTTTCAATGATTCTTTGCACAGTGGTTTGAGATTGACGACATTGTTGTACAAGTGTCGTTGTTAAGTCATCCTGCAAATCAGAGAGATTAAACAACTTGGCCAATAAGCAACAAGATTAAACATATGGTCTATGATGCATCATAATAATTCCGAGTTGTAACATTTACCTGTAAAGCGTCATGCTCAGGCGAAGAGGAGAGAACTGTGGAAAGAAGTTCAATGCTGTTTCTTGCTATATCGAAAGCTTCCTTTGTCTGCTCAGCGGTAAAGCTTCTAAAAGGAGCATCGTACTGAACATTAGCAGGCTCATGCGCATGCTGAGGAAGATCAGCACTCACTTCTGGCGCTGGAGCTGACCGCGCAGGTGTGAAAATAGGTGCCAAGCTCTCGTTGTCTCGTCCAGGGAAACGAATACCTCTCGCTTTCAAGCTCTATGACACATGAGCAAAAGTTGTATAAGACAAAAACATTAGGATTTGATCACAATTCAGCAGAATAGCATTAGTGAGAAACCAAGTCATTGTTACCTTATAAGTTTCCTCGAAAACTGGTAGGTAACGGAGCTCACTGGTTGATTCTCCCCAAGCTTCTATCAATATCAAAGCTTTGTTTCGATTATTCACAACTGTTTGCGGATCATCAATCAGCTTAACCATTTCGTCAAGAACTCTCTCTGCTGCCACCTCAGAGAACGCCTTCTCGCAGTTCTTAACACAGGTCTCAAGCAAAACCAAGGCAAGGTACTGAATCCTCGGCTGCTTCATCATGATCCTCTTCTTTATCCCACGGATCAACTCAATGCTGTTAATCGTCTCCTGATTGATCATATCGCATATCTCCAAATTCATGTCCCAGTCAGGCTCCTCGAGATTCTCAGTAGTAGCATCCTCGACTATTTTATCAGTTGGGTTTGGTCCTTGGAAAAGCTCCTTCACTTTGAAGCTCATCGAGCTCACACCAGCACTGATTTTGTTGCTCACTTCCGAGCCTCCAATCTTCAAGCGCTCACCAAATGCGGTCACTTTGTCCATCAGATTGTCACTCATCTTCGCTGATCCCTCAAACCTGCAAATTGAAAACACATCAGCCTTGGAAATGGAAATTCCCGATCCATTAAAACAAGTCAAGGAAAAATCATCAAGGAATCGACTTGGAAACTAGTTTAGCCAGAAAATTGAATAGATTTTACCGATGAATGTAATTAGGGCTTTCTGAGAGAAACCCAAATTCGATAAATCTCTTCAAGGAAATCGAAATTCGAATTGAGAAGAGAAGATTAAAACCCTCACTGATCAAGCAAAACCCGTAAGGAAAGTTCATATAATCGAAAACCCCCAAAATTTTAGAGCGATCAATAACCCAAAAATAACAGCAAGTTGATTCACTTGAATATGTACCTGTGCTACGTCAGAGGAAGATGCGAAGCTCGAATAGCGAAGCTGAGAATGGTCGATCTGGCAAAAACAAGGCGACTAGAGAGGAAAACCTGCGACGAGGTCAATGCCCGGCAAATTCTGGAGAAGAAAAAGAAATGCGTTTCTCTTTTATTGTTTGGTCGCGGGAATAACTTTATCCCCCTCTTTACGCTAACATTATTGCCAGAATCAATTTAATTTATTTTTCATAGAAAATTGGTATTTGTTTTTCTCTTGCCTCAAAAATCTTCGCACCGGGTTGAACAAAAACTTCATCTTCAAAAGCCGTTTTCTCTCTCTCGAACTGGTAAGCTTTATCGATTCTCTTCTTCGTTAGACCATTGGTTATCCGAATTGTTCCGTTTCTACTGTGGAAGCTGAAACCAGATTGCGTCGACTTGATCGCTGTTACTTAGATCAGTTTTAGATTCTCAAATTGTATTCATTTCTGTATCGTCGGTTTTTTTTTTGTAGGATATTGAGTGTTTATAGACTTTGACGATGGATTTGACGTGGTTGAGTGCGCTAATTGTTGGAGCTGCACTTGGATTCTGCATTGGCACTCGTCGTTCCAAACCTGTGGTGGCTGTTGATGGAGATAGCAAATTGATCTCAACAAAGGGTCTTCTCGAGATCGAGAAACTCGCTGATATTCTCGATGATTTCAAAATGGTAACTTTACATTTGTGGCTCTCTTTCTAATATCTCTTTACCGTAATCGAAGCACAAGATGATGTTTGAATTGAGTTTTTTTTTAATGTGGTTTGTGGCTAAGGTTTTGGTTGTGAGGAATGATCTTAAAATGGGTAAAGGAAAGATTGCAGCACAATGCAGGTGACTGATAAGTTTAAAACTAATGCTCTCTGCTTCTCTTTTAGTGCTTAATTCATCTTTATCATTTCTTGCATTTGGGTGTTCTTGGTCTGACTTTTTTTAATTTCACTTCATTTGCAGTCATGCAACTCTAGGTTTATACAAAAAGCTCGTTCGTCGGGCGCCAAAAGCATTGGACTGGTATTTCTCCAAGTCATATTCAAATCCATTTGTTACTTGAATATGGATTGAATTTGACAGTATTGGTTATTGCAGCTGGGAGGAATGTGCACAGCCAAAAGTTGTTCTGAAAATCGAGGGCGAGGACGAGATGCTAGAATTGCAAGTGAGTATTGCTAAAACAAGTTGTAAATTAGTTACTGTAAAGTTGGATTGTGTAGTAGAGATTCCACAGCTTTAGTGCTGTTGCCAAATTTGCAGGAGTTGCCAGAGTTTTAGTCTCTTGCATTGCATTTTTTTTTCTGATCTTATAAGAATTGGAGATATCATAGAGCTTGTCTTGACATTTCCCGTTTCGTAGATCCTGTATTGACTGTTCACAAAATTTGACAGGAGAGAGCTAAATCCCTTAAACTGCCTACCCATATCACCATCGATGCTGGAAGAACGCAGATCGCTCCAAGTTAGTTTTATAGTTCATGCCTCTCACAAACTTCAAATCCCTTGGTGCCTTAAGCTTTGTGTTTGCTAGTTAATTACCAAGTAGAGACCACTTTATGCGAACCTGTGAACCTAATATACTCTTATGCTCTTTTCCAGATTCAAGGACAGTTATGGCTATTCTTGGTAAGTTGCTTTTTCCTATCCAAGTTGTGTTTGAATATTAACACTCTGATGGAGAAGAGATGAGTTTGAGTGTTGCTAATCGCACTTAGAGTCTAGATAGCTAAATGTACTAGTTTATAAGTTCAAGACTTCTCTGACCGTGTGGTGCTTGTTCTTTAGCTCATAAGATTCCGTATATGAAAATGTAAGCTCAACAATTGACTCGGAGTATAGTTTTGTGTGGTATCCAAATTCATCTGCATTGTCCTATGATGGGGAGATAGAGATTCTTCTAGCAGGACTTGTTGATCAGATTATCATCAGCTTTTCTTAGGACAACATTCTAACGCTCTGAGGTGTTACTACCGCAGGACCAGTCCAAGTTGTTGATGAAGTAACAGGTGGTCTAAAGCTTCTGTAGCAGCTTCGAAATTCGATGCGACATCTCTTCAACCTGATCTCTCAGATGGAGCAAGCAGAAAGGAAAGAGACATGAACTCCACCTTCTAGCGTTGCCCGGGGAATCAAATCTGTGGTTGTAACGTTTACTCGTTCCTGATGATGACGAAATTTTCATTTTTAAGCATTTTTCCAAACTTGTCGTGGACATGTACAATTTGCCTCCAGATTGATTGACCAATGGTGATATGATACCTTTTTGTGGCACATTGAAAAAAATGGCTTGTTCTAATGCTAAGCCAGGAGATAGTGTTTGGCTTTACATAAGAGTATAACAATTGTAACAAAATATGTTGTTTTATTGAGGATAAATGGAGTGTGATTCTATATATTCGAAGAAAAAATCTACATCTAATTGGTTAAAATTATACAATCTACATGAGGTATGTAAACACATGTTCCATGTCAGGAAAACACCAATCTTCTTTTTCTGAAGAAACAACAACAATATACAGATTCAAAACAAAAATGGACCATCAATGCTCATCATACATTCAGTGAAGTCAAACACAAACAAAACAGATCGAATCTCACAGACTTGAGGAATCACACAGTGGCTGCTGATGGAGCCTTTCCCAATGTGTTCCACAATATATAATCCCCTGAAGTCACCTGTCAAACGCACATATTATGTAGTTAGCCTCTAGTAATTTCTCAACTCTTTGGTTCAAACATTTCCTTAGTTCTTACCTGAGCAGAAAACTCGACCGGCGACTTTGTGGTTGGGTAGATATTGACCTTTAAAAGAAAACGAACCATTGTTAAACATGTAAAAGGCGGGATAAGTGGATAACACTGTAAACTAATAAAAAAAAAAAGCTTACCGATTTCGTGTCAATTGACATTCGAGATACAGATGCTCCAGCAATCTTGAACGAGACCTGTAAACCAGAAGACAGATTTGAACAAACAACCAAAAGTCCATAAGATTTCCAAAGGAAGAAACAAAAGGCATACATACCTTAGCGTAGTCATAGGCTTGCCAGCAGAAAGGTTCTTCCATATCAACTGCTGGGAGGTCCTTGTTCATTTCCTGCACCAAAAACTCCTCCACGTTCACCACATTCTCTGTACCCTCACTCTCTTCATCATCCTCATCTCCTCTTCTCCTGCTCTGCAATGGACTAAACTTAATCGTCCCAGGGAAAGTTGCCTCAAGGCTTTTTCCAGAAAGACTACGCCCGCTTCCCAAAACCCTCCACTCAACAGAGTGTTCTGAGGTCACAACAGTCCCAGCTGAAGGAGTCCCATCAAACGACACAATCCGTCTCCGTGGAAAGGGCATAATTATAGTGCAAAACTCCATCGACAGAGGAGCCTTGTATCCCTCCATGAGTCGCACCTTGAAAAGGAAAGCACCTTCGTCCTCTGAGACCATTGATAGCTGATAGAAACCTTTCACCGGTGGTCCAAGTCCACAACCAGCCTGGTATCGCATGAGAACAAAGTTGCCCAAGGGAGGCTGGAAGACAATGTTCTGCTTGTCAATCCCATGTGCTGGAACTTGTGCGCACGGATGGAAAGATATAGCCTCGATGTGGGTTTTACTCAGCCCCGCTAGAGGAAAGGACACGTCAGGCAGTCCTTCTAGCTCTGCACGGCAGTTTATCTGTCCGGCGACAGATACACTGTCAGGGATCTCATCACGGTCGTACATTGCAGCGTTAATGGTCTCATGGATTGTGAATAATAGCCTTTGCTTCCCTTTGTACAGGTATGGCTTCCATGCTGGTTGCTTAAGTTCTTGCGGAGGAGGCTCAGCAGAGGAAAAGCCATTCGCTTTAATAGCAGAGATATTAGAAAGGCTGAGGTCTAATGGTGTACCTGCAAAATAAGAATGTCAGAGACGAAGCAGAAGAAAACAAAACAAGTCAATGACAGAGGGAAAGTAGACGAACCAAAGGGCATAGCAGTAGCGATGAAGTTTCTAAGTAGATCTTTGTCAAGCAGGCCTGATTTGGGAGCATCTGATGCTGCAGCTCCGGTTGAAGCGGATCCAGCCGGGGAAGAAGAAGATGCAACAGGTGCAGCGACGGGTTTTGGCCTTGATGTGATACCAATGCTTCCGGTTAAAGAATCAAACAATCCCCCGACTGATGGTGAGGTAGCTACAACAACCTCAGGCTCCGCAGTATCATTAGAGATTATGTCACCAAATGAATGAGCCACCATGAAAGCTCTACACAAACATGAGAAACAATAAGACACAGCTCTCACTGAAAAAAAAAATCATACATTGTTGAGAAAGGAGATGTGTAAGTGTTACCCAGTGATGGATGAAATGTTGAGCAAGAGAGATGATAAACTCAGATCTTCACCAACAGATGGTCCACAGTCACATCTCCTGCATAAGTTGACGAAGTCCTTCACATCCTTTGGCTCAACCAAAGGCAAGACGAGGATGGTGTAAAGGGATTTGGTGTGAAGTACAATGGGCCAAACAAAATTCCTCTCATCGTTTTCGTTGGATTCGTCATCATCCTCAGCTAAGGAAAGGCTAATTATATGACGAGTGATGGGATCATCGACCCAGGAGTCGGATCCTTTTGTGGATTGAGCTACTCGTACGCCGTATCCACGAGTAGAGCCTTCCCTGATCATTGGATTTTTACCAAATTACTCACTTTTTTCTTCCAGAAATGAAATTCATTTGGCAGTAGAGGAAAGTCTTTGCGTACCGTCTCTTTCTTCGAGCAAAAGCAATGGCGAGCTGTTGATCAGTGGGAAGTCGAGGAAGATCCAAGCCGCCATTGTTTCCGTCTTCCGTCTTGAAAGCGGACCGCCACTGCTTCTCCACGACCGGAAACCGCCTAATTTTGAATTATTTTTCTCCCTTAAAATAGAGATGTTGGAAGAAAGAGGATGAAATGTAATTGAGTGTGATCAAAATAAACAAAAACCTGGAGAAAACAACAGCGTCTTGATTATTGATTATCCAGAGAGCTCTAATACTGCAGCCAGATGGCATAATTGAAGTGAAATTACAGAAGATCCTTTCTCGCTGTGTTTATTTCGTCGTTGGAGGAAATTGAAATGAAGAAGACGACGGAAAGGAAGAACGGATTATGGGCCGATTTTTGGTGGCTTCTTCAAAAGGCTAATGGGCCCAACAAAGGTCCAACAGTTGTTCAATTTCTGATTTTGGTTTGCTTTATTCGGGTTTACCTTAAGAAAATAGATTTGAACGGTTGATTTTTTTCCGGACTGAACACATTGATTGAAGTGGGAATTTGAACAAATTTGGGAAAAGGGAGGCACAATGCTCAATGCTTTACGATATGATTGTGTTGAGAGGCTCAATGCTCAAAATTGCACTTCTCATAGTTTTTGACTTGGTACAAAAAGACTGATAAAATTGGTGTGTTTCGTAATAATCATGGGCTCCAATTAAAAAACAACAAACCAGTACGAAAATTCAGGAAATCGTAGAACAAAAAATGGTGGGAGAAGCAGAAAAAGCTTAGATGCTGCTGGAGTCACGGCCAAAGATAAAGCGTCGAGCCCAGTCAGAGATAACGAGCGTCCTCGTGCGCCAGCTCACCAGTTTGCTAGCGTAGACAGAGTACCAGAGCCACTGGCTGCTGTGACCAATGGAGACCCAGTCACCAGGCAGCTCAGCTGCCGTCTGTTCACCTCCGAGTGGAGCAAACGACCCGAAATGTCTGTACCTGAACGGCTGGAACCGGTGACGACCCTCTCCTCTGAACCTCAGTGGACCTTCTGGCCTCTTCTCACATTTCTCCATTCTGTTGAAGCACTTGGCCAAGTACTTGCCTTGTTGTGACGCAACCTGTGCAGTTGCTGGAAGATTCTTCATCTGTGTATCAACCTCTGCCAAGGCTTGCTTGAACTTTTCAATGTTGATCTCTGTGTCGTCGCCGTTGGCGCTCTTGAGCAAGTTTGCAATGTTCCTCAGTTTCTTCTTCTTCAAGTAGAGCTCCACCTGAGGGTACCTCTGGCAGATGTCTTTCACCACACCGTTGAACTCTTTCTTGTTCAGTGTTCCTGTCTTTTCCTTGTCTGCTTTCGTGAAGATCGCATCTATATCTTCCTGTTTGCTCAAACAAGAACCAACAGATTAAAATATGACACAAGGAAAGGTAAATATCTATCTATTAGGTTTTGAAAACGTTACCATGACTTTGCGTTGGTTTATGGTTGCAGTGTCACCTAAAGCGTACACACCGTCGCATCCTTCCACTCTAAGCCATTCGTCAGTTGCCAACACACGTCTCTTCTCCTGTAATCATATACAGAAATCTAGTTAGCTGGGCCAAGAGCAAATGGTTTAAGATGATTGAAAGTCTTGATGTGAAAGAAAAAGTAATCTAACCTGACCAATCTGCTGCATAAAGTCTCTGATGAAAGGACGTAGCCCAATTCCTGTTGACCACACAACCATACCGTAAGGCTCAGAGACAACTTTGCCAGTTCCTCTTTCCTTTGTGGATATCTCATCAGCAGTCACTCCCACAACCATGGACTTTGTCTTCAAATCAATACCGTCTCTCTGGAACTTCTCCTCAGCAAAAGCAGTGATCCTCTTGTCAAACCTGAAGGAGAGAGCGCAGATGCCAACATTAGGATCAGCAGAAGTTTCAAATCAAAGCCAAAGCTAAATAAAACTTGGATTGGAACTTACATGTTGAGAATGTGGTCGCCTGCTTCAAGAAGAGTGATTCTAGTGAACTCTTGAACCTTTGGGTATATCTTAGCAACATCCTCGACCAGGAAATCATGGAGCTCTGCTGAGAACTCTACACCAGTTGGTCCTCCACCAACAACAACGAAATGTAGAATCTTTTTCCTCTCTTCTTCAGTTAGATCCGGAAGAGAAGCTCTCTCAAAACAGTCGATGACTGATTGACGGATCTTCAGAGCATCCTCTGCTTCCTTGAGGAAAAAGGCATGTTCCTCAACACCAGGGGTGTTGAATGTGTTGGGCTTAGCTCCAACAGCTATGACCAGAATGTCGTAATCCATGTCAAACTCCGATGTGCCCTTAAGGCTTTTGCTATCCTTTGACCGGCAATGGATTTTCTTGTTAGTTGCATCAATATTGACACACTCTGCCTCCGTGAACCCAAATCCTTTCTGAGATAGTTTCAAGATCAGAATCAGTAAAGCACAAAACATGAAAAGGTAACGAATGTAAGAGAGTCATGATATGCAGTTACATACCTTGCGCATGAGGCCTCTGATGGGTTCAACAATGCTACGGGCTTCAACAGTGCCATTGGTAACACTTGGCAAGAGAGGAGTGAAGAGGAAAAAGTTTCTAGGAGAGACAACTTGAACATCGTAATTAGGGTTGTTGAGGTAACTCAAGAAGCTGTAGCCGCTCCAGCCACTCCCAAGAACAACCACCTTCTTCTTGTGTTGGCCATCTTTGGGAGTAACGGCTGTGTTTAAGTCTGAATACACCAGTACACTACCACCACTGCAAAAACCAAATATTGTCAGAGAGAGAGAGAGAGGACGACAAAGATGGAATAGGTTTCAGAAATTCTCTAAGATTTTTAAACCAGATCTAATGAAACTACGTTACCAAAAAAAACTGGATCTGAACTGAAAAATAAATAATGAAGCTTGTTGTGTTTACAAGAGACTAAAAGAGAAAACTTTTCACCATAAACTGGGGATTCGTGCATATTCTCACAAAGAGAGGTCTAAAATATCAGAAGACTAGTAATATTTCATGAAAATTTGCATATAGGGTTGAAACAAGCGGAACGATGAAGCAAATCTAAAGGAAATAAAGGAGAGACCTGAAGGTACTGAGAACAAGAAGCTTGGAAGTAGAAGGGTAAGCCTTGAAGAGGGTGAGAGCTCTCTGGTAGAAGCTCTGAAAACTCATGATGTTTCTGCAAATTTCTCAGCCTCTGGTTCCAAAATAACTAAAAGCTGAGAGCTTTATTAGAATTTTGGAAGAGAGGCTGCGAAGGTGTGAATCGGTAGAATGGAAACTTTAAACCTATAAATAAGAGAGGCGCGGCGACACACACACACCAAATCAAAGAAAGGAAAGACAGAGAGGTATTTGGAAAAATGGAGTAACGCCCAAGTAAATTTAGGAATATATCATTTAATAATATTCTCCTTTAACGAAAATAAAAAGAAACGGGGACCCACTAAATAAAGGACTGATATTTTGTAGGGTTTTACTCCTCGTAACTCGGGACTTTCATATGACAGCTGTCTCTGCTCCTTTCTTTGAATGTTTGAACACGAAACCAAAGAAACGAAGATCAGAGTCAATAACTTTTAAGAGAATCGTATCTCATTTTGCTGAGAAAACGCTTCAATCCTTACGAAAAATTGCACAAGTAACTGATCCTCAGAATTAAATAACTGTACATACAGAACAAGACAGCAAAAAGCTGAAACATCATCTTAAAGGAGCCCTCAAGAGTCGAAATAATGACCATACCTCTTAAGGTCACACTGTTTCGTAAAGAGTGCATAGAGAGATTAATAGTCACCAGTAACCTTTGCAGGAACACATTCCATTTTTGAAATGATGGAAGCGACTCGAGTCCCTCAATATAATCTCATGATTAATGATTCTCGACATGTATGTGAACGAGGTATGGCAATCACCACATACACGTAGATTCTTAGTAATCCTGATAGCTGCACCTTGAGGAGTTGTTAGAATACCGTACGCAAGAGCTAACTTCTCGCTGTGCTCGAAAAGAAGATCACCTTTCTCTTCATCGTCTACATCATGCAGAGCAAAGCCTGTTTCAGGAACATAACCAATGTCCTTGATGCGTTGCATATGATCTGCGAGGACCTGGTATATCTCTTCAGTGCGTGGATGAGTTTTATCACCCACGAAGAACGTAGCGGTTCCTTTAACTCCTTCCACCCAGCTACAACCAGGTCTCTTGTTGATTCCTTTATGTCTCATCAGTGATCTTATCCTAGCTACATCTTTCCAACGCCTTGCATTTGCATATAAATTTGAGAGCAACGTGTATGATCCATCGTTGTTAGATGCTGATTCTGTTAATTTTTTAGCCGCATACTCACCGAGTTCAACTTTCCCGTGGATTCTACAGCAACTGAGTAAAGCAACCCATACCACAGGAGGAGGCTCCATTGGCATATCTTCAATGAGACTCAAAGCTGCATTCAACCGACCAGCACGACCTAACAAGTCAACCATGCAAGCATAATGCTCCGGTCCAGGACTAACCCCAAAATCAGTCTTCATTCGATTGAAATACTCCATACCCTGATCGATCATTCCCGAATGGCTGCAAGCATATAGTACAACAAGTAATGTAACACCATCAAGCTTAAAACCCATTTTCCACATCTCATTGAAGATTTCAAGAGCTTCTTCTCCATAGCCGTGCATACCGTAACCCGTCATTAGAGATGTCCAAGTAACTTCGTTTCTCTCCGTCATGCTGTCAAATACAAGCCTGCCACCACCAACGTCTCCAGATTTTGCATACATGTCTATTAGGCAGTTTGATACGAACAGTGGTAGATTCTGCTGGTTGCGCAATGCATAAGCGTGGATTTGCTTGCCAATTCTCAACGCAGCCAAACTGGCACATGCCACAAGGGCACATGATATAGTGAAAGCATTTGGTCTTGTTCTGTAGTCTTGCTCGAACATCTCAGAGAAAAGTTTAAGAGCTTTATTCGCATCCCCATGCTGGGAGTATCCGCCAATCATCACGGTCCATGTGACAACATCTCTCTCCATGGGGGAAAGTGAATCAAATATAGCACGCGCAGTATCAACTTTTTTGCACTTGGCGTACATGTCAATCAGTTGATTGATGACCATATTATCATTATTATCACCATGACCGTTCTTACGCAGCTCCAGAGCATGTTTGATGGCATAACAATGGATCTCTTTACCGTGCACCAATGCTCCAACAGAAGCACAACCTGAGAGAACCGAAATAAGCGTGACTTCGTTTGGTTTTACCCCGGAAGACAACATCTGCCTACACACGCCCAATGCTTCATATCCAAGGCCTCGTTGAGCATACCCTGAAATAGCAGCACTCCAAGTAACAACATCCATCTTTATCTTCTCTTCCTGCATCTTCTCGAATAAACTAACAGCATCATCGAACCTTCCAATCTGTGAATACCCAGCAACCATAGCATTCCAAGAGACTACATCCTTCACCGACATGTTCGAGAACACCGTGTTTGCCTCATCCATCATTCCACACTTTGCATACATATCCACCAAGCAATTACCTACAAACATATTCTGTATCATCTCACTTCTGATCGCATAACCATGTATTTGCTTCCCTACTGAATGTGCACCAAGAGAAGCACAAGGAGGAAGAACATTCACAAGCGTGATATCATCAGGCTTGAAATTGAACTCATTAGTCATCCGCCGAAACATCTCAAGCGCCGTCTTTGGTTTCCCTAACTTTGCATAACTCTCTATTATAGAGTTCCACGACACAACATCCCAAACGCCAATGACGGGCATTTCGTCGAACACATTCCGTGCATCAGCCAACGAGCCACAACGGGAATACATAGCAACAAGCGCGTTACCCACAAAGACGTTGGAGTTAAATCCGGTGACCCGGCAAAGCGCGTGGGCAGAAGCTCCACAACGGAAGGAGGAGATCTCGCCGCAAGCCTTGAAGACGAAGGGGAATGTGTAATTGTCCGGCGTCCATGACAGAGAATGCATAAGGCGGAACGAAGAGAGACATTCGCTGGCGCGGCCATTGTCGCCGTAGAGGCGAATGAGAGAATTCCAGTGGTAGACACCAGCGTCGGAGGGAGGAAATAGACGGAGGAGAGATACGGCGGCAGATGAGCAACCGAGGGAGATGTAGGTGGAGATGAGGTGGGAGCTGCGATTCAGTGTTAGGATTCCGGAGGACAGTAGTTTCCCGTGAATGAGCTTAACCTGGGAAGTGGTCTTGCATTTGTGAATGAACGGTGGCGTTATCTCCGGCGGCGATGTGGAGAAGAGAGAGACTTTAAGGTACTTTCGCGGTTTCGCGGCGGCGTTGGGGTTGAGAAGGCGGCAGATCATGCTAGAGTTAATAATAAATTAATAATACATGGCGGGTGATTTCTGCGTTTAAAACTATATACATCTTAAATCGATTCGGTTTGATTCGCAAATCGATTGGAAATACTGTATGAAGAAACTAATGAAACCGGGAGTTAAAAAGAAAATTTAACCGAACCGGTTCAAATTTTATCGAGTATCGGTTCGGGTTGGGTTAGCGACGTGCGTTTGTGAAACGCTTAGGCTAGCGTTTGTGGCTCTGAATGATTTTTTTTTGAAAATTTTCAAAATCAGATAGCAGTAAATGAATCAAATCGCAATTCCCTAGTTCCGAGAACTCAGAATTTAATCTCCCGCCTCTTCAACACCTACTAGACTCAATTCTCGAACCTCGAAAGGAGGAGGAGGAAGGCGAAATGCCGCGAAAACCTAGACGTAATGTGCCGGAGATCCTATGGAGGTTATTCGGGAAAAGAGCCAGAAATTTAGAGGACGCAATCGTAGATCTAAGTACCGGCCGGAAAATCCAGCCGGAGCATTGCCGATGCCGGGGCCAAGGTTGTCTCAGTTGCAGCACCGATGAACCGTCGTTTCTGTTGCGTCCCGATGATCCCATTCACTACCGTAATCTTCTTCACCGCTGCTTCGTAGTAACTCACGAACAAACCCCTCCGCTTCTGGATTTCACGCCGATATCTCGGTGGTCTCAGAGAGAGGTAGGACTTTGCCTTTGCACTGTACTATGCTTTGGTTTAACTTCTTAATTTGGGAGATTTTAAGATGATTTAAGCATGTTAATGGATCTATTTTGTTATGATTTTGCAACGTAATCCTTCAATTAAGTTTTTTTTTTCAGATTGTCGAAAGGGTTATTGAAATGATGGAATCTGGATGTGATTGCCAAAATAATGTGATTTGGGCAAGGTATGACAAGGTGAAACTCTTCTTCTTACATGACCATTCTTCAGTCACTCTTGTTGAATTTCTTTGGCAGCTAATTGATGGTTGCTCTTCTCTTTCACCCATTTGTCAGTATGATCAGTCGAGCCCTATTCTTGAGTTACTGACAAGTTCGTCTTGGGAGTTACTACTCACACGAGTTTGTTGTCAAACTCTTTTTTTGGATGATATTAACTCACAATTCGAGTTTGGAGCCGTTAATATATATTCAACTTCTCTTGATTTGTAGGTCGGTGATGAGTTCATGGTTTATCTACTACAGCACACATCAACATTCTTACCATTTCAAGGAAGGAAACACCAGCAAGTGGCTGGACCTCCTCTATGTATCAAGCAAATGGGTAAGTCTTAATCGATAACCCAATCATATATTTTCTTGTTGTCATATAAATTAACCCAAATTTTGGTTTCAGTTAATTTTTTAACTTGGTAAAGTTTCTATTCTTATACAGAGACATTGACGGTCCACGAAAACAAAAGAAAGAGGGATGATGACAACATTCATCCACCAAAGAAGAGGCAGCGGTTTTCTTCAAAGGATAACTCTGCAGCTGTAACGTCCGTAGCTGACGTGAATGAAGAGGAAAAGCCCACTAAGCGTTCAAGATTGTATCTTAAGCGTCGGCGAAAGCAGAGAAAACTCAATTGCCAGAAAGTTGACAATTGTACAAATGGGAAAGCCTCAACTGAGAATGAAGCTGATGAAAGGAATCTGCACTTGAGTCTCACTGATTTTGCAAAGCAGGTGAACTTTTGTATCATGGTTTGCTCAATCAGACTTAAGTTGGTAATCAATCAGCTCGTTATTAATACTCTTCCTGACACACTTCATTGCCTTCAAATTCAAAAACCTGTTATTGCCTTTTGAAATGTAACCACTTCTTCGTTCAGGCTAAACAGGTGAAAAGAAAGAAGCATTTCAAGTTTGCCAACACGGAAACGTTTTCAGTTATACCACCAAACCGTATCCTTGAGCGGGTTGAACATGTTCAATAACTTGTTCTTGTAGCATCAATAGCTTGATGGGAATGTTTATATGCGACTCTTCTCTACACAGCTCTTCTCCATTGTGTATGATTCCTTATGATATACAGACATTTTGAAAACATTAAGGCCCAACTGCTCTGATTCAAAGTCTCTAATGAACCATATATTTGGTGAAGTAAATGCTTGGTCAACGGCGCCAACTCATGGCAAAGGAAATTGCCCCAGTGGATCTATTTGCTTGTAAGTCATGCATTTATTTTCCTAGAGTTTCTAACGTTTCGAGACAACTAAACTTATTCTGAAACTTGGAGCAAGTAGTCACTGACTTGAAGGACATAATTCAATTTTTTGTTGAATGGACTGATGTTTCTTTTATTGTCCTGCAGATATCATTCATTGCTCAAGTCTCTTAAAAGCCTAATTGGAAAAACAAAGTCCTCTCATTTGAAAACGTTACTAGATAAACACTGTCCTGTCCTCTTCCCGCAAGAGGATGCATTGATGAAGTCTGCATATACGACTTCCCAGGTTTATATTTTTTTCTTATGATATTGTTTTCAAATTAAATTTATGTAAAGTTTGGATAATGCATCTGACCATTTATATCTCAGAAAAAAATGTAGAAAGGGGAAATCATCACAGTTTCTAGATTTGCCTATATTTTGCAAAAGAAATGCATGAGAATTCATATCCGTGGCACTTACGACTGACCGTTGGATTGACAAACCTTACATAACTTGTATTACAGAGTTCCTGGAGGCAAAATACGGATGGATCAAGTTCAGAGACGGGCAAAACCAATTGTCCCAGTGTCAAAGAAACGAAGCTTTATTGCACGAAAGACCAAGTAGTTTCCTTTATTTGGGGCATGTGTAGGTACATTATTCCAGAAAGTTTGCTTGGGACCACTCAACAGATGAGGGTGCTTAGGAGAAACATAGCCTGGTTTGTTTCTAGGCGAAGAAACGAGATATGCACAGTGAAGCAATTTTTGCATAGGGTGAAACCATCAGATTTCCCTTTCTTTGCCAATAAACACTTATGCTGTCACGAATTCCAGAATGAGTCCTCCTTCACAAGTACACAGCAGATGTTGTGCACGAAATGGGTTTCTTGGCTTTTTCTAGAGATTGTCAAGAAACTGGTGCGCTTCAACTTCTACGCTACTGAAAGCCAGGAAGGGCGGCTAAACATTTATTATTACCGGAAATGCAGCTGGGAAAGGTTAATAAGCAAAGAAATTAGCAAAAACCTCAATGGATATGTCCAAGTGGACAATGCTGACGAAAGTAGAAGGAAAAAGCTGCGGTTTAGATTCTTACCAAAGGCAAATGGTGTGAGGATGTTGGTGGATTTTAGTTCCTCGTCAAGGTCGCAATCTCTTCGTGATACACATGCTGTTTTGAAGGACATCCAGCTCAAAGAACCAGATGTCCTTGGTTCTTCTGTTTTTGACCATGATGGTTTCTACAGAAACCTAGGCCCGTATCTGATCCATTTGAGGAGTCAATCTGGAGAACCTCCTCCTCTGTTCTTTGTAATTGCGGATGTATACAAAGCATTTGATTCAGTTGACCAGGGTAAGCTTCTTGACGTCATGCGATCTGTCCTGAAAGAGGAACACGTCTTGAACAGATGTAGGTTGGTCTGCTGTGGGAAGAGATCACGTTGGGTTAGCAACATACTAGTCTCGAGTGATAAAGATGCTACCTTTTCAAGATTCACATCAACTGTTCCATATAATGCTCTGCAAAGCATCATGGTTGATCAAGTATGCTTCTACTTCCTTGTTTCGACTGAAGAAATCGCATTTGCTTACTTGTATGCTTAATCAGTGTTATGGTTCTTCTTGGTTCAATGTTTTAGGGAGAAAACCATCTGGTGAGGAAAGAGAATCTCATGGCTTGGATAGAAGACATGCTAAAGAAGAATATGTTGCAGTTGGATAAAAGCTTGTATACACAAATAGCTGGAATACCTCAGGGACACAGATTATCATCCTTGCTGTGCTGTTTTTACTACGGGCATCTCGAGAGGACTTTGATTTACCCGTTCCTCGAGGAAGCCGATAGAGAGAAAGAGCTGATCACTCCCCAGAGCTATAAGTTACTGAGATTTATCGATGACTACCTGTTTGTCTCTACCTCAAGAGATCAGGCGATGAGCTTCTATTACAGATTGAAGCAAGGTTTCCCAGATTACAACTGCTTCATGAATGAAAAGAAATTCTGCATAAATTTCGAAGATGAAGGAGAATCTCAGAGTTCTTGTAAAAGGATGTATGTGGGTGATAATGAAGTTCCCTTCATCAGATGGACGGGCTTGCTTATTAATTCCCGGACATTCGAAGTTCAAGTTGACTACAAAAGGTCTAGCCTCATTCTCTTGTATCTCCCCCTCAGCTTTTTTTAGCTATATGATTGTTTAGAGTATAATTTTGCCACTGGAACAGGTACTTGAGTGGGCATATAAGCTCAACTTTTTCTGTAGCTTGGCAGAACAAACCAGTTAGGAATCTTCGGCAAAAGTTGTGTAACTTCTTGGTTCCCAAATGCCATCCCATTCTCTTTGACTCGAACATCAACTCGGGGAGAATTGTCAGGTTAAACATCTATCAGATCTTTCTGCTATCTGCAATGAAGTGTCATTGTTATATCTACGAGTTGTCCCGGTTTTGGAAGCTTCATCCTCATACTTTGTTCAAATTCATCACAAGATCTATCAGGTACGGAATTAAAACTATTTCATATGTTTGATTCGCACTAATTTGGTTCTGATCTAGTGTTGTTGATTTTCCTTGCAACTGATAGGTACATGTTCAAACTCATAAATCGAAGGATGCACAAAATCAACACTGGGTCTAGTTTCAGACCAGTTCTTAAACTGGACAAAGAAGAAGTTATATGGCTTGGATTACACGCCTATGTTCAAGTGCTGAAGAAGAAAAACTCTCGATATCGAACCCTCTTGATCTATTTGAAGTCTGCACTTTATAAACACAATCTTTCTCGCAATCCACCATCACCGGAAATGGAGTATGCAACGGACCGGTCAAACTCATCTTCTCTGTGGAAATTGAAGTACTGATCAGTGATCACTTCATTAGCACGATTTTCTTTTTCTCTTTTCTTAAATTTGAGGTACTTCCTTCGAGTAAAACTGATTATTGAATATATCTTATAAAAAACCCGAACTAGCAGTAATAGAGAAGATCCAGGCATAGAGCATATATGTTACATCCCAAAGACCAAAACCAAATTCCCAAGTTTCATCAATAAAGAAACCAACAAGAACGAGAAAATAAAAACGAAACCCTCTCGAATGATATTACTTCTTCGAGTATTCAGACGCATGAATCGGAGAATACCCTTCAGGTGGCGGTGGTTGCTGCTGCGACTCTGGTTGTGGCGGCGGTTGCTCAGCTTCAACCTTTTCTTTTGTCATCTGTCCAACCTCTCCAGCTGCTTTAGCCACTCTGTTGAACGCTCCTGCGGCCCAGCTCACACCGGTCAACACATAACGGTTTTTCATCACAGCGGTTCCCGCGCTGCTCACCGTCTGTTCCGCAGCTGCAAACGCAGACTTGGTCCTCTCTGAAACCTGGAAGCTTTGGTCCACATCTTTGATCTTCTCGTTCACCAAGCTTGTACCAGCTGTGAATTTTTGGCTTAGGCCGATTTTCTGGTCGAGGGTGGCAACTCCTGCGGTCGCGGTTGAAGTGAAACCGAGTTTCTCATCAAAAGCTTTTGCTTTGCCGACTGCATCTTTCCCGAGGATGAAACCCTTTGCTAACATGCTGCTCACCACATCTTCTGCCTTGTGGACAACAGATTCTGCACCTGTGCCGCCTCCGGTGCCACCGCTCTGTGTTTCCTGTGAAAGGAACACAAATTAAAACCTTTAGAGATTGCTGTCCAGACTCGGTATTGTTACTAATAATGTTGAGGACCAACTCGCTCGATTTATCTACTAATCACAGATTTGAGAGGTATACGTTTTAAAAAGTTATTGCAAACTTCATAAGTAATCAAACATCAAAGTAAATGGTTTCTGGTTCCTATGAAACAGAAGAAAAAACAGAAAGGAGACATTACAGCATGAGGGGCAGCAGGTGGATTGTAGTCAGGAGCCATCTCAATGACGACTGATTGATCGGCAATACTCGCTCCCTGAAAATACATACGTGGTTGTTAAACAAACTAATTACTTGTAATTCTCTACTCCAGATACAGAATGGGTTCCATGAGGGCAGAGAAGTGAAAGCATCTCTGAATTTTCTTATCGAACAAAGGTGTAAATGCTGATGAGAAAGTCATGGATTATAATTTACTAAACTTTACAGCCATGATGAACCTAGCATGTTTTTAATAGTTGATTGCTACATATAATATTATGATAAGAGTGAACTCACTGATAAGAGCACAGCGGTCTCTGCTCCTTGAGGATCTTTGAATGTGACATAAGCATTATGCTCGTTACTGCTGGTTAGAACATGAAAGCAAAACAAAGAAGAGCTTAAATCCTTTCAAATAATGTATGAGTTAATTGATCGAAAAGCTTTTAGCAATTACTAACCCTTGGATGTCGATGCTTTCAACTTCACCAGAAAAAGAGAAGAACTCTTTTATATCATGCTCTGTTGCTCTTGCGGAGAGATTGCCAACTTTTACAGACCTTATCTGTCATCACAAAGAGTTAAAAGGGATAGAATCATTAAATAAACAACAAAATAGGGGGCACAAGTATATCGACTCGATCATAAGTTCCATTAAATGACCGTAGACACACGCCAATTTAATCAAGACAGCTCAAAGGATCTAGATTCTCACAAAACCATACTATAATAGTGAACACACAGTGATCTATGAATCAAAACTTGTTGGCTTGGAAATGACTATCATCTTTTCATTATACAAAATATGATCAAAGAACAAAATTACGGTACAGCTGAATCATCCAGAAATGAAACATGATTCAGGGGAACCTAAACACTCTAAATCAGATTTTTTTTTTGCTTCAAAAACCAACTGATCGAAATCACAGATAGAAATGATAATCACCTGCTTAACTCAACATTGTTTCACTCTCATTTTTCACATATTTCGCAAATAAAAAAAATCACAAATAGGCAGGTCCCCATACAAATACGCTAAGGAACCAAATCATTTAATAGATCGCTGGAATGGATATCACGGGAGATGAAATTTTCACAGCTGAGATAGAAATCGATCATGTATATCTAGATAGTTGCACGATTCTGACAAAATAATCAGGAGATGCAGATACAGATCGACACGGAGAGACGCAATCAATTCGATTCCAGAAAATAACAACCTAGTTAGAACGAATAGCAACACTCAGTCTCGTCCAAAGAGGAATCGATATAATCAAACCGTAGATATAATCCAAATTCCGGAAGAAGACACCAAATCAATAAGCAATTATTTCCAATCGTCAGAAATTTTCCCAGAATACAAATTGGATCACAGCAAAATGTGGGAGGAAATGAAAAGCAATATGCCCCGCATAAGAAATTAAACAAAAAGAGGAACAGTTTAGAAGAACATACCGCCATGGTGATCTTCGTAGTCGCGAAGAGATGTGTGTATTGTGATTGTTTTCTAAGGAAAGGAGATTCGAGATACCTTAAACCGAAACGAGCTTCGAGATTGATGAATATAGAGAGAGAAGGAAGAGTGTTTTTGATTTTTTATATGACACCGCACACTCAACGTGTGGAGTTGCGTTACGCCTTTAATCCTATTTTGGTATTTCATTTTGAAACAAGGTAAGAAAGGATTGTAAAGTTGTGATATCACAAAAACTGTTCAAAATAATTAAATTAAATAACTTTTACCAAAATGAAGATATATTTTAGTAACTAAAAATGGGTACTAAATTGATTTAATCCAATCATTAACAAAATCTTTGGGTAAACTAATTTAAATGAACAATCAATTGATTTTTTTTATAAAATAATATATTTTAATCAAATGTAAGAGGTTATTGTATTACTTTACATCACATTTTTTTTATCTGAAAACTGTTTAATATAAATTATATGCTTCTTGCTGGTTGCTATTTTCCAAATGGGAAATTATAATCAATAATCATATTGGCAACCAAAATTAACAAACTAACCATATGAAACTCTTGGCTAGAGTACAAAGTATATTTTATACAATAATACCAATTTTGTCCTTCTTCTTTTATACATAAAAATCAATTCTTCCATACTATTTTTTGTGTGTGTATGGGATAGAACCATGTTTTCTTTTTCTCATTTAGGCTTTAGTGTTTTTTAGATTCAGATTTCCATTTTGTGTTTAGTATTTTGATTTTAGGTTTGTGTTTATATTTTTAGATTTAGGATTTTGGATTTCAGTTTAGGATTTTAGTTTTTTTGGTTTAGGGTTTAAATTTTGGGTTTTAGGATTAAGATTTTTTTTCTTAAAACAGGGTTTATATTATAGTTTTAGGGTTTAGTTTTTTTTCAGTTTAGGATTTAGATTTTGGGTTTAGGGTTTTATATTTTTTTTTAGTGTTTAGATTATTTTTGGGATTTGGGTTTAGTATTTGGTTTTAGATTATACACCCTAAACCTAAAACCTAAAATATAAATCATAAAACCAATATGTAAACCCTAAACTCAAAAATTACTCTAAACCCTAAAATCTAAACCCTAAATATCTAGTAAAAGTTTTGTTCTACAACAACAATAAACTAGTATAGTATTTTTTAGGGTTAATATAGGTAGTTTTTTGTGAATATATTTATGTATCATAGCCAAACATTTGTAATGGCTATATTCTTAATATTTTCCCCAATATGATTATTCACCAAATTAACCCTTTCCAAATTGTGTGGAAACAATTATGGAAATGTGAATTAAGTTACTTTGGGAAAAACAAAAACGGGCCTTATCTCCAACACATTGGGCTTTAGGTTAGTTATATTTTGGGTTCGACCGGTTTGCTTGTTGGTTTGACTTTTCAGTTTCGAGTTCCTATTTTGCATTGTCATTGTGGTCGTGGGATTTGAATATTAAATTTCTTAGCCTTGGATTTTGTGATTTGGGATCTTCACAAAAATTCCAAAGTCTTGGGAGCAAATGTTAGGAGGAGTAAGAAGATCTCATGAGAAGAAGGTGAAAACATTTAAATGTCAGGTAATATTTGAGATGCTCACTCATAATCATTCATTTGAATCTCAATGCCCATTTTATGCTCTTTTAGCTAGTCTACTTCAAAACAGGAGCATCTTTCTGCCACTCGAATTATTTTCCTTGTGTTTTGGTGGGTGGTCAAACGGTCAAAGTTGGGGTAAAGTCAAACAAAAAAAAACTGATTGAAATTATATGAGGCCCCATTTAAGCACCAAATGGATTCACAAAGTGGAAAAGTGGTTACTCAATGTCGTCAAATCAATGTTTGTCATGAAGATAAACAAGTGGTGGGTCCATGCATGCGTCCTCAATGACGTCGTCGATGTCCACAGGACAGGAGGAAGAAAATTTTGCTTTCCTAAAGTCTCTAATCAATGCGTATATAAATGTGGAGCGGTGCTCTTCCACATTTCACGGAGACTTGAAAGTGTTTCGTGATAAAGCATCATTGTAGAGACGTAAATCCAGTTTTAGACCACCTTCGGAAATGGAAAACTCAGTAGCAAAACAGAGTATCCCTCTCCTGACCCCATATAAGATGGGAAGATTCAATCTTTCACACAGGGTTGTTCTGGCACCATTGACGAGACAGAGATCGTACGGAAACGTTCCTCAGCCTCACGCTGTCTTGTATTACTCACAGAGAACCACGCCTGGAGGTTTTCTCGTCACTGAAGCCACTGGAGTTTCAGACACAGCTCAAGGGTAACTCATTCATCACTCTCCTCGTTTTATTTACTAAAGCTTACGCTTCTGTTTGTGCGTTTTTATCTGATCCACGTTGTGTGTGATTTTGTTGCTCTTGATTTTTGAAGCTATCAAGATACTCCTGGGATATGGACTAAAGAGCATGTGGAGGCATGGAAGCCAATCGTCGACGCTGTTCATGCCAAAGGTGGTATCATCTTCTGTCAGATTTGGCATGTTGGGCGCGTGTCTAACCGAGGTTTGCAAATTCAAAAATGTCATCTTTTTTAGTCTCGTGAAATGAAATGAAATCCTTCAACAACCGTAATTAGTGGTATTGATGACTTTATTGTGTGTGTGTGTGTGTGTGTGTGTGTTGGTGGTGTTTTAAAGGTTTTCAGCCAAATGGGCAAGCTCCGATTTCTTGTACAGACAAACCATTGACGCCACAAATCCGCTCTAATGGCATCGACGAAGCCCTCTTTACCCCTCCAAGACGGCTAAGGACCGAAGAAATCCCAACCATTGTTAACCATTTTAGGCTTGCAGCAAGAAACGCTATGGAAGCTGGTAAGAAAATGAAGAAGCGATTTATTCAAGACTCTTGTATATATACGTGTATCTGAATCTTGTTGTTGTTTGCAGGATTCGACGGAGTGGAGATTCATGGAGCTAATGGATATCTGATCGACCAGTTCATGAAGGACACGGTGAACGACAGAACCGACGAATATGGAGGATCATTACAAAACCGTTGCAAATTCGCTCTTGATATAGTGGAAGCAGTGGTTAACGAGATAGGGCCAGATCGTGTCGGAATGAGGCTATCACCATTCGCTGACTACATGGAATCAGGAGACACGAACCCACAAGCATTAGCGGTTCACATGGCGGATTCTCTGAACAAATACGGGATCCTCTACTGTCATGTGATCGAAGCGAGGATGAAAACGATGGGAGAGATAAAAGCGTGTCCTCACACGCTAACGCCGATGAGGAAAGCCTTCTCGGGGACTTTCATCTCCGCGGGTGGTTTCACGAGGGAAGACGGGAATGCGGCGGTGGAGAAGGGACGAACTGATCTTGTGGCTTATGGTCGGTGGTTTCTGGCTAACCCGGATCTGCCTAAGAGGTTCCAAGTTGATGCGCCGTTGAATAAATACGATCGACCAACGTTTTACATTTCTGATCCTGTCGTCGGTTACACTGATTATCCTTTTCTCGAACCAGCTGCTGTTTAAGATTGTAACTGTGTTTTTTTCTGTTCATGTAATAAGACATTGTCGCAATATGTAATACAGGGTATCTTTCTCATTTGAATATTGGTTTACTCAAAATGGACATTTTAGTTCGAATCAGAAACTGTTGATTTTTTAATTTCAAATATTTCAAATTCTGATTTCACTCTAGTTTGATTACAATTTTCATATGAAATAGCTAAAAACCAAACATGAAAACAAAACACAACTTGAATCAGTGAAGTTGGTTTTGTTTTACAGATTGTATGGCACAATGTGAAATTGAATGGTATCCGCTTTAAACGGACCGACGAGTTTCAACTTCAAACGGTAATGGCGGGTAGGTCAACGGACGACAGCGCAGGATCCTTCCCTCGCAATGACGTGGCAACACCGCCAAATAATTTTTTATTCCCTCCACCATCATATTCACGCGCACTAGGCCTGGGCACGGAGCGGATATCCGGAAAATATCCGTGATCCGTGATCCGCTCCGTGTGATCCGGATAGTTGATTTTGCGATCCGCTCCGATCCGAAAATTTCCGGATATCCGGATCCGGATATCCATCAAAAATTAAAATATCCGCGGATATCCGATCCGATCCGTAAAATATATTTAAAAAAACAAAAAAAATATATTAATTATAAATAATTGAAAATTAGATAGAAACATCCCTAAATATATTATTGTTTCATAATTTATAATATGCCTTTAAAAATAAGTTCTAAAAACGTAAATTAATTAATCATAAAGGTACCACTAAACACATCATCGTTAACAATAAACATACTGCAAAAATAATTTTAAAGTTTTAAGTAAGCTATTGCTACGTTATTAAACCTTTTTACTATATAAATGAATGGATTATATTTGTGAAAACAATACTTTTGTTGATTTGTATGTTTCTAAAGACAAAATGAACAAATTTCTTAGTATATATGTATATATATGTAATTTTTATAATATACGGATCGGATCGGATATTCGGTTTTTCAGAAACAATATTTGCTATTTGCTCCGTTTTTAACGGATATTGAATTTTAGTATTTGCTTTGATTTGTATCGTTACGGTTATCCGGATTTTTCGGATCGAATCGAAGCGGATAACGGATCGAATCGGATATAGCGGATAATTTGCCCAGGCCTAACGCGCACCACATGAGATAAATAATTTACTCAATTATAAAAAAATAAACAATAAATCTGGAAAACTTGTTACCTAACTCTTTCCATCTTCTTCGTTTTCTGTTCCCCGAGAGATTGAGATTTTGAGAGATTCGAGAGAGAGAGAGAGGATGAGTTTCCAAGATCTCGAAGCTGGCTCTCGATTTCAGGCGCGGGATCGTTTTGGCGGCGGGAGGCAGCAGAGATCTTCGTCTCGTGGAGATCCATCTCAGGAGGTGGCCGCCGGGATTTTCAGGATCAGCACCGCTGTCAATTCCTTCTTTCGCCTCGTTAATTCCATCGGAACGCCCAAAGATACTCTTGAATTGCGAGAGAAGCTGTCAGTTCCATTTCATTTCCTTTTCACTCTTCTCCTGATTGTTAAATCTCGGAATTAATTAGGGTTTTTGTTTCAATTGTCAGTTTTATAGCTCGGTTTGAATCTTCCTCATAATTAAAAACTGCATTTTTTGTTTCCCTTACTGAGAATTGGGGTTATTAGGTTTCTAGGATGATGAATAATAGAGCCTATAGATGCGTTTACTCATTGGTTATTTTCTGCATAACTATGCTAGAGAAATCTGAAACACCTGACAGTCTTTTGATATTAGTTTTTTTTAAACAAATTTCTTGTGTATTGAGCTGTTTTTTTAGGAAAAAAAAATAGTTCAATCTATTTGTTCTGGCAATTGTCTTACGGTGTTAGGTTCTTTTGTTGGCAGGCAAAAGACAAGGCTACAGATATCAGAATTGGTGAAAAACACTTCAGCTAAACTTAAGGAAGCTAGCGAAGCCGACCACCATGAAGCAGCTAGTGTATGAAAATGCTTACATTTTTGTTTCATTTCTCAGATGGTGATTTTTGAAATGTTAGATGTGAAAGAGAACCATTTACTATTAAATCATCTTATTCAGAACCTGACTTTTTTGTGTAGGAGAATTTGTTTCCTATAGATGACATGTGTATAGACTTGTTTATCCTCTGTACATTAAATTTTTGTATTATCTTTGTTTAACTTGTAGCCAATTAAGAAGATTGCGGACGCTAAACTGGCAAAAGATTTCCAATCAGTTCTCAAAGAATTTCAGAAAGCTCAGAGACTTGCAGCTGAAAGAGAAATAACATATACTCCTGTGGTCACAAAAGAAATACCTACCAGGTAACTATAGTACTGTAATTGTAAATAAGTCCTGTTGTTTCCTAGATGAGAAAAAACAAAATCCCCTGGATTATATACTGATATCTAATCGTTGTATAAAAGAGGATAGCTTGATTAATGTCGAAAAAACCTTTCGAATATTCAGAAAAAGTTGAACTTTGGATTGTTTAATGATAGTTTGTGGAATGTGAGTCTCACTTACACATGCTTCATTGGTATAATGCAGCTATAATGCACAGGAACTGGATAATGAATCTGTAAGGACATCCCAGCAGCAAACTCTTCTTCTACAATCAAGAAGGTAAGGAGTTTGATTTGGTTGTATACCAACTTTCCTAATTCACTCGATCGTTTGTTTAGCATAAACAGAATCCAAATGTGAGTCAAGCATGGGAGTTCCATAATTAGATATTTAACTGGGTTTTAATAGAATTATTCACTCCAGGCACTAACCGTAGCCTTAAATGTTGTTATTGAAAGCTTAAACACGGGTTAATAGAATTTTTGAAGTTGATTATGCGCGTGAAACCTCATTAGATTCATCTTCTCTGTTTTGGCATGTTGTGTTAACTCACATCTTGCGGCGACATGCTTTATTAACTTCTTATTATTCGAATTCCAGGCAAGAAGTGGTGTTTTTAGATAACGAGATAACATTCAACGAAGCAATTATTGAGGAAAGAGAGCAAGGAATTAGAGAAATTCAAGAACAGATTGGTGAGGTGAATGAAATCTTCAAAGATCTAGCTGTTCTAGTGAATGATCAAGGAATTATGATTGGTAAGTAACCCCAACAAGCAGAAACTGTAGATTCTTCTGTTTCCTTTTTGACCCTTTTGAATCTCAGATAAACTGTAATGTTTATTTGGCAGATGACATCAGCTCTAACATTGATAACTCACATGCTGCAACTACACAAGCCACTGCTCAACTCAGAAAAGCATCTAAAACGCAAAGAGCAAACTCATCTTTGGTACGCACTAGAGACTTTCTTCTCAATTTTCTGCGAATCCTTATATTAACAGCTAAATCTAAGTTTGATATGTTTCTACGTTGTTGCAGACATGCCTACTTATTCTTATTTTCGGGATTGTTCTACTCATTGTCATCATCGTTGTCTTGGTCTGAGCATCAACCATCTAACTCTAAGCTTCAGTCAACAACCATCAAGCAAAGACGAATCCATGAAACTATACAAAGAACCCATTAAAGAAATATATCTATTGTACAGATTCTTTATACTCTATCGTTCTTCCCATTCAGTCGGATTGTATCTCGACTTCTCTTCATCGTCTGGATGTTTATGTATTACTCCATCTCAGGGATCTTTATAAGCAATAAAAAGTATTAATAAACGTAAACATATAAAAAATTAAAAAGCAGTTTTTTGTTGTTGTGTGCACGAATCGGCCAGGGACCACAGGTTAACGTAGTCGTATGGTAATTGTAAATGATGAACGTTTGCACACAAGCAATATTATAATAGAACTCAAAGGGCTATTCACAAGCACGATAGTAAATCTTTTACGTTTCTTCTTTTCTTTCTATAAGTTTTGTACATTCCAAGTCAAAATGTAAAGGACAAGGTACATTCCTCCACCTTCGTTCATATCCCCTTCAACAATCTCCCCTGAAAATCAACATCTGTCAGAAACAATTGATAACTCAGGAAGACAGAACAACAATGCTGAGAAACAACAGGTTGTTAACTCCATCGATGTTCTTACCTTCATTTCCTCTGTGTTTCTGAGGAAAGCAGTCCCATCTGTTCAGTAAGGTAGTTCATTTGCAGTTGATTCCCACTCCACTCGTTTGGTTCTTGCTCCATTACGTGGTCATTGTTCTCCACTGATCCTGATAGCACCTCGTCTGTGTCATCAGCAAAGAACTGTTCCCAGAACGGATCTTGGACTCCAGGCAGCTTAGGGTTCTCGTTCATCAACTCATTCATCTCGCCCTCACCGCATTCAGGAGAAACTCCATGGCCGTTTATCTCCAACGACCCATCTAAGACAGCCATTGTTGGATCGAAACACTCTCCATTACCTGTCTCACATCCAAACAGATCAGAATCAGGGCTCCAAGAAGCTCCAGCTGATACTCCTTGCGTTGGACTTGAACCAAAGTTTGGCTGAAACATTCCAGCTTGAGGATCATGAGCCAAACTTGCTTCAGGTACTTGACTCAACGCTGAGTGAGCAGAGTTGGATGAAACCTCGTCTACAGAGTTAGAAATGGGAACATCACCCAAGAGAAAACTACCAGGACTATTCGAAACAGATTCACGCTTAGGTGAGCTACTAGTATTCAAAAACTGTCTGAGCATAGCTTGTCCTGCTTCATTTACCGATGGCTGATATCTAATAATCTGGCGGTTAACCTCATTACCTCCACAGTTCTCCTCTTCATCTCCAAGTCTCCTCTTCTTGTTGCTTCCCGGAATCTGTCTGTTGCCATCGTTATTCTGTTGTACCAACTGGTTCAAGAAACCTGGACTTTGCACAGCCTTGGCTAGAAACGACATCATCTGTTGTTGCCTCTGCTCCATCACCTGAACTTTCTGCCCCACGTTCTGCAGTTGGTGCTCCGTGGCTTGTTGCTGCTGCCTTAACCTGACGAGCTCTTGCATAAGAACGTTCTTGTCCCGCTTGAGCCTTTCCACTTCCTCTTCTATTCCAAACTTGCCCACCTCCACACAAGCACCAACAGATGAGTTCTTCTGAACTTGAGTTTGTTGCTGACTCTGCTGCTGCACTTGAGAAGATTTCCTCCTCGAAATGTTCTTCAGTAGTTGCTTTTGGCCTCTTAAGAACCCTTCATTTGCAAACTCCCATCGATCTGGATCAACTTTTCTGAATCCCTGAACATAAGAATACAGGAAGACTACAGCGATCAACGAAACTTGTCGACCACAAAACAGTTCCAGGCTAACAAACTTTCTTGAGCCTAAACTATCATGGATCAATCGGAATTAAAATTTGAAGAAAAAAAATTAGCATTGATCAATTGGAATTACAGAAGGAGTGATGATTACATAAGTGTTTAGTTGCCTGACGAAGCTGGAGAAATTGTTGTGCTTGAAGTACTTGGGCAAGAGGAGTTTCGAGAACTCCGGCACGTTCCAGACGACGAAGCTGTTGTTCCCGCTGCTCCAAGATACGACCTCATTGGACGAAGGATCATCGACCATGTCGTAGGTTTTGCTCAGAAAAGGCGGCATGGAGCTCCCCGGCGGGGGTTTAGACGGCGGATTCGAGTTCGGAGACGGTACGGATTCCATAACTCGGAATGAAAAGCGAAGAGTTACTCACTAAAGCAGGTGATCGATTGATTTATTGAGATGGATCCCGAGCTCAAACTTCTTCACAGAGACTCTCTCTCTCAAGTGTTTAAAGACCCAATCTTGTTGATCTTTTTCCCTTTTAAGCTGAAGGAAGAAGACTTGTTGTACAGAGCGGAGGCATGGGTATTTCGGTTATGTCTCTTCGGTTCTATTCAGTTCGGTTACGTTCAATTCGGCTCGGTTCCAGATAAATTTGTTCCAAAATGCTTGGAATTTTCAGTTTTTGTTCGGTTTATTTCATTTTGGTTTGGAAGACACCAACTAATAAAACCGAATTCGGTTAAGCTCAGAAAGTACACGTAGGATCGGTAGCAGCTTTAACTCTTACTCGGTGGGTTTACCAAGTGGCACGGTATACACCGTCAAAATAATAAGATTATTTATCTATGCGGCGTTTGATCATATCATAATTATTTACAAAAAGCCACGTAGGACGCAAGAAAATTCGTTCGTGGCTCTTATCTCTCTCTCTCATACTTACTGACACTGATTGAATCATTTCAAGTGAAGCTGCAAAATCACAAAACAAAACGATGAATCCGGTCGCTGTTCATCGCGTTTCCTTCGAATGCGTTTCGCGTTTCTCTCTGATCCATCGAGAATCAGTCGAGGGCTTCTCCGGTCGCCGGATTGTGAATTCGCGTGGAAGGAAATGGCCGCCGACTCGGCGGCTGCATGCGGTGACGGCGAGTTTGATCACCAGCGCTGACTCGTTCGAGGTAGGGCGCCTTATCGGAAGCTACGGATTCATGAATGTAACTAGGTACTCTGACAGTCTCACTGGATAATTTTGTTCTCTCTCTTTAGCTGGAGCTTCTATGTTGCTTCGCGTTAAGAAATCTCAAATTTATATCGAAATTGTGTGTATGCGTGGAAGATATTGGGTGAAAAAAGGTTCCAATTAGCTATCTGAGCACGTACTATATATAAACATGTATGTATAATAAGTCTGTAATTGCCACAAGTTTATGCAATGTATACGTGAGCTTGACAATTACTTGAAGGTTCTTATCTTGCAGTCTTGCTCTCTTGCTAGATTCTACTTCGTTTTCTAAGATTTCACCTTTTTTGTGCCCCTAGTTATTCAGGGTTGCAGTCAGGATCTGAATTTGACTATACATCCGATGATATTGGGCGATTAAAAGCTCAAGACATTGGAGAAGGCGGCGTTAAGATCAGGTGCGATTTTGGCATAGTGTAGACAATGTATTAGATGGCGATATATTTGGTCAAGTTAAAAATGTATTAGCCACGGCAGTTTCTCTGCAGACTATACGAAGGAAGGATATCTCAGGGTCCATTTCGAGGAGTCCCTGTTATCTTTAAGGTAATTCTGCTTGCTTTGTTAATCTGCAAAGGTTGTTGTTTTTCATAAGGAATTTTCCATTTTCATGAATCTGTCTACATCATCAGGGCATATTTTCTTCTGCTGTGCGAGTCTTTCTTACTGTATTAGAAGTCCGTCATCAAAACTTTATTTTGTAATTTTTTTCTCACATACTCGCCTCTGTGAAGGTCTATCCTGGAAAGCGTGCTGGTGGGACTGAGGCTGACATGATGGCAGCAAACGAGCTGAATGCACATTCTTTTCTCCAGGTTTAATATGCAGCTATGCAAGATTGCTAAATGTATCCTTAGCAATTACTTTTCATCGGCGGATTAGAGTGCAATCACCATGTTGTTCTGCTTGTTTATGCAGAGTCAAGAGAACCTGCCTTCTAATCTGCTGATGCTTGTTGGTGGCTTTGAGACACAATTTGGGGAACAGGTCAGGCTTACGATTTGAAGCACCTGACTGTTGAGCTTTGTTTGTTAAGTATGTGGATATTTTGGCATAACTTATGGAACATAGGTTGAATCGGTTCATGCATACAGTGGCTGGCTTTTCGTGACGGTGGCAAAGATAGTGCAGCTGACTATGCACGGAATGCCAGTGAAAAAACATCAAGAGCTCGCTCCCAAGGAGCATGGAATCCTTATGAAAAGGAGCAGATGATAAAACGAAGGAGAAAATTTGTCATTAAGATCTTACAGGGTGCAATGAAAGGACTAGCCTTTATGCATGAGAATGACAGGTTACACCAAAGCCTTGGACCCTCCTCAATTGTTCTCAAGTATGCCCCCTACAACTATCTGAAAGTGATAGCACAAATCTCTCTCAATATAAGTTTATCATCTCTCTGCTAATTTTATATTTTTCTGGTTACATTATCTTTAGTACACCAGCGGAGAGAGAAGCCATGTATCTAATACCGCGGCTACGAGATCTAGCCTTTTCTGTTGACATAAGGTTCCATCGCTTTCTCCTTTTCCCTTTTTCTGATATTCTTCTGCCATCTTTGTCTTTACTGTTTATAACTGGCCACTAGAATTGTTAATTACGTTAGCGCTTTTCAAGAACTCTTTGTTGATAGACTGAGCTTACCTGACAGGCCATCATGCTTGGAAGAAGGAGCGACTTCTGGTGCACTATCAGAGCAACTTTGGCGTAGGGCAACTGCATCTGGCGCCTTCACAGTTTTTGAGAAGAGAGCTTTTGGGATTGCAGATGACATGTAACATGCACTCGCTTTCTAAGTCGTTCGTTTTCTTAGTTGCCAAAGGTTATTTGATAAAAAGATTAACACAATTATGATGGTAAACAGATATGAAGCGGGTCTTCTTCTTGCATACTTAGCCTTTGTTCCGTTCTGTGAAGCAGGCGTAATGGATTCTCTTTCTCTTCAGGCAAGATTACCATATTATTGGACGCGATGCAACTAATAGAAATATAGCTCTGTTTTTTCTCATTTTCAACACAAAGTCTTCTTATTGATCCCACAATTCTATCAGCTCTTATACTTTTGAATTTAAAATATCTTCTTCAGACAATTTTTGTTTGACCGTAATTTAATCTGATGAACTGCAGAGGCTACTGGAAAACACATTCCGGCTGGATATCGAGGCTGTAAGAGAGTAAGCCTATTGCTATCTGCAGATTAACTAACATTCTCTATGGTTATAAGTTTCTTTTGTTAAAAGTTACAGAGATAGCATTCAGTTAGATGGTTCTTCCCTGATGTGTGTGTATTTGAAAAACCTCACTAATTTTTCTTATACAGGTACTGTTTAGCCGATGAACGCCTCGAAGATGCTGTTAAGTTTCTAGATCTTGGTGATAGAGCTGGTTGGGAATTACTCCAGGTATTTAGTTCCCCCAGTTTTCTCTGCATAATATGGAAAAAAATTGAAAATGTTCTCTTCTTCTGTCTTTTATTTTTATAAATTGAAATGAAAATGCTTCATACTTGAGAAATGAGGTTGAACTGTGTGTGGTGTTTTGATAGGCAATGTTGAACGCTGACCATAGGAAACGGCCAATGGCGGAAGCTGTTCTTAGTCACCGATTTTTGAACGGCGTTGTCAATTGAGAAGAGGAAAGATTATGTGTTAATTTAACGTAATTATCTACACTTGTTTTCCAGAATAATATCATATGGTGGGTTCTTTTTATACCAATCTGTTTTTGTTTGGTTGATGCCTTGATGATAGAGTCGCACTTTTTGACTGACAAACACATGGATCATCATAACAGAATTGAATACTTTGGTATTAGAATGTGTGAAAACATTCATAATACATATTGATATAAAAAATTAACTGTCGTATGAAAAACATGGGTCCTAATAGAATTATTTGAGAATTAAAAAAGAAAAGATTAGGGGCAATTCTTCAAACAACGTTCCATACAAATTGGGTCACCGCCACATTTGAGGATACAGTTTCTGTAGCAGATACCGACCTTGCCTTCTTCTGGCCTTAATACTGCTTCCTCCCTTTGTATCATCACAAATTAATACAACGTACGTAAATCAACCAAATTCATGTGTATATGTGTTTATATCAAATATTAATCAAGAAAGTTAAACTTAAAAGAGAAATATGAAAATACGTACGCTAGGAGAGACGATGGTCCGGGAGAGGGATTACAAATGGCATTGCAATGCAGCTGACAGATGTAATCATCGACGCGGCATCCGACAATGCAATTGTTGAAACAAGATTGGTCCGCATCCATTCCATTACATGCTTTAAGACCACATTCCATTATTACCAATACCATCACCATCACCATCTTCATACACATTTGTCGTGCCATTTCTATTACAACTATTCTGTTCAAAAAGAGATAAAACTCAAAATAAGATTGATATTTGTGGGTACACAGACACAGCTATGCGAACGAGTAACGTCTGTTTATATATCGAATTCTTACGTTACGTAGTCTTTGTGTTGTTATACCCCCTATTGATTTCATGATTTCTAAATAGAATTTCCAAATTAGGTCTTGTTCAATATTATGATTTTAAGAAGGGATTTTGGTTTGACTTGAATATAATTTTACCTTTTTGTTTAAATTGCAACAATTTTGTTTTTTTTTTTTTTTTTTTTTTTTGAATTACTAAGAGGTTCTGGGCCGAAGCCCGTACATCCCCTTAGGCCCGAAACCACAGCATATAATATTGGTTTCGTCCCAAACGGCACTCGATCCTGTGACCTTTAAGCTTTGCCTAGGATCCTACCAGTCGAGCAATAGCCACTTGGTAATTGCAACCACTTTGACTTATGCTAAAAGTAATTTTACTGTATAATATTGTATCGTGACCTTCTTTATACTAATGTGACCATATCAAACTACTCTACAGTGAGTTTTTCTTCTCCCACTCTTCCCTCTCCTTTTAGCTTATTTGATACTCGAAACTTCAAAGCTAGTGCATTTCAAGATAATGGTGATAGTCTTACCCCAAAAATGATATATAATCTGCTCATTCTGCAATTACCTGTTGTAGATTGTTTTGCTGTCACCATAAATCAAAAGATTAAGGACGACCTCTTCATTCATAGAGGAAGAATCAATTTTGTAAAAGTCCCTTTTTATATAAATGAAGAAGACGCACGTGCTTGTTTGTCGCAAGGCACGTGAGTTGATCCCAAAAAGAATCAAAGAAGCTTCTTCGCTTCATAACGAATCTGCTGGGTAAAGACGGCAAAGCAAGCAAAGGACCTTTCCTCGTTTCGTTTTTCCTTCCATTTCTGCACGAAAAGTCGTTTCTTTCGATTCACTTCACTCGGCGAAAATCTCTGCAGATCAACAAACCCATCTTCAGATTCCGAAGCCCTAATCAAACCCGGATTCGATTCCGAGAAACGGGTTGAAGATCGATTTGATCTTGGTTGTTGCTCGCTAGTTGATTCAAACGAAAAGTGTTCGAAATCCAGAATTCAGGTTGTCTGAGTCGTAATTATTGCGAACAATGTCGCGTTTCCCCCGTGGATTCGTGGAGAATTCACCAATGGAGAAACCCAAAATCCCTCTTCGTCCAACAATTTGCTTCAGGCCGATAAACCCTTCTGATTTAGAACGTTTGGAGCAAATCCATCGCGACATATTCCCAATCAGGTACGCCAAGTACCTTCTTTTACATGAAGATTTGATTATGTGTTTTGTGGATTTCGGATTTGACTTTCCATTTTCGGAAATTGAGTTCTTCAGGTATGAGTCTGAGTTTTTTCAGAATGTTGTCAACGGAGGTGATATCATCTCTTGGGCTGCTATTGATCGGAGCCGGCCTGATGGTCACTCTGAGGAACTTATTGGATTTGTTACTGCCAGAATCGTGCTTGCCAAAGAAAGCGAAGTGAGTTTCTGTTCTTTTGTCAAAGTGTTAGACTTTGAATATCCGAGATGTTATTTTTTGCAATTTGCTTCAGTTTATAATGTTTAAGTTATGGTTGAAGCTTGTTTTGAATGGATTTTCGGTTTTGTGAAGAAGCTGCAAGATATTGGAAGTGTAGATTTTAAATGTTTGAAACAGTTTGAAGAGATAGGGATTCTTACAATTTTTCTGAAAAATCGATACTTTCTACTATTTCAGCAGACGTTTGTAAGGTTTTAAGTTTTTGATTGAAGCTTATTTTGTGATATGTTTTTAACTCTTACGCATTGTCTTCTCTTTGTTCTTTGCCTTTTGGGTTTTATACTGAAATTTCTGAGTAATTTTGTACAGCAAGTAGAAGTTGTTGTAAAGTGTGGAAACATCTCACAGTGTGGGTTTAATGATTATGATTCAAACTTGTTTTGTACTCGTTCGCTTGATGTAACGAGTCAAGAACTATTTATATTTATATGCTCTGATAGTTTTCTGTGTCTTGCACAGATATCAGATCTCATAAGATATGACTCTTCCAAGGGAGAGGAGACATTGGTGTACATCTTAACACTCGGAGTTGTAGAGACATACAGAAAACGCGGAATAGGTAGTGACTTTGATTGACCTCATGTAGTAAACGAATGATACGGATTTAATATTTGATTCTTCTCATCTCTTGCTTGGCTTTGTTTGCAGCAAAGTCGCTGATTAACGAGGTTGTCAAATACGCATCCACTATCTCCGTGTGCCGTGGTGTTTACCTTCACGTGATTGCACACAACAATCCTGCAATCAGATTGTACAAAAGAATGTCATTCAGATGTGTGAGGCGGTTGCACGGATTCTACTTGATCAACGGCCAGCATTTCGATTCTTTCTTGTTCGTCTACTTTATCAACGGTTCTCGCTCTCCTTGCTCGCCCTTGTAAGCACAAAACACATTCCCCTTTCTTGCATTCCAATGCTGTGATGTTTCCTTGCCGTTTTTTTTTTCATATTTGGCTTGCATTTGCAGAGATCTTGCGGTGTTGGTACTGAATTACATGAGGAGCGGAATCAGATCAGTCGCGTCAAGGCTTACGATGAAGCAGGAAGAGAAAGGCTTGAAATGGCTTAAATGCAAAGACAATGCGCGGTGTCTCTTGCCCACTCAGACCAAACGAAACGTTGCATCCGAAAGATTATCTTCTGGGTATGATTACGTTTAGTTTGTTCGTCTTCTTCGATTCATAGACTTGTGTAAAAAATCATTCATTGGCGTGTCTTCATTAAGCTCTGGTTGTGATCCTATTGTGTGGTCTCTGTAGCAATAATGTAATAAAAATGTAAATATTGTGATAGTTGAAGAAAACTTCTCTTTTCGGACGGAGGGAAGATTAGCTTTGTGCTTTAATGGCGGTAAATAGCTAAAGCTCTTATAATACTTCAAATTACAAAAACAAACCCCAAAATTTCCATTTTTCTTTTCTTTTCAGTTCGATTTCATTTTTGTATACAACTTCCGTTTAATTCAGTTTGGTCCTAGAAAATTTTAATATCTTAAAAGATTAAGTATTAATTTGTGAAGGTCTATTTAGCAATTTTAAAAAGAACAGGGATTAGTATACAATAAAGTGAAAGTTCAGGAGTTTTTATGCATTTATATAAGAAGCAAATCGGAGAAAAAAAAAATAGCAGAGAAAGAAACGAGAGAAGCCGGGAAGTAGTGGAAACATAGAATTAGGTATCACAGAATCTTATCTGTTTCGGAGTTTTGATCGTAGAAGAGGTGTCTTGATCGTGGGTTCGATTCAAGTAAGTGAAAGACTCTCTTTTTTCAAATTATTTATTTGGTAAATCGCTCTCACTGGAATTTTGTTCATTACACACAACAAATTGAGAAATTGAAGTCGTCCTAGACCGAGGAAGTTTAGAATAAGAAATCGAAGTCTTTTATAGCGTTTATTGCTCAATTAGTAGCTCGATTTTTCGATTCTGTTCTGTAAATTCCAATGTGAATCGAGCAATCTTGTTCAAAAGGATCTTTGCTTTCTCACTGGTTTGAGCAGTTTTAGCTTTCCATAGATTAAAATTTATGGCTCTGATAAAGCTTTAGAATTTGCGAAATTTTATCATATTTGCTTAGCTTATGGATTGTGTTTGTTCTGCAGATTTGTGTAAAAGAGAAAATCGAGTAGTCAAGATGTCAGTAAGAGCTAGAAGGATTGTTTCTAGTAGGCCTGAGACTGTAGCAGCTAATTACGCGTTTGATCCGTTAGAAGATGACAAGATAATAAGAAACAGGCTTCTCACACGCACGACCACCACTAGAGGCGAGCCTCCATTGAAGAAGCTTCAGAAGAAATCCACTTCTTTCATCGTCGAATTAGAAAAAGAAGAAGATAACTACAGCGAGTGCGCTAGGCTCGCCAAAGCTTTTCTTCAAGAACTCTCCGCTTTCGAGATCCCTCTTCTCAAGAGCCAAGCGGTTGTTGCTGCGAAGCTTAGGGAGAAGGAGAACTTCAACGACCTTAAAGACGAGACGAATAGGCAGATTATGCAGGCTCAGGCCGATATAGAAGATCTTAAGAAACAGCTTGAGGAGAGTAAAATAGAGAGACAGCATAAAGAGGAGTGTGAAGCGATTAGGAAACTTATCTCTACGCAGCCGGCGAGGTCAGAGACGCAGAAGGTTATACATGAATTGAAGAAGGAGATTGTAGAGCTTGAGGCAGAGAGTACTGCAAGCTGGAGACTTCTTGAGCTGAGGAAGAAGCAGTTTGCATTGTTGTTGCATGTGGTAATGTTTGATTTCACAGTCTCTTTTTTTTGTTGTTTCTCTTTATTGTGTTTATAGCTGAATTCAAGGTGGGTTTTGTATGCACAGGTGGATGAGTTGCAGGAGACAATGGAGGATGAACAGAAGAGTATGGTGGAAGAAATGCAGAGGAACATTTCCGAGGAATCAACAGCTGCTGGTGCGGAAGCCATGTCCATCGATTAGCGACTTTGTCTTCTATTGAATGCTAAATAGACCTTTCATTGCAAAGAATCTCTGTTTTTATCAGTTGCCGGTTTCTGGTTATCTCTTAGCCGATATTGCAATGATAACTCACACTCCGCTGTTGTGGAGACTTGCAGATTCAAGAAGATCATTTTTTTTGGCTAACAAGCACTTGAAATCAGATACACCGAACCAATTTTGTTAATGTGCAATTCTAAACAAAGAGTAAACCAGTATTTTTAATAAATAACCGACCAATTATTCACGTACCAACGGGTTTGCTATTTAACCGGAATATTATATATATACGTATGTCTTCCGATTTTTTGCCAGAATCGTCGTCCTCTCTCGTCTATCAGAGTTTCACCGTCTCTTTCCACGGCGAGTTTGCGATAGTCCGCGGTATGCTGTTAGCCGTAGTCTCGCTGGCTTGAAGCGTTTTCGTCTCAATTGAATCGCATTTATTAGGGCGTTTATCTTCTTAAGCTGGTATTCGTCGGTGTACCTTCGCAATTTATCTCTAAACCCTTGGAAATTTCTCCAGCAATTCTGAGCGTTTTCAATCTTCGTTGTCCGTGGATTCGAATATCCCAGCACTTTCCATTGAAGAATTGATCTCTAGGTTAGTTGAATCGGATTTTGATGCAGTTTATGTTTTCCTTCAGATTTCTGCTCGTACGTTTGCGTTTTGTTTTCGATGAACTTCGTATCGCTTGAGCTTGAGCTTGTTCCGTTTTCCGTTTCTCGTTCCTTCTCCGGACTTAGACTTCGTGCTATAGCCAGAACTGAGATTTGATTTTACCTTATTATTTTCTCGATAGCAATGAAATTCTTCTCAGGTTAGGGTTAACTCGTTTGTATGTTTAGTAAGTAGCTATTCAGTTTTTCAACAGTCTGAGTAATCGATTATTTCCAATAGTGTGCAAGTACTTCGTCGGAATAATTCATGGGTAGCTAGTTTCATCTTGCTCGTTACAGTCTGCAGCTACTGTTATTGTTGATTCTAAGTTGTTCTCGTTTTGTGTGTAGGTCTTGATTGAAGTCCTTGTTATCTGTTTAAGCGTTTGAATATGGAAGTGGAGAAGTCAAAATCAAGGCATGAAAGCAGGGAAGAGAGGGCTGAAAACGATGGTTCACTTGCTAGAGATTACAGAGAGGGAAGGAGGAGAGAAAAGGATCATAGGAGCAAGGATAAATATAAGGATTACGACCGAGATAGGAACAGGGACAAGGAGCGTGAACGGGACAAGGACCAACGAAGGGAAAAGGAGAAAGAGAGGGACCGGAAAAGAGATAAAGAGGGAGACACGGAGAAAGAGATCTCTAGAGGTAGAGATAAAGAGAGGGAGAAAGAAAAGAGCAGAGACAGGGAAAGGGATAGGGAGAGAGATCGGGTGAAAGAAAAGGAGAGGGAAAAAGAAAGGGATAAACATAAAGATAGAGAAAGGGAGAGGGATATTGAGAAGGAAAAAGATCAGGAGAAATTGAAAGAAAGGTCTAAGGAGAAGGAGAAGGATGGATACAAAGACCAGGATAGGTCAAGAGGGACGGATAGAGCGAGCAAGAAAAGCCATGAAGATGATGATGAGACTGAAAAAACTGTGGAAAGATATGAGCATTATGATAACAGAGTTTCAAATGAAAGCGAGGATAATGTTGGTGCTGCACCAAGTGGGAAAGAAGGATCTGCATCGGAACTTCAGAATCGCATCTTGAAGTAAGTGATACTTTCTTTGTTCTCTTAACTAGTCAATCATTAAATCTATTATATAGTCCTTGTTATTACTGTGTAAGGTTTAAGGCTCTGCTTACTTTTCTTATGCTATATGCATCTAGATATGCAGGTAGTATTCGAATAATAACTTTTGTGTTTTCTTCGTTAGGATGAGAGAGGAAAGAAAGAAGAAAGAAGAAGATGCTTCTGATGCTCTATCATGGGTTGCAAGGAGCCGTAAGATTGAGGAAAAAAGAAATGCTGAGAAGCAAAGAGCTCATCAGCTCTCGAGAATTTTCGAGGAGCAGGTATTTCCTTCATTCCGTGGACATATTTGTATCCTTATATTTCTCCATGACTTCCTTTTATTCGACATTTGAATAATCTATCCTATGTTACATTTGTTCAGGACAATCTTAACCAAGGTGAGGATGAAGACGGCGAGGATGGGGGTAAGTTTTCCTTTGCTCGAATTTATATAAATGTTAGGATTTAAATAGCTGGCGAATTTACTGTGGGATAAGAGCGATATATATAGGGTGATACTGGTAGAACATACTTTGCAGTTCGTTCACACGTAACTATAAACCTTCAAAAGTTTTGATCATAAACTAGTACGATTAAGTGTAATTATTCAAGTATGCTATCATACAATAGAATTCTGTTCTCTTTCGTTCTTAAATCAAGTTTCTTCATGTGATGCGTTCTGGTTAATAATTATCTTCAAATATTCTGGTTAACAGAGCATCTATCTGGTGTAAAAGTTCTACATGGTTTGGAGAAAGTGGCGGAAGGTGGAGCAGTTATCTTGACACTAAAAGACCAGAGTGTCCTTGCCGATGGAGACGTGAACAATGGTTAGTATCGTTTTTATGCTCTCTTTTATTTATGTTATTATCGTAGTTTATGTGAGGGGTCTGTTGTAAACGAGATTTGCAACTATCCTGGCAGAGATTGACATGCTAGAAAATGTGGAAATTGGAGAACAGAAGCGTCGGAATGAAGCTTATGAAGCAGCCAAGAAGAAAAAGGGAACATATGATGATAAGTAAGTTTAAGGATATTTCAATGGGATAGATAAGCATATCTCTTTTACTTAAGACTAAGCAATCATATTGATTTTTTAGGTTTAATGATGAACCTGGGGCAGAAAAGAAGATGCTTCCGCAGTACGATGAGCCTGCTACTGATGAGGTAAGTTACTCTGTCTAGAGGACTTTTCAAATACTAAAATTTTAGGCACTCCTTTGGAATAATCTTGCTGCCCTCATCTTTAGGGGATATTTTTGGATGCAAAGGGTCGCTTTACCGGTGAAGCAGAGAAGAAGCTGGAGGAGGTACGTTTGTTCCTTACGTTTTTTTTTTATGATTAATGAATTGTAGTAAGTATACGCTAATGGAATTTGTTGTCCTTCATGTTCTACCTATCAGCTGCGTAAGAGAATTCAGGGTCAAACGACAAATACTTTTGAAGACCTTAACTCATCAGCAAAGGTCTCATCAGATTACTTCTCACACGAAGAAATGCTACAGTTCAAAAAACCAAAGAAAAAGAAATCATTGCGGAAAAAGGATAAATTGGACGTAAGCGCGCTCGAAGCAGAAGCTGTTGCATCGGGACTCGGAGCTGAGGATCTCGGTTCTCGCAAAGACGGCAAAAGGCAGGCATTGAAAGAAGAGAAAGAAAGGTTCGAGGCTGAAAAACGGAGCAGTGCCTATCAGGCAGCCATTGCTAAAGCTGACGAGGCATCAAGACAACTCAGAATGGAACAATTTAAGCCTATCAAAAGAGAAGAAGACGAGAGTTCAGTGTTGGCTGATGATGCTGAAGATCTTTATAAATCGTTAGAGAGAGCTAGGAAGTTAGCTTTGACAAAGAAAGAGGGAGCTGTACCTGGTCCTAGAACAGTTGCGCATCTTCTGGCTTCGAGCACCAATCAAACGACTGATGATAATAGCGCTGAGACACAAGAAAATACAGTGGTTTTCACAGAGATGGATGGATTTGTCTGGGGTCTCCAGCGCGATGAAGGTAAAAGTTTAAATCATCTGGTGACACAAATACATCGTTATTTATCGATTACCATTTTTTCTTAATAGTTAGAAGTTGTATGGAGTTTTGGATCTAAGGGTCTGGTCTTTCAGATGTGCGGAAGCTTGAAAGCGAAGATGTTTTCATGGAAGAAGATGAAGCACCAAAAGCTGCTGAAGAAGTAAAAGAAGAGCAACCCGATGGTTGGACAGAAGTAAAAGACACTGATATGGATGCAGCAGAGCCTTCATCAGAGACCGAAGAGACAACTCCGGATTCAACTATACACGAGGCTCCGCTTGGAAAAGGATTATCTGGTGTATTGCAGCTTTGTAAAGACCGAGGAACCCTAAAGGAGAAGACCGACTGGGGTGGTAGAAACATGGACAAAAAAAAGAGCAAGCTTGTGGGCATTGTGGATGATGATGGAGGTAAAGAGAGATTCCATGATATCCGGATTGAGAGGACTGACGAGTTTGGTAGAACTGTAAGTTTTCCTAGGCTTTTCTTCTCAGTCTTACTAAACTCGTCCTTATATGTATTGTAAAATAATCGTTCTTCATCTCTCTGGTTGTTAACAGTTAACTCCAAAAGAAGCCTTTCGTTTACTCTCTCACAAGTTCCACGGGAAAGGGCCTGGAAAAATGAAGGAAGAGAAGCGGATGAGACAGTACCAGGAAGAGCTCAAGTTAAAGCAGATGAAAAACTCAGACACACCGTCTCTCTCTGTCTCAAGAATGAGAGAAGCTCAAGCTCAATTGAAAACTCCTTACCTTGTCCTCAGTGGCAATGTCAAACCAGGGTATATATAATTGCTTCGTTACTCGGTTTTAGTTTTTCGATTTGTAGGCGTCACAGAGATCTAAGTTACACTCGGTTTCTTTTGACTAACACGTGTTTGTTGTTTGCATTTGCAGACAAACGAGTGATCCACAGAGCGGGTTTGCGACTGTTGAGAAGGATGTTCCTGGAAGCTTAACACCGATGCTTGGTGACAAAAAGGTTACATAATCTAGATGATTACATTTCTCTTAAACAACTTATTAATAAAATGCTGAATCGGGGATTAGTGTTGATCTTTGCATTGATGCGTTTCAGGTGGAGATGTTCTTGGGAATAAAGCGGAAACCAGAGCCTGGAAACTCGAATACTCCACCAAAGAGACCAAGGCCTTGAAGGAGACTTTTAACCAATCAAAAGCTCTTACTTGCGTCTTTGCTTCACATCGAATTTGTCTCTGGTATACTCTTTTTAAGGATTCTGATATTTGTTACAATCTTTAGAAGAAGACATAGGCTATGCTCATGTCACATAGCTCAATATAGAGTCATGCCGAGACTGGTGAATGAGCAAATGCGACTATATTTTGATGAAGTGTGCAAAATGGCGTCTGTTTGGTTTCGGTTTGTAATAAGATTTCTCTTTCATAGGATATAATTCAAAAGATATTTCAGTTTGGTTTAGAGAAACGGAATCGAATCAAAAATCCAACCATTGGCTTTTATTTTCTTGAGAATATTTTTTAGGCACATTTCTTGTTATGATCTGCAAGCTTTAACATTAGCACACGTTTCTCCTTGTATTCCTCTGTCACGATCAAAAGTTGAAATATGTTCAAGTGTTTGATTTGAATTAAAATTACGAAAAAATCAGTTTCCTTTGACATAAAGTACAAAAACTTTCTTGGATTTCTCTTTGGCACAAGATTAAAAATAGTGCCAAGATGTTGTGTCCGCGAGACATGTACTTGTAGCATAAGTTATGTAACTATATAAATATTTATTCAGTTAATCTTTTGTCTCGAACGAAAGTCAAATTCAAAACAAGATTGTGTCCCTTTCGAGAGTATATATTGTAGTTCACTTCTTCTTACCCATCGCCAACTAAATCTTCAATCTTCAATTATATTTGGTAAAACAGACAAAAAGGTATTTACATTTCTTGCAATTTAATAGAAACCCCTTTATCAAAAATGAAGAAGAAAACAGTCAAAGTATACATATATTTCTTATCCATAAAAAAAACTTATTTATTTGTTCATTCGGGTCGGGAGAGTCCAAGATTTTTGTTTTGTTTTTACATTTTGACTAAAATACAATTAATGTGAGACATAACAAGTTTGATTGTTTTGTTCGCATTTGCTTATGCCGGTTTACGTTTGGATAGTATGTTTGCTTAAAAATGAATTCCAAAGGGAAGGAAATATTTGTGCTTGCGTTCGAGATTTGCTTTTATAGTTTATGATGATATTTTAAAAGAGAAACCCACTCTTACATTTTCTTCAAATATATAAAACTACAATTTAAAAATGTAATAACAAACATGAATATTTTTATTAATTTGATACAATAAAAATAGTTAACTTTTTACAAGATCAATTTACCATACATGTATGAAAGAACAGAAAACTGTAAAGATTAGTTTGAACAGTAAATATGTATTTAACTCTATCGACAACAATAAAAATAAAATAAGTCTCTTTTTTCTTTTCTTTTCTTGAATCTTGTCTATTGAGGAAATGGCCACGGCTCCGAACAAGTTTGCCTGCATAATAGGAGAACTAAAACATTAGACTAGCCGAACCGTCGAGTGAATGCATTAATGTCATTTTAATACAGAAAAAGCCAAAAGGGTATACGGAAGAGTGACGAGGGGTCTTACTCTATGATCTCTTTCCAATAAGAATCACTTGCTTCATCGTCAATAATGTCACTCCATGGCTGATGATGATCTTGTGTAAACGTCGAGTTTGATGATGAAGGGTTTGGAGTATCATGATGATGATAATTGGCGACGTCTTTTTCCTTGATCATCATCTGCCTTTGTTTAGATTCCTCATCAGGAGAAGCCGGAACCAATAAAGGGAGGGAATTATGATCATCATGAACATCGATTTGTATCGGTGAAGAAAAAGATTCCAGAGCCTGATCAATTGTTTGGTTTTTAGCCATCAAATGCTCACCATGATTGTTCTCAAGGGTGTGAGAGAAGTTTTGAAATTGGCCAAAAGGATTTTGGTTCTCTAAGTAAGAAGATTGGCCAAAGAAATTGTTATTAGTTTGCATGGTTGATGAAGAAGAAGGATTGTTGTTGTTGTTGGTGCTAAGAACTTGGATCATATCGTGTAACAATTGAGCTTTGGCAAGAGTTGTTGCATCCAGCTGAACATTTTGATTGAGATTCAAGAGGCTGTTGAAATTTGCGGCGGCGATAAGCTGCGGGAGAGCAGCTAAAACGTTTAGATGGTCGGTTCTCGGCCTATGGGTCACCGGATCAATCCCCATTTGGAGAAGTTTCTTTCTCAAATGAGTGTTCCAATAGTTTTTGATTTCATTGTCCGTTCTTCCTGGAAGATTACCGGCTATCGACGACCACCTTTCAAAAACATTTACAAACATTAAATTCTAGTCAAATTGATAGTATCTTATTGGATTAGTTTAAGAAACCTAATAATGTAATATTGTTTTACTTTAGTTTCCAAGATTGAAAAACGGCTACATACGTATGCATCAAGAGAAAAACAGTGTAGTAGGTATTTCAAATATATTATTTAGTTCATGAACCATGTACTAAAATGTTCATTGTATATTACACCATACTACTATTGGTTCTAGAGTTCTAGTTATATTTCATTCTAGATCGTTTCACATATACGTTTAGACAATCTATGAATACGACTACGAGAAGGATTTAACTAAAAGGATTAACATGAGATTTCTTAAGCTAACTAAGGAATTATAAAGAGTAAAAGTAACTGCTTACTTGTTTCCAAGAAGGGAATGGAGGTTGATGATGGTTTCTTCTTCCTCTTGAGTGAAATTTCCTCTCTTGATGTCAGGTCTCAAGTAGTTAGTCCATCTCAGTCTGCAGCTCTTTCCGCATCGGTTTAAACCGGCTTGCTTAGGAAGAGCTCTCCAGCTTCCATGGCCGTGTTTTTGAATGTGATCGATCAATTTCTCATCCTCTTCCAGTGTCCATGGCCCTTTCTTTAGCCCATTCTCATCGCAACACGGCGATCGCCCCATTTTTTTTACTGTAATACAAATGTTATATACTTAGAAAGTATTTTTTGAATAAACTGAACAATCTTGAATATTAAGCATAGAGAATTGCATGAAGCTAAGAGATAAGAATGAAGCAAAACACTCTTAACATATTTTTGTTGATTTGTATGTATGTATTGTATATATATTGTCGAAGCTGTTGAAGACAAATAAGAACTTACAATGGAGAAATATTTTGATGAAGACAATCAAGTTAAGGATCTTAGTTATGAGCCTAAGTGTGTTTGTGTGATCTTTACGCTTTAAATAGGGTTTTTCTGTTTCGTGTCTTGTGGCTTGTCGGAAGGAGAAAATCTTAGTTTAGCTTTTGACTTTGATGACCCAAGAATGACGAAAACGCCCTTGTGGAAACTTATATCATATTATTTCCAAGAAGAAGAAATAGAAAGGAAGAGAAGAAGATGATCAAGTTTGTGAAGCAATGTAGGTACACAAAAGTTGCTGCAACTAATCCATATGTTGACAAATTAAAGGTAGTTTGTAAAGCCTTTAAAAATTTATAACGTACAAAATAAAATCAATTAAGTATCATAACATGACTATGTAAATAATCAAAGCATAAAAAAGGATGTATACTGTATTTATATGCCAAAATATGTGTTTTTGAAAAATGAACACGTTGGTGTCTTTAGTATGATAATAAAAACGATGATTGTAACTACATACTATATCAAGATTTCCTAGAAACTATGGTCCCGATTGATAAGTTACTTTTGACTAATTGAACTTTTTACTACAGTTAAAAGTTTCAGAACTGAGTAAATTAACATAATGAAAATTTATACAGATATAAGTATATAACTATATAAGTCGCTTAATGACTTATGAGACATATCATGTTGTCAATGATTCTCCCGTTTGATATGTAATTCAATCTATTATGTTATTCAAGTTCATTCATATTAAGATTGTCATCTGACTCATCTCCCTTTCAGAATATACGTGAAACCGATTCTTACCAGCATGTAAATTAGGTTTTCCACCTGGAGACGTTGAATGTTTTTTTTTTTACACAGACCTTAAACTAAATTATTATGATTCAATTGTGTAAATATTACAACAGCTTGCATGAAACAGTGTCTACAACAGTATGTAGTACTGGTCACTGGTCAACAAATGATCCACACAATGCCACATCTCATTTCTCAACTATAATACGTATAAACCACAATTTTTTATATATTAAAGTCAATTTTTTTCATTATTGAATATATCGTGTTCTGATCACTAAAACAGTTGGCAAAGTGGAAACAAAGAATCAATAATACACCATACATGCATCTCAATTTAACTATAAAGAAAAGTTGTAGCTTGTATGTTGTTTCATGCATTTTAAATAGATACCCTTTAACAGCAGCAAAAATAGGATTATCATTTTTCAACAAAAAAAAAAAAAAACAGATATATATTTAAATGACACCCTTGAAAAAAAAAAATTTGGCTTCTCTATTTGGAGGATCCCTGCAAATTGAAACACCAATTTAGTTAGACGACATGGCTAAAAAGATAAGTTGAAGGTTTAGTACAGTATTTACTATTTAGTGAAGATGATTATATAAAAAAAATTGTTTGCTAAAGATTTTTTTTTTTTTACAAATCAGAGTATAGTATATGGCTTCCCGCGACATACATTGCTATATCATATACACTTTTTAAGAAATTAATCAAACGTCTCGATATGGTGGTTGATTATTGGTGTAAATCTAGTTTTAAGCACACCAAGGCACGCAAACGCATAAACCCTGGGACCCGCGAAAACCCTAACTCTTCTAACGACTAAACTAATTCTTATTTAACACTAATTTAATCGCTTTTAGATGCTTCTACGTTGACGTTAATTGGTCCATAAATCTTTCTACGTGGCTCTAATATATAAATCTATTTTCTATGCCATTAGTTTATGTCACTGATAAATATTACTATCGTTTTAAAGTTCCGGTTTGGTATATAAGATTTAGCAAATTCGTCCGGGAAAAAGAAAAGAAAAAAAGACGATCAATTATAGGCACTCCGATATACACCCAATAGCTATGTGCCTATGTATATCGAGTGATTTGGATGATTATCGAACTCATTGATCGATCATCTTACTGCATAGTTCAAAAAGTTTAATATACTATAATAACTATATTGAAATAAATACGTACGGAGGAAGTTTCCAACTAATCCGAAGCCGAAGGAGACAGCACAATACTACAGTTGATCTTCTTCTAACCAACATCTACAATATAGGTCTCGTCTTTCTTTTAGTCTTTAGGACATAGAATAATCTTTGATCGTAATTTTTGTTCACAATTTGATAAATTTTAATGCAAAACGTCACAGTTTCAAAATTATCTCGTAACACAATTTGTTTTAGATCACCTAAAAATTCCAGAGTTTGGTCTATAACAGATTCAAGTCAATACCATAACATACTAATTGATATCCTAATACAAACAATCAAGCAAATCATACATTCATTAAAAAATGGATTGTTTATTTTGTGTTTAATTGTCTTTGCGTTTCCATATTGATTACAGTTTTGTAACACAAAAACGCAAACATGAACTTGAAGGTGTGATTCTTTATAATGTCCAAATACATTCACTAAAACTTATTATATAAGGGACAAAATTTGCTCAAGTGCTTGAGTTTCTCCAAAATGCACAAACAAACACCACAAAGTATATATACACGCACGTCACACATTGATGAACCAAGTGAAATTTGTATCTATACATCCCACTCCTATATTTTTGACCGGTCCTCGATAATTACCTGAGAGTATATTTTATCTTCTTGTGTATTAGTCAAACCTAACATCTTGGATAAAGACCAAACACAAACAATTTGCACGTTAATTACATTGCCTTGCTTTACGCAAAATATTATTTAGTAAGCAATGATGCGTCAGCTTTGCAGAATATAATTCTGAATTTTGACATACAATGAATACAGTGGATTAAGATAAACTTGATTAAGCTGTCATAATACCCATTTCACCTTCCGCATGTACTTTTAGGTTGTGAAATGACTAAAAGATGAAAAGAGTTGGTTAAAACGAAGACTATCCATAACAAAGAAACGTAGTTAAAGTCTTCGATTTACCTTCTCGAAGTTGTGTACCGTACGTAGAAGTCAAATACAATGAGAACTTGAGAAGGACTATACAGACTTTTTCTGAGGAAGTATATAAAAAATTAGAAAGTGAAAAAGCTAATATAACCGTGAGGCGTGAGGGACTTGGAGTTCGATGCAGTCAAAGACTAAAAGAAGGTTATATAAATAAGATTCCTTTATGGATCGATATGGCTTCGATTGCATGAACACAAAAAGCTCATGGGCTTTTCGAAAGGTAAGATTTATGAAAAGTAATCATTATTTTCTCTGATTATGATTTCAGTTTTCGTTCCGTAAACTAAAGTATTCAAATCCTGAAATTTTGCATAACTGATAATACAGCAATCACCTTAACTTTATTCGAAAATGGAGATTAACTAAGAATATTATATTTGTCCAGAATAATTTAATCAGCTTCATCCAAGTTGCCAAAGCATAAATGCCAACCCCAGTTTGAATACATACACTAAAATATATGGTGTGAGAAGTTGGGAATATGCATACGATGCACACATCAATTCAGAGAATAAGATGCTGGAGAAGACGGTAATGAGCTGTTTCAACTTTTGGATTATCACTGTAAAGATTCTGATAAGTTCTGAGAAAAACAAAGATGTTACAAAGATTTCTAGACTCCTTTTATCTTATGAGCTACCTAACTAAACATCTTCTCATGATCTTAAAATCTAAAATTTGAGAATGCTTCAAGTTTGCTCCACCAATGGAAATAGATTCCAAGAGATTCATGCGAAAGTTTAGACAATCACATACGTTACTTAATAATTAATATGATCCCAGACAAGAACCATAGATTTGGCACCAAGATTGCAAAAACAAGAAACAATGGGACGCAGACGCAGATACAAGTAACTTAAGATATCTTGCAAACCATGTTCATGTCTCTTGTTTCTATACAAAGTGCTTAGCATCGCTTTCCTATAACTATCCGCAACAAAGATACACCTCGCATTGGCGAAAAATGTAAAGCATTTCTTCAATCAACACGTAAGAACAGACTGTTAAGAAAACATGATCCATAAGAGCTTGACAAATGAATCACACTCTACGCTACAACCAACATTTGAGAAGAGAGCAAATGGCCAAGAATTTAGGAATCCAATAACTTTTCAAGAGTAGCAACAGTTGTGCATTTGAACAAGGCTTTTGCAAAACTTGGAAGTAAACGAGAGAGAGAGAGAGAAACAACTAAGAAATGAATAAAGAAGAGAAAAAAAAGGCACAAGTTCAAGAATCCAAATGAAAATTAGCAGAGCAGCTAGTCACCACAGGCCAGAACCAATTGAGATGCTTGCAATGGTAGAAATCCTCCCTAAGAATGTTCCTGCTAACAAAGATCCAACTTTTTTTGGTAGATCATACCTCAGACATGATTATTCTTTGTGACCATGTCCCAGAAGAAGTCGGTCAATATAGGCTCGTAAGAGGGCATCTTAGCATATCCAGGAAAGTAGTTAATATCAATGATAAGGTACCTATTAGCATCCCTCGCATCCCTAATCACGTCGAAGTTAAAGAGATTGAGTCCCATTGATTTCCTCATCGCCTTTGCTAGATCCGTCAAGAAACTCAATGGAGGCATCTCCACTTTCTCTAAGCTCCTATCCTCTCCATACTCTCTGTTCTTGTCTTCCTGAGCAGTCAGATTCGATATCTGCGAAAACGGAAGCGAGCCTTTCGACGTCCCGTCTTCGGAGATGTCAGGCAAAGACCTTCTCTTTACGCATTGCACATAGTCTCCAACCACATAGACCTTGAAGATCACACCACCGTGATTCACAAACTCCTGCAACACAATCGGCGCCTTCAGTATCTTCATCCCTTCCTGATCATATATCAAAAACATCTTGTGAGATTTCGCACTCCCATCGGCGTCCAACGGCTTAGCGATCACCGGAAAGTTGAGCTCCCCTAAAGCTCCCCCGCCGCTCAAAACGCCCGGATCCATCACAACAACTTGCCTCGGAACGCCGAATCTCTCGCTATCCGAGACAGGGAACAACTGAGTTATCACCTCGAGCATCGAAACCCTGTTATGCAATCGCTCGATAGCCTCCGCCGAATCGATGACAGGGACGCCGGGAAATTTCTCCCGAAATTCGTGGAGGTTCTCTTTCCAATACACATCGTACAGCTTGTGGATGATGCAATCGAGCTTCCCTTGCTCCAGCAACGATTTCGCCGGATCGAGCTTCACCAGATCAATGCCTCGTTGCCTCGAGTGCTCGATCAGAGAAGGCTGGATGAAACTCTGCTGTTTCTTCGCTGCGAGAGCGTATCCAACTACAAATCTCTCCTGGATTGAATCTGACATCTTGTGCTGCTCTGCTTCGTATGTAACAAAATTGGGGAAAAATTCATGCCAGGGGATCAAAACCTCTTATAGAGAAAAGGCCAGAAAAGTGCAGGATCCGGCGAAAACTCAGATATGAAAATTCTATAAGGAACGTGAAGAACAATTTAAAGAGAAACTAGATCGGATCGAAGAGATGATACAGAATCTAAGGCGAATCGATAATCCAGAGAGGAAAGATCGAAAAGGATTGTTTGTGTCGCCTTTCATAAGTTAACGGGGAGAGAGAAGGGAATGTTGTACACGTGTGGAATGGAATATAGGTACGTGTGAGGGGTGCAAGTGGCGAATGTTTAACACGTGTAAACTTTCTAAAGTGGCCGAGTGTTGTTATTTGGTGGACGGCTATGAATGCTTCCTTTTCTTGTGGGCCATTGTGGCTGCTATTGGGCTTCGTAACCCAAGTACTGTAGCTACTTTAGTGACGAGAAGAGTGTTTCAAAACGCGAACGCGAACGCAGATAAAAGCTAATTCCGCGGTTAAAAATTGGTTACCAATCGGACACAGTGAAGAAAAAAGGGGGATATAAAAGCGAGTGTCTTAAACCCTAATTCTTTTCCCGGCTACCTATTATTCGCGCAAACCCTTACCGTCCTCTTCCACCGGAAAACGAAAGAGAGAGAGAGAGAGTTCGGCGGCGTCATGGGGACTCATTCGTTAAAGAAGAGCTACCGTTGCTCTCGATCTCTAAAGCAGTTCTACGGTCCCAAAGATCCTTTCGTGGTTTCATCTGATGGCTCTTTCATCGCCTGCGCCTGTGGTGAAGACATTAACATCGTCGATTCTTCGGACTCGTCAGTGAAATCCACGATTGAAGGCGAGTCGGATAGGCTCACTGCGTTGGCTCTTAGTCCTGACGATAAGTTCCTCTTCTCAGCTGGACACAGTAGACAAATTCGAGTTTGGGATTTGGAAACCTTGAAATGCATTCGCTCTTGGAAGGTAATTAATTACTGTACTAAATTGGCAATGTATTGGGTTTCTCTGGAGAAAAATCAGATTTTCAGATATGATTGGTGTCGTTTACTATAATTTGAGCAGGGACCCGAGGGAGCTGTGATGGGCATGGCTTGCCACGCATCTGGAGGATTGCTAGCTACCGCCGGAGCTGATAGCAAAGTTAATGTTTATGATGTTGATGGTGGTTTCGCCACGCATCATTTCAAAGGTCATAAAGGGGTTGTGGGAAGTGTCTTGTTCCATCCTGATGCAAGTAAAAACATGGTAAGTGTCAGCTCTGTCTATGGGTCATATGACCTGTGGAGTTATATTTCCGTTGTAAAAGAGACGACTTTTCTGTTATAGAGAAGTATCATCATTGCTTCTCTGTTTAATGACAATTTTTGCGTTTTTTTTTTCTCTTTGATTTTGGGTTGTAGCTTTTCTCGGCAAGTGAGGATAAAACCGTTCGTGTCTGGGATCTTATGGCAAAGGGTACTGAGAAGAAATGTTTCGCCATTTTGCACAAGCACCTTTCGGTTGTGACTTCAATTGCTGTATCAGAGGATGGATGGACTTTGCTCACTGCTGGGAGAGACAAAGTGAGTTCTAACCACTCTCTAGTTTGATTGAGTTACATACTTCAAGAGTAGGATTGTTTTCTTCTGGTGATATGGTACTAGGCATATAAGTATTTAACCTTTTTGGTGAATCACAGGTTGTGAACGTGTGGGACCTTCACGACTATAGCTGCAAGACTACAGTTGCAACGTATGAGGTACTAGAAGCTGTGATAACAGTTCCTTCTGGGACGCCTTTTGCTTCATTTGTAGCTTCTCTTGATAAGAAGAGTAAGAAGAAGAAGAAAACGGCTTCTCAAGATAGTACACATTTTATTACTTTCGGGGAACGTGGTCTTGTGCGCATCTGGAAGTCTGAAGGGTAAGCCATTATTATCTTTAATAGATTTTGTTGCACTGGTTAATGTCTGGTGTGAAGTAATTTAAACCATTCTCGCGTAAGAAAAATCTTCGGCTGTTTATTTGTACAGTTCAGTATGCCTCTACGAGCAAAAGACGTCGGATATTACTGTCAGTTCGGAGGCTAAAAGAGGATTCACTGCCGCTACCATGCTGCCTTCTGATCGCGGACTGCTTTGTGTGACTGCTGATCAGCAGTTTTTTATCTACTCCGTTGTGGAAGATTTAGAAGAACCAGAGTTAGTGCTAAGCAAGAGGCTTGTTGGGAATAATGAAGAAATAGCTGATATGAAGTTCCTTGGTTATGAAGAAGAGTTTCTCGCAGTAGCTACAAATCTCGAGGAGGTAACTGCGAATTTTGCAGTATCATGTAGACTTGATCATTATCCTGGGAGTATGATAAAGTCTAAGATTTAAATTATATATGCAGGTTCGTGTTTATGATGTTGCAACAATGTCATGTTCCTACGTGTTAGCTGGTCACGAGGAAGTTGTTCTGTCCCTTGACACTTGCGTATCTAGTTCTGGGAATATTCTTGTCGTGACAGGAAGTAAAGACAAAACCGTAAGTCCCATCTACTTACCTTGTAGTTTTTCTTAAAACTATGTTCCTCTCTAGCCTTTTTCATTGAGTTAGCTGGCAAAGCACAGACAAAAGCTACATAACTTGGGGTCGGTCTTTTTTTGAAGCCTTGTGTTAGTGTTGTTTTTCATGCACATCATTCCCCTAAACATAAAATGAAAAAAACTCCTTTTTCCTGTTAGAAAACATAACCTACAAAAACTGGAACTTATGTTTTGTTACTTTACAGGTAAGGCTATGGAATGCAACAAGCAAATCTTGCATTGGAATTGGTACAGGTCATAATGGCGATATCTTAGCGGTTGCTTTTGCAAAGAAGTCTTTCAGTTTCTTTGTCAGTGGCAGTGGGTACGTGCTACATAGATGATTTCATATACTGAAGTCCCTCCAAATTTTTCTCTCGAAATTCTTTGTGATCTTTCTCTTTGTACATTCTTTTTTAATCACTTAATGTGCGTTCCATTGAATTAGTGATCGCACACTGAAGGTCTGGAGCATTGATGGTATCCCAGAGGACTCAGAAGAGCCCATGGATCTGAGAACTAGAAGTGTTGTTGCTGCCCATGATAAAGACATCAATTCTGTTGCTGTAGCTCGTAACGATAGCTTGGTTTGCACTGGCTCTGAGGTAACTAGACGTGATGCGCAAAAACCTTTTGTGTTCAATTTTGTGGCTATCTCATTCAATTGAACATTTGTCAAACACAAAAACTTGTATATATAACTAAGATACATCGCGCTCTGATGAAAAGAATGCTCCAGGTTCTTATCTGACTGTTTTTTGTTTACCTGTCTTGCAGGATCGGACAGCTAGCGTATGGAGACTACCAGACTTGGTGCATGTTGTTACACTTAAAGGACATAAGAGGCGGGTTTTTTCTGTCGAGTTCTCACCTGTTGATCAGTGCGTAATGACAGCATCAGGTGATAAAACAGTAAAGATATGGGCTATATCTGATGGCTCATGCCTCAAAACATTTGAAGGTCATACCTCAAGTGTACTTAGGGCCTCGTTCATAACTGATGGAACCCAATTTGTCTCATGTGGTAAGTTTCACTAGCCTGACGTCATATATTTTCTCCTCCTTTTTTTTTAGTCTTAACATTATAACCATTCACTTATAGGTGCCGATGGTTTATTGAAACTTTGGAATGTGAACACTAGCGAGTGCATTGCCACATATGACGAGCACGAGGACAAGGTACCCTTTCTGTAATACTTGATGTATCCATATCTTGGCCTGCTTATGATGCTATTAGTTCTAGGGGTGATGAGATTCTGCCTTAACCTGTATTTGTAAAGGAAGCGTTAATAGTACACAACTATTATCGTCAGAGACTTGTTGATATTCTGTTCTGACAAATCGAGCTTTAAAATTTTACAGGTATGGGCTTTGGCTGTTGGAAAGAAGACAGAAATGGTTGCAACAGGTGGAGGCGATGCAGTTATTAATTTATGGCATGATTCAACCGCTTCTGATAAAGAAGATGAATTCCGGAAAGAGGTCTGTAATTTCACTAAGTCTTAATAGTGTGGTTTCCATGAAGCTGTCATGTATCCTGTTGATCTTTAGTCTGACCATCATCTTCCGTTCTACAGGAAGAAGCGATCTTGAGAGGTCAAGAGCTGGAAAATGCAGTGTTAGATGCTGAATACACTAAAGCCATAAGATTGGCATTTGAGCTTCGTAGGCCTCACAAAGCTTACGAACTCTTTGCTGGGCTCTGCAAGTAAAGCCATCCAAAACATATAGCTTTTACTTTCTCTTGATAGTGTTTAGTCTCTTCCTTTTTCTTACCTGCAATTTGGTGTAAGCAGGAACAGAGAATTAGGCCAACAGATTGTGAAGGCTCTTCAAGGACTCGCAAAAGAAGAGTTCCGTCTACTTTTCGAATACGTCCGAGAATGGAACACAAAACCAAGCCGATGCCACATTGCTCAGTTTGTTCTTTACCAAGCCTTCAACATACTTCCTCCCACAGAAATCGTTCAGGTTTGGTTTTACTTTAAAAAGCCAGCGGTAAAGATTATGTTCGGTTTCGTTTGGCTTCATCTCAGGGATGTCTTTTTTTACTGGACAGGTAAAAGGAATTGGAGAACTCCTGGAAGGTTTAATCCCATATTCTCAGAGACATTTCACTAGGATGGACAGATATGTAAGAAGCAGTTTCTTGTTAGACTACACACTCGGTGAGATGTCTGTGATTGATCCAGAGCCTGATACTGAGTATCCTAAGGACAAGAAGATAGAAGAGGAAGAAGAGGTCGTCATTGCTTCAGTGGAAAAAGACTCGGAAGAGCTAACAAATAAGGAGACGCCTTCGAGGAAACGAAAGTCTCAGAAATCCAAAGATAGATCCAGTAAGAAGAGGCAAGTAATCGAAGTTTGAGTCTGGAAACGCTGCTTCAATCCCAATTTTTGATATTCTCGTTTTTCTTTTTTTGTGTAATTTTTTTCTTGTAAGTTATGTTGTTCTTACAACTTTTTAAGCCTTCGATTTTGAAGAGCGTCGGATTTTCTCATAGGGATTTCTCGGATTTCTGAGTAATGTTTATTTGACGAGTATTTCTATAAAATTCAAGTCATATACTATTTCCCCAAATGAAAAGACATTGTTTTCCTAGTTTACAAAAAAGATATTCACGTGTTTGTTGTTTCTTTAGATTTTTCTCTTCACGTCAGTGTATATTGACGTCATGAGAACAAACATTATCTATCACGTAAAATCGACCAAATTTAGTTTATTATTTGATCATAGAATTAGAATCTGTGTAATACGCGTCATGCATCACATAAAAATAAAACATATCTTATATTCACCAGGATTTCACCTCATTATTCCCTTAATTTTATTACTTTTTAGCTTTATTATTATTAATTTTTTGATAAAATGGTAGCTTAAGTATTTTACTTGTCTCTTTAACATACAGCTTACAAACATAAGTTAATTCATAGATTTCAGTTCACAAACTTGGGTAAGGGTCGCAAATTCTCATCACGTGAACCGGTAAAATCAAGTAGTGAAGCAAAATGATCATGATCTACATTATGCATGGAGATGCCTTATGCCTACGAATGTGGAACTTTGAATTCTCAAATTTTGATATGCGAAGCCAGCACTTAATTTTTAATTTTTGTTTTATTTGAAACCACCACGTAATAATCTGAACTTATCAGAATTATACGTCTAATCAACGGTAAGTCTGTAACAGCTAGTTAAATTTTTTAACTCTATCGTAAATATATCACATTTTCTAAATATATGGATCAAATTATAAAACCAACAAAAAAATGGATCAAATTAATGTACATTGTATTTGTTTATTGATTTGATTCTTGTAATCAGTCACTTGAATAATTTAAAATAAACAAATTCTATGGATATAAATAGAAATATAATTCGTGTGGGTCTCTCCATCGAAACTCGACAGGTAAGGATCGAATTCAATAAGTTGGAGCACAATCAGATTCAATCTTAACCTCTTTCTGGTATCTATCATCATTTCTTAATATTTTATAATATATGGTTAGAAAATAACGTCATAAGAAAAATATATGCCAAAAATGCTCTACCTATACAAGTATACGTAAACAAAACTTAGAATTCAGAACCATTCATATCCTTTTTAAACAAAAATTAGAATTCAAAACCATTCATACCTATTAAGAATATATGACGTATGGACATATTCCCCTCGAACGTGTGATATGATTCATCATAACCAGCTCTCCAATTCCATTGGAATTAGGCCGATAAATATATTAAACAAAAATGTCTTTAAGAAATTGTTATTATATAAATTCTTCATTGTACAGAACGTCTTCTTTCCTACTACAAATACAGCAACACTCCCTCTTTTCTCTACCACATAACAAACAAACATATATCTCAATAGTAGCTCAAACGTTAGTTTTGTTAGTAGAAGCATGTCTGCGACTGCAACGATGATTTGTGTTGCGTGTGTTGAGGAAAATAAAGGGCGCAAATGTGACCACGAAAAACCGGTGAAAGAGTTGGGTTTGGATCATCATCAGGCCTGTGAGAATAGTTCCTTTCTTCATTCTGTTATCAACATGGTTGGTATGCTCATTGGTACGTACTTGATAATAACTTCTTATATCATGATGTCGCACCAAATTAATCGTTACATATTTTTACCTAATTTTCTGACGAAATATCCGATGGTATGAACAAATAATAACTAGTTATTGAGTGTTATTGAAACCAATATATATAAGCCTCCTAACTCTGAGTGACGTCATCTTTCTCCGGTGACTGTAGGGCTCGGCCAACTATCAATGCCGTTCGCAGTGGAAAACGGCGGTTGGATCTCTCTCTTGCTCCTGATATCCCTCGGAGTCCTCACTACTTACACTTCCCACATCCTCGGGAACTGTCTCCGCCGCCACCCCAAATCTAAATCCTACTCCGACATCGGCTACTCCGCCTTCGGCCGCAACGGTCGCCTCATCGCCTCCCTCTTCATCTACCTCCAAATCTTCATGGCCTTAGTCTCTTACACCATTTCCCTCCACGACAACATTGCCGCCGCTTTTCCCGCCACCTTTACAAACCACCACAACGGTTATTTCCCTGCGGCGAAGCTCACGGCGGTGGCGGTGGCGATCGCTCTGCCGAGTTTGTGGATAAGAGACTTGTCTTCGATCTCGTTTCTTTCTTCCGGTGGGATTCTTATGTCGGCGCTTATATTCGGATCCGTGGTTTACACGGCAATATTTGGCGGCGTTAGTGACAACGGGAGGATTCCGTTGCTCCGGTTAGGGAACATCCCGATGGTCTCGGGAATTTATCTGTTCGGCTTCGGTGGACACATCGTATTTCCTAATCTCTATACTTCCATGAAAGATCCCTCCAAATTCACAAAGGTACGTTATCTTTCTTTTTCTATAGTTTTAACTTTTTTTTAGTAAATCATTATTCCAACCGAATTTATAAAATGAACTCTTCTAAAAAAAAATACAATTTACACTAGAGTGTGTTTGTTAGGATGTTCCAAAATAAATAACATTATGTATATATCTATTACAATCATAGGTTTTGAAAATGTGTAATAAAGAACTTTTTTGTTTTGTCGGCATAAAACCTTGAAATAATAGATTGCATGTGAATATTGTAATACGTAGGTATCGATCGTGAGCTTTGCTACGGTGACGGCATTGTACACGGCACTAGCCATCACAGGAGCGACGATGTTCGGACCAAGCGTAAATCCCCAAATTACCCTCAGTCTTCCAAAACATTCACTAGTAACCAAGATCGCTCTCTGGGCCACTGTACTAACCCCAATGACCAAATACGCATTAGAGTTCGCTCCATTAGCCATCCAGCTCGAACGCAGCCTTCCTTTGAACATGACCGATCGCACCAAGCTCGTGGCTCGTGGTCTTGTTGGCTCCGCTATTCTACTAGTCATTCTCGCGTTGGCTTTGACCGTGCCTTTCTTCGGCTATGTCTTGAGCCTCACGGGATCGTTGGTTAGTGTCACGATCGCTGTCATATTACCGTCTGCTTTCTACTTGAAGATTTGCTGGGACGGGATGTCGAAGCTCAAGAAAGTCGCGAATCTCGGGTTTATTGTTTTCGGTTGCGTTCTTGGAGTTTTGGGATCGTTTGATTCCTCCAAGTCGCTTGTCAAAGAGCTTGTTCGCGTTCATGGCGGTTAAACCACGGTTTGTTGTTGCGGATAGTTAATCAAAAGCGGAATAAAAAAAAAGGGATCGAGAAACATTGTTGTTAAAAACGATATGAGTAACCAAGATATTTATATATAAAAAATCTGCATATACAATAACTTTCCGGTGAATTTGGTGTTTGTGAAAGACAATTAATTTCGGATTCGATCGTGAGTTCAAAAAAAAAATTGCATAATTGATAAAATGTAAACTTTCATAAAAGAAAAAGGTTAGAAATTCTATTATAAAAATGTAAACTTTGGTAAAAGAAAAAGGTTAGAAATTTAAAAAAAAACAGAGAAAAAAGAAATCGATAATGACAATTAGTAAAATAAAATAGACAGTTTTCCTATATACAGAAAAAAAAATTGTATACTTTGACAAAAATGTTTAAAATATTTGTAGTAAGATGACAAAAAAAAACTTCTGAAAAGGAAAAATACTAATAGAAAAAGGGAAATTTGATTTGATTGAAAGCTATATAAACATAAGGAATGAACTTAATTTCTCAACCAAAATATTCTTAGTAGCTATCATCATCTTTCATAGTTTAAAAAAAATATTCATATTAGCTAGAATATGGCTCAAGAAGCGGATTTAGATTTGAGTTTATCTCAATATGATCCATGGGTTATAAAAAAGAAGTTAACCGCTTCTGATACTTCGATGAATGGTAAACTTCTCCTACCGCGAAAAGAATTATTAGATTCTATAATTCCGCTGATGAGACAGGCTATGGCCCAGCAGATAGGAACAGAAAACGGTGTTGAAGTGAAGGTCCATGTTATAGAGGAAGGTAATGAAGCTGATGACTACACATGGATCTTAGTTAAAGACATTGACAACACCTATTTTTTGAAGAGAGGATGGGGCCCTTTTGCTAGAGCCAACAACTACCAAGAAGGCGATGTAATTGGACTTATGTGGGATCAAAGCTATGAACGATTTTTGCTTCACAAGATAGTTCAATATTAGTCGTTTTCTGAGATATCAAAGAGTTTTTCTACTATTTACTTAAGTGTTTTAGTTTATTATTGTTTTTTTTTTTTGGTTTTTACTTAAATGTGGGTTTTATGAATAATATTTAATTTTTTTTTTAAATTTCAAGTTTTGGTCTTTTATTCATCAGAAACTCTTATATCTCATGTAAGAGATAATAATGTTAATGCTAATTATGCCATTTATGTTTAATTCATGTCGGCAACTTTTCTTCTTCTGTGATCTAAAGCGACTTTAGATTTCATCTCATATACAACTTCTATAATATTACGTATACACTGTTATGATAATTTGTATATAAACAGAACACTATATACTATACAGGGTACAGAAGATGTACACAAAGGCTCTTACTTCCTACTTACAGACTGCGAATCCGAAGCTTTTACTTTCACCTCCTCGTTTAGCAAATCACAGAGAGCATGAGCACAAAAAGTTCTGTCTTATTGTTTTGACTTCTTTTCCTTAATTAGATTTCTGTATCTTGGTTTCTGGAGAAGGTCTTGGATAAAGAACGAGTGCTAGCGCAAAAGCGACCCCAAGACCGACCACTCCGCTAAAAGGCTGTAACGGACGTTTCCCTGCAGTCCAAACCGGTGAACTCGGGTTGTACGTGAGGAATCCACCAGTGTGTAGTACAAAGCTTGCTGCTATCATTCCTGTTCGCAACCCAATTGGCACTATCAGATTCCCTTGGCTTCTCTCACGAGCCCCTGCCAGCGCCAACGGACAGAAGCCATAACCCTGGAATTGATCTCAGGGATCTGCAAGAAAAGAAACACACACTTATTATGCTACTAATCTCAAATGAGATGAGAGCGACTTATATGTTACATGCTATTGTATAAATACCTCTGGAACAAGGCAAATACGAGCCCTGTAATGATAATGCTTTGATGGTATCCCATATCTATAGCAATCTCGTTAGGCATCCATGACCTGAAGAGCAACTCTTCCACAAACACAATAAATGTCGCAGTTGCAAATCCCCTAACTATCAGCAGACAGCAGAAGCAGCTGCGCGCTTCCCTTGAGCAACTTCATGGCATCATAAGGACGCGGAAGATAAGGCGGCCGAGATAAAATCGCAGCTCCCAATATTGTATTTATGAACTGTATTACTAGAACCACTGTGATGCCTCCTGCTAACGCCTTCAAAAACTCTAGAACCTGCAAGGATAATGAACTTGCAGGTATCATTTCTACTGTTTTAATAGCATATGGAAGTGAAGAAAAGGAGAAAAAACAGAAAATCACATTAGTCTAACATTAAGCTTAATTTTTACGTTTAAAGGTAATACCTGTTTTTTGGGTGATGCCTTGAAATCAAGCCCATATTGCGTGAATGGGTTTTCATACTTTCGTACTCTCTTTCCCCACAACATAACAAGAATGAAAACAGCAACATAGAGCCCAACTACAGTAGCTAGTTCCGCTACTCTAGATGGAGTACTTGTGGACCAGCTCTGGAGAAGTGTCGGAAGCAATGGAATCACAACAGGTGACCATAAAACAAGCACCATTCCAACAAAGCCTAACGCCCTGATAGACAGAAAAAAAGGAGCTGATACATATGAGAATCATGGGGACCAACTAGTATGAAGAAGAATCAGAGGACTCTAGTTATGGTACTAAACTAAAAAGAGTATGAAATCATTAGCATGACTGTTCTCATAAGAGAATTCAGCATATTAAGGACCAAGAATTCACTCCCAACCATGTAGTGAAGAATCTAGCATACTAATAATGATAATTTACTTGCAGAAGAATCAGACGTTAGTTCACCTATTTGCCTCAAAAAATGGTTAACACAAATCCATCGTTCAACGTTCATTTCATTTAAGAGCCCTTTAAACCACAAAACTTAGATTACTGAAAAACTTGCAGTCAACAGTAGTAAAAACCAACTCTAACACAAAATTTGACATGCAACATAAAAGCCAACCACATAAGCTGCGAGATAGTGAAAAGAACCAGCAGAGATACTTAGAGTGGAAAGCAGCTTACCTCTTCAGTAAGGGCCACTCATCAATATGCAGAAATTGGATTAGCCTATCAGTTAGACTCATAGCACCACGAAGGCCACCCCAAAGCAGGGCAAGTTTTCCAACTAGCCTCAATATGCCACCCCTCTGACCCAAATCTGCCAGCATTGTCACAATTCTGTTCACATGAAAAACCAAGGGATTTCAGATCAGGAAGAGACTCAGGGCACTGATGTAGATGAATTGATTTATCTACCCTTTAATACCTTTCTTGATCCACTTCACCAGTTTCCTTTGTTGGAACCGCAGGACCAGCTATGGACATGGCTTTCTCAGCAAAACTTGACACCACACCGCCCTGATCTTTCTGTTTACTTTCTATCCCTGGTGGTTTTGACATGATGCCACCGCTTTGTGGATCCTGTGCAACATGCGTTGATTACGAAGGACAAACATGTTCGTTTAATCTTTTGTTTTAACATATTTGCATATGAATACTAATGTTAAACAATACCTCGTTCTGAACCAACATAGCAGATGCACCCAGAGCAGCTGTCATAGCACCAACCATAACAGGCTCATTGCTGATATTTTGCAGGCCAGATTCCACCATTTCTCCAATGCTCGGGTTCTTCTCTTTGCTCTTCTGCTTCATTTTGACTGGCACAACACTCGTTGTTGCACCATTGTTCCTATGTTTTTGTTCTCTACCCATGACAATATCTCTCTTAGCATTGTCGGCTGTTGTGGATACATCGAAATATTTTCTCAGAGAAGCTAAAACAGAGCCAACAACAACCCCAACAGGCAATACTTTCCTGAGAAAATGGGCATCCTGAATAGCAGATGAAATTGCTTTAATGATAGCATCCCCACGAAGTTTACCTACTTTTCCAGCAGGAATGTCGGAGTCTTTGCTATTCCTTTTGAAAGTCCAAGTAGGCTCTTCATATACAACAGCAAAAGAAAGTGTACTTGCCACCCTTTGTATATCTCGACTAAGTTGAGACTCAAACTGTCTCATGCCAGCTGAACTCACCCTGCGTTGAACTTCTACATTCAAAGAGTCTGACACAATAACTTTGATAAGGTGCTCTAATTCACCACATTCTTCATCTGATTTCTGAAGATCGCCATTCTGATCGTCCACAACATCGTGCATTTCAGAGAGCTCCACCTCTTGTTCTTGGTCCATTATCACATATGAAGGCTCAATGATGTTCTGTTCATTACTTACACCAGGTGAATGAACCTGACCATTTCCGTGCGTATCTCTGCTGGCTGTTGCATTGTCAGCAACGTTATTCAAGTATTCTGGCGCCTGTTGATCAAGGACCTTCCATTTACCTTCCTCTGGATAGTAATCAAGCATGAGAGCAGTGGTCGTATCTACGTCTAACTGTTTTGCAATCTGCTCTTCCGAAAGTTCCTCCCGAAGGTAGTCATCATTAGAAGAATTCTCGAGAGAATCTGTATTTCTTGCAGGCAAAATCTTTGGTAGTTGCTTACCATTCACAGATTCATCTCCGCCCAAATGCTTTTCATTCACCACCCGAGTTGTCTTATCATTGTCAGAACCTTTTTCAGTTTCATACACACTACATGAATCGTTCGAATTTTCAGAGGACATTTGGGATTCCGCTTCTTTCTTGTTGGGAGTTTTCTCTTCAGATGGAGACCTAATATTCTTATCTGTGACATTCTTCTCATCTGTGACCTTCCTCTCATCCGTGTCATTTTTCTCCTTACTTACCTCATTTCCTTCTTCATCCAGCTGGGTAATCATATTTTCGAGCACACCGAAAACACTATTGACAGCAACCTGAGTTGAATCATCCATTCCTGTCAGTGCTTCAAATGCTTGGGAAACATTAGCCTTGCCCGGAATTGGTTCCTGGACCGCTGGCGTAGTTTCCTCAGATACAGGTTGCATAACTTCGGTTTCTTTTTTCTGATCATCAATTTCCACTTTCTCTACTGGCTGTGAAGCTGAAGATTCTCCAGCATCTCCTTCGTTGCCAGTAGATGCCACCTTGTCTTGGTCGGTGGCAGACTGTTTTGCGTTCTCATCATTTCCACTGGGTTCCTCTTTTCTTTGCTGCTGAGTTACAGCAGCTTGGTCCACTTTGTCTTCAACTTTCGCATCTGAAGCCTTTTCAGAACCATCAGCTGCACTGGAATTTTCATTGGGCATTGGTGTTCCTTTCTCATCCTTTTTATTAGTTTCCTCCTGACTTTGATGCTTGGCTATTACAGAACCTTGGTCCACTTTGTCATCATCACTAGTTACATCCTTTGTGCCAATTGGCTGCTCCTGGTTGGTACTATCAACCTTTGCTTCAGAAGCCTTCCCGGAACCATCAGATGCAATGGTCTTTTCATTAGCAGATGGCTCATCATTATCCTTCTTAGCCAGGACAGAACTATCATCTTGGGACTTTCCATTATTACCGTCTTTCTGGGCCTCGGAAGAGGAATGCTCCGGATTGTCCGAGCTACTCGCCGAACCATCGTTCTTATTTATCGAATCAGGAGAATCAGAATCCTTTTTATCTGTGGTACTTGGTGCTTCTTTCTTTGCTTCCTCCGCCTTTTTCATTCCTGGCGAAAAACTAGGAAGCTTAAGATTTTGGAGTTTTAACTTATTGGCAGGTGACTGCATGATCTCAGTTACAGCAGTTGTTAGCTTCCCACGAACTTCTTCTGGCACGGCCTCTTGCAAAGCTGTAAGAACAGTCTCTCCGCGACCAACAGCATCCATAACCTAGACATTTACTGAATCATTGTCAAGCAATTGTTAATGCAGCGACCACAGTAAAACTTGTAAAAAAGAAAAAAAAATATAGTATTGGCACGTTGGGTTGTTACCTTTTTCTTCTCTTCAGCTTTCAGGGTGCCAGGCATGGTTACATCAAGCATTTTCACGACCACTTCCGTAGTCTGCAACATCTGGCCTCTTTCACTTTCTTCTACACTGGGCTCCACATCTTCAACATCCACAAGTCCTTTTGCTGAAACTCCACCGTTTTCTGGTTCATCAGACCCAGTTTCGACTTTGACATTCTTCTCTAACTCTGTTCCAGACGGCAAACTAGAGTTTGTCGTGATGTCACTGTCTTCAAGTGTTTCCCCGGAAGGATCTACATGGTAACCGTTTACCACCTTTCCCCGAGCTGCTGGCGGGAGCTTCTTGGCATTGATACCTTTTTCATGTGCAATGGCTTCCGAAAGAACTAAGCCTTTTGAAGGGTTAACAGTAATATCCACATCTTTTAAAAGTGGATGCCGACCTTTCAGAAGCCCAAGCTCTACAGCAGTCAACCACTGCATGGCCAATATAGGAAATCAATCTCTTAGACCTAGAAGTGAATGTAACTGGACAGTCAACTAAGAATTTTTTTAAGACAAAACAATATTTTTCAATGGAAAAAAAGAAGGACTTGCATAGTATTTGCATTTCAACCAGAAAACTAGCCAAAATTTTAAACTAACATAGATCAATCACCATGACTAAACAAACACCATTGTTATAGTGAGCTTCTTGGAAAAAGAGAGTATCATGCATTCATGCCTGCCTTTTATCTATCCTATAGTGGCCAAAAAAGATTGTCTCTGTATGACACAAATACGTGATAACCTGGATCCCTAAATTACATGGTGAAACCTAATTTCTACTAAGACTTACACTGAAAAGTGTGTATTCATGACTATGTATCCATGTGAGAGAGTAAAAGAGGGAGAGAAGTTACCTCCATCGCAAGGTCCTGGCACCAAGACACGGCCACTGTACATCCATCGGTCAGACTTGGTGAGGAAGAGCACAGAAGCAGGCTTGTAAATGGGTTTTCAGCTATTGAACTGCGTGGTACTGAATAATGCGGCACTACACCATCATTCTGACAAATATAAGCAATTTCGTGAGTCAAAAATCAAAATTGATTACTTCACAGGCACAATATTCACATTAAACACAACTTATAGGTATCAGCCTATCAGGTAATAAAGAGAGGAGTAACCTTAAACATAACTTCACAGGAACAATATTCACCTGTATAAAGAGGACAGGAACTTTAACTTCCCCAATCACATCTCTGGTGGCACAACTGGAATAGAAATCTTCCACACTCTCGAAACCATTCGTCACCATGGATAAGGCTTTGTCAAACTCCCGGACTGATTTTGAGGACAAAGCCTTTTCAACATCAAACGCTTTAGGTCTGCCTTGGAAAAGCTCCTACAAGGCATCCATTTGCGTTAGACCAGTCAATAAAAAGAAGACCTCACTCAAAGGATAATGATGCGTTTTACAAGCAAATACCAAACCTTGTTTGCCAGAAGTATCTCAACTAGTCCACCTGTAAGCTGCCGATCCAAGCTAAAACAAAAAGGAGACGTCCGTGTCATCTCCTCAAGATCAAAAGGATTATCTATGCATACAGCAGCTGTAAGCGGCGTTGTCTCCCCTGCTTCTGCGAGGTACTTCGTCAGCATATTCGCACCATATCCCCTCCCAACGGCCATAAGTGTCGTCCATGGCCTTGTCTTGCTTAAGAATCGCATCGCCGTTGATATATCATCACTATCACCAGCTGTGAATAACCTACAGAAACCATACAATCACAAATCAAACACTTGAATTTTAAAATCAAACAAGTGGACAGAGAAATGTAGCTCACCGAGGTGTAGTGAGAGGCGAGCCAGCGCATCCTCTAGGGTTCATCACCATCGGAAACACTCCACGCCTCAGAGCCTCGCTTACGAATGAGCGAACGCCGTCGTCCATGCTCCCTTCCGGCGTCCCGGGGATCAGAATCACAGTCGTGTCCAGCCCACGCTCTTCTCTAAGATCCAAATCCGCCGGCCAATCGAGGGTAACAACACCGCCGTCCTCTGTACTGATGCAGACTCTCTGATACTCCAACGGCTTCTCCTCCTCCGCAGCTCTCTCGGCCGATACGATTTTGCCTTTGTCCAGAGTGACGAAATGCCTCTCTTCCTGGACGAGCCTATCGCTCAGGCTCTGTGGAAGGTCGCCTTCTCCGCCGCTAAGGTAAAACGAGAGCAAAGAGCACCGGAGGAGGACGAATCTGTTGAACGGCGTGGGGCTCGTGAAGAGAATCCACTCACCAACGACTTCCTCAGTGCTCGTTCTTCTATCGCTGATAATCCCCGAAGATCTTCCAAATAGCTTTGATGAGATAAAAACAGCCAAGCCGGAAGAGAAGCCGGCGACAGAGAGAGCAAGGGAATCGATAGGAACGCTGCCATCGAACGGCGGAGGTAAAAACGAGGAATTTACTAGAATCAAGCTCCGACTCTGTCTCTTGAAACGAGCACGCTTCCTGTGAAACACACCGAAGCCATAAGAGCTCCGGCGGAGCATGAATGGAGACGCCGTGTGTATGGTGGTCGGAGGTTGCCGCGCCGGCGGAAATTGAAGAAATTTGGAAGAAGAGGACGACGAAGAGTACATTTCTTAATACAGAGAGAGAGTTTCAGATTGATTTTACAAAAAATAAATAAAAAGGTATCAACCAGACAGACAAAAGAGAGGAAGAGTGTTCGAGAGAGAGATGACAATTGAAAAGATTATCGGAGGAGATTGTGACGGGAAGGGCTCGTCTTGAGTGATGTGTACTTTCTATTTTCAACCGTTAGATTGAGTCTCAATTGTACGACAGCCGTCAGATTTTAGTGATGTGATCTTTTTATTTCAGCTTATGTTGCCAAACTATGTAAGAAAGCCCATTGTTTGTTACTTTGTTGTTGTCTTGAAAAGGCGCGAATCTCGGGTTTGTTGTTTTCGTGTGAGTTCTTTGAGTTTTGGGATAGTTTTTGCTTGTGAAAAGAGCTCGTTAGTGTTCATAGAGAATGAGCGGTTTTTTGACCGCGGTTTGTCGTTGCGGAATGCGGATAGTTATGAAAAGCGGAATAAAAGAAAAAAACACAAGCCTTTACATTAAAAAAGATCTGAGACACACTGTTGTTAAAATCCAAAAGAAGAAAAGAATCACGAACCAACAAAGATATATATAAAGAGAACACTGATGAAAATCAAAAGGGTATACAGATATATATTTTCTTATATGTAAAAAGCCTTTCTTTTGTTCTTACCTCGAAGAGTTTGTTATTTCTGGCTTACGGGTGCGGGTGCTTTCTTCTTGAGGAGATTCCCAACTTTACCAAGTAAAGTCTTCTTCTTCTTGATCTTCTTCTCCATCGTTAGCTGATCATCTGAGGTTAAAGCGTTTCCGGTCTCTTCGATGTTCTCTGTTGAGGTTTTGTCGCTTTCATCCATTTTGCTTGAATCTTCTTCCTCTTCTTGAGACTCTAGTTCTGATTTCTTTTCCGGAAAAGCTTCCTTCTTCTCTATTTGGCAACTTTCCCACATTTTGAATATAACTTCAACCGAGTCATCTTTGTCATCATCTGGAGATTCTTCTTTCTTCTCAGTCTTCTCCACTTTCGCCTCAGGTTTTCCATTCACATCTTTCTCCTCCACACCATTGCCATTCCCATTGCTGATATGTTCTTGTGGAGTTTCGTGATCAATGGTTTCGACTTTAGGAGATTTCTCTTCTACACTTCTATGACCGTTCTCAGAAGAAAACTCAACCACTTTCGGTAGCAAATCATAGTCTTTCTCGCTTTCACTGAGCTCAACGTCCTCCTCTTCCGCTTTCTTCTTGGTCAACATTGCTTCCTCTAGTAACTTTGATAACTCCTCGATCTTCTTCACAGAAACATCTTCCTTTGCCCTAAGATCCTCATTCTCATGAATGACGCTTTGAAACTCGGTTTCTTTATCCAACAGACTCTCCTTCAGTTTCATGCTTTCTGCTTTTGCTTCCCCGAGAGTGTCCTGAAGATAAACCACCTCCTCTTCCACTTCTTTCAAACTGTCTTTCGTCTGTGCTTCTTTCTTCCAAGCTGCATCGGCTTCTTCCTCCGTTCTCTTCAGCAAATTGTCCAACCTGTTCATCTCTTTCCCCAACGAAGCAACTTCCTCTTCCATCTTCTTCACGTTATTCACCAAGTTAGCTTCTTTCATCTCCCAATCAGTCTTCGAGCTCTCGAAATGTTTCTTAGTCTGCTCCACCGCACTAACAAGAACGTCAATCTCATGTCTCGCTTCGTCAAGCATATTCTCGTACTTCTCGTTCGTCGCTTTAATCACCAGCTTCAAGTCTTCAATCTGTGTTTCGTACTCGTGATCGCCTTGACTCAACAGCTTCTCTTTCAACTCCCTTCCTTCGCTCGACACTTCATGCAAAGCCGAAGCTAAACTCTCCATTGCTTTCTTACTCTTCTCCTCTTCCTCCTTTGAGCTTTCCAGGTCAGCTAAAAGCTTCTTTCTCTGTTCCAAGAGCCTTTGAACACTCAAAGAAGCATCTTTCTCCTTATTTAAAGCCCTGTTCTTCTCCTCCTCGGCAGTTTCAAGCTCATTCTTCAACTTCTCTACTTCTTTTTCCATCTCAGACAATTTTCCTTCTGCATTCCCCAAACGTTGCTCAGATTCCTCAAGATCCTCCTTTTGTCTAGCAATGGTTGTCTCCAACGTCACGACTTTCTCCTTAAGACCAGTGATTTCAGATTCTGTGTCATGCAACTTTTTATTGCTTCCTTCAAGTTGTTTCTTCACAGATGCCAAAGATACAGAGGCAGATCTCTCCAACTTGTTAGCTTCTTCCAGCTGCTCCTCCAGTTCTTTGGCTTTCCCCTTCCACTCCTCGGACGAGATGTGCGCGCAAGATTCTGCCATCTTTGCAGCTTCTAAGTCCACATGAAGCTTCTCAATGATCTTCTCTTGCTCTCTAACCTCCGCCTCAAAACTTCTCGCGTTCTCAACATCTCTTTTCAAAACAACAATCTCCTCTTCTAGCTTTGAAACCATTTCACCACCCGAAATCTCCTTCTTTTCTCGAGTTGAATCAAGCAGAGCTTTCAACCGAGTCAGCTCCGAAGACAAGATCTCAACTTTCTCCGCATGAACTTCAACCTTCTTGCTAGACTCATCCGCTAGGCTCAAAGCCTTACTCTTGGCCTCATTGGCTGCAGCCAATTCTTGGTTCACTTTCTCAAGCTCCTGCGTAACCGAGAGAAGAGCAGCGGAATCTGAAGCGAGTTGGCTCTTGACGCTCTCGAGTTCCTTCTTCAACTCTTCTTCGTTTTTCTGAACAGCCTCGATCCCTGCCTCAACAGCCTGAAATTTCTCAATCTCGGAATTCTCCTCGACATTTTTCTGAGCTTTTAGAGCATCATCAAGCTTCCCACTCGCTTCTTCAGCTTCCTTTTTAGCTTCTTTGAGCTCGTCAAGTGATTTAGCTTTTTCCTTCTCCAGTGAAGCGATCCGCTCATTCGCTTTCTTCAAATCTTCCTTGATTTGACTCAACCGTGTGGTCGTCTGCGGTTCTGATCCTTTCACTACTCCCCTCGCTTGAGTTTTCTGCAAATCACAAGAAAAACAAAATCAATGTCAACTTTGATAGCAACTCCAACATAACACCACAGACAATTTTCCGAAGTTAAATACGATTCGACACATTACCTCAGGTGGAGTTGGAACTTTTGGTGATCGTCTCTCAACAGAAGGATTTGAATTTGGGGAAGAACGATCAAGTGAGAGCCGAGACTTTGGAGTCGGCGATGCAGAGTTGGGTTCGGATTTGTTCACTGGCCTGCTCAATTTTGCAACTCTCGGAGTTGCAGGAGATGATTTTCCCGGAGGAGGAGTAGTTTCCGATAAACTAGTTCTGTTTCCACAACACACAGCAAAAAGCAGAGCTCAGCAGGAAAGTAAACGGAGACAATTTAGATCAAAATCTTATATTTTCCGCAAAGGGAAAAAAAATTAGATCTTGAAATTTTTTCTCAAAATAGGAACTTCCAAATTTTCAAAACATATTAACCAGATCAGATCTGAATCTACTTTAAGCAACAGAAAAACAAAAAAAATCCCCGAGAAATAAGATGAAACTAAAAACAGACTGAAATTGAGTAAGACTCTTACTTAGACTTGGAAGCCATAGCCACCGACGCGCTCAATTTGAAGAAGACGGAGTTGATCGATTACAAAACAATGTTGAATTTCAGAAATTCGAGCTTGCAAACTCGATTTTCTGTATTTTGTTGGTGAAACTGAGTCTCATTCAGATCAAGAGAGAGAGAGAGAATGATTCGAATCGGTGGATTAAGGAAAGAGAGGGGTCGAACTAACCGAGAAGAATGATAGAGATTAGAGAGAAGAGCAGGTGTGGGTGTGGCTGTCTCCAGAGTGGCCACACTCCCAAAAGGCCAAAAGAATATGGTAATTTAAAAAGTTAAATTAATTAAAAAATTATCTCGGTTTCTCCTACCGATCCGATGTATCAAAAGAGAAACCAACCACTAATAATTTCGCTTTCGTTAATAATAAAAAAAATAAATAGAAAGAAATTAAGAACGTGAAGGTTTGTAAGATGACGAAAATGACCCTGGCTGTTCTTTAGTCCAATCAAACTGACAGCGAACAACCGTCACTATTGTCATTTGATATCATTGCGGGCCTGTAGCAATTTGCGGCTACCAAGATCAACGGCTGTAATAATTTTGTCAACGTTCAGCAAGTTCTAATGAAATGTTGTTGACAAAAAAAAAGTTTACATTTGCAAGAAAAAAAATGAATATTTGATATAGTGTAATTCTTTTTTATATGGTGTAATTCAATAATTTGTTAGTACATGAAGTTGGCAAGAAAACTAAAATTTTCAAATTGTTTATAAACTCCAAAAGAAACTATTATTGCCATCATCCTTTTTCTGAAATCTTAATATACTAGGTTTTCTGTTTACATCTTATCATGATTCGGAATGCAAAAGCAAAATGGCCATGTGACCATTGATAAAGAAAACACATGAGATGAAACTAATGATGCCTTTTTTTTTGTTAAAGGTACTATCATGAGGTCTATGCAAATTAAGTACTATTATATATTTGTATTTAAAACCAAATGTGGTATTTGAGATTTTACATAGGATAGGAGTTTGTTTAAAGACTTTTTTTTTCTGTTTGGTTAACTAAAAGAACAAACGAGAAGCTTAAAAACAGAACAAACTTAAACTTGAGATCCTTGTTGATTGAGAGGAATGGGGACAAAACTGGGGATATAGGTGAGATGAGAAGGCCAAAGATCAACCACAGACTCTATTGGAATCTTCTTGAACACATCTCTCTCAACAATGTAGATGCAAGCATTTCCAGCTTCATCACAAGTACACACAAATAGCTTCTTCTTATTATCAACGAAGTAACTTGGCTGACAAGCAAGACATTTCTGCTGTAACCTAGGCAAGTTTGGTATAGACACTGTCATCAAGTTTATCCACACCACAGCCTTCCGCTCAATATTTTGCTTTGTCACCAGAATCTCAATCTTCCCGGTCAAATAAGATTGCCTCAACACCGAAAACCGATCACCCTCGAAAACACCAAGCACTTGAGTGTAGCCGAAGTCTTCTTCACTAGACGCAGGTAGAAGACAAAACGTTTTGAATGTCTCCTCTGAAAAATCAAAGCTTCGGATGGAATATTCTGGTGAATGATAAGAGATCCAATATAAATTCCCGTTGAGAGAGACGATACTATCTAACTGTGGCACACGCCAATCTTGTTCCTCGCTAGGGGCATTGAACCTAATAAACCTCCACGCATCAGTTTTGCACTCATAAATGGCTACTTTTGGGTAGAGTTTGCTAGTAGCATCATCGGCACAAAAATAAACCCCAAAAATCTTGTAACCGGTTTCGGGTCTAGTGTTATCGTAACCTACGCCGCAAAACCTGAATTCGTGATTCTCTACAAATCTCTTCTTGCTTAACCATGGATTCCAAACCGCAAAACCTTTCTTCCACATGCCAGATAACAAGAACCCATCGCAATGAACTAAAATGCTATGCATTCCGATTCGAAATGGAATGTGTGAAGTTATATCACGCACCTCCACATGGTCGTCGTCGAGACTGATGGCTACCGAACAGATCTGGGAATTGGTCCTTAAGATGAATTCAGGGCGGGCGCGAGCGAAATACTTGTTCAAGAAAATCTTGTCCTCCCAAATAGCGTTCCACGGCTTACTTACCGCTCTGAATTGAGCAAGTGATTTCTTTGGCGACCGGAGGAGTATCTCTTCGACCAAGGCCGATGGTAACTCCTCCGCCGGCGCCATGACTAGGTCGTTGTTTACTTCTGTCTCCATGTGCAAACTTTTACACTATTATTAGATTTGGGCCTAGTAAAGGACCAAAAGCCAATTAAATAACGTATCTCTCTAGGAAACCATATATAAAACCCAAGGGGCCGAAATCGTAGCATTTGATGAATGATGAGTTTTGGAAGAGTTTTTGGGCTCAATACATCATTGCGGCTACGAAGATCAACGGCTGTGATTCATTATTGTTCGGAGTTGTTTTCATCTAACTTTATTTTGACAACGTTCGGCAATTTTAATTTATTATATGCACAAATGAAATATACTTGTGAGACTGAGACATTGACGGTTCATATATAATAAATGCGTAACAATAAGAAACTAAGAGAAATTATCTTGGCTAGAAAAGGAAAAGAGGAAAAACTGCAAAAGCTTATATGTATCTCTTTATGATAGCGTAGTAAAGAGTTTAGATGTAATACAGAGTAATAAGAGTCGTGATGGTATGATATCAATCATATATGATGATGATACAAAGAGAATACCACCACAACTTGAGCGCAAACACAGAGTAATACAGAGTCGGTGATGGTATGGTATCAATCATATGATACTAAGAGAATACCACCACAATTATTTGAAAGTTTCACACACATCCTATACATTTTATGAACCTGAGAGATAGTTTGATGGTAAAAGTTGTTTATGACATCATGAGAGAGCCGTCAATCGTGGGAAAGATACTAACTTGGAGAGCTTGGACGTGGGCAAGTTTTGATGTTGTCACAGCTGTGTGAGGAAGATGCACCATGATCTCGAGCAGATTCTGGCACAAGAGACGCATCGGGAAAAGACTCTAGGACCAATTTCTCAACTTCAGACGCAGGCAACCCCGCTTCCTCCAGGATTCGCTGCAATGCAACCGGACCTTGCACCTCTTCAACACGATCCTCCTGCTTTGGATTCGTTTAAAAACTTGTCAATTATTCATAGTTTTGTTCATGTCATACATCAGTCAGTACGTAATGATTGCAAAAATCTTACCCCTTGCGCCTTGTTGTTCCCGTTATCCTCCTCCACATCAGAAACATCCACCTCCTCCACCAGTTTGTTTTCCTGGTGCAGCCATCTTTGAAGTTGCGGATCATTGTACTCAGGATTGATAATATCAGAATGTTTAGCTCGTTCTTACCGTGAGATTCTTGTTGCTACCAGATCCAGAGGCTTTCTTGTTGATTGATGAACCAGGTCCAGATGGTTTTTTGCCTCCTTTCTTCGACCCCTTTCCCTTCTTCTTCTTTGGCGCCATGATTGTGTTTCTTCCTTCATATGACAAAACAAAAACATACATTATATGCGAAGATGCAATCAAACTCTCAAAGCAAAGGAATCCATCTATTCATTTCTCTATCCCATAACACATCCATCTGTTATCAGCATATCTCTTCAGGTTATACAGCAACAACATAAAACATAGATGCACAAACTTGAAATTTCATAAACCAAAGGATCTATCCGGAGAAGGAGAAGGTGACTGATTGGGGTTATCAGGATTCGTGAATTGTTGGACTGACGATGATTATTCTCTCTCAACAAACAAAAACAAGTGAATCTAACAAGCCCAAGCTCCACACGGATTCAACAAAACATACACCCAATCCCAATTCAACGACGAATTACACTAAACATACAGCCGATCCCAAATCTCAGACGAATTTCGCAAAACACACACCAAATCCTAAAGCTCCAGGCGAGTTATCGAATCAATATCCACAACTGTAAACAATCGCAATCGTACATCAACATAGAACAGAAGAACAGATAACGCACACTAAATCCTGAAACCTAGCACTCAGCATCCGCTTCGACTCCATCACTATCCGATCCATGGAACAAATCAGAGAGAAACACGCACACACGCACTAAATCCGGAATTTCTCACACTTGAGTAATCGAAAACATGAGCAAAGTCGAATTCGAGTTCTAGAAGCTGAAATTATAAACCTAAATGCCAAATTTGAAAGCTCCAGATGAATTATCGAATCAATATCCACAACCGTAAACACTCGCAATCGTTTTCCGTAAACTCTCTCGCAATCGTTTTCCTTAAACTCTCGCTACATCAGCATAGACCAGAAGAGAAAATTACGCACACGAAATCCTGAGACCTAACACTCAGATCCATTTCGACTCCATCACTATCGAATCCATGGAACAAATCAGAGAGAAGCAAACACGAAATCCGAAATTTCTCGCACTGAGTAATCGAAAACAAAATCGGAGTCGAGATCTAGAAGATGAAGCACTAAATCTAAGCTTACCTCGATAGAGTTTTTGAGATCTCGAGAGAATCAGGAGTCTTCGTCTGCGTTTGCTCTGCTCGCTCTCTTCCTCTCTGTTTGGCGGGACTCTCTTAAAACAAACTCCTCCGATTGTTCCTTCTTTTTCTTTCTCTCTCTTTATTTAAATTTCGAATTCCGTGAGCTGAGAAACAAAAACAACAAAATTCGAATTCCTTGTATGGGCCGCGTATCCGATGGGCCTTTCCAATTTCAACATCTTCGAAACTATAGCAAACCAAATGGGCCGCGTATTTGAATCCGACTTATTTGTGATAATTATTAACATAAAATAATAACCACCCAAACAAACAATAAAAACCCCACTTTTTCTTAATTATTTTTTTATTTTAAATATAATTTATGTACTAAATAAAAGTAACACTTAGTATAAATATATTTGCATGTACTAAATGAATTTATTATATATTTTATATTTTTTTGCTGATGGAGAAAAGCTCTACAGTTATATGATTATTAAGATTTCATTTACTTTTTAAAATATTTATTTTATTTGTTTCTCCCAAATGTATACTTTCAAAAATTACGAGAAACACAAAACTATTTACATGAGAAATGCAACAAATCCAAAGAATAATGTGAAAAATATTTATTTTTTTGCTTCTCCCAAATATATGAACTCTCATAAATTACGTATTACAAAAAACACAAATCTATTAATTGGGTATATTTTTGGTTATGTGGTTTGGGTATATTTAGACAGCGTCCCATAGATTTTCTTACATATTTGTCTAAATCTCTTTCACGATCGCTCATCCTTAGTTAAAATTGTCTTCTCTTCATTAGCGGCGGTTTCTAAACCTAAAAGCAGGGCACATTCCTTTTAGGGCATTCTTTTTAACATGCGGTGAACAAAAATAAAACTCTTTAATTATAGCAGATGATTATGATAAAATTTCATTTACCTTTTAAAAAATAATTATTTCAGTTGTTTCTCACAACTGTAAACTCTCATCAACTATGAGAAACACAAACAATTTACATGGCACATATCCAAAGACTTGTATGAAACCTTTTGTTACTCCAAACAAAAACAAAAAAGGAAAAACACAAACAAAGAAACATCTAAGAATTTATGTAATTCTCATATCCCTCCATTGAGCAGTGTAAAGACATTGATTCTGGTTCTTGAAACGTTTCTGAACAATGGTAAGAGACTTCACAATTCTTGTAAAGTAAACATCACTCATCCTGTGTTGTCTTGTTTTTCTATTGTGTCAGTGAGTTCAATGGTTCTGAGATCACGGAGATGTTGCAATATATCTTGAAGAAGATCCGTTCCTTTGTCACCTTTCTTCTCCGAACTCATACAGTTTTTCAGAAACTCACCATCTGTTTCCAGCACCTGTAGCCTCTCGTAGACGCTATCAACTTGTTTGATGATCTCTAGCTTCTCTCTTTCCGAAGACTCCGGTAGTAGTTCTTGATAACCGTCTTCTGATTCGTCCTCTGCTGCGTCTAGAAGAGGAAGCAGACTCTTTGCCATTGATGCCATTGTTACTCCTTCATCTTCATAACTATTGCTGAATTCTCCTGGAGATTCATTGTCCTGCATTGTTACTAACCTGTCCTCTAACACCTTAAGCTGATCCAAGATCACTAACCTCTCTTCCTCAAACTCTGATAGAGACTCATCAAGCATGCTCATATGTTTTACACAATCCAATGTTATCTTCTCCAAATCAACATCCGTCTCAGAAGCGTTATCCTCATTTTTATCATCATCATCATCATCATCATCATCAACAGCCTCGCAATGGCTTTTCGTAGTTCTGATTTTGTTCTTCTCATACTCCAAAACCTTCTCTCGATAAACCTCAAGCTCTCTCTGGAGCACTTCCTTCTCTTTCTCTCTTTTTACCATCAGATGATTCAAAAGCTGCAAGGCTTCTTGATCATACTCAGCTTGTTCCTCCATCATTCTCTGATACTGCAACGCCTCCATCTGAACTTTAGCCTTCTCTTCTTGTAGCCTCGTGATCATCGCCATTGTCTGGTTAGCTGCTATTGCAGACGCGCTTCTTTCTTCTTCCAGCTCTGCATATAAACCTCTCAGTGCTTCTTGCTCTGCTCTCACAGTCTCTCTCAGCCGTTCGATTGTCCTTACAGGATCGCCACCGTCCATCTCACTCACTACTGCTACTCTCCCATCTCCTGCATCTTCAGACTCATTATTGGCAAGAAAATGAAGTTTCTTGTGCAATAAGGTATTAGTAGGTGTTTGCGGAAGCTCCGTTGTCTTTTCTTCATTTTGGCTACCTATGAAAGCAAAAACTCTACTCAGGCTTAAAGTGATTCACATGAATATACAAATCAAATCAAAGATTGCATACATATGAGCACAAGACCTGTTAAAATAGGATCAAATCCGACAGAGAGATCTTCGATGACAAAAGCTTCATTCTTGGTCTGAAATTGATCATCCAACAAAACTGATCTTTCTGTTTTTTCTTTGTCTTCTTCTTCCACACGCCCTGTGTTTTAGCCACAGTTGAGAAATCTTTAAAACCCCCAAAAAAAAACAAACAGAAACAAAATTTTAGACTTTGGGTTTGTGTTCTCACTTCTCACTCTACCTGAAATTTTATCGTCCACACATGCGGAAGCAATGCCTGTGTCATCATCACTTTGTTCATCCTCTGAAACTCTTGATTTACCTTCTGGGATTTCTTCTTCTTCGTTCCCAAGAATTTTATTGCTGATGATTGATCTCAACCCATCTTCTTCAGAAACTTCTCTCAGGCTTAAACCATAGCTCTCAGCATCTGAGATCACTTCACCATTTTGCTGCTGCTCTTGTCTCTTTCCTTCTTCTTCTTCTTCTTCTTCTTCTTCTTCTTCTTCTTCTTCTTCATCATCTGCTTTCTCGCTGAAGAACGCTAAGGGATCAGACTCTCTCTGTGTCTCGAACAGATCTCCAATTTTGTCATCATCTATCATCTCCAAGATCAATCCCCTGTTCTCTCTGTCACACAGAGTGTTCCCCCAAATTGATGACTTGATAAGCAAGTAATTAGGGTAGGGTTTATCTGCCAAGCTCTTCTGGCAACATGAGCAAAACCCTAAACCAATGTTGCTCCATTCTTCCTGGTCTGAGCATTCCGAGCACAAGCTAACCGATTCGGATAACTTCCCGTGAGTTTTGCAAAATCTCAGTCTTGCGAGCTCTGCGAAATGTATACTTCGATTGTAAATTGAATCATCATCTTCATAGATTTAGAAAAATGTATACAGACAGATTCTAGGTGCCAATCGGCTTATCATCATGAATTTATGATACACACAAAAAACGGAGTCATCAAACTATTATATGAAGGAGTTTAAATGCTTGCTTCATACGGCTTTGGGTCTAAGTTGATTAGCAAGGAAGCGATGAGCCCGCTGAATCGTACTTAAATGCTGTTCCAGTAAGTCTACATCGTCCTGAAGATGTTCTTCATGCAGAGCTTGGAGTTGTGATGGATCAACATCTGAAGGACTAGTATCCACTGCGGAAAAAGAATAACAACAAAATAATAGAAAACAGGAGCATCAGCAACATATTTGTAAGTATTCAACAAAAATGTGAGCTTTTATTATACTGGCTAAACATCTTACATAATCTCAACTTGGACTCTTTGTATTCCATACACCGTTGTAATATAGTCACTCCTGCGCACAGACACAAGTACACGTATTAGAGAATGTTTTTAAACTATCTAAAAAAAAGATCGGCTTTTCTAGTGCTTACGGTCTCCGACTTTTATGTAGTGCAACCTCTGACCAAAGCTGCCAAGTACATAAGTGTAGCATTCTAGATTTGTTTCCCGACTTCTCTTCCATCTTTTAAGCCACGAGTCGATATCATAAGTATATGATGTGGTGAAATGACCGCAAGACTGTTGCAATTGATTCTCTATCTCCTCCATTTCCCTCAGATTTTCAACACACTCATTTATTTTTTCCTGCACCTGTGAACACAACAAGAGAGATATGAACAAGAACAAGTCAATATCGTCTCACAAAACATTGTTCATCAGATAGACAGAGTCCCATAGACTTTCTTACATATTTGTCTAAATCTCTCTCACGGTCGCTCATCCTTAGTTAAAATTGTCCTCTCTTCCTCACCGGCGGCTTCTACACATTCTTTTTAGGGCATTCACGATTTGGAAGACGATGATGTCGTGCCTTTCTATTTGGGCCCGAAATAAGAAAGCCCATTAGGACCATCGTTAATAAATTAGCTATGTTTTTGGGCTCAATACATCATTGCGGCTACGAAGATCAACGGCTGTGATTCATTATTGTTCGGAGTTGTTTTCATCTAACTTTATTTTGACAACGTTCGGCAATTTTAATTTATTATATGCACAAATGAAATATACTTGTGAGACTGAGACATTGACGGTTCATATATAATAAATGCGTAACAATAAGAAACTAAGAGAAATTATCTTGGCTAGAAAAGGAAAAGAGGAAAAACTGCAAAAGCTTATATGTATCTCTTTATGATAGCGTAGTAAAGAGTTTAGATGTAATACAGAGTAATAAGAGTCGTGATGGTATGATATCAATCATATATGATGATGATACAAAGAGAATACCACCACAACTTGAGCGCAAACACAGAGTAATACAGAGTCGGTGATGGTATGGTATCAATCATATGATACTAAGAGAATACCACCACAATTATTTGAAAGTTTCACACACATCCTATACATTTTATGAACCTGAGAGATAGTTTGATGGTAAAAGTTGTTTATGACATCATGAGAGAGCCGTCAATCGTGGGAAAGATACTAACTTGGAGAGCTTGGACGTGGGCAAGTTTTGATGTTGTCACAGCTGTGTGAGGAAGATGCACCATGATCTCGAGCAGATTCTGGCACAAGAGACGCATCGGGAAAAGACTCTAGGACCAATTTCTCAACTTCAGACGCAGGCAACCCCGCTTCCTCCAGGATTCGCTGCAATGCAACCGGACCTTGCACCTCTTCAACACGATCCTCCTGCTTTGGATTCGTTTAAAAACTTGTCAATTATTCATAGTTTTGTTCATGTCATACATCAGTCAGTACGTAATGATTGCAAAAATCTTACCCCTTGCGCCTTGTTGTTCCCGTTATCCTCCTCCACATCAGAAACATCCACCTCCTCCACCAGTTTGTTTTCCTGGTGCAGCCATCTTTGAAGTTGCGGATCATTGTACTCAGGATTGATAATATCAGAATGTTTAGCTCGTTCTTACCGTGAGATTCTTGTTGCTACCAGATCCAGAGGCTTTCTTGTTGATTGATGAACCAGGTCCAGATGGTTTTTTGCCTCCTTTCTTCGACCCCTTTCCCTTCTTCTTCTTTGGCGCCATGATTGTGTTTCTTCCTTCATATGACAAAACAAAAACATACATTATATGCGAAGATGCAATCAAACTCTCAAAGCAAAGGAATCCATCTATTCATTTCTCTATCCCATAACACATCCATCTGTTATCAGCATATCTCTTCAGGTTATACAGCAACAACATAAAACATAGATGCACAAACTTGAAATTTCATAAACCAAAGGATCTATCCGGAGAAGGAGAAGGTGACTGATTGGGGTTATCAGGATTCGTGAATTGTTGGACTGACGATGATTATTCTCTCTCAACAAACAAAAACAAGTGAATCTAACAAGCCCAAGCTCCACACGGATTCAACAAAACATACACCCAATCCCAATTCAACGACGAATTACACTAAACATACAGCCGATCCCAAATCTCAGACGAATTTCGCAAAACACACACCAAATCCTAAAGCTCCAGGCGAGTTATCGAATCAATATCCACAACTGTAAACAATCGCAATCGTACATCAACATAGAACAGAAGAACAGATAACGCACACTAAATCCTGAAACCTAGCACTCAGCATCCGCTTCGACTCCATCACTATCCGATCCATGGAACAAATCAGAGAGAAACACGCACACACGCACTAAATCCGGAATTTCTCACACTTGAGTAATCGAAAACATGAGCAAAGTCGAATTCGAGTTCTAGAAGCTGAAATTATAAACCTAAATGCCAAATTTGAAAGCTCCAGATGAATTATCGAATCAATATCCACAACCGTAAACACTCGCAATCGTTTTCCGTAAACTCTCTCGCAATCGTTTTCCTTAAACTCTCGCTACATCAGCATAGACCAGAAGAGAAAATTACGCACACGAAATCCTGAGACCTAACACTCAGATCCATTTCGACTCCATCACTATCGAATCCATGGAACAAATCAGAGAGAAGCAAACACGAAATCCGAAATTTCTCGCACTGAGTAATCGAAAACAAAATCGGAGTCGAGATCTAGAAGATGAAGCACTAAATCTAAGCTTACCTCGATAGAGTTTTTGAGATCTCGAGAGAATCAGGAGTCTTCGTCTGCGTTTGCTCTGCTCGCTCTCTTCCTCTCTGTTTGGCGGGACTCTCTTAAAACAAACTCCTCCGATTGTTCCTTCTTTTTCTTTCTCTCTCTTTATTTAAATTTCGAATTCCGTGAGCTGAGAAACAAAAACAACAAAATTCGAATTCCTTGTATGGGCCGCGTATCCGATGGGCCTTTCCAATTTCAACATCTTCGAAACTATAGCAAACCAAATGGGCCGCGTATTTGAATCCGACTTATTTGTGATAATTATTAACATAAAATAATAACCACCCAAACAAACAATAAAAACCCCACTTTTTCTTAATTATTTTTTTATTTTAAATATAATTTATGTACTAAATAAAAGTAACACTTAGTATAAATATATTTGCATGTACTAAATGAATTTATTATATATTTTATATTTTTTTGCTGATGGAGAAAAGCTCTACAGTTATATGATTATTAAGATTTCATTTACTTTTTAAAATATTTATTTTATTTGTTTCTCCCAAATGTATACTTTCAAAAATTACGAGAAACACAAAACTATTTACATGAGAAATGCAACAAATCCAAAGAATAATGTGAAAAATATTTATTTTTTTGCTTCTCCCAAATATATGAACTCTCATAAATTACGTATTACAAAAAACACAAATCTATTAATTGGGTATATTTTTGGTTATGTGGTTTGGGTATATTTAGACAGCGTCCCATAGATTTTCTTACATATTTGTCTAAATCTCTTTCACGATCGCTCATCCTTAGTTAAAATTGTCTTCTCTTCATTAGCGGCGGTTTCTAAACCTAAAAGCAGGGCACATTCCTTTTAGGGCATTCTTTTTAACATGCGGTGAACAAAAATAAAACTCTTTAATTATAGCAGATGATTATGATAAAATTTCATTTACCTTTTAAAAAATAATTATTTCAGTTGTTTCTCACAACTGTAAACTCTCATCAACTATGAGAAACACAAACAATTTACATGGCACATATCCAAAGACTTGTATGAAACCTTTTGTTACTCCAAACAAAAACAAAAAAGGAAAAACACAAACAAAGAAACATCTAAGAATTTATGTAATTCTCATATCCCTCCATTGAGCAGTGTAAAGACATTGATTCTGGTTCTTGAAACGTTTCTGAACAATGGTAAGAGACTTCACAATTCTTGTAAAGTAAACATCACTCATCCTGTGTTGTCTTGTTTTTCTATTGTGTCAGTGAGTTCAATGGTTCTGAGATCACGGAGATGTTGCAATATATCTTGAAGAAGATCCGTTCCTTTGTCACCTTTCTTCTCCGAACTCATACAGTTTTTCAGAAACTCACCATCTGTTTCCAGCACCTGTAGCCTCTCGTAGACGCTATCAACTTGTTTGATGATCTCTAGCTTCTCTCTTTCCGAAGACTCCGGTAGTAGTTCTTGATAACCGTCTTCTGATTCGTCCTCTGCTGCGTCTAGAAGAGGAAGCAGACTCTTTGCCATTGATGCCATTGTTACTCCTTCATCTTCATAACTATTGCTGAATTCTCCTGGAGATTCATTGTCCTGCATTGTTACTAACCTGTCCTCTAACACCTTAAGCTGATCCAAGATCACTAACCTCTCTTCCTCAAACTCTGATAGAGACTCATCAAGCATGCTCATATGTTTTACACAATCCAATGTTATCTTCTCCAAATCAACATCCGTCTCAGAAGCGTTATCCTCATTTTTATCATCATCATCATCATCATCATCATCAACAGCCTCGCAATGGCTTTTCGTAGTTCTGATTTTGTTCTTCTCATACTCCAAAACCTTCTCTCGATAAACCTCAAGCTCTCTCTGGAGCACTTCCTTCTCTTTCTCTCTTTTTACCATCAGATGATTCAAAAGCTGCAAGGCTTCTTGATCATACTCAGCTTGTTCCTCCATCATTCTCTGATACTGCAACGCCTCCATCTGAACTTTAGCCTTCTCTTCTTGTAGCCTCGTGATCATCGCCATTGTCTGGTTAGCTGCTATTGCAGACGCGCTTCTTTCTTCTTCCAGCTCTGCATATAAACCTCTCAGTGCTTCTTGCTCTGCTCTCACAGTCTCTCTCAGCCGTTCGATTGTCCTTACAGGATCGCCACCGTCCATCTCACTCACTACTGCTACTCTCCCATCTCCTGCATCTTCAGACTCATTATTGGCAAGAAAATGAAGTTTCTTGTGCAATAAGGTATTAGTAGGTGTTTGCGGAAGCTCCGTTGTCTTTTCTTCATTTTGGCTACCTATGAAAGCAAAAACTCTACTCAGGCTTAAAGTGATTCACATGAATATACAAATCAAATCAAAGATTGCATACATATGAGCACAAGACCTGTTAAAATAGGATCAAATCCGACAGAGAGATCTTCGATGACAAAAGCTTCATTCTTGGTCTGAAATTGATCATCCAACAAAACTGATCTTTCTGTTTTTTCTTTGTCTTCTTCTTCCACACGCCCTGTGTTTTAGCCACAGTTGAGAAATCTTTAAAACCCCCAAAAAAAAACAAACAGAAACAAAATTTTAGACTTTGGGTTTGTGTTCTCACTTCTCACTCTACCTGAAATTTTATCGTCCACACATGCGGAAGCAATGCCTGTGTCATCATCACTTTGTTCATCCTCTGAAACTCTTGATTTACCTTCTGGGATTTCTTCTTCTTCGTTCCCAAGAATTTTATTGCTGATGATTGATCTCAACCCATCTTCTTCAGAAACTTCTCTCAGGCTTAAACCATAGCTCTCGGCGTCTGAAATCACTTCACCATTTTGCTGATGCTCTTGTCTCTTTCCTTCTTCTTCCTCATCTGCTTTCTCGCTGAAGAACGCTAAGGGATCTGTATCTCTCTGTGTCTCGAACAGATCTCCAATTTTGTCGTCATCTATCATCTCCAAAATCAATCCCCTGTTCTCTCTGTCACACAGAGTGTTCCCCCAAATTGATGACTTGACACGAAAGTAACTAGGATAGGGTTTATCTGCCAAGCTCTTCTGGCAACAGGTGCAAAACCCTAAACCAATGTTGCTCCGTTCTTCGCGATCTGAGCATTCCGAGCACAAGTTAACTGATTCGGATAACTTGCCGTGAGTTTTGCATAAACTCAGTCTTGCCAGCTCAGCGACGTGATTCCGGCATAAAAGCTCCTTGTAAGTGAATCTTTTTTCTTGGTTTCGCTCGAAGATTCGATCCAGCTTTGGGCAGAGAACGCAGACTTGCTTAAGGCCGAAGAAAGAGGCGAATTTCATGATAAAGTAAGTGAAAAGGGAATTGAGAAAGATGAAGAACATGAGAAGCCATTCGAGGAATGCGTAGACCAAGATCACTGTAATTCTGTTGGTGTTTCTGCTTAGCTTCGTCGCAAAATCGTTGGCCGCCATTGTTTTTGGCTCCTCTGCTTCCTTCGCTGAGACTGAGAGAAGAGAGAGAATAGAGAGAAAGACAGAGAGAGAGAGAGAATGATGTTGTCGGGCAACATGCGCAAACCACGCTGTCTTTGTCTAGTTCAAATTGGTTGACACCTGAACCGGAATGAGAAGCTAAATTAACAACCTTTAAGAATTTAGAAGTTAACGAGATGTGGAATAGTGGTCGGAACAAGAAAGTTGTGTTTTGTTTTAAAAAATTAATCGTTAGTGGCTTTTTGGTTCACAGTATTGTTATGTGATTAACGAATTTTGAATCCACATAATTAAATTAGAAAATATGGAACTGTCGAAAGGCAAAAAGAGAGCGTGAGTGATGATGAATATTTGGTTGTCAAAAGAAGCATATAGAAAAGGAAAAAGGAAAAGATATCTTTAAAGTGAGGGAATTTCTGATTGCTTCTTTTGCTTTTAGGTGATAAAACACATATTTTGCCTAGTTGGTGAGATGTTAAATAATGGAGTAATTGTCCACTTTTTTTCTTGATCATCATCTACAAATAAAAAATTATCCACTTTTTGCTTGAAATCTGTTCATGCTTTAAGGCATCATGGACCCAACAGTAGGACACTGATAACAAAAGTTGACAATGGATTCTCTCCAATATCATTTTATGCCAAACTAAATGTTTTGGTCCCCACAAAAAGAGGAGAAACAAACTGTAGGAGTCAAGAGAGAATAATAGCCTGAGCCTCTAAAATGATCACAAATAAATCGAAATCAATGGTCCATGGAACAGGCAGCGATATGGGCCTGTGAGAAGATAATGATTGCATGGAAGGTTAAGTAAGAAGAATTTACTGAGACACTAGAGAAGTGGACTTGAGAAAATCAAGCCTAGCTTTGGTCAGCTTTATCTTCTCTTCTACTTCTTCTGCTTTCTCCTTTACACCTTTCACAACTTCTTCCGGAGCTTTCTCCACAAACTACATATATTTTGGCGTTAGAAAAACTTGTATAAACGAGCTACGAGTGCATGGTGAGTTGTATACCTTTGGTGAGTTGAGGCGAGCTACGAGTGCATCATATTCAGTTTGCATCTTTGAGAGACGTTTTGAAATGCGTTGGACTTCAGAAGATATATCAACCATGTCTGCCAGAGGTAGATATGCCTCTAGCCCTTCACTAGCTACTAGGTGCACTGAGATCTTTGCATCACCTGCCCATGTGGAGTTTCATTGTGACCACAACAGCTTTAAAGAGTTGCATGATAAAATCCAAAATGTGTTATTGATGATTATACCAGGAGGAGCATTGGTAAAATGGACGTTGTTTAGATCAAGCCTTGATAGAAGAGCTAATACCTCCTTCTCTTTCTGCATCGCATCGAGGCAAACACATGAGATTACTAACATAAACACTGTATTGTACTATCATGGAGTAGAATGAGAATGTCCAGATTTTGTGAGCGTGGAAAGGGTCAGGAAGGATGAACATAACAGACTAAGGCAATAGCTTATAGTGGAAATTTCTGCTACGGAAGGCATGAGTGACTGACCGAAATATATTCAACAACCTCTGCACTTCCAACAATTGAGGCAGATATACGCTTCACTGGTTCCACTGAGTACTCTGCTCTTGCATTTCGGATTGCTCTAGTCTGTGAGATTTAACAGGCAAGGCGTCAATATATTCTCAACTTATGATTCTACTGGGGGACTGCAAAAACATGAAGGAAGAGATTCATACTAACCAGAGCTTGTAAATTCTCAAATCTTTTTACTGATTCAACATTCCTTGGAAGTGAACTGTGTGGCCATGGAGACACAATGAGCGCTTCTTTCCTGTATGGAAGTGCCTGCAAATGCAAAATGCATTCAGATTATAGTTTTGTGAAGCTGAATTCATTTTTTGGTTGCAGTAATCAATCATATACGACTAAATCTTCATGCTTAAACCGAATCTACACTACAAACGTTAACAGCTTAAGCACGACCCAGTAGTACGAAATGTCCAATACGCATATTAACTCATAAGGTATAAGGAAAAGCATGCCTAGAGCAGTTGGCCAGTAGCAAAACTGAGAGCATGTTACCTGCCATAGATCCTCGGTTACAAATGGCATAAATGGATGCAACAGCTTCAGTATATTCTCAAAGACATATAACAGAACTGCCTGAGAAACTAGAGAAACTGAAGTGCCTCCAGATCCATACAGTCGAGATTTGCTGGCTTCAATATACCTTTAAGAGTAGAAACTAAGACTAGTCGATCAGTTATGTCCAAGAAACATGTATTTAATTTAACTGTTAAGAGTTCAGGTGGTGATACCAATCAGCAAAGTCACTCCAAAAGAAATCATATGTTTCTCTTCCTACATCCCCAAAGAAGAGCTTCTCATAGCTTGCTGTGACAGAATCAATAAGAATGTGGAGCTTCGACACCTGAAAATAACCCAAAGAAATAGAAGGTGGAAGGCTAATTGATATTGTTTGATAACTCCATAGTTAAAATGTATTTTATTAGAGCAGCCAAAACATTTATTTACCGCCCAACATTCAGGTAAGGGTAAACTGAGCAGGGTTTCCTCTTTGTCCAACTGAAAAAAAAAAGCCAAAAAGGTTAGCCAAAATTTAACTTACAACAGTGTAAAACTTCACACCAAAACGATACTAAGAGTTAAGTGGTGATTTATGCAGCTTAATTAGCCTAAGGTAGCTGTCATTTATGATTAAATCTGCAACTGTTTAAGTTATGGCACAACGAAAGCAGAAATGAGATACTCTATGAAAGAGATCTCGCCAAACTCCTATATATAATGGTACCTTACTTTTTCCTGAGACTTTTATAATCCATTAACCCATCTTGACAAAAAGATAATTTTGTGTGCTTACGGCATACTTAGTCTGTCACTAAAAGGACAAGAAGATACTACAGTTCCCTATTATTTTCTAGTGGAGACGGAGAAACAAGCAAACCTTGATGGCCAGTAAATTCTCCCAAACAGATGTGTCGCTTAGACTAGGCAAACTCTGCAGCACAAACTTTCCAGCATTCCATAGTTTGTTGGTGAATGCTTTATTTGCAGTTAACCTCTCAGTAGATAAGTTCAGATCCTAACAAATATGTGATGGGGAAAAGATAGAAAGGAAAATAAAAATAAATGTGACATCTTAACTAGAGATAGATGGCTAGCTGCCTAAAACAAACTAGAGATCAAACCTGACCAGCAGTTCCTAGTGCAATCGTAAATCTCAGGGCATCAGTGCCAAAATCTTTGATTGTGTCAAGCGGATCAATCACATTCCCAATAGATTTTGACATTTTTCTCCCCTGAAAGTTCCAAACAATTTGGTGAAATACATGGATATATACAGGGCAAATACTAGTTTCCCCTTAAATAGCACAAGAGCTGAAAACCTAAACGATCAAGATGCTTAAAGAAACCATGAGTAGTTATCCCGTCCTGAAGAAAGATCAAATTAACTAGAACATGCAAAAAGCCTAAACTTACTTGAGAGTCCCGTATAAGTCCGTGAAGGTAGACATGAGAAAATGGAACGCTCCCTGTAAATTCTATTCCCATCATAACCATTCTTGCTACCCAGAAAAACAATATGTCATGGCTGTCCAAACAAAAGACAATAGTTAGTTAAGAAGAGTAATGTGAACTTAGAGTAGCTAGCTGCAATTTTTTCCAATGTTTGAAGAGTTTTCTTACTAATTAGCAGCCAATGTTTTCTAATCGACAAGAAACAAAGGAATATACCCGGTTTCTAACATATTTGTAGGGTAGAAGTTATTAAAATCCTTTGCTGATACGTCAGGCCAGCCAAGAGTGCTGAAAGGCCACAATGAGCTGCAGAAAGAAAAAAACAACTTGGTAAATCGTGTAGGAAAGTCTTGCAAAATCAGGGAGATTTGTTTGTATCTACTCTTAAGGAGCTAAAAAATCCACATGATTAAACTATAGAGCATATCTATAACAAATTAACAATGACGCACAGAAGAAGAATCGTTTCTCAATAACTCCAACTGAGTATCTAACCTGGAAAACCATGTGTCAAGAACATCTGGATCCTGATATATTTCAGCATCTTTTCCATACTTCTCATGAGCTTTCTCAAGGGCTTCTTCAGAATTTTTGGCAACTATATAGTCCTCTTCGCAATCCTTCCCAACCACATACCAAACTGGTATGCGATGCCCCCACCACAGCTGCCGGCTTATGCACCAATCCTTAATATTTGTCAGCCAGTGATTGTATATCTACAAGTGGCGACAGGAAATATAAGCAAAACCAGAAACATGCAGTGTAAACAATCAAAAATCAAAATTATAAAATGAATATGCCAAACTGATAGTAGGAAAAGCCAGAGACCGAACACAACAACTAATAACGTGCAGCACATATACCTTCTCAAATCTCTCAGGTGTGATGGTTAATTCTTTCTTTTCAACAGCAGCAAGTGCCTTCTCAGCTAAAGGCTCCATGTGAACAAACCACTGTTTGCTTACAAGTGGCTCAATAACCTAACACCAATTAAACCATGCATGAGACAATATACGTACTCCTAACGAATTGGAAAACTGATACTGAGGCAGCAGAAAATGTACTTCTCCACCACGCTGAGATCTTGGAACTCGTAAAGTGTAAGGCTCCTTCTTAACAGCTAAACCTGTCTCCTCAAGATCTGCCCATAGCTTGTCCCTGACCTCAAACCGGTCAAGGCCACTGGAAATACCATGTATGTTAAGGAGCCATGGACGTTAAACTTCCATTTCATAGATTCAAACTAATGCAGTTAACATATAAGTGTAAGCAAATGTACCGAAACAAGCCAGCAACTTCATTTAGTGTTGCGTCCTTGTTCATCACATTCAGAATGGGGAGACCTAGCTTTCTGGCAAGAAGATAATCATTGTGATCATGCCCAGGACTTATCTTCAGAACACCAGTCCCAAAATCTTTATCAACATACTGCCACAGTACACAGAAAATATGGATGAGAGAGATATGAAGAGCAGCAAAGAAAGCATGCGACATCTGAGTTCAGTTAACCAGGAAATAAAATACTGGTAGACCCATATAAATTCAATTGCTAGCTTCCGAGTAGCTAGAACTTAGAAGTTCTGCTGCGAACAGAAACTAACTCTGGAAGATCTTTGATGCTAAAAGAGAAAGATGGAGAGTGCATATCTGAGTTCACCTTGTCGGAAATAATTGGGACATGACGACCATATGTCATAGGTACAATTGCTGTCTGACCCACATACTTAGAATAACGATCATCCTGCCAGAGGCCATGATATATGTCACAACAGTAATCCCAATAAGATACCCAAAAGAGAGCAACTGTAATCAGAAACAATTAGAAAAAGATCGATATTCACATGCAATCCACAAAAAGTATCATCTACTTAATAGATTAACATCTTGGGTAAATCAGCAAGGAGTCTAATGTACTATAACTTAAAAGAGTCGAATAAAAACTACAGAAAATGAAAGTGCACATATATATCCTCTAACTTTCTTTACATAAAAAAATCGCTACCTACCTCAGGATGTACTGCAATGGCCACATCACCAAACAATGTCTCTGGACGAGTCGTTGCTATCGTAAGAAAATCCGGACTATATGACAGAAGATGAGATCAGCCATTTCCATTAATAGAATAAAGATAGTCACAAACATTCCAAGAATAATTTACTAACACGATTTTCCACTAAGATTAACTACTGCAAAAGCAACTCTTATGGACCCAAAGTTGTGTTCCATACCATAAGTTCTAAAGATTATACCACATAATCAAATGTCCCTGTACATTACCTTCCAGCTACACGGTATTTAATATGGTATAAAAATCCAGGTTCCTCCGAGTATTCTACTTCCTGGTAAGAACAAGAACAAGACACAGTCACTTCTAGAAAGGAAAACAAAAAAAAAGTAATCGAACAATAGACTGAGAGATAATGTACATCACACACCAAGTCTGAAACAGCAGTCTGTAGATTAGGGGACCAGTTGACCATGTAAGATCCTGGAAGAACATTATTGTCAAACTACGTATGAGTACAGTACATCAATACTTACAGCTACGAAAACAGAAACCCAATTCTATGATAGCTTACCTTGATATATGAACCCCTTGTCATGAAGCTTCACAAAAGCCTCGATCACAGCCCCTACAAATTGAAGGTAAAAGAAAATAGGGAATGTACAATTTCTGAAAACCACCAAGATCTACATAATAATTTACTTGTCAGAAGTTTTAGGTTCTGAAGAACCCCCCAAAATTATATAATGTCAAACTTAGGAGTTTGAACACCACCTAAAGTTTGCTTTAAGCATCACCATCAAAAATATATGGAAACTATAGAAATCTGCCTTACGACTCAATTGCTCATCAAGAGTGAAGCGCTCTCTACTCCAATCACAAGAAGCACCCAGTCTCTTGATCTGATTTGTGATCGTTCCGCCATACCTGAAAAAAACCAAATACAAATACAGAGGATTTTAAAGAATTGGCCTTTGAAATGGTAAGAACTAAGAAACATCAACTTTCTCTATCAAAAAGAGGTAAGATGAATCTTCTCCTGACTACAATACTGCATATGACTTCTTGAATAAACCACCTCAGAATATATACATATATATTTGAAATAAATATTTCTAAGTAAAACGGTGCAGTGATTAGATAGCATACTTTTCCTTCCATTCCCAGACTCTTTTGGTAAACTCATCTCTTCCCAAGTCCACTCTCTTAATGCCCTCTGATGCTAGCATCTTTTCCACGACCAACTGGAAAGAAATGTAGTAGCTTCAGTAAAATATCTCAGAAACATACACCAAACAAATGAACTGGACTTCTTGATAAAGAGATTTTGGGAGAATGGTATTGGAACGAGAGCAATGGAGTTGAAATAAGAATGTAATCAACTTTAACACATGTATACAATAAGTTGAAATACTATGCAAAAATCAAACTTTGAGAGGGAAATGCACCTGAGTGGCGATACCAGCATGATCAGTACCGGGAAGCCAAAGTGTTGGCCTCCCTTTCATCCTGTTGTATCTAACCATAATGTCCTGTAAAAAAACAAAGAGAAATACGAGCTAAAGCTACAGAACAAACTAAGAAGCTGAAATGGATATAGGAACATAAATGAAATACCCAAATGACTGACAACTATCTCAATATCGATTCCACAACCTCAAGAGTGACAAACATTGCGTGGCCCATGTGCAGAGAGCCAGTAACATTAGGAGGTGGCATTGGTATCACAAAAGGGCTGCCTCCTTTTTCGAAACTCGGTTTGAAGTACCCTTGCGACTCCCACCTAAAATGCCCAAAACCCACATACCATGAGAAAGATCACAAATTGAGGAAAAATGCAGACTTTATCATAACCCAAACTCATAATACATTAGAATAAGCAGAAAAGTTTACCATTTGTATATTTTCTCCTCGGACGAAAAATCAAAGGTCTTGGATGTTTCAGGAGAAGTAAAGACATTATTCCCTGATGCAGCAACTGAAGAGAAACAAAAAAAATGGACTTGGAATAAAAATTTCGACTTTCGACTAAGCAACAAAAGTCATAGAAAGCATAGAACAAGTTCCGACTTTCAAGGCGGCTAAGTGGGTGATAAGCTAGCGAAGTACATACCAGCAAATAAAAATCTACGTTGCGAGAAACTTGAATTCAGGCGGGATGGAGAAATTAATCGACGGCGTCGGTGAGTGAAGAACAGAGTGTTGAGCCGGTGAGGACAGCAAGAAGACAAAAGAGCAGTATTAGTAGTAGTAGTTGAGGGTAGAGAGAAAGCCGTTTGGAGAATCATGGCAGATTTTTAAGGAATGCCGACAGATTCCCGGGAAGAATTTTGTTTTGAAACTCCCAGAAAAAGATAAGTTTCTGAGGAACATGGGGTTTAGGGGGGGTCACTGGAGCTACGAGTGAAGGAATAGATGACGGAAGGGCAATTCTGTAATTATTGCTCTTCTTATAGTGTAATGCCCACAGTAATAATTAGCAGATTTACCTTCAGTTTAGTTGTGTTATTGTTAAACCAAATTTTATGTAAGTTTATGAGATGTTTCTTGTGTGTGTCCAATTTATATTTTGGTTGGTCGGTACAATAATTTATATGAAAGCTAATCTCCACTAGTATATGGCACAACGTACTTTTCACTGTATAAGAAAAAATGCATAAACATTCATCATTGGTAAGGGTAACAATTACAAGACGATTTGATTATCATGTTTTTACATCATTCTAAAACCTCTTTAACCCATCACCTTTGGTCTCCAACCAGCAATTACATCCTCTGTTTCCGCCCGTGTATTCGCAAATGATTCCCTCGAGAAAACATTCTGTAAAAGTAAAACCATCCAAATGAGAATGAAAAGAAATCATTGATCGAAAGAGAATGAAAATCAAGAGAACAACAACATTTTTAAAAGGACATAGCTCGAATTTTTTACCTCCATGTAGGATTGAAGGAAAGAAAGTGAATCTGGAACAGACCAGTTCTTGTAATGTCCCAATGCAATCTTCATGTGGTATAGCTTTGGTGCCAAGGACAAATCCGCTGCTGAAATCTTCTCTCCATTTATGAAAGGTCCCTTCAAAGTAAGTAAGAAGAGAGCGTCATTATATGTTTTGCTTGCTCTCACGCAATCTACTATAACAATATCATCATAAGATTCATAACCATCATGGACAGATCGAGGAAAAAGGAGCTCACATTTTCTTTGATATAATCATTGAATGTACTAAGCTCTTCCAACAAAACTTTCTCGGTTCCATCTTCTGGATCTTTGCTCTTGAGAAAACCGATAAACGTGGAGAATATTTTTGAACCACTGCAGGAATAAAATTAAACGCCCCAAATTCTTAACACGGAAGTACAAAAACTGTCAGATGAACACAAGAATGCTTACACTGAAGCCTTTTCCGGTGGGGTTGCTAGAGGAGGCTCAGGGTACTTGTCTTCCAAAGCTTGTGTTATAACATCCGAATCCGGAACCCATTTCTCATCAAACTTCACCACTGGGACTTTACCTTCTGGACTAAGTTTCAAGAACCTAGAAACACCAAAACAAGAACACACAAAAGGTTGAAAATGAGGAAATCAAGTCACTGCCATTTAATCAAGAATCATGTCTACTTCAATCAATATAAAGGAATCCAAGCGTTTACCATTCCGGCTTGTTACTCAAATCCACCAGTTTCATGTCATAAGGAACATGCTTTTCCTCCATAGTCAGCAACACTCTTTGGCAAAAAGGGCCTATCAGACAAAATTATGCATACAATCAACTCATGAAGAAAAAAATAACCTTTCAAGATAAGTAACCACTAGACATAGAAACTACAGAGTTTGCATATTCTTTATAACTTTAAGAAAATGTTTGAAAATAGTTTCAGCAGATTTCTAGACCAAAAAACAATCCAAGGCACCACTTAAGTTTAACAAAGCTTTAAGTATCTATCTGCGATCGAAAATTGAGCTAACCAGAGAAACAACATGAGCAACCAATTGAGCTAAACACTAAATCCGTGACGAAATATCTATCTGTGAGTCGAAACTAAGTGAAGGAGTGATCAAATTGCAGCTTTATCATCCACATTTCAATATTTTCGAAGAGAGAGAGAGAGAGAGCTAACAGTCTCCGAGCTTGTTGGGTGTGGTGATGGAAGCTTTGACGCAGATTTCGAGAGGACTCGCCGCTATCGCTATCGTTCTGAAACGACCGGTCCTTACCGGTTTAGTGGAACCGCACCGCTTGATAAAACCGGCGCTGCTGACCGACGCCGATAAAACACCGGCGGTGCTTGGTTGAAACCTAAGGCTTATCATTTTTTTCTGTCTGTTTCTTTTTCCAACACCGGCGGTTCTTTTTTTTTTGTTCTAGTCACAGACAGATGAATAGATGATGACTCAGATAATCTGGAAATTTCTCAGTGGCTAAGTTGACTGACACGTGGCGAAACAAAAGATATCACGTAACGACCATCATTGGGCCTCCTTCAATTCTCGGCCCACTACTTTCAAAGCATTCTGACGTCAGAGTTCAATTCCGAAATTTTTATTTTAGCGACAACATGCTTGATCATAGTCTTTGATAAAAAAACATAGCAAATATAATTTAAATAACTTTGAACCATTGGCTCGCCGGATCACACGAAACATCCATGGTCAAACACTTGCAAGGGTTAGCAACGACGCTGTTGTCTCGTTCGTCCACGTCAAGACATAGCAACAAACCATTACTTGTCGTGAACGACAAATGCATCTTTGTAGCTGATATTTGTCCCAACTTTGAACACTTAGTGCCAACTCCAAGCTTCACCTTTTGTCCAACAACGTTTGGAGCTTCCACACACATTTTGTTGATCCAAAGAATGCCTTCTTGAGGATTAAAGGTCGATGGCTCGGATTTAGGGCATGGTCCTAATCGAAGTGCTGGTACATTGTCTGAAGGATTATTGGTGACGCAGAGTCCACTTGATGGATGGATGAGAACGTTTTTGGTTCGCAAACCGGGTCCTGCGCATATAATATGTAAATACAAATTATAAAAGTAATTTTCATATCAAAATAAAATCGTATTAGTTAACTTAAAAAAGAAAAAGAAAAGTCTGACCTCTAAATGGATATTGAATTCCGGAGAGTTTCTGCAAGAAAGAAGCGTTTCTGACGTCTTTACAATTGGAATCCAAAACGCCATAAGTCTCAGCCATATCACTTTGACCGGTTCTCAAATAATAACCTCCGGTTAACTCCCAAACCGCCCAATCCAAATCATTCTCCGCCGCCCATGCCACCAAACAATTCATATACCTGTTCCCGTTGACGTCAACGCCTCTCTCCTCGGTCCCAAACTCACTCAAGATCAAAGGAAAGCCTCTCCCGATCAAGAATCCTCCGTTGTGTGTGACTTTCTCGGTGATCTTGGCGCAGAAGTCGTTAGAGTTGTGGTTTTCCCACGCGCCTCCGCCGTCGGAGAAGCTGTACCAATGGAGCTCGAAGACGAGTTTTTCGGTGAAGCTGACGTTGAAGAAACGGTCACGGAGGAAAGAGAGGTTTGTGTCAAAGTCGATGCCGGAGAGTATGACTAGTACGTTAGGGTTCGCTGCGTGCACTGCCTCTGCTCCTTGTGGCATGAACCTTCACGTACATAAACATCAACAAGACCATATAATATTTCATTATTATAAAAAAAGTTACGTAAATTTTTGCCATAATGAGGAACATGCTAATGCTATAGTACACTTTATAACTTAAAATATACGTACGTAACGTACGTACCTGAACCAGAGGTCGTAATCTCTAGAGCCACGTGGCTCGTTCCTAAGGCTCATGCCAACGACGTTAGTGGCGTTGCGGAAAAGAGTGGCCATCTTGCTCAAGCCCTTGACCCAGACGAGGGCATCAAACTGAGGGTAGCCGAAGAAGGCGTCAAGGTCGTTGTTGCTGCAACACCAGCCTGGCTTTGTCAAGTGGTTATCTAGTATCACCATCACTCCGTTTTGTCCTAGGTTTGCTACCACTTCCTAATATCAATAAAATAAAATAATAATAAAACATATATAGAGTATGTTGAGAATTCCATTAGAGAATCGGTTCTTTTATTTTCCTTTTGACCCATTTTGGTTAATTTTGTTATTGTTTCGAATTAGCTGACGTTTAGATATTCCAGTCCAGCTAATGAAACATACAAACCGAAGTCAAAAACGCTTTAATTTGATTTGGTTAAATTCAGGTCGATTGAATAAATGTAGTGACATTAATTATTTACCTGGAATGCGTTGAGAATGGGAAGATTAAGGGTCTTGGGATTGTGAGTTTGTATCCCAAGAACATCATCAAACAACTCCAAGCTTTCAAAAGAATCTCTGACCGTAACATTTAGAGCCAATGTATCATTAGTCATTAGATCAAGAGGCCAAGTGAGCCTGACGCAGTTAAATCCCATAGAGACAATCTTCTTGGAGATGGAGTCTAATGGTTGTTTGCTTAGCCCTTCAGCCACCGCGGGCTGGAGATGAGCCGGCCAGTTCACGCAAGCTAGCTTCACCCTTTGGCCTTTCTCGTCCACGATCCATCGAGATTTTGTGGAGAGAGGATAGCTTGTGGTTAGCTTTAGAGTCGAAAAAATGATTAAGAATAAGAAACAAAAATAGATGGATGTCGCCATTTTTGGTGTGTGTGTTTCTTGATTGCTGATATGAATTTGATTCGTAATTTATATTGCAAAGATGTTGGTTTAGTTTCTGGTTTTTGGCAGATTATACGTGTTTATTAACTTTATGTTTGGAGGGTTATTTTTTTCTTTTTTCCAACAAAAGAGAGAAATTGGAGATTAAACAATAGAATTAACAGTAAGAGAATAAAACAAAAGACATAACAATGACATGAAGTTAACAAATTCTGAACTGTATACTTTAACTTTTTTAACGTCAAAAGACTAATATCCATTATAGGAACCAACATTATTATGGCTCTGAATTGTGACCATATAAATAAGGAGGAACATATAATTCCTCTTTAGTCAGTTATACCATTTAGGCATAGATATAAATTAGTATCTCATAATCATTCATTAATACTGCTGCAGGTAATCTTTTTCAATTATTCGTTGTATTAAGGTGCAGAAAATTCAACTGATTAAGACAATGGTAATTAAAAAAAACATGTGTTTCAATGCTCCATGTGGTAAATCCAGCTTCGGTGTTGTTGTTTCTCCTTCCTACCACTGAAGAAGAACCAGCCCAAGAAAGCACCTAGTGGTGCAAATAAAGCCGCACCAACTGCTGCACCGATCTTCCCTGGCCGGATAATTCCTTCTTCTTCCGGTTTGCAAGCATCCAGAGGCATACCACATAAATCCGTGTTATTAGCAAAGTCATCTGGTTTCATCTTCAAGGTGGCGTCGTTGAAATTTGGGATAGGACCAGTCAGTTGATTATCCGCCACTGAGAACTTGCTGAGCCGTTCAAGTAGAGCTAGCTCGGGAGGAAGTGGACCAGTGAACTGGTTATGCTGAAGCATAAGAGTGTTCAGAAAGGTAACGTTTGATAGAGAGGCAGGGATCTCACCAGAGAAGCTATTTCCGGAAAGGTCCAGAATTGTAAGACTTGGAATCAAGGAGGCAATGTTTGATGGTAAAGGTCCAGAGAAGTTGTTATCAGCAAGCTCTAGACCTGTCAAATCAGAACAATTCCAAATCCCATAAGGAAACTCTCCTCTGAGACCATAACCAGAGAGCATAAGGCTCATAACCCTATCCTCATCATCATGCCAGCAAATCACACCATTGAACTTGCACATATAGCCTTGAGCGTAGTTCCCAAATACCCAACTGGACAAGTATCCATTAGGATCTTCAACTTGGGAATATATGCTCTTCAAGCAGTTTACGTTGGCCTCATTTGCGCATGTGAAGCTAGGCACCACCAAGAACCATATGCAAGCTGTGACCAGTGTTGCTATGGACATTTTTGTGATTTTAGTAAGGATTTTTGTGAGGTTTTAGCAGCAATGGCAAGTGGAAATTGTTAAATTAGCCAAAACTTGAACATGGGGAATATAGACTTCGTAAGTCACCGGTCGTCGCTTGAGAATATCCACACAGAAAAGATAATGGCTTGTCCCATGGTTTTGATTTTTGAATATTCATCTGTGGAAATAAAGAAAAAGCTGTTGCGTGTGTTGAAGAGTCTTAAATACGTCAGTCATACAATGTTAGCATTTAATGAACAGCTTCATTCACATTGGAGAACTAGATTCATGAAAAATGAGGCTTACATTTCTGTTTACACTGAATTATTCAAAGAAACAATTTTATGTCGATTGTCTTCATTTCTATGATCCCATGTGTCTTAACGCTGAACAGATTCATGGAACACGGGTTATGAACACAATCAACACATAGATTAAAGTAAACTTACAAATACAATGGAAGTAATAATACTATTCTTAGGAACCAAAGGCCACTCTTTGCACAAAATCTGGACGTCTTTTTGAAGGCATGCGAATAAGTCCTGCTATCTGAAGCTCCATTACAGCTCTGCAAAATCGAGCTCTGTTGGAAGCAAATGTTAAGGAATCGAAAGTTTTATGAATCTTTGGTCGTCTGCAATTATGTAAATGCCCTGCAAAATGAAAGAATAAACAAGGATGGACATTGGTCTATCACCAGTTACTAATCTTGTTTCCAGTTCCTGCTCTGTTTTCAATAATTATCAGATAGCTTTCTGCTTTCTTTTCGAAGAACCAAAAAAAGGATACTGAACTAAAGCTTCAGCAGGTGGTTCCGGTGGTTCTTCGCATCTATCCTTCCGTTTCTTTGATTTTGAAGCTGTCTTTGATTTTGGTTTGGCTTTGCTGCTTCGGGGAACAAGTATCGTCTTAAAAGATTGATACCAGTCATGGAGGTTAATAACATCAGCGTGCTCTTGCGCCAGCGTGTACCTTAAATAAATCAATTGTCACAAACCTTTTTCGTTGTAACACATGGAATCAAAGAAAGGAGAAAGAAGGTGGTATATGTGGTTTAGAGATAGTTTTGTGACAGCGAAAGAAAGAAAGAGTAACATTGAAGCAATTCTTTTAAGAAAGAGAACACGAAAATGCAAATGTATAAAAGTAAAGGAAGACTCACAAAATCGATGTATCATGCATGGAAGGCAATAATGTTGTTGTGCCTCTCTGACTGCAGCACATACAGTGGAGGATACTGTGAGATTCCAGTAGATCTGATTGGATCCTGCCTCTCGGGTCTCCAAGTAAAGCCTGAAACAGATATAAACATCAGATCAAGGAAGAAAAGAAGAGAAAGAGATATGTAAAATCTGAAGCATCAAGAGAAGCGACAATACAACACCAAACGTTCTATGATTAGGTGAAAAGATAAGTGAATCCGAGAGGAACAAGGATGCTGAAGACTTACAGATTGAAGTTTATCGACATTCTTGAAACATAAAATTTCATTGAAAGGAACACTCTCAACTGGCTTCATATATTCCCTGTTCAATACAAAAAGGCTACAGTTAATTCGCAAGACACATACAAAACATCTTATGTGACAACATTTTCAATTACGGCAGTCAAGTCAAATGCAAATAGAGTTCAAAATTAGCATTCAAAACACATCGGCAACGTAGACTTCACCTTAGCATGAATTCAATGACTGCGGCGACCTTATCAGTCATGGCTTTAAGCTCCTTTTCAAGCTTTGAATGGCTCCGGGATGCATGCTTTCTGTCACATCGAAGTGAAACTTCTTTATTCAATGTACAAAAAGCTTACATATTAGCTGAATAAGACACTAAGTTTTCTCGTCAATCTTTTCCTCCCATACACAAGAACGATGGTGACAGAGGAAAATATATTTCAAGAGATTAACTTTCCAAGAAGATCTGATGGAGGAAAGCCGATATCTAAAAGGAAAAAAAGAGAAATTCTCTGAACTCATAAATGGAGTTCGGTTTGAATAGACAATAATAACGAGATTTACTTTGGGCTGCTGGGAAGTCCTTGTCTCTGACCAGCTGCCTCCACGGATCTCATGAACGGATGCAATTCCATTACTTTGTCATTGATCTAATAGCAGAGAACAAACAAACAAACAACAGTAAATAGCTTATCTAGAACTAACATGTATTTAGAACTGAGGATGGACAAACATATATCATAGGAATGCTTGAAAGCTATCCAAAAAAATCCTTATAAGTTTTAGCTATTGATTACCTCACTAAACTCCGCAGTGAGCTTTTCCCAACTTTTCAACAAGCTAGACAACTGTGAAGGTGAAAGATCCCTGAGAAAATATGAACTCGAGAGGTTCAGAACTTTTGAGCCAAGCTCCTTGTAGAGATAGTAACACAACCTCTCAATTACCCAAGATTTTCCAGTCCTATTAATTCAAGAATATAGATTAATCGATCTAACATGATTTAACATAGTCGATCTAACTGAAAACTAATCCGCAAAATTTTGTTCAACATAGTTGACAACCTAGCATAAGTACACAAAGATGCCATTGGAACAGCTCCTTAAGACAACTTATGTGCGGTACATAAGTTTAAGGAAACACTCGACTGCTATTATGTGAAGGGGAAAGTCCTTACAGCACAACTCACCTAAGCTTGCGAAGAAGCTGTCTTATAACACTATTACGTCCTGAAATGTGACTCTGACTGTTGACAGTTGCTGAAGGTGAAAAGTATTTCAAGTAACGTGCTTCTGGGTCAAGTGTCTCACAGAATATGTCCAGCAAACGAAGTTTATCAAACTTTCCAGCTTCATATATGCACTGCAAAAAAAGTATGCAATCTTCTGATTAACTTATCCTTGAAGCAGAAAGACTCTAATCAGATGAAGAACAGAATTGCCTCACACACAAATGGCATCCCTAAGTCATGTAAGACGATGAAACAACTCTTCCTATGATGATGAACCGTAAAAACAAAGAGAGACAACTCACCAAAACTACTATGCTCCAAGGATTTGGCATCCTTTGCAAGTCCAACAGAAATTGGGGCAGCATTTCATAAGTACTCCGAGTAATTTTGTTCCTAGTCAAATGTTTATGAGCAGAAATTAGTACATCCAACACCACTGACCTGCCCATGGGTTCCTCCAACATAAAATATGTAAAATTTTGAAATAACAGATGATGAGTTCTCTGGGGTACCTCGTCACAGATGGCAAGTCAAAGGCATGCTTCATTGTTGCCTCTGTTAACAGTCCAGTACCTTCATCTGACAGCTTTACAGGAAAAAAAAACTGCCTTAGAGCAAAGCGAGTTGTAAGAAGAAAATATGGAAGTTCGAAACAGGTGCATCAAGCATACCTGATTACTATCATCTTGACAAAAGTGCTCAAGCATGATGCTTAAAGGCTCTAATGAGAAATGCTGAAGACAAGCTATCTGAGAAAAAGAATGCATAGCCAAATGAACAACAAAGAGTAAGCAATCCGAAACAAGTTAAAAACCTAGTACATCATATAGGACAGAGCTGGAAACCTTGAGAGTTCTAACAAACGACGTCAATGTTCCATCTTGACACAAAAAGTAACTTCTCATAAAAAGCGCCACCTTATGGCTAACAGTGAACCCAGAACACGGCTTTAAGAAAACAGCCTCAAGAACTGCATCCATCCGTTCGGCCGGAGAACTCAGAGTGAACTTACTAGCACAAAGTCTCTGCAGCGCGTTCATTGATAGTATCTTTCTGGGCGCATCATGTGCCGTGGACACCCCCATTATTATAAAAATTGGAACTTTGATTGCCCATTCACTGAAAAGAAAGAGCAGACCATCACACTTAGTCCAGTGAGCAGAGAAACCTCATAATGACAAGATTGAACATGCTTGTACCTCAATATAAGAATTAAATCAGACAGGACAGAGCCACAGCATCTCTCTGTATCATCCACAATTATAACCACGGGATTCTCATGGTTTTTGTTTTCTCTGTACCATGATGCGAGGATGGTGACATCAGCCACCTATTCAAAACCCAAAAAAAAAGACTCAGTGGATTCACTACTTGCGCAAGTATGCAACAAAGCTAAGGCAATTCAAAGTTACTAACATCTATTGTTGGCATCACAAACTGGCGTAACAGACCTCTAAGGCAACCTCCTACACCATTCTTCGCTGAGAAGTCCATGGACGAAAGCTTAGCCACGTGGCATCCTTGAGACTTCAAGCGCAAATGCAGTTCTTCGAATGTCAATAAATCATCAACCATTTCCAAATTTCCTGACATCAATATGAGAATAAGCAAAAGTGATTATGCAAGTGTTACATTCTCTCTCATAGGACTAATATAGAGTACATAGAAACTAATCTTTAGGGACTTACTGGTGAGGACTAAAGCAGTAAACAATTGCTTGGAAGAAGCCTGAGTTAAAACAGGATAAGATCGAACTGCTTCCGATAAGCTCAAAGCTCCAGATGATCTGATCGATTCAAATGATTCCCGTATCCAATCATGAATCCCACTGAATACTTTGGAGTTCGAGTCTCTTAGAACATTCTGCAATTGAAGAAATCCAAATGCAAGTTTTAATTTCGGGAGTGTAAAAAGAGCAAAACTTTAGAGAGAAAAAGATTGAGACACCGACTTCGATTGTCTTCTCGATCTTCGACCAAACAGTGTCGAAAACTTTCAAGCGTAGCGTTGAGAAATAATCGTTATCTTCCTCTTCCACGCTTTCGGGCTCAGATTTCTTAGCAAATTTTGAAGGTGAAGGTGATTCGATCCTCCGTTTGCTTTTTACCGTCCCGGTTGATTTCGCTTGGAGATTCCCAGACGAAGCCTTGTGGAGAACAAAAAATGGCTGCCATGAAAAAATTGAAGAAATATCATAACCCAGCTCAGAAATAAAAGCAGTGTCCAATTCATTCTCTGAAATGTTCGAGCGATGAAGAGTGTGAAACAAAATTTGACAGAGATAGAGAGAGAGAGAGAGAGATTGGACCCGAATATCATTCTCTGCTGTTGCGCCGGAATTGAATGAATCGGTGGCTGAAGATGGCGGAGGATCGGCGACGGTGCCGGAGGGCGCCATTGGAGATTGTCGTTGGAGGGGGAGCAATCGGAAACGACTCTTCTTCTTAGGGCTTTAACGCGCCTGTATCCTGTAGCCGCTCTTTTTGGCGGGAAAATGCGTTCGCCATGTTAGACCGGAATTGGACCGGTTCGTTCGCAACTTCGCATATTATTCTCTGTTTTTTAAATTTAATAGGGTGTAATAAGTTGGCCATTTGATAAAGATTCATATCAGGTCCAAATTTTGCCATTCGACCACCAAATAAAGTCCACATATGTTTTCTTTCAACTAGATAATGTTGAAGATGAAATGTAATTTAGAATCTTCGTAGATACTGATCCACCTCGATTTAAAAGGGTTCTAATTTCCTAAGATATGCTTTCAATTCAGAGATTACTCGGACATGAGTATACAAAATTTATACATATTATGTATTTCGATTGTGGAAAGTTCATGCCAAAATGTAAAATTTGTTAAAGGTAAATTAAGCTAAAAACTCAAAAGGACAAGTTGAGTTTGACGACAATAATTCTTAGAAGGAATCAGACACGAAGACGAAATAGAAGGTAAGAAATTAGTTACTGTGAATCTGTGATTACGTGTACTTACTAATCTAACCCAGCAGTTACCACGTTTTAAACCTCTCGAGCTTGCGTGATTAATCCAACAAATAGTATTCGTCAAAACGATTTAATTAATTGTAGAAATTTAGACATACGACTGTGTATGTACATGCGTGCGTATAGATCCTGAGAGGTATATATCTACAGTTTCATCTCTGGCTCGTGTTGTTTGTATATCACGAGGAAAAGCGAGAACCCAGAAGAAAACTAGGGAGCCATCACTGATTCTTATAACAGTGAAGGACAGAGAGAGAGAGATTTTTGGGAATAGGCATCGAATCTGGATACAGAGAAGTTAGGGTTTGTAAGAGTTGGATTGGTAAAACGGAGGAAGGGAAGGGGAGATAGGTTTCGTTTGTTCTCGATTGGGTGATGGAGATGGTGAGGGAAGCGAATTAAAGGGGAGATGATTTTGAGTCCTGAATCATGTAATGCTATTTCCCAATTTTAGGGATTTTTAATTAATTTATTAAAGTTACATTTTCGGTAGATTCCGTGTTTTATGTTTTTGATCTTTGAATAAGGATTTGGCTAGGATTCTCTTTAATTTTCATTGGTGATTGATTGATGTTTTCTATTGAAATGGATTGTTAATCGAAGTTTTGTTTTCTGGGTCAAGTAGCTTCTTCTATCTAATGTTTTGGTTTAAAATTGAAAACTTTGTTGTTTAGCAGCTTTGATCATCTCGATTTTGTTCTTTGTCCCTTTGTAACAGTTTGAAGAGCTGGATAGAAATCGGTTTGTGAGTCTGGCAAAATAATTTGATTGTAGATGGTGAGATTAGCTAAACCCCTTTTAGCCTTTTGTTGTATCATCCATGTCTGTTTCCTGCATGAGAAAAAAGATGATGAAATGGTATATTTGGGCTTAGATCATAGAGAACTCTATGTATCTTGATAAATTCATTTTGTCACTGACGTTGATGATTGTTTTCGTTTCTTGACTGTTCCTATCAACCACCTTCCTCCTTAACATTCTCTATGTGATTATATGATCTGCAGGCTGATCGAAGAGTTGGTAAGCGTTCAATGGATCATAGAGGTTTTTCAAAAGTGGAGTCTGGAACTTGTGATGTTTGTTCTGCTCCTTGTTCATCGTGCATGCATCATAACGTAGGTTTCGGAGGATCAAAATCGGACGAGTCATCAGATGAAAACTGCCGTGGAGTAGCTGACAGCCAGTGTTCTGTAAACGAGGGCGGTCGGTTACCTTCTAACATGGTGAATGCTCGCAACGGTTCAAATCACACTGCTAGTGAAACTAGCAACATTGTTGATTCCAATCAAGATACTACTCTCTCTGAGAATGCTGAGAGTAAGGAGAGTATGAGATGTTCTGGGATATCAGATGATGCCGGAGCTGTTGCAATGAATTCGGAGACATCTTTTTCTGGGACTGGGAGCAGGGGGAAAGATAAAGTGTCTGAGTCAGCTAATGTGTTAGATCAAAGCTCTAACAGTAAAGAAGGCCAAGAAGATGGGATATTATCTGATGATCAAACCAAAATATTGAATTGTGATTCAATTCTGAGTGGACCTAGGAAAGAGCAAGATTCTACAATGATAGAACCTTCTAATGATCTTCCAAATGAAGTGAAATCACAATCTTTGCATAACCCACCATCCAATCATGATGAGAGAAGCAGTTCAGAGCAGGAAAATACTAAGGAAAGATCAGGATCCGGGGGTAACAAAGACAAAGGGAAATCTTCTGTTGAAGGTTCTACACCTTCTGGCCAGAACGGGAAGGACGCAAAGTCAAGTAAAGGCACTTCCGGAAACAAATCAGATGAGTCAATCCCGTCAGCTATGTCTGAGAGCGAGAGCGAAGATTCTGTCGATGTAAGTAATGCTGTGCTTTATCTCACATTACAAATTTGTTTTTTGCTATAATATTTGCTCGTAATTTACCGGTGGAAAAGTCTCATGTAAAGTTTTGTTGAATAGGTTAAAGTTTGTGATATATGTGGAGATGCGGGTCGTGAAGATTTACTCGCTATCTGCAGCAAATGCAGTGATGGTGCAGAACACACGTAAGCCTGCTCTTTTATTCATGCGAAAACATACTAATGGCAATCGGAATTTGTCCGTATAATTTGATTTTTTAGTTAGAATAAGGTAGCACCATTTTCTGTGCTAACATCACTGTTTTGCTTTACTCAGCTACTGCATGCGGGAAAGGCTCGATGCAGTTCCTGAGGGTGATTGGCACTGTGAAGAATGCACGTTTGCTGAGGAAGCTGAAAAACAGAAGCAAGGTAAAGCTGAATATTTAACCGGACATGCTATTTGTGAGAGAAAAAATCTAGCTGAATGAATAAGCATGCGAAATTCGGATTCGTATTTGTTGTTTTGATATTTTCTAACGAACTTGAAGTTGAAACATGCAGAAGCTAAGAGAAAAGGAGAAACTGAGGTAACTCTCAATACACATAGCTCAGGTAAAAGGCACGCAGATAAAATTGAGGCAGCTCCAGATGCTAAAAGACAGACGGTTGAGGGTTTAACTGGGTCACCCAAGAAATCTATTCTCCCCAGAATAGGTGCGTTATCTCGGGAAACATCATTCAAGGGCTTAGACAGGTCAAGGGGAAAGCTAAATCATCAAGCATCTTTCAGTGATGGCACAGAAGGTGCACGATCTACTGGTTCACAGCTTCAACCTCCAAAAGGTAGGCTGCATAATGGGATTGCCCTCCCTAAGAGCAACTCTGCCTTATGTATTTGGTCATATTTCTGGTGATTTTGCAGGTTGTAGATCATTAACTCTTTCTTTTGTTTGTCCAGGTGCTTTTTTGAAATCCAGTTCCTTCAATTGTTCGAGCTCGAAACCGAGAGTGCAACTTATGGATGATGTTATTGTCCCAAGACAGAAGACTGGGAAAGAATATACTTCACTTGATAGAAAGGAGGGTGGTCTAAGACATGTAGGCAAATCTATGTCAAGTAGAACAACTGACGCTGGGAATTCTAGTGGAAACGACTCGCAAGCAAAAATGCTTCCTTCGAAAACTTATCATTCACAAGAAGGCAAAAGCTCAAAGCAACTGAAAGATCGTAGTACAGAAGCTAATGCGTCAGCATCCTCTCCACGCGGCAATTCGTCAGCTTCATATGCAAACAGTAGCCGTGATTTGAAGGGTTTGCAGTCTGATGGTAGACGAAGTAGCTTGACGAAGCAAGTCAGCAATTTAAACCGGAGCCGTCTAGAAAATTCTGTTGCTTTTGGTATGATCCTATCACTTTGTCAATAAATTGGTACTTCTGTTACTTTATCATTGACAGTACTCTGTTTGGATTGTTGTTTTTAATTGTTTTAGTAGATGATCTCGCTTTTTAAGATATCACGATTGAGCTCCACTGTTATTTATTTCCTGCCTTTTGCAGGAGGTGATCTTTCGACAAATGAGAAGTGCAGTGCCAGCGAGCTAAGTTCAAGTCAAGCCGACTGTAAAGATGAACTGCCATCCACTTCTTGCTCGGATGAGGGTGTGCCAAGCCACGGTAATGGAGCTTCACAGCGGCCCAAGGAATATAGAGAGGTAGGGAAGAAAAGCAAAGAAGCCTTTGGTAAGCGCCAGAGATCCAGCCTGTTATCTGGAACAAAAGGCTTACCATCATCTCAAAAGGGAGGCCAGACTACAGAATCTAGCGACACCTCAGGCGTTTCTGATAGTGATCCCTCTACCACAAAAAATGTTAGGGAGGATATAAATAAGGGTAATAGGTTGCGAGCAGCAGTAGATGCTGCTCTTCGTAAAAAGCCCAACTTTGGCAAGAACAGAGCATTGGAGCAATCTGATGGGTCTTTGGTATCTAATGTGGATTCTAGTTCTGATAAGACTCCACGAAATCAACTGCCTTCAAAGATGCCTACAAATCTATGGCCTGCTTCTGACCCGTACAAACAGACAATTGTAACAAATGAGAAGCCGCTTGTAGTCTCTGGAGCTGAGGTCAAGCCCCCACGTTCTCTGGAACTTGAAGTTAATTATCCCTCTGTCAAGCCTGTCACGAGAGATTGGCCATTAGTAACCCCACCTTCTCTGTTGAGAAGCTCAGCCATTCCAGACCATGAGTCTATATGGCAGTAGGTTTTCTTTCCCTTTTACTTTTCCATTGAGGTATACCTCTATAATGCATATTGAACTGTAAGTTTTTATATCATTTTTCCAGAGGGGACTTGGAGGTGCGGAAAACTAGATATCAATCAGCTATGCATAGCGGAATGCAAGCACATCTATCAACTTTAGCATCACCCAAGGTTGCTGAAGTGGTGAATAAATTTCCTGAAAAGTTTAGCTTGATTGAAGTACCACGGCTAAGTACATGGCCTGCACAATTTCAAGATATAGGTACTAAGGAAGACCATATAGCTCTATTCTTCTTTGCAAAGGATGTTGAGAGGTAGGTTTCAAAGATACTTGTTATAACTCAATTGCCTTTATTGTGTTTTGCTGGTCTAAATGTTTAACTCTAAATATTTGTTTCTTTCGTGAATTTCATTGTTGCTTGTATTACAGTTACGAGAGAAATTATAAGCCTCTGGTAGATACCATGATCAAAAGAGATCTAGCCCTGAAAGGAAACCTTGATAATGTTGAGCTTTTGATTTTTGCATCCAACCAGCTTCCTCCGAATTGCCAGCGTAAGAATGCTTATCAAAACTCTTACACTTTGTGCACATGATCATCTAGTCAATTTTTTTGATCTATCAAACTGCTATCTCTTAGCAATTTTTCAGATCAAAGTCGTACATCCTTATCATTTGATTTAGATGGAGAGAGAAGACATAATTTTGTCTCTATCTTACGAATGGATGGCAGGCTAAAGTAGTTGTTCACGTTGCTTGCTCGCTTGCTTACATCTTTTAGTTGATCATTATGATCCAATCAGGGAGCAGAAATGACTCTTGAGTCACGCTGGAATGCTGTCTGATTAGTTTCTAGAAAGTAGCACCCATGATAGTAGCAATGCTTACAGCTTTATTAATTGCAGGTTGGAACATGTTATATTTCCTTTGGGGTGTCTTCCGAGGAAGAAAAGAGATTTCCACTAACCCGCAAAACAACACATCTTTGCCTACTTCAAATGTCATACCGCGTGACCGAGACCCCAATGACTCGTGCCAAACGAGTTCTCCTTCCAAGCATTTGGAGAAGGTGCCTCCTCTGCGTGAGAGCTCACACAACATAGTTGAAACTCAAAATAAGACAGATGTATTTAGCCATGAGAATCCAAGTGACAGAGAATCCTCTATTGAGCGATCATCGAGCACAAAGGTCGGTTGTTCTTAGTCCTTGGTTAAATCATAAATACTTTTTTTCTGTAGGCATTTTCATCTCTTAATGTTATCATTTGTCCCTTGTTGTCTCACTACAGGAGGAAAATGTTGTTAAAGAGGACGAACCAGGTGTGAATCATATTCCTTGCCAAGCTACTGGATCAAATTCTGGAGATAGTCTAGTGAAGAAGGTTCAGCAAATTGAAGAACAAGAGTTAGGTGATAGAAAGGATCTGCCTTCGACTGTCTCCGGATCAGATATCCAGTCCCGTGGCCAAGACAGTCCTATAGGAAAAGATGTCAACTGTAGTCAGGCTAATCACAGGAAGCGTGCAATTTGGGAAATGACAAGACCCGCCGCCGAGAACCAGAAAGTGGAGCTCAGTAATGACAGTTTATGCGAAGGATCTCCAAGTAAGAAGCAGAAGACAGAAAACGAAAGCAGCAGCCATTCCCGGGATACATCTGGTGGTAATGATTCCGGGATCATGAAGAAGAGTCCCGAAGTCGTGTTCCCTTTGGACTTGAATGTGGAAAGAGAAGACATTGAAATGGTCGATGATCTCATTCCACTTAGCAACAACAACGACAAGAGACAGTTAAGCGGTACGGTCCCGAATCTCGAGCTGGCACTAGGAGCTGAAGAAACAAGTCAAGACACTATGGGACTATTACCCTTCTTAGCTGGAAGAAGAAGCAACTCTGGTGAACAAAGTAGTAGCAGTAGTATGATGAACAAAGAAAAAATGAAAGAAGAAGAAGATGGTGAAGACGTGGCGGACGCTGGTTCTCTCTCGTTGTCACTCTCATTTCCGGGAGAGGAGAGGAAGAATGTGAGTACTCCCATGTTTCTGTTCAGAGACCTTACCAGATAAAAAGTTATCCTAAGTTTACTTTGTTCTGAGTGAATGTCGTTAGTTGTTTTTTTGGTTGGTGAAGACTCCCAACGAGATAATATCACAGGTTTTTGTATATAAAAATGGTGATGGGAAAGAAAGAAAAAGAGATACCGAATGTTATTTATAAAATAATTAGTGTTCTGCATCCCTCAATCTCCATTTCTCTAATATGCTTGCTGAGTTGCAAAATATACAAATGCACTGAAATCTAAAGGCATTGTAGATGGTAGAGACAAGGGTAGAAAAGTAATTTCGCAGATATAAAAAGATATCCAAAATGTGTCAGCATATTCTTCTTCCCAGTGTTTCTCCTTCAGATCTTTCGTTTACATTTCCAATGGCGTCGTGTGTTGCTCATCTTTCTCTCTCTGGTAATCGATTCCTTTTCCTCCTTCATCTACCCAATTCAGATCCTTTTGTGGTTATCCGATTGAATTGTATAAGAGTAGGAGAAGATTTGTCAGATTGTTCATTTGATTTGTACTTTTTCCCGTAAGTTTAGTTCTTGAGATGATCACGGATCCTAAGTTAGCTATGATTTTACAGTTGAGCAAACTAAATTGAAGATGAGATCATTTTGTTGTTTGCGAGAAAAGTAAGGGACCAAACAAATATCAACACAGACAGCTCCGATCTTGCATTTTGATTTGTAAAATAGTTTTGAGAGATTCGTATTAAACAAAAGAGAGAAACATAACAAAATGGATTGTCTTCCACCTGGATGCTACAGGTGGGACTCAATCTCAACATGTGAAAGCAAATGGATTGTCTTCCACAAAGCTCAATTCGATTTGTAAAACCTCTGCATTGACAATTCAGAAGAAACCATCAAACCGAAGTCACAAGTTTTCGGTTTCTGCAGGCTATCGGTAAGTATGTACATCGTTTTCTCTTGTTTCGTGAATTGGCTTAAACATTCTTAAAGAAACTTGTTTGATACTTAGTTTTATTCTAATGATCTTCAGAGACGGCGGTAGGAGAGGAAGCGGCGGTGATTTCGTAGCCGGTTTTCTTCTAGGAGGTGCTGTGTTTGGCGCTGTCGCCTATATCTTTGCTCCACAGGTGACTTATCTTTATTGGAACGATATTTGGATGATGTTACTAATCGATTTTGAACACTAATGGAATTTTGTGAGTAGATTGAGATTTTGCTTGCTCACATGACTGTTTCATTGTGTTATATTCTGATATGTTTTTGGAGGTTTGGATGATCTTTATATCATTGTCATGCACTCAAAGTTATGGTATTTTGGTGAATACAGATACGAAGATCGATAATGAATGAGGATGAGTATGGTTTCAAGAAGCCGCAACAACCAACTTACTACGACGAAGGTTTAGAGAAAACGAGAGAGACGTTGAATGAGAAAATCGGACAGCTTAACTCAGCGATTGACAATGTTTCTTCTCGTTTGAGAGGTCGAGAAAAGAACACTTCTTCGTCCAATGTACCCCTCGAAACTGACCCTGAAGTTGAAGCTACCACTTAAATAAAAAAAAATGAAGAAACACTAGTTTTCTTCCTTCTCCTGTGTTTTTCATTTGTAAACAGAGTTGAAAATTGTTGTGCTCAGTTTCATTTCATTTGGAATTGGTGCTTCTGTTTCTTTTTGTTGTTGCTTTTGTGTTCAGTCTCTCTTGCAAAGTGAAATATACAGTCTTTTTGTGTCTACGTTTTAGTGAATTTTAATTCTAATTTTGTTTTCAATTCAATTCAGCATTGGGACAGTTCTTCTTCACATGCTATTTTTTTTTTTTTAAATGCTAAAATGAGATTTTGTACAGTACAAAGTACAAACTGGGTATTGGATAAGATGTGAAATAATCCGAAAATCAAAGATTAATAAGGAAAAACAAAAAAGGACAAGAGAGGATAGATAAACATTGGCCGGTGGCCTCGTCACAAATCCAAAATATCCTAAAAAGAAACCGAAAACTCGAAAAAAAAAAAAAGAGAAGAAGCCAAAGGCAAAGCCTTTTTGTTCTTGTCAATCCACAAGACAAAAGAATACTGAGAAAGCAATCCACAAGATTCCTATTCAACTTTTCTCCATTTTCCTCAAAAACAGTTTCGGCTTTTGATTTTTGTTGAAACGGAAGAAGAAGACACCTGCCTGCAATCCATCCATCCCCTTTCACTCTAGGGTTTTGGGTTTGCGTTTGATCATGTGCGAGGAGATTCTTCCTCTGTCCGATGGAAGACCATGATAAATCTCCTCCCTCTCCCCCCAAGGTAAAAATCGAATCCTTAGTTTTGAAATTTTCCTGAGAAAATGCATGAGGTTGGTGGGGGAGATTACGTTTGGTTTTCGGACATAACTGGTTTAGATAATGTCTGGTTTTGGTTTTATTGGAACATGAAGATCTAATACATGTTTCGTTAAGTATGGTCTTTATTAGATTCAAGGATTGTTGGTTGTATGGATTCAATTCTTAGGTGTGTGTGACCTTAATTGTAAAAGTATGTATTCTTCAATAGAAAGTGTCCATTTTTCCTTTTTTTTTTTTTCAAGTTTTACTTCAAAATTCTGGCAATTGTTTATGTTTGCATGTTCATTTTGACGAATGCCAATTTGACATTAAACTTGTAACTCTTTTGGTTTGGTTGAAGGATTACTATAAGATTCTAGAAGTTGATTACGACGCAACTGAGGAATTGATCAGACTGAATTATCGGAAGCTTGCATTGGTTAGTTAACTCCTAAAGCCCTCCTCCAATATCTAGATTGAAAGAAAAATGTAATTTTGCTGACAATTGTATTTTGCGGTTACCATCTACAGAAGTGGCATCCCGATAAGCACAAAGGTGACACTGCAGCTACAGAAAAATTTCAGGAGATCAATGAAGCTTATAATGGTAAAGTCTTTTACATACTCGTTTTCTGTGAATCGGAACATGAATAAACAATCTCTTATGCTTCTATTGATGCTTGAGAATATGATAGAGAACAATACATTGCTCACTCTCTCTCGTCATGACTTGAACCAATAGAGTTCCTAATGTTACATAGCTTCTTCTTCTTTCTCTTTGGCAGTGCTGATGGACCCTGCTACACGTTTTGAGTATGATTTAACCGGTATTTATGAGATCCACAAGTATACTTTACGGGTATGTTACATATTTTTTGGGATTTAGAATTTGGATTCTTACAGTAGCTTGAGTGTTGAATGATTTTGGTGATATTCCAATACACAGGAGTATCTTGCAAGATTTAAGGGAATGATACTCACTTGCAATGGCCTTGGCATCAGCCAATCCTCATCGCCATGGTAATAATTATAACCTCTTCAAATTTCCCTTTTGTTTCTCCACCATGTCAGATTCTTATATATCATCATATCATGCAGGACACATCAATTGTCTGAGACCACCAGTAAAACAACAGACTAGCAAGGTTGGTTTTCTTATTTTCATCTCTTCTTACAAATCGGATCCATCTCTGAATGAAAAAATAACCTCATTATCTTCACAGGATACTGTATAAACTGAAAGCAGAAGTTAGAGGAGAGCTGTAAAACTGTGTGAAGATTCTCAAAATACTTTCCTGTCTCACCGGCTTTTTACCAGGTGTGTTTGTGCTGTACAAAACGGGAGCCATACATAACTCGGAGTGGTGATTTCTTGAAATGCTTTAGTTAGATGTTGTATTGTTTCTGAATCCATGTAGAATTAGATAAGCTTATATGGTCTCTGGTGATGATTCAGCTCTTGTACTATACTCTTCTTTCATCATTCATTGGTTTTGAGACCTTGAGACATCAAAGTGAATAATACAATTTATGAAATGAAGCCTCCCTTAATCTTGGAGATGTATTATTTATGGGTTTTGTTGGAAACTGTTTAATACTAATTCCTCAACGGAGGATCTGTTATAGTTTCACAAGTTCTGGGATTTTCTTTACTTTGGAAGTAACAAAAGGTCCTTCTGATCATTAAGAAATATCTAGTGCTATAATTGATATGAACATCAGAGTCAATGTCAATGCTTCAATAAGTCGAGTAAAATGGTTCTTTTACAACACTCATGAAGCTTTGATTCAAAAAAATTGTGAATGAATACATACAAAAAATTGTTACATAAAGAGTACATTGGTATACAGTATAGGCATGGATGTACAGTACAGTTTAAGACTAAGATCAGTCACTGACATGAGAACATGGCTTCATATGAAAGCTTTTGTCCACTAATTGCCAAAGGAATAAGCTCTTCACATGGTATCAAAACTTGGCTCTGAAAGATCTGAGTTTCTCAATTCAAAGGCAATTATTCTCCATGAGAGAAACCAGATAACAGATATGATGCGAGCTTCGATTCTCTAATGTTGTGTCAATAAATCCCATGAGAAGCTATGCAGCTTACGCGCTGATCTCTATGAACATGTCAAAAGGAATTACCTCAGCTCATAGTATCCCAAAACCTGGCTTTGAAAGATCCCAATTGATCCGGATACTTAAACCTCATCCGCTTGGATTCCTTAATTCGCCTAGCTATATACGTAGCATTCACTTGGCAATATCCCATCTTCTTTCATTTTCCTAAACACCGCATCTGCTTCACGCCGTAGACCTTTCTTGTACAATCCCAACATCATCGTAGTGTACGTCCAAATATCAGGCATAAGCCCTTTGTGGCTAAGGCTACAATACAAATCCCACGCCTCTCCCACCTCACCAGCCTTACACATCCCTCTAATGATGATGTTATACGTAACGATATCAGCATCCATTCCACTCTTTTGCATATCCTCCAACACCACCAACGCTTTCTCTATCTTCCCATTATCGCATAAGCCATGTAACAAAACGTTGTATGTGATAATATTAGGAGGCACACCACAGAACACCATCTGCTTGAAGATTTCTTCAGCAACATTAACCTTCCCCACTCGACAATAACCTTGAATAATAATTGTGTAAGTGACTGTGTTCCTAACTACTCCTTTCTGAGACATCTCCAAGAAGAGTCTCATCCCACTCTCTACCTTCCTAGACTTGCAGTAACCATTAATGAGAATACTGTAAGTCACCACATCAGGGAAGCAACCTTTGCTCACCATGAAACCGAACATTTGCTCCGCTTCGTAGAAGCGGCTGTACATGCAAAGCCCGTCGATGAGTAAACTGTAAGTGACGACATCAGGATCCAGGGATCTTCTCATCATCTCCTTATACAATTCCTCAGCCTCTGAAAAGTTTCCTTCTTTCACACAAGCATCGATCAACGCATTGAAAGTAAACACATCAGGGTTGGTTTCTCTCTGCCTCATGTAGCTCACCATTCGAGTAGCGTCTCTCCATCTACCGGAATTGCAAAGTCCACAGATGAGAGAGTTGTAGGTGAAAACGTCCGGTGTAACTCCATCTTCTTCCATTCTGCTCAGAAGATCCAAAGCTTCATTCACCTGTTTGCTTTTGCATAAACCATCGATGATTGTGTTGTAGACGACAACGTTAGGCTCATATCCCAATTCCACCATGTGATCAAGCATTGACAAAGCATCGTGAACCCTATTCCCGCGGCAGAATCCGTAGAGCAGAGAGCCGAAAGTGACAATGCTCGGCATGTGACCAAGCTTCATCATTTTCCCGAGAAACGATAGCGCGAGAGAGAGCTGAGAGCATCGGCAGAAGCAATTGAGTAAGATATTGCAGGTGTAGAGATTATGCGGAACGCCCAGCATTTGCATCTGGTCCCAGAGATAGATCACAACATCGTACTTCTTCATCTTTGAAATAGCGCTGAGCAATCTACTGAAATCGGCGATCGAGGGAAGAGGACGACACTGAACCATGTGAAAGAAGAGCTCAAGCGAATCATCTAATTTCATAGAGCGAAGCCCATTTCTCAATGTCTCTCGGTAATCACTGCCACCACCAGAGTAAGCTCGTCGTCTGGAGAGACAGAAATCGCAAATGCTAAACGACGGAGAAGTTGCGGAATTACCTTTCTCCAGAAGATTCCGATGAAGGAACGACTTCGCTTTCGAAGAAATCGATCTCCTCATGCTTCAGTTTCGTTTCTCAATCTCTCGAGGAGTCTCAGGAGATTGGAGCTCGAAGGAGAAGACTGTACTAAAAGTCTAAAACCCAACTCTTAACCGGCTCGAATTCAACTTATTTATTATTTGTTTCGGTTTCTTCGGTTTATTAGCCGAACCAGAGGGTGTTAATGCAAACCGAATCAGAATCAATCGGTTGTCACAGTTTCTTTTTGGTGTTCTTAAATATGGGGTTATTATGGAATTTTTTACTGCAATTCAGGTCAAGCTACGAATAAAAATGTTAAGCCTGACGTGAATCCTCTAAGGAAGTCGAGATTCTTGTGAATTCAAAAGAATAATCCAAATATAAATAGAATTATTATTGTCAACAGTACATAACACATGTTTGAATTTGGATGAAGACATACATAGCAGCAACCAATATTAAATGAAGATTTGGACAATTTTGAAGAATATATATCAGGATATTCAACAACAATATTACGCAGAATAATATAGGAAAGAGAGCATTTATAGAAGTTGGCCACTGATCCACCTCTGAAACATGATGAAGCTTTCCTGTAGTTTATATTCTGTTGTATGCCCACCTCCCTGTATATTCAAGCATATCTTAGAAAAACCTGTTTTGTATATATGCAATGAAAGGGAAACGAATAAAAATAAAGGACTTGCTTTGACAGTAGCAAATGTCATGTTATTTGCATAAGTCTGAGTGTAACCAGCAACTTGATGACGTATCATCCATGGCCTCCACTTATCAGTAATTGAATAATTGAGAGATCTGATCCATGCTTCTGTTGATATGAAAGGCACCATCAGGTCGTGGTCACCGCTGATATGCACCAAAATATTCCCATCATCATTAATTAATGTTTATTAAAATAAACTTTTTTTGTAGTATAAGACTATAGAAGTTGAAAATAAATATCTAACCTGTAGATTAGAGAACGGTAGCCTTTGATGCTATTATTCATATGGTATGGTACGCTGCTTTTAATGTCCTTATTATATGGCAAATCATAAGAACATCGTTCCCACTTTTCTACACTTCCCTATATTTAACATATAATTCTTTAACTAGCATTGTATAAAACGACAACCTCAAACCCAAACTTGTTATATATATATATACCTTTACCACATTTAGTGCTTTAAGCACGCTCTCCTCATTGGTCCAATGGGAAGATATCAAATCTGTATATGTCTACAAGTGGGTGCAACAGCAATTTGTGTGAATATTTGTGTATCTCAATGTTTTATTCTAGTGATTCCTTATTTTTCCAATATTTGATCATAGATGCAAAGCACATAGGAAGAGAAAGAAGATAGATTGCTTACATAGCAATCATCAGTAGATGTAATCGAAAGGTTTGCAAGGAGGAGTTCTTCGATGTATCTTCTTGGAGCTGACACGATTCCACACAGTGGTGTTGTAATGAGAGCAAAATTTACTCTAGAAGTACACTGCAAATGTAATGCAAACCACCAAAAAAAATTGTATACTATTTGTGATTTAGGAATACCGCATTGATATTAGGTTAGCGTGTATACCTTTGTATATTCTTCAAAATGTTCCAAGCATTCTGTGTTATGTGGATCTATATTCCCATAATTTCCTCTGCAACTTTTCTCTAACGACTACACACAAAAAAAGAGAGTTTAAATAGGTTGTTTGTTATCTTACTCCTCCGTTAATGTGGTATATTTTGTACCTCGTAGAGTTCATCAGAGAGCAATCCCATTCCATGAGCATATGGAATCCGCTGGTTATACTCGAAGTCGATGTCTGTTACCGGATTTCCCAACACATAACCCTATTGTTCAGAGAGCAAAGAATTTGTCAAATTTAAATGTTTGTTGTAAAAATATATAACATAATAATTAAGAAGCCAAGTAAAAGTATTTAAGAACCTCAATATTTAGTTTAGGTTTCAAGCCAAGATCATTTCCTGCAGTGTTGTGTCATCATGTAAAAACTCTTGTTATATAGTGGGAAACATAGAGAGAGAATTAAAAGAGATGAAAACACATGATACCTTGGGAGATTTCTTGAACGGTGGCCGGAATAACCTTACCAGCATACGAATCTCCAGCGACATAGAAAGGATTCGTAATAAAGTCTCTATGCTTGCTAAACCACTGTACATCAACAAAAATAAAACTCTAAGTAATGTCTTGTAAAGTCACATCACATGTAACATGTTTAATTATCTTTTTTGTTAAATACCTTGCGAATAAATTCATGGACCCGCTTAGCTTCTCCAGAGTCACTAGGTGTATCAAGAAATTGAGTTCTTGCGTAGGAGAAACCAGTCCCAACAGGCTGGTCCAAGTATATTATGTTCGCCACCTAAAAAATATACAATGATTCAAGAATATTAACATAGCTACCTCACCTGTCATGTCAAGCATTTGTTAGTGTTACCTTCTTTTTTCATATTTGTTTTTGTTAGTCATGTTACCTTCGTCCATGAATATGTAGTAGAAATCAAAGTTGGGCTATTTCCATTGTAGTCATCCACGACTTTGAATTTCAGAGGCCCTGTTTTATTTTCTCAATTCAAACCACGAGTATGTTATTTTCTGTAACTATATAACATTTGTCGAGGATTTCATAATAATAAATATGAATCCTTAAAAAGTCTAGCTGGAACAAGATTCTGCGTGTGTATCGCCCTCTCTATGTTCAAATAACTCTGTAACATCATCACTTTTCTAAACGGTTCAACTATCAGAAACTTTAACAATAAGATACAAGACATAATCAATAGTTCTTGGATAATTACCATTTTCAATAAGAAGACCAGTGAGAGATGAGCAGCCAGGTCCTCCGGATAACCAGAGAAGAAGAGGATCTTCTTTTGGATTCTTTTCAGATTTGATGAAGTAGTAAAACAATTGCACTTCCTCTTCTTCACCAACACCGATATACCTTCACGCACAATAATTCATCTATATAGTTTCAATTTCAACATTTAAGACGAATTGATTGTTTTCACATGAAGAAAAAAAAGACACAAACCCGGTTTCAAGCTCGAAGGGGAGAGGACCTTCAAAACCAGGAAGAAACTTGACAATAGAGCCAGAATTTGCATGTAGACTCGATATAGTAAGTAAAAGAAGCAGAAGCAACTTCTCAGCCATTTCTTTTTTTATTAATTTATCCATTTCTCTTTTTTTTTATTAATTTCTCGTTACAGTACCGAATCCATATATATATCACAGATAAAATACAAAATAAACAATGGAAAACATGTGGTAGGGTTAAAAATTCTTTTTTTGGTCCCAAAAGAGGACATGTTATTTATTGCTGCAACTGGAATTGACAAAATTAGATTGGCATACCATTGCATTGATGGTAAAGAGCACGTTATGTATTCTTTCTTTTTTCTGTCGGCAAGGACATGTTCATATCATCATTTTTCATATCCAAACAAGGACATTTTCTTTGGTTCTTCCTATATTCAATTGCTCTCGATTCTAAATTTTCACTTAGCTTCAAGGATATCAACCACATAATAATACAAAAAAAGGATTTTAAATTGTGTTTGACCACATATCATCCAGACATCCACCTCTGAAACATGCATTACATCTGTTCAACTTGGACAGAAAAGCCACATTTGCAGCGTTTGGTTTTCACACAGGTCTCTTCAGCAAACGTTTCTTGCTCATGGCTTTCGTCTTCACTACGAGACTCTCTTCCTCTCTTAACCCCTCCCTGCTTTTTAGGTGATTTCACATCCTCCGCCCTCACGACCGTCTCTGTTTTCGCTACCAAACTCCTCGTTTCGACCTCCTTTGAGTTATCGGCGTAACGGTTTTTCAAACTTTCTCGGGTTAAGATAGACAACAGAAGCTGATACCATCTCGAAGCTGCTTCTGCCTCATTTCGTCTTCTCTCTTTTCTTGTTCTTCTGCATATGCCTAAAAACGATACCAAAAAGGCAAAAACCAAGATTTACAATCCATATTCAAAACATTTAAATTTCTCTGTGTGTATTAGATTGTAAAGATATGGAGCTGCGTACCTCTAAGATTGTATCTTTGAACTCGGTACAGACCACAATACCTTCATAAACAGGATTAGCACGTCCACTTCTGTACCCGAAACCAACCATTGCAGGTGCATAATCTATTCCAAATCTCTTAGCAACCGAATGTATTCGAGGAATCCTTATGTGGACTGTTCCTGGCGGTGGTGGGAGACATTTCTCAGACCAGAGATCAACTTGACCACGCTCGTTCTGAAACCCCAAACACAAATGAAAAGGTATGTTACAAGATCTCTGTCTACATTATATTATGGAATTTATCCTGCAATTCAGGTCAAGCCTGACGTGAATCCTGAGGAAGTCGAGATTCTTGTGAATGTTTAAAAATAATCCAAATATAGATAGAATTATTGTCAAGAATACATTATACATGTTTGAATTTGGATGAACCAATATTAAATGAAGGATTGGACAATATTACGCAAAATATCATAATAGCATGAGTGAATATAGGAAAGAGAGCATTTATAGAAGTTGGCCACTGATCCACCGCTGAAACATGATGAAGATTTCCTCTGGTTTATATTCTGCTGTATGCCCACCTCCCTGTATATTAAAACAAATCTTATAAAACCTGTTTTGTATGCACTGAAAGGGAAAAGATTTATATAATTAGAGTAAAAATACAAGGACTTGCTTTGATAGTAGCAAATGTCATGTTATTAGCATAAGTCTGAGTGTAACCAGCAACTTGATGACGTATCATCCATGGCCTCCACTTATCAGTAATTGAATAATTGAGAGATCTGATCCATGCTTCTGTTGATATGAAAGGCGCCACCAGGTCGTGGTCACCGCTGATATACACCAAAATATTCCCATCATCATTAATTTAATGTTTATTAGAATAAGAAAATTTGTAGTATAAGACTAGAAGTTGAAAATCAATATCTAACCTGTAGATTAGAGAACGGTAGCCTTTGATGCTGTTATTCATATGGTATGGTACGCTGCTTTTAATGTCGATATTATATGGCATATCATCATCAGTACATCGTACCCAATTTTCTACACTTCCCTATATTTTGTACACATACTATTTCTGTAACTAGCATTGTATAAACGACAACCTCAAACCGAAACTCTTGTCACTATATATATATATATATATATACCTCTACCACATGAAGTGCTTCAAGCACGCGCTCCTCATTGGTCCAATGTGAAGATATCAATTCTGTATATATCTACAAGTGGGTGCAACAGCAATTTGTGTGAATATTTGTATCTCAATATTTTATCCAATATTTGATCAAAGGTGAGAGAAAGAAGATAGATTGCTTACATAGCAATCATCAGTAGATGGAATCGAAAGGTTTGCAAGGAGGAGTACTTCGATGTTTCTTCTTGGAGCTGACGCGACTTCACACCGTGGCATTGTAATGAGAGGCCAATTTACTCTAGAAGTACACTGCAAATGTAATGCAAACCACACACACAAAAATTGTAGTGCTATTTGTGATTTAGGAATATCGCATTGATACTAGGTTAGCAAACTAGAAACTAAGCATCATATATGATGGAAACTATTCAGAGTGTATACCTTTGTATATTCTTCAAAATGTTCCAAGCATTCTGTGTTATGTGGATCTATATTCTCATAATAATTTCCTTTGCAACTTTTCTCTAACGACTACAAAAAAAGAAGAAAAATAGAATTTAAAAGGTTGTTTGTTATCTAACTACTCCTCCGCTATCAAATGATATATTTCGTACGTACCTCGTAGAGTTCATCAGAGAGCAATCCCATTCGATGAGCATATGGAATCCGCTGGTTATGCTCAAATTCCATGTCTGTTACCGGATTTCCCAACACATAACCCTATTGTTCAGAGAGCAAAGAATTTGTCAATTTTAAATGTTTCTTGCAAAATATAACATAATAAGAAGCCAAGTAAAGAGTATTTAGAACCTCAAGATTAAGTTTAGGTTTAAAGCCAAGATCATTTCCTGCATCGTCCTCATCATCATGTGTATAGTGTGGGAAACAAATAATCAAAAAACAAACAAACAAAAACGCACATAATACCTTGGGAGATCTCTTGAACGGTGGCTGGAATAACCTTACCAGAATAAGAATCTCCAGTGACATAGAAAGGATTCGTAATAAAGTCTATATGCTCGCTAAACCACTGTACAAGAACAAAAATACACTCTAAGTAATGTCTTATAAAGTCAAATGTAACATGTTTAATTATCTTTTTTTTGTTAAATACCTTACGAATAAATTCATGGATCCGCTTAGCTTCTCCAGTGTCACTAGGTGTATCAAGAAATGGAGTTCTTGCGTAGGAGAAACCAGTCCCAACAGGCTGGTCCAAGTATATTATGTTGGCCACCTAAAAAAAAAACCAATGATTCAAGAATATTAACATAGCTACATAACAAGCATTTGTTGGTATAACCTTCTTTTTTCATATTTGTTTTTGTTAGTCATGTTACCTTGGTCCATGAATATGTAGTAGAAATCAGAGTGGGGCTATTTCCATTGTAGTCATCCACGACTTTGAATTTCAGAGGCCCTGTTTTATTTTCTCAATTCAACGGTTGAACTATCAAAAAAATTAACAATAAGATACAAGACATAATTAATAGCTCTTCGATAATTACCATTTTCAATAAGAAGACCAGTGAGAGATGAGCAGCCAGGTCCTCCGGATAACCAGAGAAGAAGAGGATCCTCTTTTGGATTCTTCTCAGATTTGATGAAGTAGTAAAACAATTGCACTTCCTCTTCTTCACCAACACCGATATACCTTCACGCACAATAGTTAATATATATAATTTCAGTTTCAACATTTAACACGATTTGATTGTTTTCACATGAAGAAAAAAAAGACACAAACCCGGTTTCAAGCTCGAAGGGGAGAGGACCTTCAAAACCAGGAAGAAACTTGACAATAGAGCCAGAATTTGCATGTCGACTCAGGATAGTAAGTAAAACAAGGATAAGCAACTTCTCAGCCATTTCTTTGTTTTATTAATTTCTCTCGTTATATTACCCAATCCATCCACACAGATAAATACAAAATAGACAATGGAATAAAACAATGTGGTAGGTTTCATTTTTTTGGTCCCGAAAGAGAAAATAGTATTTACTGCTGCAACCGGTTTTGACAAAATTAGATTGGCATACAATTGCATTGATGGTAAAGAGCACGTTTACGTATTCCTTTCTTTTTTTTGTCGGCAAGGGCGTTTTCATATCCAGACAAGGACATTTCTTTTGTTCTTCCTATATTTTATTGCTCTCGATTCCAAACTTTCATTTCAAGGATATCATAATAACACAAAAACGGATTTTAAGTTGTGTTTGACCACATATCATCCACCTCTGAAACATGTTACATACATGATAAAGCTTTCTTCTGGTTTAATAAGATTCTACATCTGTTCAACTTGGACAGAAAAGCCACATTTGCAGCGTTTGGTTTTCACACAGGTCTCTTCAGCAAACGTTTCTTGCTCATCAAGAAACACATGCTCATGGCTTTCATCTTCACTACGAGACTCTCTTCCTCTCTTGACCCCTCCCTGCTTTGTAGGTGATTTCACATTCTCCGCCTTAACGACCGTCTCTGTTTTCGCTACCAAACTCCTCGTTTCAACGACATCCTTTGAGTTATCGGCGTAACGGTTTTTCAATAGTTCACGGGTTAAGATAGACAACAGAAGCTGCTTCTGCTTCATTTCGTCTTCTCTCCTCTTCTTCTCTCTTTTCTTGCTCTTCTGCATATACCTAAAACCGATACCAAAAACCAAGATAAATCCTTATCCATATTCAAAACATTTAAATTTCTCTGTGTATGTTACAAGATCTCTGTCTACATTATATTATAGAATTTATTACTGCAATTCAGGTCAAGCTACCTACATCAAAATATTAAGCCTGACGTGAATCTTCTAAGTAAGTCGAGATTCTTGTGAATTTTTAAAAATACTCCAAATATAAATAGAATCATTGTCAACAATACATTATACATGTTTGAATTTGGATGAAGACATAGCAGCAACCATTATTTAAATGAAGACATGGACAATTTTGAAGAATATTAAGGATATTCAACAACAATATTACGCAGAATATCATAATAATCAGTGAATATAGGAAAGAGAGCATTTATAGAAGTTGGCCACTGATCCACTTCTGAAACACGATGAAGCTTTCCTCTGGTTTATATTCTGCTGTATGCCCACCTCCCTGTATATTAAAACAAATCTTATAAAACCTGTTTTGTATGCACTGAAAGGGAAAAGATTATATACTAGGAGTCAAAATATAAGGACTTGCTTTGATAGTAGCAAATGTCATGTTATTTGCATAAGTCTGAGTGTAACCACCAACTTGATGATGTATCATCCATGGCCTCCACTTATGAGTAATGGAATAATTGAGAGATGTTATCCATGCTTCTGTTGATATCAAAGGCACCGTCATGTCGTGGTCACCGCTGATAATATGCACCAATATATTCCCATCATAATTAACTTAATGTTTATTAGAATAAACTTTTTGTAGTATAAAACTAGAAGTTGAAAATCAATATCTAACCTGTAGATTAGAGAACGGTAGCCTTTGATGCTGTTATTCATATGGTATGGTACGCTGCTTTTAATGTCGAAGTTATATGGCTTACCAGAAGAACATCGTACCCATTTTTCTACACTTCCCTATATTTTTTAACATATACAGTTCTTTAACTAGCATTGTATAAACGACAACCTCAAACCGAAACTCTTGTCAATATATATACCTTTACCACATTTAGTGCTTTAAACACGCTATCCTCATTGGTCCAATGGGAAGCTATCAAATCTGTATATATCTACAAGTTGGTGCAACAATGTTTGATTCTAGTGATGCCTTATTTTTCCAATATTTGATCATAGATGCAAACCACATAGGAAGAGAAAGAAGATAGATTGCTTACATAGCATTCAACAGTAAATGGAAGAGAAAGGTTTGCAAGGAGGAGTTCTTCCATGTATCTTCTTGGAGCTGACACGATTTCACACAGTGGTGTTGTAATGAGAGCAGAATTAATTCTAGAAACACACTGCAAATGTAATGCAAACCACAAAATAAATTGTATACTATTTGTGATTTAGGAATACCGCACTGATATTAGGTTAGCGAACTAGAAACTATTCAGAGTGTATACCTTTGTATATTCTTCAAAATGTTCCAAGCATTCTGTGTTATGTGGATCTATATTCTCATAATTTCCTCTGCAACTTTTCTCTAACGACTACAAAAAAAAAAAGAGAGTTTAAATAGGTTGTTTGTTATCTAACTACTCTTGCGTTATCAAATGATATATTTCGTACCTCGTAGAGATCATTAGATAGCAATCCCATTTCATGAGCATATGGAATCCGCTGGTTATGCTCAAATTCCATGTCTGTTACCGGATTTCCCAACACATAACCCTATTGTTCAGAGAGCAAAGAATTTGTCAAATTTAAATGTTTGTTGTAAAAATATATAACATAATAATAAGAAGCCAAGTAAAAGTATTTAAGAACCTCAAGATTTAGTTTAGGTTTCAAGCCAAGATCATTTCCTGCATTGTTGTGTCATCATGTAAAAACTCTTGTTATATAGTGGGAAACATAGAGAGAGAATTAAAAGAGATGAAAACACATGATACCTTGGGAGATTTCTTGAACGGTGGCCGGAATAACCTTACCAGCATACGAATCTCCAGCGACATAGAAAGGATTCGTAATAAAGTCTCTATGCTTGCTAAACCACTGTACATCAACAAAAATAAAACTCTAAGTAATGTCTTGTAAAGTCACATCACATGTAACATGTTTAATTATCTTTTTTTTGTTAAATACCTTACGAATAAATTCATGGATCCGCTTAGCTTCTCCAGAGTCACTAGGTGTATCAAGAAATTGAGTTCTTGCGTAGGAGAAACCAGTCCCAACAGGTTGGTCCAAGTATATTATGTTGGCCACCTAAGAAAAAAACAATGATTCAAGAATATTAACATAGCTACCTGTCATGTCAAGCATTTGTTAGTGTTACCTTATTTTACCTTCGTCCATGAATATGTAGTAGAAATCAAAGTGGGGATATCTCCATTGTAGTCATCCACGACTTTGAATTTCAGAGGCCCTGTTTTATTTTCTCATTTCAAACCATAAATATGTTATTTTCTGTAACTATATAACAACATTTGTCAAACAAAGATACACAGACTATATATGAAATCCTTAAAAAAGTCTAGCTTGAACAATATATTTCTTCGATTAATTACCATTTTCAATAAGAAGACCAGTGAGAGATGAGCAGCCAGGTCCTCCGCTTAACCAGAGAAGAAGAGGATCTTCTTTTGGATTCTTCTCAGATTTGACGAAGTAGTAAAACAATTGCACTTCCTCTTCTTCACCAATACCGATATACCTTCACGCACAATAATTCATCTATATAGTTTCAATTCCAACATTTAACACAAAATAACACATGAAGAAGAAAAAAGACACAAACCCGGTTTCAAGCTCGAAGGGGAGAGGACCTTCAAAACCAGGAAGAAACTTGACAATAGAGCCAGAATTTGCATGTAGACTCAATATAGTAAGTAAAACAAGGATAAGCAACTTCTCAGCCATTTATTTTTTTTTATTAATTTCTCTGCTTACATAACCGAATCCATCCACAGATAAATAAAAGATAAACAATGGCATAAAACAATGTGGTAGGTTTCATTTTTTTAGTCCAGATAGTGTTTATTGCTGCAACCGGAATTGACAAAATTAGATTGGCGTACAATTGCATTGATGGTAAAGAGTACGTTATGTATTCCTTTCTTTTTTTTTTTGTCGGCAAGGGCATTTTCATATCCAAACAAGGACATTTCTTTTGTTCTTCCTATATTCAGTTGCTCTGGATTCTAAATTTTCACTTCAAGGATACCTTAATAATACAAAAACGGATTTTAAGTTGTGTTTGACCACATATCATCCACCTCTGAAAACATGCATTACATCTGTTCAACTTGGACAGAGAAGCCACATTTGCAGCGTTTGGTTTTCACAGAGGTTTCCTCATCAAACGTTTCTTGCTCATCAAGAAACACATGCTCATGGCTTTCATCTTCACTACGAGACTCTCTTCCTCTCTTAACCCCTCCTTGCTTTGTAGGTGATTTCACATTCTCCGCCTTCGCGACCGTCTCTGTTTTCGCTACCAAACTCCTCGTTTCCACCTCCTTTGAGTTATCGGCGTAACGGTTTTTCAAACTTTCACGGGTTAAGATAGACAACAGAAGCTGATACCATCTCGAAGCTGCTTCTGCTTCATTTCGTCTTCTCTCCTCTTCTTCTCTCTTTTCTTGCTCTTCTGCATATGCCTAAAACGGAAACCAAAAACCAAGATAAATCCTTATCCATGTTCAAAAAATTTAAATTTCTCTGTGTGTATTAGATTGTAAAGATATGGAGCTGCGTACCTCTAAGATTGTATCTTTGAACTCGGTACAGACCACAATACCTTCATAAACAGGATTAGCACGTCCACTTCTGTACTCGAAACCAACCATTGCAGGTGCATAATCTATTCCAAATCTCTTAGCAACCGAATGTATTCGAGGAATCCTTATGTGGACTGTTCCTGGCGGGAGACATTTCTCAGACCAGACATCAACTTGACCACGCTCGTTCTGAAACCCCAAACAAACATAAAAAGGATGTTACACTTTCTCTGTTGAAGCGAATAAATAAAAAAGCTTCTTTTACCTTAGGCACAATTCCATTAACAGCGTGAGGGAGACACAATGGTTCCATTTGCCACTTTCCGTATAGTTCCATGCACTGAGAACCCTCTTCAATGACCTTGTCCCCATCTCCACTATCTTTTACTTTTTTGAGCTTCGAGTTACGCTTCAGAATCTAAGGCAATAATAGATTTCAAGAGTTGATTATCAAACAGGAAAAAGAAGTAATGAACAAAGATAATCATTAGGGAGAGAAGAAAACACAGATACCTTTACGGGAACTTCATTGGCCTTAAGTTGTAGCCCATCATGAAGCCATCTTTGTTTTGTTCTAAGAGTCTGCACACAGGTCCGTGGATAAACGGGGTGACCAGAGAAAAATCCCACAACCGGACCTTTTGGGTGTAGTATCTGGTTCTTGTGAAGCCATTTCTCAATAGCATAGAGTTCGTGACTTTTATAGGCCTGCAAGATTAATAAAGGTCACAGAAGGTTTAAGTGAAGCATGAGCTTTTAACTTGTTTTTTTTTTTTTTGTATGTTACCTGCTGGTTAGTGGGAAGAGGCTCGGTAAGTGCCCGAGTAGCTAACTCCATATCTTCAAGAGCACTCCTTATACCAAAGGACGAGCTACTCGAGCAAGCTTTGTTAGCAACATGGTTTAGGCTACTGGAATTTCTTGGAGCATAGCCTTCACGGTGTTTGCTTAGAGCTGAACCCCCAACTGTGGCTGACTCTAGTTCTCTTAAAGGTGCTAATACCATATCCCACCACAGTGAACTCACCCGTTTGGATGATATCGTGTGCCACTTAATACAGTACCTGGGTAAGAAAAGTGTCACAAGGAACTAGATGTAAAGACAAATATCTAGAAACAGAACTGTATGCAGGCAAAAGAAACCATAGATATAGAAGATGTGAATTGTCCAATAAGCACAGTCAATAGAAAACCTGCGAGTGACATCTTTGGCTCCACCACCAGCAAAGGCGACAACATATCTAAGAAGGGTTTTGCTTGCAGCAGCTGCAGCTTCTACAGTTTGCTCTGCATCTATCATTCCATTAACAGGATCCAGATGGACCCATTTCCCATCCATGTTTTCTCCACTGCAATACACCTCAGCCCAACAAAGAGGAGACTCCACTTTCTTAGAACCAATAGCCGTGGACATTACTTGGTCAGAAACTGACAAGCCATAACTGGTATTTGTCATTTCTCGCCTTTTCTTTTTCTCGTTCACTTTAGGGCTCTGTTGGTTGTCTGCAGTTGCAGTCAAAGCCATGGCTAATTGCATCTCAAACTCAACATCCCCTTTCCTCCTTGTTCCGTCGGATTTGGTGGACATTCCTGCTTCACAAGATGAGTTGACCATTTTCTCTTGCAACGGATCATGCTGAGGCTCAGAGGTTTCACAGATACTTTTATTCTTAATATGGGAAGAAGATTTATTTGGGGATGACGAGATGGTTTGCTGCTTCGGCACCATAAGAGTTGAATTCCTGAATATGCTTTGCTTCGTTTTAGCTCTATTTCGACCTGGAGATTCATCCTTATCGGCCCCTGGTTTCAAGGATGCAACGTCAAGAATAGACACAAACCTGTGAAACTCAAATTAGTACAGAAAACTCGTAACAAGCTTGGCATAGTAAGCCATAGGTACAGAAACCAAGTATGTATACTATCTTGTGGCAAAAGTAACAAGTATCACATACCGAGCTGTGAGATTTAATGCTCTAAGCAAAGCAACGACCAGTGCTCCAAGCTGTAAAAATGATCCCATAAGTTTCCTATACGATAGCATTGATCAATATTGGACCACTACTCTCCTAGAAGGCGGATTAACTTTGAAAAAAATCAAACAGAGTTATCTTTTAGATAGAGAGATTCAAGGTACTTGGGAAAAAGGAAACCAACTGATCACAATCTTACCTCTTCAGCTGTGCCTTTACGAGACTCGATAGCAAATGCTAGGGAAGTACGGAAAGATTTCTCAGAACTGGGAGTACACCTAACAGAAAAGTTTCCACGAACCTACAATTCGAGACAGGAAAAGTTGCTCAACTTTCCATCAGAAACATAAGAAAAGCTACAGACCACTAAAGCCATACCCAACGAAGAAGAGGGGCTATATCCCTAACAGTAACGCTCTCAAGATTTGATACTTTTGACAAGTATGATGGTAGAAGTGAAAGCAGGGAAGCCTGCACATTAAATATAGTGAAATTAGCGCAGGTTACAAACATAAGATAAGTATAACTTCAAGGCAACAACTAACACCACTGTAGTAAGGGATACGATTTATTTACCTGAATCAGTAGATCATTACAAGCGTTATCAACTATCCTTCCTCTTGCAAGCAGACAGAGCAAGTGAACCTTATGGACAAGTTCCGCCCGTTCCTTAAACACAAAGCACAAGTCTCTTAAGCCACCGCCAAATAAACAGAAGTAATCACTAATCATCCTGCAATTCCTGAGATTTTCTTAAGCACGGCATACCTTGTCTTCTGCTGTTGCACGGTAAACATTCTTTTGCCTCTTAGTCTCAGGTACACGATCAAATTCTATGGTTAAGTCTCTGGTTTCATCGGCGTAAGCATCAACCGCAGTATCATCATGACTAGGAACCGGACAGTCCTCCCAGTCTGAATCATTCATTTCATCATCATCACAGCCTGCACTTCTACCACATTCCCTCTCCTCTAGATCTTTGCCAGTTAATTTTCCCTCGGCGGCTTGCTTCCCCTTCTCATATTTGCCTTTATCCCGCTGCAATGATAGAAAATAGATTTTACAGCCGTTAATTATTGGTTAGTAGCACAGACTTCTCAATGTTCAAGGAAACATTGCAAGCATTACCATCTTAACTACTTTAGTAAAAAAATAGTGAAATCAGCAGAACAGTAATGTTCTTGGCATGAATAGAAAGCTAACCTTTGGGAAATCACAGTTCTGGGCATTATTAGTATCATCTAGTTTCTTCTTGCCTTGAGAGCCAGGAGCATTTCTTCTCTCTAGAAATTTGTTCACTGCTTCTCTCACTGCAAGTTTACCATCCTTACTTTCACTTTTAGGCTTCATCTTAGTCTTTCCTCAAGAACACCCTAAACATTAAAGCCAAAAATTGAAAAGAAACAAAAAAAAGCGTAAGACAATGTCACTAAATTACCAAAACGAGTCATCGAAATCTATTTTAGTCATTGACGAAAGTAATCACTTTTATTTCCAATTCTGGTGATAAATTTCTGTTCTTTACACAGGTCTCCAGATTACATTACCTAAACCCAGAGAATCAGAGACAATTTGAAAGAAGCAAAAAAAAAAGAGCTCACCGGAATCACAAGTCCCAAGATATTACTAAATACTAACAATGCGAGCAAAGGAAGGAGTTTTCTTTTCTTCGAGTTTCTCAGGAGAGGGACATACAAATTCCAAGTGAGAAACTTACTCACCAACGAATTGATCACACGACTCCGCTACTCGCAGACGCCGGAGACAGAGAGAGTATTGTCGACAAACCGCTTAGGATTTTGGCGCGCCGGAATCTCCCGCGCGGTTAACACCAACCGACGTACGGCAAAACCTTCTCCGAGAAGACGCTACAAAGTATCGACGTCGAGAAAAGTGGGAACGATGATTTGACCGCAAGGGTCAGAGATTTCTTAGGATGGGACCCACCAGAATATTAAACCGCCTCGATGTCGCCACGTCACTTCCCTTTTTCTTTTTGACTAATGTATTAAACCAAGCAACACAAACGGTTGTTTAGACGATTCGAATTCGCGACTGCGTTTACAAAGGTGCAATCGGAATTTCAGTATATAGAGATGTAGATAGATAGATATGGTTGGTTACACAATGTGCGTCTCTCTTTATGAATCTGAGCAAAACTGAAGCATCTTTGATACCAAAAGAAAAACAAAAAAGCATGTTTTTATCCTCCTACAAAGCTAAAGACATGGAGATTTTTGATCCAATAAGATAAAAACCATAAGACTTGAGCTTTTTCTCAACCCGTCATTCCTGGGAAGAGCTGCGAAATCTTGTTGAACACATCCATTACCTGCAACCAAACAAAACTCGCGTGAGAAGTTAACAATGCAAGAACTAAGTAGTAAGCAGCAGAAGATTTGAGTGTTTACCTCTTTGTCGTTTTGGTACTTCATGATGTTCATTGGGTTCTCAGAACACTGCAACAACAAAAACAATCAATTTGAGTGTAATCATATAATAAAAGAAGGTATATTTTGATTCAAGTTAATGAAAAACGCACTTCCATTAACGCTGCTTGGACTCTAGGATTCTGGAATGCCATTGCAACATCAGGGTTCTCCATAATCTTGGAGATGACTTCTTCTGGGGTCAGTCCTATTTGATCTGAAATATCGTTTCAACATCCATCAGTATTGAACCTAAGTCACAACCATTATAGTATTAACTTTTTGTAGCAGTTGAGATTAAGCTTTACCGAATTGTTGCTTCACTTCAGGACTATTAAGGTCAAAATTCTTTAAGGTGTCCATCATTCTCTTGTCCCATTCACCACTTCCACTCATATTATTCCTACATACATGACAAACAAACAAGGGTATTCAATCAAAATATGGTTTAGAGATTCTGAAAAGCAATGGAAAGGAATAAATTTGTTAAATGGAGCTTACAACATGTCCTGTAGCTGTTGACGGTATTGAGGATTTTTAAGCATCCCTACGAAATTCCAATCCATAGAAAGTTAATATCAAATCAGCAAACTGGACCAACCTCTAAACCAAAGTTCCATGTCAGTCAGAGCATTCTTTCAAAAACGGGTAGATGATAAATTTTCTGAATCTCCCAATATGACTAGTTCAAGGTTTCCATTCAAAAATGCTCCTTCATAAGCAATACTGAGAACAAAGATAATATTAACAGTATTAAACATTAACAGACTTACATTTGAAAGTTTCCGGGTTCCTCATCTCCTCAGGCAAATGTCTGCATTTGTACATGCAATGTTACCAAAAGTCCACTTAGCAACCAGTTTTGAAAATATACTTGAGAGAAGCATTGAAACATAATGTTGTAGGAACGATTAGTTACGGGTAAACCATCTTCTGAACTGTTGGGTCTTCCATCATTTTCTCTAAAGCTTCTACAGACAAACCAGGCCCTCCTTTCCCAGCGCCTGTGTAAACAATGGACAGACTAAGGATTCTATTGAAGAACTTAGGAAAAGGAAATTGAGAGAGAGTATCAAGCACAGTGCTATGCAAGTGATTAATTCATATTACTAACCCAAAGATTGAAAAACCTCGGAAGCAGTGGCACCATTCGCCGGAGCAGCAGTGGCTCCATTTTGCAAAACCTTCACCCAAATATCAAAAGAGAGAGCAGAGAAACCTTCTAGGTTAGAAATTCATGTCATGTTTTAAAATTATCACTTGGTGTGCTGTGCAGATACAAAAGAAAAAGAAACTTACATCCTCAAATAAGCGAGCTTTTTCAGAGGCATTAGTTTCAGAGACTTCAGCATAGTTGCTAAACGGGCTTTCCTTTGTGGTTTCCTCCGGGGAAACATCTTCAAACGCTGAAACCAAAGTTAAATCAACTTCCAAATCAGAAGCCTTAGAAAATGAGAAACGAAGAAGCTCAAAAATTGAGTCTACAAAAGAGAAAAGGTTAATTTCTGAAAACAGAAAAGAATCTACCGTAGTTTTTTTCTTCTCTCTTCACTTTGTTTTCCTCCAAAACAACACTTTGCTTATCCACTTCTATATTCTTTACAGGCGCAGGTTGCGGCTTAGTCGAAGGAGGTGTATCTACTTTTGTCGCTGTCACATCAACAGTGGCACCTGAAGACTGGGGCTGAGATTGGAACGGTGAGGAAGTAGGACTTGTTTGAGGAGGAAACGGAAACGGAAAAGGTGATCCTGATCCTGATCCTGTAGGGAAACCAGGATTATTAAACTGGCTACTTTGTGTATTCATTTGGTTCATCATTGTCTTCATAGCTGTTTGCATTGCATATTTCTGAAACCAAAGCAAAAATTGTCCAGAGAGAGAAACAGCCAGTTAGAGAACATCATTTCAGATACATAAACACTATCCACTAGAGAATAGATATAAAATGAAGCATAAATTGTGGCTCTTGCAAAAGACTAGAGAGAAAAAGTTCAGTAAACCCACAGGACATAGCAAGTAGTAACAACACTCACCTTTAAACTTGAAGTTACCTGTAATCCAATCAGAAAAAAGGAAAAATCAGGTAACTGTTATTAGATACTGAAGCAAGAAAGACTAAGTTAAGCACAAAGGAATATGCACACTCACATATGAGAACACAGCTGATAGCCCAACCCCAACACCAATCCAGAAAAGTGGTGATCCTCTAAACCAAAAAAAATAAGACATAAGAAATGCTTTTAACAACCAAGATTCAAGCATGTATAAATTAAACAAGATTGCTCAAAAAAAGCTTTAAAATTTGATGTAACCAGGAAAATAGTTTAAGAATTACATGGTTGATGAAGATGGTGGTGGCACTGTTGCAGTAGGGGAAGCAACGGAGGTTGTCTGTTGATCACGATTCGATGAAAATATACTTGCAAAAGCTTTGCTTCTGTGTTTCACAACCACTGCCAAGGGATGAAAATGAAATTAGACAATGAAAAGGCTCTTATAACACGAATTCGAATTGCAACTACAGAAAGACAAATTCTTCAGAGATAAGGAATTCATAAGCTTATTGATCAGCGGTCGAAAGAAATTGACTTTCAATTATACAAATAAAAGTAAGAAACTGGAAAATTCACGATTTTTTTTTCCCGGAAAGTTCTCGCATTAAGCGAAATTGCAAGCTTACCAATTTCTCCAGCTTTCTCTGGACGCGAAGACGGAGGCTGAGATTGCACGGAGGCAGAGATTTTAGAGCAACGGAGGGTAACTCTAGGAGTCCGGCGCGAAAACCCTACAGGGGGTTTAAGCGATGAAGTGAAATTCCATCCAACTAACAGCTTCGGAGAAGCAGCTGAGCAAGAGACTAAGGTTAGGTTCTCCATTGTTTATTGTTTCTTCGTTCAAAGAAACAGAAGACACCTAGACCCAATTCTGGTGGAGAAGAAGAAAGATATGATGAGGAGGAAGAAGAAGGAAATGAAGAAGAGAGACTCTTTTGGTCTAAAGCTATTGTATCCTTCGAGCACGAGGTTTGAGTTAGTAAGTGGCTTTGGATCCACTGCAACTAAGCACACTGAAACGTTTTCGAGATTAACAGATGGCTAAAGATTAACCGTCAAGATCAACAAACACTTTTGTGATCACTTACAAAGTCACCCCTCCACTTTTGCTCTTACTTTCGTTATAGCCCGTACCTATTTTAAAATAACATTTGGCACCTCGTTTTGTATCAGTAAAATATATTACGTGGTGTGTAATTGTGTATGGGTGGTGTGAATCCGATCGTTTCCTTTTGCCGAAATAGTTTCAGACCATGTTTTTGTAACTGTTAAAAATTCAATCCATTCAGACCATATTAATTCAGTTTCTTTCATGCAGCCCAAACTCAGATCATATAAATTCAGTTTCTTTTATACATTTAGTTCATAGCCTCTTTTGTTTGTTTTGGTTACTGATTCATGATCATCGTGTTATTTTGCAAACGACTTACGAACGAGTCCCATATTTCACCTTTTTCTCTTGTTGTCATGCCTAAATTATTTAAGCATTTGGGTAAAGATTGAATAAGCTCCTCTTTGATTTCTTAAAAATTTCGTGATTTGATTTATGTGAAACATTTTCATTGATCAGTATGCTCAGAAATATGCAGAGAACAATTCACAGGTTATATTTTGGGTGATGAAAAGCAAGAAAATCATCATCAGGCAGCCAAGACAAAAAAAATATCATACAGAAAATATTACAAAGCTGCTCTCAGACAATGGGCCAGAAGCTTCCACATGTGAGAGCTTGAGAATAAGACAAGGTCATTCAAGATTTAAACTAAGAAAATTGTCGACAAAGAGCTCCACACCGCTCTCTTCCTTAATCTAAAACACGATGGGAAACGAAACGATCCCCTTCAAGCATTCTAAATCAAAGTGTCATCAAGCAACACAGAGCTCACAATAGACTTTTTCTTTCGCGTAAATCAAGAAGTACCAAACCTAGTTCTCAAACGCATCGCTTCAGTGTGGTTAAAGAAGCAAAAGAATCATCACAGAGCAGCCAACAGGAAAAAAAAAACAAATCATAGAAAACAGAGTTTTGATATTTTGGAAGCTGCTTCTCAGACTATGGGCCAATGTTTGTCCACATTAGTAAGCTTGAAAATGTGACGTGACCTTGACTCAAACAATGAAAATTTCGATACGAGCTCGGCATTAATCTCTACCTTAATCTAAACCGCGAAGGAGAAGACTTCTAGCAGCTTAGATCAACGTGTCATCAACAAAACGCCGAGATCTAATCTAACCATTCCTTAGTTTGAATCAAGTGCCACAGCACATTTGCGAGCTCATCTTTTCAGTGTGGTTAAAGCAAAAGAATCATCATTGAGCAACTCAAGAGAAAAATCCAAAGTCACATAAACCGAAATCGTAGAAACCTAAGTTTTAATTCGAAAAAAAAAAAGTTGAGACTTTATCATCGAAATCAGAAAAAAAAACACCCAAAACAAAACTTTATCAAACAACTTCGAAATTGTCGAATCTCGAGAAATGATAAAACCCACGGGAAAGCTATTCCCAGAATTGTACATGTCCAGAGATTCAAAAACCATCAGTGAAGATGTTTGATTTCGCATCAGAACGTACGACTCTTTAAAGCTACACGAGTGATAAGCTTAAAGACTCATAACGCAAATCCGTTCCCTTGAATGCTAATTTCTTAACCTAGAATATCCTGGCAAAAATTTCGGATCTTAATGGAAAAATGAAGAACAGAATATCGCATCTACTGGTAACAGACTCGATGATCAATCTGCGGCGATATAAAAGACGAAGTCTTAGGGTTTACAACTTTACATGGCTTTTAATAGGCCTTTAAGTTTGATTTTATGGGCCTGTTAGCCCAAATGAACTTCAAGTCGAAATCAAAACTGCTTCTCTCTTCTTCTCCCTCTCTTGATTCTGTTTCTGTCGATAATTAAAAAAAATGTTTCATCACTACTTGTCGAATCAGTAAGAGCGTCTCTTTTCAGTGTTGTTTCATCGAATCGCAGAGGTAAGGTTTCATACAAGTTTTTCGATTGGCAAAAAACACATGTTTTTTTATTGTTCATTATTCAGACAAGTGACGAGGAATTCCTCTTTGTTCGTTTTCCAGGGATTCGACAATCTGAGATTCTCCTACTTGTCTTAATGTCCGAAGGAGATTCCTTTCTTCACTCTCCTTACGATCTCTAAAAAAAAACCCTCTCTCTTATTATCTTTCGCCTCCATCTCCGTATCTCCAAGCTTTTCTCCTAACTCTAATTCGCTTTTATAGTTCTAAACCAAATTAGCCACACACAAAAAAAACTTTTGTGTAAAAACTCAATTTCTTCGTTATCTATGTATTTTTTCTCTGTATCAATCTGATCCGAATGTATAAGATGTGTCACGAACCAATCAACATCTCTCCGGCAGAGTCCGGGATTACATTCCCTGAATTAGACCACCTCCCCTTGACGAGACGGCGGAGTTTGTTGCAATCCAGTGAAAGTGTCTCTCAACGTATCACTGCTTCTGTCCCTGCGTGAGTGCTGTTCTATGATTTATTACGTTTTTTTTTTTAATCAATTTCACTTAATAGTTTTCTGTTTTCACTTATGTTTTCTTTTGTTTCTTCTGTTTTGTAGATCGAATGTTGATAGTGTCGTCAAAAGGGAAGAAGATTGCATCAGTGAGACGGTAAAAAAGAAGTCTATTCGTTACAGTCAGTTTCACCGTTGTTGCTATTAAGTTTAGAGAACTGATTATGTAGTTTTTCAGTGTGTAGTGTCAAATTCTGGTACTTCGGAATGTACAAGAATTAGTTGCAGTCAAGGTCTAGATGATTCTGTAATCCTAAGACCACAGAACAACACTGTAGCATGTTGTAGTAATGCCGAAGAGAGTTCCAACAGAGTTGAACAAATCAAAGAAACCGCAGGAAATGATTCTCTGGAACACCTCACACTGAAAGAGCGGCGCAAAATGCTTCTAGAAAGGTGCTTAATTCAATTTACATCTCACCGCTCGGTCGCATTCATTTAGTGTCTAATGGTTTTTATCTATACCAATACTTGTTGCAGGATGGCTTTAAGGTCTCCAGAAACCAACTTAGAGGTAACAAAGTGACAACTTCCTCTGCATTTTTGTAACTTTTTTGTTTGGGATCTATTATAGCTAACTAGTTGTTTGTGTTGGAAGTGCAGGATAATACTAAAGACTGCGGTGAAACCGAACTTTATGATATAAAAGCAGAGATTTCATGCGAAAATGAGATAGCTTCATCTTCTGGGATCCGATTCAGTGGCTTTCTAAAGAACATCGATTCTTATCTCTTTAAGAAAGTTAGTATAGGTTCAGAATGTGGAAGTCAGCTTAATGGAATTCAAGAGAGTGATATTCCGCGTGACAGTAGAGATTATGAACACTCTGGTTATGCAGATGCAGCAGAGAAGCCGAGAAATAGTTGAAAAGAGTCAAAAGGAATCATCTTCCTTTGGATGTTAGTGAATTAAAGGTCGAGTCTTTAGATGATTGCGTCATGGAGAACAACGACGAACCAAGTCCTGTTTCCTCAGAGGAAGTACATGTCAAAGGAGATGTGGAAGAAGCTCATGATGAAGATGAGCTAGACTGCGAGAACCCTCCTCAGGGTTTAGCTTCTGTGCATCTGATGAATACGTTAAACCTTTAAAGATGTTGCGTTCTTGGAAGCGAAAGAAAACCGCCACGTGAGTCTCTCTCTCTTGTTTATCCTTTTGTCTCATGTCTCTGTATCTTTTGTGATCTTATGGTATGAAAATAACCATTACAGGGACTCAATTGAGACAGCTCTGGAGGAAGATGCTCCTGGTCTTTTGCAGGTGCTGATTCAACAAGGGGTCTCAGTAGATGAACTTAGGCTCTATGGGGATAATGCAAGTGGCGGTGATTCCTCAGATGATTCACTTCTCGAAGAGAGCTTCTCAGAGCTCGAAGAAGTCATCTCGCAGGTAAGAATAATACAAAGATAGTTTTTTGTTTTCATCTGTGTTGTCAAAAGGTTAACTCTTTTTGAAAAAATGTATCAGCTTTTCTACAAACGAGAGACGGGTGTGAAACTTCTTAACCTAAGGTTCTCAAAAGCTTCAAGAACAAGCTATTGCTTGACCTGTCTCTTCTCCCTCATCGAACAGGTAAAAATCTGCATTAACTTGATCTTCTCTAGCTTTATACATTTCACTTTTCTCATTAACTTGTTTCGTTTTTGGTTTCAAGGCAAGGTATTTGCAGTTCCGCAAATGGCCTGTTGAGTGGGGCTGGTGCCGTGATCTCCAATCTTTCATCTTCGTTTTCGAAAGACATAACCGGTAAGTCAAGTCTTTCTCTTTCTCTCATTTGGTCATTGCGGTTTGCGGCTAAAACAAAAGTTTGATGGATACAGGATAGTAATGGAACGTCCTGAATATGGCTACGCAACATACTTCTTCGAGCTCAGCAGCACGGCGTCTATCGGATGGCAGATCAGACGGTTAGTCTTGGCCATGAAACTCGCGAGCTGTGGGCGTTATCAACTGATTGAAAACAAACCATTACTGGTAAAAACTCTGCTCCTTCTCTCACCGGTTAAATATGATATGGTTACTAGTGTTTATTGTTCTGTAACTCTCTGTTTAACTCTGCTGAAGGTAGGGGAAGATATGACGGAAGGTGAAGCGGAAGTGCTGATGAAGTACGGTTGGATTGCGAACACGGGCTTAGGGACGATGCTAAACTACCGTGATAGAGTCTTCCACGATAGGAAGACTCAGAAGGAGACATCGGAATGGAGATCCAAGATTTCTAAGCTTCTTGTTGATGGCTATAACAGTGGAACCATTGTCTCTACTTTCATTGATCATCATGATGACATTGATGATGATGCTGGACTTGACACCGGAGATGTTAAGCTTGAGCCTTATTGAAAGTCTGAATCTGATTTCCAGCTCATTGTAAAGCCCAAAAATAGATGCAGAAGACTCGATTCCATTTACATTTTACACATTTCTAATTCTAATGATTTTGTTTTGTTTACATCATGTTGAAAGAACAACACACCATTGTTTTGTAAGAAAATAGAGTGAAATTCAGATTTTTCATATTTTTTCATTATATGTTTACCATAGGTTATGTTTTCATTATGTATAAACATTTAGTTACTATAAACTCACAAAAAGAAACTTAACTATGTTCTACAAAGTTTATGTATCAATTGGAAGATAAAAAAAAGTGATTATATATAACTATATGTAATAACTTTGCAAAAGAGGTTGTACTTTTGTTTTTAAAGGTATGAAGTGTCACAATAAGTAGGAGAACGAAACTATACTCATTCACCAACTTCAAATGTATTCTAATCATTGTTGTCGTTACCAAATTTTCCTTTTCTATAATTTATGAAAAATATTTATCCACCAACCTTACAATTTATTATTTAAAATTCTATGAACTTAAATAATTCCCTTATCTTCTTCCTTTCTCTTCTCTTTAGTCCATCATTCACAGTTCCACTATCACTCCTTTTGCTCTTCTTTGTGACAAGTCATCTCTAAGCAATGATCATATTTGTTATGAGAAAGGTTCATATACATGCACTCTTTTTTTCCACTTTCTTTGTATTTTATAAGAAATCATATTAACACTTTATGGTATAAAAGGCATTCATGTTTTCTTATTTAATCAAAAACAAAAATGGGGTATTCACAATTATTACATGTAGATGGAGGTTAACTAGGTGCTTCTTTAATCTAAAATAGCACTTATCTTCTAAATTAAAACTATAGTTAATACTTAATACGCATGATTTTGTTGATTGGAATAATGTAACAACAAAACAAATTGAGATACTTACGTAAAATAGTGTAGCAGTTAGGAGCTGAATTTGCATAAGCTTTTGATAAATTATATATTTGTAATGGATGTGTAGTTAAGCATCAGCAGCATCTATGTGATGGCCGAGCTTGGTCGAACTGGAATGATTTTGATAAACTTTTTTAGAAGATGAGGACCACTCATTAAGTTTATGAATATGTTGGCAACATATTTCTGTAAGACTGTAACAAACAGATACATAGGATAAAATTCGAACTTATCTTCGAATACATATATAGACCATATGACTTGTAAACTTAATTATAAGTGTGTATGTAACATTTTTCTCTACTGCAAACTGATTCCAACCTTAAGCAATAAGGTAACATCATGATTAGAATACACACAACAATAGTTCGACGAGAAAATGATATTGTTAAACTATATGATAATCAACAATCTTGAATTTTTTTTCTCTCTTTTCGACAAAATGGTTTGGTGAAAAAGAAGTAGAAAAAGGTAGTTTCCACTTGTCTATCAATCCCAATCACTTGTGGTCCATTTTCTAAGACTTCATAAACATACAAATACATCATACACAAATAAGACCGGTCCTATGGGCACAGGCGCACAGCCTTATGATGCCACCGCAGCCCCCAATTTATGAGGTCATATACAAACATACAAACAAGTATGAGTCCTCAAACAAATTTTACAGTTATTAATATATAGAAACTGCATTCCCTTTAAAATATTAATAAAAAAAAAACAGTTTGTTTTAGAAATATTGTTTACATGTGTTAGTAATATACACTAATTCAGACCCACATTTTTTTTTTTTTTTTTGCTTGAGCTATCTGCATATGCCAGCATCGAGACATACATGTGTTGACGAAAAAATAAGACGTACTCTCATGTGTCATTAGCACTGTAGTGCGGGTTGATACATGCGTGGGCCGGTGTGTACTTTTTGAAACGTGTTTGATTAATGGGACCATAGGATATGATTACTTATGAAAATGTGTGAATAGCCTAAGTTTTTTTTGGCCAAATCCGATTTCGACTTTAGCAGATCATTTTTATTGATCTTGGATCATTACTGATTTTACCTGTCTCTTTTATCTTACACGTTGTTAACATCACCCTTTACTTAACTTTGACACTGATACATTAACAGCACTAATGCTCGCCGCTAGGTATGTGAGTTTGTTTAAATTACTTGAAATGAAATATTCATAAGAAAAGGATTCAATATGAAGTGAGTGTAGAGGTTGATGGTCCACCACAAATGCTTTGAAGTTTGAACATGAGATTGAGAAATATTTGGTAGGTGGATTATATTAATAAATTCTAAGAGATCCATCCAATCATGATTCTGATGTTGTTTTGTTGCTGTCATATATATAAATGGATTTCATCACCATGACGCCATCATTGTATCATCATTTAGTATTTTCCACTTTTATTCGACTGATAATATTACAGTAAAACCTCTATAAAACAATAATGTTGGGATTTGAAATTTTATTATCTTATAGAGTTATTATTTTATCGATAAGACAATAATTATTGTTTTATCGATAAAACAATAATTATTGTCTTATAGAAATATTTTATCAAAAACAGAAACTTTATACGGACAATTAATGTTCATCAAGATACAACAGCAAATTGTTTTCGACATTGTAAAATTCGTTCAGGAGATGTCCTACTAAGGAATTTAGAAGATGAATCAGTCGACATTCCTGAATTTGAAGTTGTGATTAATAATCTTGGTTATCAGAATAGAATGGATGTCAATAGCCTACTCAACTATCCGGGTGAGAACGATTCATACTCAGAAGTTCAAAGTCTAGAAGAAATTGTGTCTACTGTTCTTAATGGTGAAGATGAAGTTGAAGATGATGAGGAAAGACATGTGCAAGTAGTTACACGTAAGGAAGCAATTGTGGCTTCGAGAACTCTTCACAACTTTTGGCTGCATGTTGAGAACACACCACCAGAAATTGTTGATGCAATAAGAAAAATTCGAGATGAGCTCCAACGAGAATCAACTTTCAGAAAAGACAAACTACATTGGAGTCATATTTTACTAAATTGCCTTAGATATATATGCCTTAGTTTTATAATTATTGTCTTAAGCCTATTGTTGGGACTATATTTTTACATAAGAGTTTCAAAAATATTATTGTCTTATCATCTTATCGCATTATGCTATTTTTTACATTGGCCCGAGTTGGGAATGGAGAAATTTATTATCTTATAGTGTTTATTGTTTTATCGAGTATTGTTTTATAGAGGTTCTACTGTACGTATGTATTTTTTTTTTTTTTTTGCAATTCCAAACAATTTCTCTTTGTATACCTGGAACAGTACTGGAACTAAGGTTTATAAGTAGCCGGCTACTCATTATTGGTAGAAGATTAATGTTTAAAAATGTCTATAGGACCATATATATATAGGTATATCGTGACTCAGAGCTAGTGATAAAACATTTAGTTAGTGATTTTAGATTTTGGGAGGAAACATAATTAATTTATTTATTTTACGATCGAGGTTGTTTATCGGCTGGTTATCGTTAAGTTGGACAGTATTTGAGAGACATTTAGTGGATATCCAAAAACCAAGGAAAAACAGAGAAAAGGATGTTCAGTGTTCACAATTGCAACCCAATAATTATTACATGTATTTTTCACTAATCATCCGCACTAAATTGCAACACCAAAGCCAAAGCCAAATCTCCCACTTAAAAAAAACATCACGTGAAAACCTAAAAGTTAGAGGAGATCAAATGTCCATGAATCTTGATCTAAAACCATTCTTGAACATCCATTACCATTTCCAACAAAACCATCATTGTGATCATTCATAAGCAAATCCAAGCTACTCAAATCGTTGATGTCCCATAAGTTCGTGGTATCGACAGTGTTGTCTTTGAAATTCATGGTATCCCCTGATGAATCATCGGATGAGAGCCACTTGAGGTCAAGTATCTCCATTTCATCCAGAAACTTTGAGAACTCATCACTCGGTAATACTGATGATAGACACGACGAAGTAGAAGAGGAAGAGGCAGAAGGCGACGTAGTGGAGTTACTAATGTTAATATTGGCGTTATCATCATTAGTATGATGATGAGAAGAAGAGATGTCCATAAAGATCTCATTTGGATTGAGCAATGGGACTTCATCAATTGAAAACCCATCACTAAAAATTGGTGAGGACGTCTTCTCCAAATCTTGACCTAACTGATGTGGTTCTTGATTGTCTTTGCTTTGTTGATCTTCTTGATCTTGTTTTGTGTTCTTGTCATCATGAGGCACTAGGCTTTTCTTGGTCTCTCGAGCCTGTTGTGAGCCTTCTTGTTCAGAGAGAGGCTTATGGGTCAAAGGGTCGATACCCATCTTCCTTAGTTTTTTCTTTATGTGTGTGTTCCAATGGTTTTTAATTTCATTATCAGTTCTTCCCGGTAGATGAGAGGCAATCTTTGACCATCTGCACAAAAATTAAAAAACATAGGGTAAGTAAAGTATGTTTCTAAATTTGAAAACAAAACGTTCTTTTTATTATTTTCAAGAGAAAGAAGGTAAACCTATTGCCAAGTTGGGCATGAAGATCAATGACCATTTGTTCTTCATATTCCGATAGAAGACCTCTTTTTAAATCAGGTCTTAAATAATTTATCCATCTTAACCTGCAGCTTTTACCACACCTCAGTAGTCCTGCAAGTAATTAATTAACCAAGGTTATTAAAATACCGAACCACTTGAACCAGTGAAAAAATAAAAAAAAAAACAAAACTGATCTTTACAAATAATAACGCAATTAATGTAATCATATGTTTCAAGTTTTTGTGAAGTCCGAAAGATAGATACGTATATCAAAAAGCATCTTTTTCGTCGGTAAGAGAAAGGGTAACAAGTGTTTGAAAAGGTGAACTTCATGAACGTGAGCTAAGTTATCTCAAACGGTGTCATTTTGGAGGAAAGAAAGAGAAAATAAACCAGAAAGCTTGGGAAGAGCTCTCCAACAGCAGTGGCCATTGGTGAGGATGAAGTTGATGAGCTTCTTGTCTTCTTCAACAGTCCATGGCCCTTTCTTCAACCCTACTTTGTCACAACACGGTTGCCTCCCCATCTCTCTCTCTCTCTCTCACAAACACTATATATATATATATATATATATATATATATATACTTTATGTAGAGATATATGTGCTCAAAAAGGTCCCTAAATCCTAATATGCTTAGAATGGTGTTTTTCAAGACTAAAGAAGCTACACAACAACCTATATATAGAGAGTAAGAGATTTCAAAACCATGTTTGTGGTTTGTGGACCTACATTTCTTCTCGTATCTTCTTTTAAATATAGTTTTTTTCCAACCTTATAATGTTTGTAATGCTGATTTTTCATATGGTCGTAAGTGCTTTTTATTATTTTATCGATATATAAATCACGTAAACCGGTTGACGAACCATCGGATTTGTACCTACATAACATACGGTCGTAACCTAATCAAAACCAATAAACTGAAAAGATGGCCATTACATAACTAGTAATGAACTATGGATGCATTATGTATTTATAAATTCATGTAGTAACTAATTAATTCAATCTATGTCAAATTTTCAGAGAGAAAATTAAGTAATGTGGTAAAAGGAAACTAGGAGTTTATGGGTTTAAGACACGTGTAAGCGAGTGTGATCACGCGCAAAGCTCACTATCATCATCAGACAAAAACACCTCACCATCCGTTTTTGTCTTCTTTGCTTATGACTCATTCGTAATTGAAAATCAGAGTTTAGTTTTTCTCAATTAATCAATTTAAGTGCTGTGGGTTTTCGCAACAACAGAAAACTTACAGTACAATGACGTCATGTCTTCATCATAGTGTTACGTTTTCCAATAGCCCCATCTTCGTCATTATTTGGAATGGTAAAGTTAAGAATCACAGAATTATGAAAATCACAACAACAACAAATGTTAGTGAAATGACATTAATAAGCGAAAACAAATGGTTTGGCTACAATTTTTTCCTGTTAACCGGGAGAATTCAAACCATAACCAAAACTAATCTTCGATACCTATAAAAATGTAGGTTATGTAATGGGCTAGACCCATAAAACATTGTCTGGCTGGGCTGCTCTGTTTTATTCGTGGGAAATCGTCGACAATAAAAAGTTGATGTTTTATTTCCGATAGATATTTATTTTAATTTTCATCATTTTGATAATTTTGATAATTTGTTATACTCTTATAATTTGAACTTATGCATAATTTGTTGTATTAATAACATACATTACAATAGATTTTTGTTGGTGACACAAAATAAAAATAAAAATAAAAAAGATTATACAATATACTCTCTAGTCAGACAATAAAAAATCCAATCATATTTATATGCCTTAGTAAGAAGAAAATTAAAAAAAAAGGCCAATTCACTCGGATGTCCTCAAAAGAAAAGGAGAAATTCCTTCAAAGAAAAAATGATTGGTTTGAAGTTTGAACCATTGAAATTGGCCCATGATAATGTTATGTTTTGACAAGGCCCGTGATAGATTAAGTTGCACAAGCGTGAAACTTCTTGCATCGGATTTCAAGAAGTTTGAGTTTTGCATAACGAATATGAAAGTCCAACTCGTTAGACAGAAAAACAAAAACAAAAAGATATAGAAAGAGAAAAGTAAATGTCACAACCACAAAATCCCAAGAAAATTAGTACTAACTGGACTAATTGTTTCAGCGGATATTATGTAAATGAGGTGTAACATGGAACAGTAAATGTAACTATCTTTCTTAAAACAGTTTGAAAGTCCAACTCGTTAGACAGAAAAACAAAAACAAAAAGATATAGAAAGAGAAAAGTAAATGTCACAACCACAAAATCCCAAGAAAATTAGTACTAACTGGACTAATTGTTTCAGCGGATATTATGTAAATGAGGTGTAACATGGAACAGTAAATGTAACTATCTTTCTTAAAACAGTTAATGTAAACACACATTTGTAGAGATCGCTGAAAATGTACATCAACTGTTCTTTAATCTTTTCACCATTTCCCGAATTTATTACAGTATACTCCATTACTTCTTTGGAGCATTGCTTTACTTTTACCCTTTTTGTCAACAAATGTTTTTTTTTTCTTTTTATTGTCGCTTTTTTTTTTCATTGTTGGAACAAATCATGGCATTGGAGAGAAACCGCGTCCAATCCTGGCCCGTGGCCATGTTGTGCTAACCCTGTCGGTATTAAACAAACTTATAATACATTAGTTTTTCATACTTATAAATCTCACGCGAAAAATATTTTTCAAACATAACGAGTCTGTATGATTTTTTATCTATATATATGCATCTTTTCATATGTTGACGCAATAACTAAGTTTTGCTACATTTATGTTTGGACTATGTGTTTATCATTGGTTTCGTGATCGAACATTAGATGGCAACTCAATTAATTAAGTTTACAGCTCAATAGCTAATGTATTATTAGTATGCATAATATTTTATACTGTATTATTATGATTTTTTAGTTATCCCCATATACACGATAAAGAAAAAGATATTATCTGTTCGGCAACCATGTTCAAACAAACTTTGCACTAAAAAGAATGCAAAGAAAAAATGGTCGACTGACGATTTTTATGAGCTGGCGAAAGTTCTAATTTATGATTTTATATAAAATAACCACAAGTTGTAAAGGCTTAACTATTTTTATATGGATTTGACAGGGTAGCCTAGGATAAGATATGTGGCATTTTCTTGGGCAAAGGCATTGTCACAATTAAATAAAATAAATGTGCATGTGAACCCACATGGATATGAGTTAGATAAAGAGTAAAAATGCTGTGTCCATGGCTTAGGTGTAAAATGACTTATGCCACCTGATCAGCGAGTAACCCACATGGATTATGGATACGAGTTAGAACAAGCGTATAAATGCTGTGTCCATGGCTAGGTGTAAAAAATTAAGGGTCTAAATGGTAACAATGTTGCTGAATGCGGAATCTGGCGGAATTAAATTGTAACTTTTTGCGGAATCTGGCTGAATAGTTAGTATTGTGAATGGTAACTGCTGAATGTTGCTGAATGCGGAATGTTGCTGAATGCGGAATAAATCTAACAAATTATTTGTGTAACAGAATAACAAAATATTCATCCAATTAAATTAATAAAATAAATATAAAAATTTACTTGTAAAACAATTAAATATTAGTAAACTCAAATAATTTTTAAAATATGGGATTTAAGAATCATAATTTATAATAATTTATTTATTAAACACCAAAGTTAAAAAACAAATTTCAATTTTTTTTATCGATTTATAAATGAGAACCGTCTCATAATTGCTAAGCTGCTTAATTCTCTTTCATATTGTATTCATATAAATTTTAGATGGTATAATAACCTAAAAAACTATATTAAATCTTCTTATAATTGAGTTTATTGTTTTAAGTGGTATAGACACCATTCGTTGTTCTCTTGTTTTTGCACAAAATATATGTGTTATAATTATTTAAAAATATATAGTAGATCTTATTATAACTTATACTAAAACAAGTATTAGGTACATCACCTCAATTCGGATATGCTATTCCAAACATTATTATTATTTTTTTGATTCATATTTGTAATTTGTTTTTAGATCCATAGTTTTATTATTAAGATTCCGTTTCAGACAATTTTAAAACCTGAATATTCAGAACTGATCGAATCGGAATACATTTTTTGTTGAAAATGTTTAAATCTAGATTCTTAGAAATATACAATTAAATCATTTACTTTATTATAATAAAAATTAGTAATTGTATTAAAGTTTACACACAATTTTTATCATTACTTTGATTCATCTATGTAAATTTCTTTTTTAGATCCATAATTTATTATGAAGATTCCATTTCAGACAAATTAAAAACCTGAATATTCAGAAATGATCATATCAAAATACAATTTTTGTTGAAAATTTTCAAATTTAGATTCTGGGAAATATAAAATTAAATCATTTACTTTATAATATGAAAAATTAGTAATTGTATTAAAATTTACACACAATTATTATTATTTAAAAAATCACATGTTTTGTCTTTTAGTGATAGATTCTTCAATTCCACATTCCTCAATTCTTCACAATTCTGCATAGTTAACTGGTAAGATTTATTGCTATAATAATTTAAAATTTTATATTAGATTAAGTATATTTTATACTAAAATAAAATTTTATTAATATACTAAATAAAATTCTATACTATAATAAAAGTTAATATTTTCAGTGATATTCCACAATCCCCCAATTATTGAAATTGGTGTTGGGCTAATTAGTTAAAAAAACATCCATAATTCAACAATATCTTTTTTTGGTAAAGGGATAATTGAGAGGGAATTAAATTTAAAGAAGAATTAAAGGGTTTTTTGGGGTTATTAAAATGAAGTAATAAATTTAAAGAAGAATAAAAAAAATGCATTCCACAATTCCTCAACATTCTGCAAACTCCAACTGGTGTATTAAATAAAGCATTCATCAGAATTCCTCAACATTCTGCAATATTGGTGTTACCAGTTAGGGCCTAAAGCTAATTAACCTCTTTAATAAAGGCTACAACTACGGGACAATTCGATTTATAAAGTTTTGTTTGGATGTGATTAATTCGGTTGAAAAAAATAATGATTCGACTAGTTTTGTCTGTCATCTCTAGCCTCTAGGTCAATTATAGGCCTACGAATCTCATTCTCGTACAAGGGTCACTTATTCATAGCAAAAGCCAAAAACTATAATTCAACGGATTGCTCACCGTCATAATGCTTTGCTAGTTTAATACTTTAATCACTAAATACAGAAGTCTAACGAAATAAATTTCAAAAACCAACTGTATCTAGAGGTGACTTAGATAATGAAACCGTTTGTTTGAAAATTTTCTGACATATTGAATTACTCACCGTCATAGTGCTTTGCTATAGCTAACAAGTAAGACTAATCATTATCTTTAACAAATGTAGTTGCGTTTAGTTGATGATGATAAATTTGATGTTAGCTTTAATGAAATGGAATTTAACAGGATCTACCAAACATTTTAAGTGTAGATGTGGGGCATCATCACGATTCCCATCGATTTCGCTTAAACTTCCAAACTAAACCAAAATCAACAACTGATTCTTACCAAACATACTTTATTTACATCTCAGCGTATACAAAATGGATATTATAGGTTATATATTTTTGGTGCACTCAACTAACTCTGTCGTACGTTAATCCGTGAATGCTTTCTGAAGCCTGTATGTCTTGATCAACACTACTAGTTTTCAAAATCGATAGCCGTTTCTTCTGTTTTTTATTCTTAAAGAATGTCATCTGAATTTTTATTTGAAAAGTAAAGGAAAGATGCAAGAAACCTTTTTTTCAGTGGCCTCACCAATTCATAAGAATTTGAATTTGAAAGGTGGGGGCTAACTTGGCAGATTCAACAAAGAAAACTTGAATAGACCCATCACCTAGAGTTATATTTATTTCATGGATTTTGTAATATGTATTTAGATACTTGGTCTTAGTCACATACAAGCTATAAAAATAGCATTTGAAATTGAACAAACACATGATATATCTGTCGCTGACTTTTTTTATGATTTGTCGGAGTTGGGAGAAAGAACCAAACAATATATAAAGGATATCATATATCTCCTTTTCTTGTGTTAATTTTTGTAATGTAGTAAGTGAGAACTAGTTTTTGTGTGTGTGTTTCAGCCGTTTTATTGCATAGTTGGTTAGATAGAAAGAAAGAGTCAATAGGTTTTATAAGGGGGCCAATAGAAAAGGAGACATATTTTTGTTCCACACTCAAACAATGATACATTTCAACAATTTGTAAATTTCTTCAAAACTATATGAAAAAAACAAATTAAGAAACACAAAAAGAAACCTCCAACGTATACCTCAGCTGCCTTCACGAATCACCGAACAAACTACTTTAACAAATTCAAATTTTATAACCAAACAATATTTGATATAGATCAATTTAGACCCCACCACCTCAGAAAAAAAGAAAAAAAAATCAATCAATCAAATCAATCAGACAAAGGACCTGGTGAGCCAGCTGAAGGAGAAACCTCCTCAATGAGCCTCGTGACTTCAGGCATCGTAGGACGACTATCTGGATACTGTGCCGTACAACTTATACCGATCTTCAAAAGCCTTATCATGTTCTCATTACCTTCCGTTTGATATCTTGTGAGCTCTGGATCAAACACATCCGATGGTGATTGCTGTTCCGTTACCGACGCAACCCATCTCGGTAAATCCACTCCTTCTTCATGTAACTGCTGATGCGTTGGAGATTTCCCTGCAAAAACAAAATCACATTTTGAATAAATCGAATCAATAGTCGAAAATAACCACATTTCTCTTTTTGTTGTTTGTACCTGTGAGTAATTCAAGCAAGAGAACACCAAAGCTATAAACATCAGCCTTTTGTGAGATTTTGCGAGCATCGGTTACTTCAGGAGCACGGTAACCATCAATACGGTTAGGTGTAGATGTAGGGCTGATCATAGGAGCAAGACAGTAGTCAGAGACCTTAGCCTCATAAGTCTCTGACAATAGAACGTTAGAAGATTTAATGTTGCCATGAGATGTTGTTGCGTCGCGCGAATGAAGATAACTAATCGCTCTCGCAGCTCCTAACGCTATACCAGCTCTCGTCTCCCAATTCAATGGACTTCTTCCACTTCCTTTGTTCCCTGCAAAATCCCAAAACAAAAAACTGATTTTTAACTATCTCTGATCACTAAAGAATCGAAATTTGAAATTGAAACGGTAAAAAGGAGAGATTTTTACCGTGTAAAAGCGCAGACAAACTTCCTCTAGACATGTACTCGAAAACAACGAGCTTTTCGTCACGGCTGAAGTAATAAGCAATCAATGTGACAAGATTGACATGGCTGATTGATCCAAGAACTTGCAATTTCTCTCTAAACTCTTTCTCAGGCACCACCACATCTCTCAGTCGTTTCACAGCCACCACTAGTCCGTGTTCGAAACTCGCTTTATACGACGATCCGAATGTTCCTTTACCAAGAACTTCCGCTGAAGCCTTCAACAGTCCGTCGAGATCGAAGTTTCCGAATGATTTCACGAAAAAGGTCAGATCTTTACTCACTGCAGGGTTCTTCGATCCGCCGTTTTCAGATGGCGGTGGCGGCGCGCCGTTAGCCACCGTATGTGGGGCCTCCGATTCTTTTGCTACGGCGGCTGATGAGGTCGGGATTGGACCTGCTTCGATGTTTCTCGATTGCACATTTTGGTCTTTCTTCTTCTTTCTGCAGCAGCAGAACAAGAGCAACAAGAGCAAGAGAAGCCCGAAGAAACAGGCGATCACTATTCCGGCGATGGCTCCGGCGGATAACTTGTCGCTTTTGCCTTTTCCGGTTGACTCGGTGCCGTTTCCGGTGACGGGGCAAGCGTCTAACGGCTTACCACAGAGCGAGTTGCCTTCGAAAACGGCTTTGGGCATACCCGACAACGGATCCGGAATCGACCCGTTTAACTGATTCGAAGAGACGTTGAATTGCTGAAGCGGAATCTTGATCTCCGGGATCGGGCCGGTGAGCTGATTATCCTGCAGGTAGAGAGTAGCTAACCGGGTCGCCGAATTGACATTATCCGGGATCCGACCCGAGAACTTGTTCTGGGCGAGGTTGATCCGAATCACGTTAGGTAGAGTGAAGAGAAACGAAGGAATCTCGCCGGAAAATGCGTTTCCCTGGAGGTACAAGTATCGGAGGAGAGTTAGGTTGGCGAAATCCGGCGGGATTGGACCGGTGAGGGCGTTGAATCGGAAAGAGAGCGTTTCGAGCTGGGTTAAGTTTCCGATTGCGACTGGCAACGGACCGGATAAACCCACACCGGGTAACCGGAGTGCTGTGACCCGACCCGAATTGCATTGGACTCCTCCCCAAGTACACGGTGGTGCGGTTAGATTCCAGAGCAAAGGACGGCCGTGGACGCCGTCACGGAGAGCGATTAATGCTCGTCGATCAGCTTCTAGATCTGATGTCACGGTAGCGAGACAGAAGAAGAAGAGGAAGACGGAGAGACCTAAATTCGTCTTGTTCTTCATCTTCTTCTTACCAAAGTTCAATGCTTTCGAACAGTGAATGTGTGTGTGTCTCCTCTCTCTCCTCTCGCTCAGATCGATTCGAAGATGGGTTTTATGAGATTTTGTCGGGAAACTCTTTGTATTTTCTGACTACGTAGAACAGTGTTTGGAAAGAGAAAATGCCGGAAGAAAATCTTCACAGATAAAATTCAGCTCTTTCTCTCTCTCTCTCTCTCTCTCTCTCTCTCTCTCTCTCTCTCTCTCTCTCTCTCTCTCTCTCTCTCTCTCTCTCTCTCTCTCTCTCTCGCCGGCTATATGAGAAGATGATGATGGAGGAGAGAGGAGGAGGACTTAATTGCAGACTGCAGTGAATGAAAAAAAAAGAGTTAATTGTTGTATTTTACCTTTTTACAGAAACCTAGAGAATCTTTTTATTTTAATACTCATTATTTTAATTTAAAGCAAGAAGAGAATCAACAAAAGATTATCTGTCCTTTTTTATTCACTGTTACTTATTGTGTAATTTAGCAGCTTAGGTAATAAATCGTCTGGTGTCTATTATATTCAGCTGACTTTTTCGTGTACTGTAAAATCTAGGGGAGATAAAAAAGTATTATAAAAATTGTTGTAGTAAATACTTTAATTAAAGAGAGTAGTTTAATGCGAAACTGAAAAATTGAACTTCCACCAAAACAAACAAAAATTGAACAATCTCCGTTTTCTTAGCTTAGTTGTTTTATCCTCTCGATAATTAATTTATTTAAACGTTTGAGTAATGTTTTTGTTGCGGTATTTAATTACTGCTTTTGGTCTGATGCGTAACAAGCAACCTTCGAGAAATTTGATAAGATCAAATTTACATATGTCTGGAGAAAACAAACAAGGTGACAACACAACTGTTAAATTATTTTATCATTATTTTTACCAAAAAGCAAAAACCACAGCTATTAAATTAAAATCAACGTATGTGAACAAAAAATTACTATTTAATTGGACTATACAGTTTGACATATCTGTCACACTTTATATCAGATTAAATATATAGAATAAGATTTTAAGTTCCAACTTTTACTTCTTATAAACGTAAAATATATTCTCTACTAGATATAAACATACAAGATCGGAAATTTAAATATAGTAAATATCAGGGGGAATATCTCAATAAGATATATAGTAATGATGACAATAATTTTGTAAAGATACCTTCATAATTCTGTTCGATGAAAAAATGGCCCAGCATTTTAATTTCAGCCCAGCTCTAATTGATATTCAAATATAGCCTGTTACACAAAGTTAACCCATAAAACTATGTTGGATTACAGTCCCATAAAATACGATTTTACAAACTAAAGAGGTTGGGTTCTTAATATGAAGCCCACTTGATTCCAAAGAACAATACAGTACTTACTCACCTAGCACTAGTTGACGTTACAAAACATTTAAATGGTTCTTCTTGTGTACATGTAGTTTTGTTTCATTATTTCATAGTACTCCACTAGTTGTGATAATACATGCTATTCAAAATATACTCTTTCTATGATGGTAGAAAAACACTAAAATGGAGACTATTCGGTTATTGATTACGTATAGTTGTGTATACTATATGATTTGGGAAAATTAATAATAGCTTTTGGGTTTAAATACAATAATAGTTGGAAGATATGAACAAAAGCTTGTTTGTCATTTTGATTGATACAACAACCCATCGGCCCAACTTATTGTCACTATCAAAATGCAAGTTGGGACTATGCGTGAGGATTAGGACTCCCCCCACCAATGACGATAAAGAGTAAGAAAAATGTTGACAAAAATACAAAATACCCCGATGTCACGGGAACATAATGACTCACCCCAACCAATTGCAATAATAGGTTAATAAAACTGTTTAGACCGATCAGAATTATAATGACAAGATGTGGATATATTAGTTGCAAATAGAGATAAGGGACGAATCATATATCATATAATTTTAAGTAGCCTCCTTTTTTCTCCCTACATTTGGAGAATGTAACACTATTTTCAATCGATAAGTGTAAAACGAGTAGCATACCTTTGTAAACGAAGAGCGTGGATGAGACTGTGACTTGTGAGGGATTCCTTAAAACAAGAATCTTTAAAAGATAACGTTTGGATCTTGAGATTAGTGGAAACTTATGGCACACCACTCAAATGTTAGAACCCCACACACGGCTTAGGCATAAGTTTGGTCACGCATTTTCAGTGTACATTGTACACATAATTAATAAACTTATGGTTATTATTCAAACTAAGGGTTTTGGTCCAAAGTTAAACTTAGTTACTTAGATCATAGGCATTAAGAAAACTAGATGAGAAAAAAAAATTGAAGAGAAAATCTCATAAACTAAACAAACATATATAGTCAATAATACCTGAAATACCTTTTAAGTTTTAACACACAGAAAACTGTAATTTTTTTTGTTTGGATTTACATTAAAACAAAAAGATTCTTTAGAAAGAAAATATTCCCAATATCCCCAGTTAAGAAAATGAATCTAATTTACCAACTTCCCATATAAACCCCTTTGGTCAAAAGATCCTGTTTTGCTTGCTCGTTGTTTTTCCTATTCATAATGACTTTTTTTTTTGGCAACAAATGATAATATCTGGCTGTATATTATTTTTCCAAAGTTTGGTTGATAAACATGTAATTAATTGTATTACACGAACACGAGAACCATGGTTAGGTGAGAAACTTGAAATGGTAATTTTGCCAAGACATCAGGTCAATAGTTTTTTTCAAGAAAGATACTGCTAAATAGAATCTTAACCCCAGAATCAACCAGAATCTCCTGATAATTCTCATTACCAATAATAGCCCGAAATTTCCGGATTCTCCGTTTTTTCACCAAATCATTTTCCATAACAAAGTCAAGCACACACCTACCTCCATCTCTCCCTCCCCCCCTATATAAACAACACTCGCAGGAATCTCTTTAGTGTTACAGAAAAAAAGTTAATTATTTTTCAGATTCTTAAGAAAATGTCGACACTTGCAGATTTAATCAATCTCGATCTCTCCGACTCCACTAACCAGATCATCGCCGAGTACATATGGTCCGTACTTAAATATTCATTTCTCAAAAGTAGTAAACTTTGGTTGATATACTCGTAGATGAAAGATTGTGGATTGACTGAACATTTTGATCAATCTTTTTATGGTACTTATGAATAGGATTGGTGGATCGGGCGTGGATATGAGAAGCAAAGCAAGGGTAAACATTAAAATTCAATTTTTTGTAGAACATAATACGATATATGAGTACACTGTTAACATGATATTAATATTTCTTTTTGATTATTGCAGACTTTGTCGGGACCAGTGAAGGATCCATCGGAGCTACCGAAATGGAACTATGACGGTTCAAGCACTGGCCAAGCTCCCGGCGATGACAGTGAAGTCATCCTCTAGTATGTTTCAAAATATAATTAAAACAATTAATAATTCAATCAATTTGTATATTGTGGATTATTAATACTATGATATTTTTGTATGCGCTTTCTTAGCCCTCAAGCCATCTTCAAAGACCCCTTCAGAAGAGGCAACAACATCCTTGTAATAACCCAACTAAACATTTTTTTACAAAAAGTTCTTCAGAATTTTATTTAGTATTCCATTTATACTGTTTTTGGGATTGATTTGAAAATTAGGTGATGTGTGAAGCATATACACCGGCCGGCGAACCGATTCCAACGAACAAAAGGCATGCGGCGGCCAAGATCTTTAGCGATCCCAGCGTTGTTGCCGAAGAAACATGGTAAACAATTTTAAAATGAGTTGTTGTTTTGTAAAAGATTATTTTAAGTTTTGCTTTCAAACTATACTCTTACATATGTCAACATAACGCACACGACACAACATGTCCTGGTCAACTTTGCATAGTTCATACCAAAAAAAAACTTTGCATAGTTCATACTTCGTATATATTTTTATAATGTTATCACTACTCAAATTTTCCTCTAACTTAATTAAGTATTTATGTATTGGAAAAATTAATTGAAATTCAGGTACGGAATTGAGCAAGAGTATACTTTGCTTCAAAAGGATATCAAGTGGCCCGTAGGTTGGCCGGTCGGCGGCTTCCCAGGTCCTCAGGTAAAGAATTTCCGGCGAATCTTTTCACACACTCTTTTGTATGTTTCAATCCAAAAAATCAAGATTGTGCTCAAGAACAAAAAATAAACATTTTTGTATCAATAAAAACAGGGACCGTACTATTGTGGAGTTGGAGCAGACAAAGCCTTTGGAAGAGACATCGTAGATTCTCACTACAAAGCGTGTCTTTACGCCGGAATCAATGTCAGCGGCACTAACGGCGAAGTCATGCCCGGCCAGGTTTATTTTTGCCCCTTATCAATATTGTATTGATCTCTTTCAGAAGAAGAAATCAAATCCGTGAAACTGATCTTGTGTGTGTTTCAGTGGGAATTCCAAGTTGGTCCAACCGTTGGAATCGCTGCTGCCGATCAGGTTTGGGTCGCTCGTTACATCCTCGAGGTAATGTATATTATAGAAACACAAGCATGGTGGTTGATACACATTGTCATTACTCTGTTCTTACGTCTTTGTTTCTTGTGTATGTGAAAACAGAGGATCACAGAATTGGCTGGAGTTGTTCTGTCTCTAGACCCTAAACCAATTCCGGTTTGTATTTACCATAACTGTAACTTAACATCCACGCAATCTTTTATTCTGTAATATTCACTCAAAATTTCTCTGTTTTTTTTTTCCTACTTGAAGGGAGATTGGAATGGTGCAGGAGCTCATACAAATTACAGGTTTTTATTTTTGTAGATGATATGATTTTTGCTGTGTTTTTTTTTCTCTTTCTGAATTGTGGTTTTTCTTTTGTTCTATTTCTGCAGTACGAAGTCGATGAGAGAGGATGGAGGCTACGAGATCATAAAGAAAGCGATCGATAAGCTTGGATTGCGTCACAAGGAACACATCGCTGCTTACGGTGAAGGCAACGAGCGTCGTCTCACCGGAAAACACGAGACTGCCGATATCAACACTTTCAAATGGGTATGCAAGAATCTTACTAAACCCATATATAAGCCTTTTAAAAACAGTGGCATGAGTTTAATTATGTATTCAGTTGAGATTTGAGAAACAAATCATCAACATTGTGCATTTTTCAATTTGATCATTCATATATCACATGCATGAGCCTAAAACCGGGATCTAATAAAAACGGTTTATACAGGGTGTGGCGAACCGTGGGGCATCGATCAGGGTTGGGCGAGACACTGAGAAGGATGGAAAAGGATACTTTGAAGATCGTAGGCCAGCTTCGAACATGGATCCTTACACTGTGACCTCCATGATCGCTGAATCCACAATCCTCTGGAAACCATGAAAGAAGATACCTTGAGGTTCAAGGAATCTCTAATACCAGTTCATGGTCCTTCTTCTATGTTTGACTTTCTCATTATGAAACAGTTCTCATGTGTTCTTTGTTTAAAAAATGTTTGATATCAATTCTTGAAAGTTGTTTCTGGGAATCATAATTCTGATCCAGCTTTTACTTAAATCATTTCTTATTACAAAGTTCGAATCTCGGTTTTATTAGATAATCAGCGACATATGAACCGGATTCGGTTTTAATAGCCGGCCCAAACTAGACCCGAACTGGAAGATGGATAAGAAAGAATCTGTCTCTCGTAACATATAAGTTATATGTTTCTTTGCTTAGAGTCAGGCTTCAAGCCCAATGCTAATTAGGCTTCAAACAAAAATGCCATGGTTGGTTTTTCTTGTGTTTTCTAAAACTTTTTCGACTAAAAAAAATGATGTTGAAAATTCGTCTTGTCGATCCATATTAAGAAAAAATGATGATCATGTCTCATTCATTAGTTGTGTGGTTCCACAATATCGGCTGATTGGTACTAGACTTTGAATTAAAATTTACCACACACAAATTAATAAAACAATAAAGATGCTATGCAAGCATGTTTTTGAAGACAGTTATAGTACTTATTTCAACCCCTAAAGCATTTAATTCTTCTTCTTATCTCAACAATGTTCGGTGTTCAACGAAGAAGAAGAAGTAAATGCTAAAAGGGTTGAAATAAGCGAGTCAGCAAAAGTTAGTAAAAAGTTACTGTGGTATGTGTTGTGTGTATATAGGACAACGCAATGCATGCATGCATTCGATTATCATTTAGTCATTATACCTTCATCATCTTGCAGCTTTTTTAACTTTTGCTTTTTTCTTTCCTTGACTTTATATTTTATTTTTATTTGTCAGAAAAAATAATACATTTATGAATATATAAGTGAGAACACAGAGGGGAAAAAATGCTTTGGGAAAAGCGCTTTACTTATTGAATATTTACTTTTTTTTCTTCTCTTCACTTTTCAGCAGCTTTAGAGAAAAAACAAATTCCAACCCAATAATAAACTTTTTTCACTTGTTAATAAATGCTCTCTCTCTCTCTGAAAAAAAAAGGAAAATAGAAAAAGAAAGAAGCAATCATAAAGCAATCGATTACAAAATGATTTCATCACCTCTCACATCAGGCTATCTTTTCTGCAATGGGCAGAAAAGTCCTGTGCCCTTCTGTCTCTTCACATTTATCACTCTTTTTTCCATTGAATTGCTTTCTCTCTCTCACTCTCTCTCTCTCTCTCTCAACCTTAAACGTACATCAATTTAATTAAGCTTTTTGATCCATTTATGCTGACTTTGCATTTTGGAATTTGAGATATTCCTACACTTATGTCAATTTTTAATAGTGCCCACTTTTTAACATCTTGCGAAAAAGCTCATTTAGATTTCACACCTACTTAGACAAATCTATATCAACATACCCATAAATGTGATGGGTTTATAGATAGAGTTTGTTGTAAAAACACTCATATATACATGTGATGTGCCGTGTGCGTATAGATTGTGTTTGTTGTTGTGATAATCGCCTTTCTTAATCTTCCACTCGCAACACATGATCAACTTCACGATTGAACATTGGACGATCAATATACGAGAAAAATATGTTTTTTTTTTTATTCTTTTTAAATTTGTGAGAAAATATCTTACGTACCAAGTGACTAATATTTCGAGGCGCTTGAAACATTGCCGGTTTAACAAAATAAAGAGTTTGGACGGAAACAATTATTGGTGGTTATTAACTAACTACTAAGCAGAAATTATCACGGGGTGGCTAAAAAATGCTGAAATTAAGAGAGTTGCATGTCTTTAGATTCGACTTATTGTAAAAAATGGATTTTTTTTCTTTCAGTTTTGACTGATTTTTAATTATTTCTTGTTTGACTGAGGCCATCGTTTAGAAAACTGAAAACTTTTTGGATAGTGAATTCTCTGAGCAATTGAGAATCCCAACTGACACTACTCTAGCTAAGTTTTGGTCGCAAGGAACCTAGTTGATACCATATACCATATTAGAAGCTCGTATTCGTCTCCAAATTCACCTCATCATTATTGTCCTTATAGAGAATAATAATAACTGTGAATAGTTGAGTCATGGCATCAAAAAGAAAAGTTTCTTAACATGAAAAACCTTCAAACTAATCAAAAAATGTAGACCCTTAAGGAATTCAGAGAAATCGGGTTCGTATTTAGGAGGAGTTTTAAGCATATTTTCGAGCTAGTTCTTTGTCTTTGATGTCCCACACAAATGATTGCAATCCTTACTCGAACTCTTCAAACATATCGTTTATGCTTACCTTGCAACATTACCTATAATTTAAAGCTCTAGTTGATATTGGTTGTCGATTCAGCTGCTCAGGGCCGGCCCTGAGCTAAGGCACATAAAGCATGATGCTTTAGGCGCCAAAATATATGTATTTATTAAGGGCGCCAAGAACCATAAGATTCCTTTGGTATATTGGTTTGACTATGCGTTTGGGACTCCTCAGGTGACGGGTTCGAAACACATAGGGTGCAGTGTTTAGGTTTTAATGACTTTTCGTACATTATTTTGATTTTATGCAGTTAAACAAATGTAAATATTATTGTGGTAAAGGGGCAAAAAATATATGTGTGCTTTAGGCGCTGTTACACTTAGGGCCGGCATTGCAGCTGCTTATATGGCGCCATTGTAGCCACTGCCTTCGTTGCGACAGTGGAATGTTACCTTTCTCACTGTGCAAAACGTAAATGAAAAGAACTCTCAAAGAATTGGTGTTCTTGGTACAAAACAACAATAAAATGTTCTCGTATGATAGAAACTATCAGCTGCATAGAAAATCTTTCATATTTTCGGACTCTCTCATCACTCATATTGATATTATCATTCGGAACAGAGCTTATAATGTAAGGGAGAAACCAACCGAAAATGACAAGCTTATCCATCTTTGGTTCGCAGGATCAGCCTCTCAACACCACGAAATATTTAGCATCTTTGTGGTTCTTCTTGGATGATGTTCTCCTTTCTCTAGCATGCTTCATGCTCAATCTCTTCGCCTTCCACGATGAGATTGGAAGCGATTAGTATAACCTCTATACCAAATTCTTGATGTAATCCCTATTTCACATACAACATATTCGTGTTGGTTTTCATCTGATAATTTGGATATACACTGGCCTGCTGTAATTATTCTGTTCTTTCTCATGCAGTTTCACTTGGAACCATATAAAAAATGAATATAAGATATATTTTTAATACAATTACAAATCTTGCACAATGGTTTCATATTCTCAGGATTTAGACTGTGGATATAGTACCCCAAGGAAAAACCAGTCCTTACAACTCTGTAATTCTGTTCTTTCAAAATTTGTGTGTTATATTATAAAAGAAAATTTAAATTTATAGTCAAAATATGTACAAATTATTTTCAGTATATCTAAATCTACATGTACAGCCATCATTCATTAGGTTTGTGGATGTCTATCGGTCGAACTATGACAAGCACATATCAAACCTGAATACGCAATCAATAAACAAAACAAAAACGATCAAGACTTGAGGTTGAAACAAAAAACCAAGGAGACAATAATAAATGTCAAACCCGGTATGGTTTGGAACCTAGTCGGTATGGTAAGTACAATATATGTATCATAGTTACGAGATGTTGGTGGGTGTCACAGTACATTCTTTGGTGTTGTGTGCTCTTTCACCCTCATAATATTCTAACTTTATTTATTAATCATAATAACAATATATAGATATAGAGAATTTGACGTTACATATATATTCAACACATTTATATATAAAGATATGGACCCCCTCATGAACAATGTACATCACATCTCTCTCTCTATGACTGTTGTTGGTTAATGAGACAACTACAACACCTTCATGCCACATCTCATTCTTCCCCAATCTTCGGTCTTGTCCATTGCATTTGAACCAACCTATGGTACAATTTGCCAATTCCTTAGGCCCCATCCTTTTTTCGTTAAATTTATTCCTATAACAGGGAAAACAATTGGCATAGAGTGGCGATTAATATTTTACTCGAAATGAATAATATAACAGGGGTTTCTGTTCTAGTTATTGACGTTAGTTTTGACAAAAAAAAAGTATATTTTTTGTTTTGTTTGAATTTCTTTCATAAAAAACTAGCACTAGTGATCCTAAAGTTTAACAATTGATACTACATAAGAGATAAGAGTGCACTAGTGATACTACATAAGAGTGCCTTTTATTTAACTTTGATATCTTTGATAAATGATTTGTGGGAATGTTGGATTTCTTCCATTTTTGTTGCTTTTTGATACGTACCTTACAAAAATTATGTGTCGTATTATATTGGTAGATTGATTACAAGCTAGTTATCAACCTTTTTCTTGTTCCCTTCTTTTTGAGATTGGAGTGGATTGAAATAATTTAATTCACAGCTCTGGAAATTTTGCTATTTGCATATCATAAAGCGGTGGGTCCAAAATAACCCTGAGATTATATTTCAAAATGCGTAAAGCTTAAAAGTAGTTTTTGGGTGTTTCTTTTTAAAAAAATATATGGAAAATTTTAGTATTCGCTTTATTCTCCGACTAAGTTGGCCACTTAGAGGTTGAGAGGGATATTTTTGCACGGTGAAAGTGAAAGGGAAAAAAAGAAGTGAAAAGCATATTATATATCATTGTTAATGAGACACTGATTAATAAATCATGTTGGGCTATTCCCATGTAAATACCAAAAACCAATTAATGCCCAAATTGAACCAGAAAGAAAATATCAAAAGCTTGACGCATAAGACAAAACAAATTAGTCACCGTGTTTTTGATAAATCAATCTAATAATTGATTAATACTTTAAAATAAAATATCTAGGAGATGAAACCAACATTCTTTTTTACACAAAAGTGGTTAGTTAGAACTTATGCTACAATCAGATTTAGTAGATTCAATCAGATCGAACTTTTGTTGAAACAGTTTATGAATAACATAGAAAGTTT